GGGGGAATGGATGGGATGGATGTCAAGTGTCAATGGCAGAAGAAGAGAATAATCATCCTAATAGGGGAGAGCGTGTATTCCGAGAAATAATTATTATTTAAATATTTAAATATTTAACCCCAGTAGATCCTACGATCCTCCGTACGCATATGATACCGATGTACGTAGTCCTCTGTATGTATAGTCCCGACAAGATATTTTAGGCAGAGCATAATAATGATAATAATAATAATAATTAAACACCTCAACTCATCAATAACCGCCTTTGTCGGGGTTGTTGCACTGAGCGCAGAGGCGTCAGTGCCGAAGCAGCCCAGTCGGATCAATGCTGTATGTAAGTGCTCCTAGTACAAGTAGTAATGGGAATGAATAATGACAATCATGGGGGGTGGATCCATCGCACAGGGCACCTAAACTAGGCAAACTTACCAGGCGGGTTAGTGGAAAGGGTAAAAATAATCGCTTGAATCATGCATCAATTCTAGTCGACATCCTAGCGAGGATAGGTATGTCCCAAGGCCTACTATCGGTCACATTCGATGTCGCCTTGTCCCAAAGCATGAAAGTATGAGTGACTCGAAGAATGTAAGAATGGAACATTGTGGTGGGAATCATAATCATGCCCTCGTGTGTCTTCCCAGTTCTCTTGCAATTGGGCCCTTGCGACCTTTTCTGTCCTGTGCTCTTTTAAACTCTAACATGCGGGGGGGGACAAGCGTCATGAATGCCAAGCATGTTGGATGTCCACTGCTGATTTGTTGGAAGAAGCGAACAGAGATTCAGCCTTCTTTTTTATGGAGACAGAGATGGAGACGGGTTTCTTACAAAAAAATTATTAAGAAAATCATTGAGTCGAGGTATAACAAGCCATCCCACTCACGCTCTTGTTGAACCATACTATTCCGATAGGTACAACGACCAGGCCACAGCAATTGTCAGCCAAGAATCAGAATCCATGAAAGGAAGCAAGACAATCCCGCCGATGGGGAAAGAAAAAAGAAACATCCAAATCGAAGGTTCGAAAATCAGAGTCTGGAGTAGTGGATTCTTCAAAAGCAAACATACCTAGTAGCCATTAATGGGTGCTCACCAGCACAACGACCCCAAAATTAAACGCATGGGTGACGACGGCGGATGATCTTCGTCGCTCAGTTGGGCAGTGATAAATAGTCTTTTTTTTATTTTATTTCATATATATATATATATATATTATTATTATTATTATTCACTTGGTTGGCGACCGTCCCATCATTGCCGGATCCAGCCATGCCCCAGACCGGCACGATTGAGTTGAGCCAGGGGATTCAAATGTCAAGCATCAGGTGGAGCCGTACATGAGAGAGCTGCTTGATTCTTCTGTTTCTTTACAGAAGAATGAATTGTCTTGTTGCCTGTCTAAGAGAACAATAGACAAACTTTGCCCGTTCCAGTGGTTCGGGTGGAGACGATGGCTGGACTTGATCATGGGAATCAACATGGCTTTTTCGTATATATAGATCTTAAGGAGAATCCAGTTAGAAGAAACTCTAGTGCCGTTCCTCGGAGCACCATCAGACCATCATTGGATGTGCTCAACCAACCCGTCCGGGTCATAGCGGCTGAAATCTAGACAGTCTTCGTCTTCGTCAGAAGAGTGACGAAGTCCTACATCTGATTTGTAGTTGCACCCGGTGGGATCTCCATGATGACCGAGTACAGGAGGGAAAGAAAAAGTATTTTCAGACGAACGACGTCAGAATGAATCAACCCCATGATGCGGACGATGATTTCCCCGTCCGGACAGGCTCCTGTATGTATTATTACTTGCATACCAGGATGGACACGGCCCAGGCTCAGCTGGACGCCACACCACCCCACGCTACTGATCACCACGACTTGTCCCCTTGTGTCTCAGCAACCTGGCGTTGCACAAGTGCGGAGATGGGCCGATGCTCGGGCAGTGACACCGCAGGCCATTCTCCCTTTTCCCTTTTCCCTTTTCCCTCGGAGGATCGAAGCTCCCTGCATGCTGAGGGTTTGTGACCAGTCGCTTACCCCGGCCAGCCCATGCCAAGCGAATCCGGGCGCAGGATTTCCTTGTTGAGGTTGGCATTGTGAGCTACGAATGGTGCCCTTGGAATACACGTTCCGGGTCAATATCCACGGAGAAACCATGCAAAAGATACCGGGGGCTGCCTAGGTCCGCCTACACTCGTATCAAACCGCAAAATAAACCTTTGGAGGGGGAAATCGTTCCGACAAGAATTTGTCGAGGGGTGAAATCTGGGGAAGTGGGCCAGATCTGCCTGTACACCAGGCACAGACATCTGGACACTGCACAGTCAACTCTTTTTTCTCTTCTTTCTTTTTTTCCCGTTCATGCAAACCGGCCCTTGTTTGATGATGGGAAATCCCTGCTCGTCCGACACCGTTCGAACGTCCCGGGCGTACCGGATCGCTCTCTGCTCATGAACGATAATTATAGAAATCGGTATGCTCAGATGGTCCTTTGTATAAAGTCACGAACAAAGCGGTCGTCATCATCCGAGTAAGCCAGTCAGTCACTCGACCAGCTCCTTTACGCCTCCCGCGTTGCCCAGGTCCATTACTTGACTCCCGGCTGGCTGTCATTGGCGTTTCACAGTTCCGGGTGCTTGGGCCTCGCTCGTCGTGACTCGAAACTGGTTGGATTGGGGAATCCACCTCATCTGCCGGATGCCAAACTAGGAAATCAACGAGGAGCTCGAGGCTCCTCTTTTTAAACGAGAGGTGGGTTTTGCGTCTCCCGTCCCCTGAATAAGCTTGATGATCGGACCAGAAGGGAAGGTTAGGAGGGGCGAGAAACAGTTACAGTACCCGTAATGACGATACTTTGTGCTTGATCGTGAGACAACTGCGCTAGACGGACCCAGCGGATTCCCCCTTTGGGAAAGCCGGTGGAGGCTGGAAAAGTACGATCTTCTGACGCCGTGGCTGGTCTTGGGCAGGTACCGTCTCGCTAATGCCTGTTCATAAGTAGTTAAGTGTTTCTCATCCTTTTACTAATTGTATCCGACTCACCCGGCCGCCAAACATACGAGTCCAAGCATTTGTTGAGTTGGGAGTAGTCTGCACGGATCGATGCTAGCCAACGAACGCACGCACATCGGCAATTAGGGGCGGATTCGACCCGCTGAATATCCATCCACTCCATAGGAGTACATCATCTTTGTGATGCACTCCAGAGGACGCGCACACGCAAACATAAAGCAGCGTCTTTGTCTCGGAAAGCCACACCGTAGCCCTAAGGTTCTGCACTGCATCGTCCCCTGGCAACTGGTCTTCTGTACTGTGGACGGGGATCAGTGACAGACAGGTGGAGTCGGCGGAAGGGAGCTCCCGTCGTCTCCTCTTCTCAGTGGGGGTTGTTTCAGAGGGAACTCTGATACTGATGTTAAGCAGCACAGTGAGGTCTCTCAAATCCCGCTGGAAGGGCCAGAAAAAGCAAAACGGCCGGGGCACCGCGACCTCACTGGCCGTCTGGACGTGGCTGCTCCCGTTTCTTCCGGTCGACCCCCAAGCTTCGCATCCCGCTCCCCTTTTTTCCTCCCTTGCGTAAATGCGGAGGTGACAGGGGGTGATGGAGCTTCTTTCAAGGCTGATGGTTTCATGTCGATTCGGATACACCTGGGCAAAGGTGTTGCGCTCTTGGCATGGTTTCATGGGGTCATCCATTGAACGTTGCAGGGTCCTGGCATTTCGACTATTAAATTGACAGAGGATAATTCCAATATGGAGTCCATCGGAGGATGAGAGCCCAATAACTAATGGTGGGACAATGATGTACTCCAGACTCCGTACAGATCGTGGATTTCTGACTCGAGGCAGGTACCGAATCTGGATAGGGCTCAAGCGCACGCTATTGGTTTTTTCGTCTAGTAAGAGCGAGTACGATACACCCGGATACCACCCGTGGACGGCACTTTAAGCCCTTCTACTGGTAAACACTTAAAGCTGTATCATATGACCTCGTGTTTATCCCGGCAAGGAAAGTCGGCCGAGGATGGGCCTATGGAAAGTGACAACGATGGTGTGATGCAGCCGCTCCTCGCAGGGTCTAACCGACTCTAATGCCAGTCATGGCCTTCCAGGGCTTTCCATCCACTTCCAGGTCGCAAAAGTACGAGGTGGCCGATGTGAGTCTGGGAGCTCTCTATGTATCTTCATTGATATTTCTAGGTAGATGAGGTATATGATAAAAGATCCATGGTTCTGCAATCTACTACCCGCCATCGTACCTTGAGCGGTCTCCACCGCAATGACACTGCAGGCGTCTAGATATCTAAATCCCCAGGAACCCCTACTCCGTACCTCCCACATTCCTCATCAAGTACAGGTACTGCCCCTGTCCAGTCTGACCCTCATGATTCAACCACACCAGCCATCGGCTCCCCGGAGTATCCATGACTAACAGTATCACCAACCTGCCTGGGCCCCACCACCCGATCGCTCTGGAGTCCTCAGTGGCTTGTGCGAGCAACGCTCTGCAGCATCGTCGCCCACTCACATCGGTGGGGGACGTAGCTCCCTGTACTCCGTGCCGAGTACCTCTGCTCTATTCCATACGAGCCCCGTCCAGAGGCTGACTGGCAGGAGAGGCGAAACCTAAACCGGATGCCTAACAGGTCCGCGGCGCGCTATGTATCTGTATCATGCGCTATGGCCGAGCTTGCTCTCGTATAGGGGGCACGCATTCGAGCTGTCCAGGCTGCGGTTGCTTGGGCAGCAAGACTGGGACCCTGACGGTGGGAACTTCGAAACGCGTTCCTCGTCGGGTTTTCAATGTCGTCGCCAGTGCGCTGAAGGATGCAGACATGACGCCTGGGGTTTGTGAACTACCAATGGCGGACCGTCCTCATTTGATCTTCATGCTGGACGGCCGTGGTTTGTTGGGGTGACAGTGCTCGGTCTCCGATGTGATCTGGCGTCTTCCTTGATGTTCAGCATTGTGGTCTGTTCCGGATTGAAGGGTGGAATGGAGGGGTCCTTGTGACGTAAAGCAAGGGGGACCCAGAATGTGATCCATGATGCGGGTTGTCTCGTGTAGGAGGTGTGCGGTTGATACAATCCAATCTGTAAGCGTGGTAAGGAATGTGTGATTAGTATGCTCATATTAGAGTAGTATCTAACAATTCCTCATTCTCTCAATCGTCCGTTGGTATCCTGCTCAATTTCCATATCCATACGACTGTGAGTATCCATGACCGCTTATAGAAGATATACAGCTGGATAGATAGTATTCTATGCTAGCAAGCTATAAATTGCAATCATCCATACTTGAGTAGACTGTTATCGATAAGTGATAAGATAAGCAGTCGGCACGACGTTTATCACTCCCGATCAAATTGTTCCTCACCACCATACAACTCTCTACAAATCTCCATCTCCCTATCTAACCTTACATCAGACCATTATCCTCATCCATACGATGTCTTAACGCCAACCCACGAATCCTCGCACACCGTCTCATCCCACCACACTACTCCGTACAGCCCACCTCGACACCCCCCACAATGTCCCTCTCGCCCACACCCACCATCCTCCTCCCCAACCTCCCGCCCAAAACCCTCGTCGGCATCGACCTGATCACCTTCACCTCGACCCCAAACTTCCACGGCATCCGCGACCTCCCCGCAGGCTGGCACTTCCTCTACACCGGCACGACCGAGAGCCTCTCCCTCCGCAGCGGCGGCTGGTTCCACATCCGCGCCGACGACGGCCCCAGCCGCGCGCCCGACGTCCTCATCTGGAAATGGAACGCAGACACCGAGATGCTCGCCCCGCTGCGCGCCGCAGGCGCCCACGAAGCCATGCGCTGCAGGGCCAACCTCGGCGCCATCTGGCAGGCCGGCGGGCTGTTCCGCTACCGCAGCCGCGTGCCGCCGGCGGGACACACGGCCATGGTACGGACGGGGCAGACGGCAGATGATGATGACAACGAGGCGGAGGGCCGGAACGACTGGCAGGCGTTGACGGATAGATTGTCGCCTGCGCTGCTGACGCGCGTGGTGGGGGCGCCGGACGTGGATGTCGACGGGCGGCCGCGCTGGATGGTCACGTCGGGCAGCTCGGCGGCGCGCGACAACGACGCCATCCCTGGGTTGCCGGATGTGCGGGCGTCGGAGGAGATGGCGCGCGTGACGGGCGCGCCGGAGAGCGAGTTCTCGTTTCTGGCGGTGGATTTGAAGCGCACGTGGCGCGAGGGGGGCGATCGGGCGCGAGCGCTCGGAGGCCGCGCAGGACCGGTCGTGGGCGCTGGGGGAGGTGGTGCGGCGGGCGGAGGAGACGGCGACGACGACGCCCGGTGACGACGGCGGGGGAGAGGCGCAGGTGCTGGGCGAGCTGCAGTTTACGTTCCTGATGGTTCTGACGTTGATGAACTACTCGTGTCTGCAGCAGTGGAAGCGGCTGCTGGAGCTGGTGTTGACGTGCCAGAGTGCGATCCGCGACCGCGCGGCGTTTATGAGCGCGGTGCTGCGGCTGTTGCTGCTGCAGTTGCGGCGGTGCGACGATATCGAGGGCGGGCTATTCGATCTGGACGGCGAGGACGGCGGCGCGTTCCTGCGCAAGCTGTTGGTCCGGTTCCGGCGGTCGCTGTATGTGGTTGACGGTGCGGGCGAGGATGTGAAGAGTGATTTTGCGAAGCTGGAGGCGTGGGTGCGCGAGGAGTATGATTGGGAGCTTGATCGCGAGGCGGTCGTCCGGCGCGGCATGGTGCAGTTGGAAGACGGCGAGCAGGTGGAGCTGCAGATGGACGAGGACGACGATGAGTATGCGCCGGTGGTGGTGGACCTGGGCGAAGACAATATGGAGGTGTCTCTGGGTGATCAGGACGAGGCCGAGATTGATGATCCGCGAATGTAGTCCAGTCAGTCGGATGTATTATATCAATGTCATTGTACTATTGCATACTGATGCGATGTCTTTTCATAACCAGAAACCTCTATCTATATACATGATTCATATACATATCCGTATTCTATTTTTCGCTCTCGCCCTCAATCACATAACCCCATTCATGGCTCTCCTTGCCGTCCTTTCCGAACATGATGCCCTCGAGCCACGTCTTGAACTGCGCGGCGTATCCGGCACTGCCCATGTCCATATCCACCTCGCCGTTACGAATAAGCTTGACGGGGGTGATGAAGTACTAGTCAGGTCAGTCACATCGTCCACCAAATCAACGACCAAATGAAGGGAGAAGACCTACCGCAGTACCGCACACAAAGGCCTCGACGACGCGGCCCTCCTTCCAGGCCTGCTCCACCTCGCCGATCGTAAACGTCTTCTCCACAATCTCGACTGGTGCCAGATCACCCACAGGACGAGTGAGCTGCTCACGCGCCAACTCCAAGACACTACGACGTGTCACACCCGGGAGGATGAGCTGGTTCTCCAGCGGAGCGGTGACCAGCTCGCGCTTCCCGGTCTCCTTGTTCTCCCAGACGACGAAGAAGTTGCTGGCGCCGGCCTCGGTGACCTGGCGGTCCTCACCGAACAGCCACAGCACCTGGTCGAAGCCGACGGCCTGGGCCTTGCCGTGGGCGGCCAGCGAGGGCCCGTAGTTGGCGCCCAGCTTTGCGTAGCCGAAGCCGCCGGGCCAGGCGCGGATGGTGTCGGGCTGCGAGGCGAGCAGCTTCAGGCCGGGCTTGGCGCCGGGCTGGGGCGCCTTCTTGGACATGTCGGGCCAGGGCACGGCGATGATGAAGAGGAGGGCTTCCTTGGGGGTCTGGACGCCGAGATGGGGGCCGTTACCGATCATGGTGGGACGGAGGTAGAGGAAGCGGCCGGGCTGGTCCTTGGGGAGCCAACCTAGGGAGTCATGTTAGCTGGGTATACTCCTTTCGTTTCGGGGTGGTAGGGAACACGCACGAGGTCCATCGATCTGCATCAACTTGGCGACCAGACGCTTGAGCTCCTCGAACGGAAAGCTGGGCAGCGAGGCGCGCTGCGCGCTCATCACAAGCCGCTCGCCGTTGCAGTCTGGCCGGAACAGACGCAGCTTGCCGTCGTAGCCGCGGTACACCTTCATGCCCTCGAAGCACTCGGTGGCATAGTGCAGGCAGGACGCGGTGGGCGGGATGCTCAGGTTCTCGTACGGTCTGACTTCGGGCGTCTCCCAGCCCTTGGCGTCTGTCCACCGGACCGTCACCATATGATCCGTGCAGTAGGAGTGGCTCAGCTCTTCTGGGGAGCCTGGCGCAGGAACCGGCCGCAGGTTGGCGGAGCGGGTGATCTTGACGACAGAGGCATCGAGCTCTGCGACGGACGGGGCGGCAGAGGGCATGATGGAGGACGTGTATCTGTTCTTTTAAGGCTTAAGAATCAATAGAGGTGAAAGAAAGGACAAGGCAATTCCTTGAGGACAAGAAGGGAACGACTATGAGTCACGATAGATCCCCGCGATCTGCGCCGGGATGTACGCCGTATTAATTGACTTCCGGGATGATGAAGAACGTCGAAATCCGGGATGCAGGACCAGGATGGATGTCAGTATTAATATTTACAGGGAAATGGAGCCCTTCTACCATGGATTGCAGCGATTGATTTACTTGCAGGTGGCCGAGGGGCAAAAAAGAAAACTTTTCGCCGGGCCGAGTCTGCCATCGCTATCCGAGCCTGGCTCCATCTGTCTACTACAGCACTATCCCGACAGTCGCCGACTCGCCACTCCCACAAAACAGCTACAGTCTATACCGCAGCGCATTCTCTGTAACATGCGTCTCTACAGTCTCGCATTGACTCCCTGTCTATCGTTTGTATGCCTCCAGATTGTAAAGAGTGCCGTCCGTCTGTGCATTCGCATCGCATTCGCCCCACCACGGTCGATAACGGCGCCGATGCTAGCCGGGCGACGATGTCGCATTCTTCATCTAGAGTCTTCCTCATGCATGTCCGGACGCATCGCGTGGAAGAGGGTCCATTGACATTCCTCCAGCCGTGTATACCCGTTGCTTGGCTTCAGCGGCAGAGCGACGTACAGGAAAGTGAGTCTCGTGGGCTAACGACAGTGACTGGCCTACAGGGCGCAAAAGACGACTCCGATGAATCGTATGCATGGTTACCTGTCAACATGGAACCTGCATCAACATTCTCAGCATTAGCGACAAGCCCATGGTGACACCATCTGCAGCCTCTTCTCATCTAAGCTTGTCGCGGACGTCAGAGCGCCACAGCATGTTCGAACCGTCAAGAGAAATCAGGAGCCCATCACCGTTCATACCTTGGACGTAGCCATAGGAAGGTAGCAGGATGGTGAAGGCGAAGAAATGATCGACGTAGAGACCAGCACGATCTCTACGGTCCGTTCCATGATCACCGACCACGAGAGCTGCAGAAAACAATAAGCAACATCAGATCTGGTTCGGAAAAATCCCTGTCCACGATGCAGTCCGTCTCTCACCACCGCACATGGCTTTCTCCCCGCCGCGCCGCACGGCGAATGAGAAGTGCCAGGGAAGATATCTCCGCAATCGAACCCAAGTGCCATCTGCCTCAGCCCTCGTGTCCGACTTGGGTTCCGGGGTGGGGCAACCCATACATGCTTAATAGGACCTGCACTAGTGGCTTCTTGCTGGTAGATGTCATGGTGGGAAGAGGTGAGCATCTACGTAGTCTTTCGAGTGATCTTATTCCGGGGGAGATGGATGTAGATCATCTTGGCTGCTAGTGATGGACACAGGCATACTGTACTTAATACTTCGGAATATTAGGGAGTATAATATACAATAGTATAGAATGGTACTGGAACCTATTAATAGAGACGACAACATCGTGTTGCCTCTATCTCGTATACAGCCGTACGTAAGGGGCAAGCGAGAAACTAAGAACTGGCGGGCGAGTGCACATGCCAATCTATGCTCAAGCGAGGACGGTCGCATACAGGCCATAGTCATAGTTCAACCTACTAAGGATCTCACAGCGATGATCGAGATTACTCCAGAGGTCCTAATAGGGTTGGGTTGCCGTGGGCGAAACCTTACCGACTGACCCGAGATCCCTTAACCGTGTCGCCTCCCCACGTGGTATCATCACAGCAAAATTATGTGAATACGTGAATCTATGAATACATGAGTTCCCACGACTCATAGTCTATCATCAATAAGGTACATAATTTTCATAGGTGATTCTGGATATGGTGGACATGAAACATCATCGAAATATATTTCTCGGATAGTCCCAGCGCGATCAGGGTCCCTGTACCTCGATAATAATAGCATGGGACACCTGCATCTGCAAACTAAGCCAGTCCCAGTCACTTTCACAATAAAACGCCACCATGACACCTAGCAACTCATCCATACATCATACCTAGAAAATGAAGTCATCCATGAAGATCCACGACCTGTCACGCGGATCAACCCTTTTTGCCACCCCCGGGCCCTACGGAGTACGACCCGGTGTCAATCTACTTACTGTAGCTGCAAGTCTAATCTAGGTATCGGCTCGATCCTGAACTTGCACGTCACTTGCAGCTCCACCGCCAGAGGTCGGATACTCCGTACTTTGACAAAGGTCGGGGACCGCCTTCCCTTGGCAGATACAATACTATGGAAACATCCTGGTCATCATCCACGCGTATAGCGACGACGCCAAGCGAATAAGAAAGAAAGGACCCCAAAGATTTTTCCAGAGCGGGTCACAGGGGGGAACCACCAAGGGTCCAAGGAATTTCGCATCGGAGTTGCCGCGGGAGGTAAGATCAGCCCGTCGCAGGTGGACTACCCCATAGATATTCCTTGGATCCGTGGTAAGGAGAAAGGGACGCAACAAGATTTCGGGTCAATGCACCGTTGGTTCGGTTAGGGTACACAGCGCAGAGTATGGTTCCAAGGACAGACCCTGGTAACGCATAGCAAGGGGATCATCGACCGGTGGTCTTTTCCGCCTATAGTATCCATGAGAGCTTCTTGGGCGATCGGATGCCATTTGCGCCCTTTGATCCTATCAGATTGGCCTCTGCTTTTCCGGCGACTCAAGTGGATGAGGTTTCCTATTTCCAAGCTTGTCGGCTGTTTTGACAGTCGAGAAGAATTCACTAGCTGCCCCAGTCTCTTGGGAGGCAGCTAAAAAAGACCCAGTTCCCTGTTTAGTCGCGGGAAAAGGCTGCATCGACAGCGGCCGGACAGCCCGTAGCCTGGAGTCCTGACCAATACTCATCCTCTTCATGAGTCAACTGCCGAAGTACGGCCACAGGTTCTGCATGCGTGCAGGCGATCGATCATTATCCTCATCCTCATCCATGTGGCGGCATTTTCTCCCATCACAGACCGGTTGCAACTGGGATGGATGGAACAGGGGAAACGGCTCGTCCACACATAGATTTGAATCAATAATCAGCGACGGCTGTCTCTAATTCGTGAGAGAAGACTTCCACCCAGTCATGGTTTTCGATTGCGACTGTACTCCACTCGTACTGCGCCTGGTCCAACTGTAGGAACCGGTTTTAGATGCGGTTTGCCTCCCCTGGATTATTCACACCATTCGGAGCGAATTTTGGGCGGGATACTGGTCGAAATGTCCTTCCTGGTCCAAACACCCCTTGGTTGCCCGCCCCCTCCCAAAAAAAAAACAGGGTGGTTTTCATGTCATAATGACAGTACCTTTTTCCCCCTGCTTTATGTTTTCACCTCTTGACCTTCCCCTCTTTCACCTAAATTAAAGCGGCTTACGCTCGAAAACCCTCCCGCCTGTTGTAAACACGTCCTTTCCGTTTTGGATCAATCCTCGCATGTTCGAGGGCGCCTTGTCTTTCCCCTCCCCTGGATCCATAGCAGGTTTTGGGGGGCCCATTTCGTGATCACCGGCGATATCTGTCACTGCAATGCAGGAAATGGCCGTGGTGTACTGCGCAAACGAGGTATATCAATGGCTTGGTCAAGATTGAGTCCCTGCTAGTTCTTCCGAACCGGAACTGGTGACATGCTTTAGCCTTAGCGACTTTTCGCAGCCGAGCACCCTATCTCGTCACCAAACTCTCATCGCGTATCACCATCTCGAAATAGAAAATAGAATTCACAGCAACGTCGGGTCGTCCTCACCGTCGTTTCATCGCACGGCACCCTTACTCCGCCTCAAAGCGAGCATGAATATCGACGAGCCAGATAAACGCCTCCCCTCGTTGGCTCCGGGTCCCAGTGGGCCCGTGAAGCATCCATCCGTGCCTTTGACCAAGCCAAGGAAAAACTCCACCGCATGCTTACCATGCAAGCAAGCAAAGAGGAAGGTAAGATATTCGGACTGTCTTAAGATGCCTGATTCTGGCCTGAAAGGGTAAGCCTGGGTGTGCAACCTGGTGGTGTGGCGGCGGCCACTCTCAATCGCGAGAATGAGAGCTATCGCAACGTATCTCGAAGGGTCCGACGATAGTTGACTGACTGTGTCTAATCACCAGTGCACCGGCCGCCCATCGCCTTGCAAAGCATGCCAAAACACAGACGCGGAGTGCATCTTCGATGAGACCCTAGATCTGAGACGCAAGGTTGCCGCTAGACGCACACTCGGCGAGCTGGAGCATTATCGGAGTTTGCTCTACTCTTTAGTCGACTCACTCCGTTCGACAGACGAAGACAGAGTTCACCATATCCTGGAGACCATCCGTGATAGCTCTTCACTGGACCCAATTGCGGTAGCGATAGACGCACCGAACATCGATGGCCATGACACATCCGCCGACGAGTGGAAGAGTAAGACTGGTGGCGACGATACTACTGTCCAGCCAGAGCGTCTGTCGGGTGACGCTCATTCGAGGATAACACTGGAAAAACTCTGCGACATTCCCCTGTTCCAGGTATCTGCTAAGCCCTGGGTCACGGTCACGAATGATGATCACCTGGTCTCCCATCTAATCTCGTTATACTTTACCTGGGACCATCCCATGCTGCAGATCGTCGACCAAAGCATATTTCTGGACCACATGAGGAGAAATGATACGGGGTCTAGTTTCTGCAGCCCGCTTCTTGTGAACAGCATTCTTGCAGTGGCAAGTGTATGACACCGCGCCAACTCATTCCGCTAGAGACTTCTGCTGACTCTAAGAAGCCTTATTCTGACTTCCCAGAGGTTTTTTCTATTCCTGGAGATGCGACATCAAAGGGACAGCATTTTTTGGCAGAAGCTGAACGGTTATGGAGAGCCGAAGAGGGCCAAATATCGCTGACCAATATCCAGGCAGTATGTCTGATGAGCTATGCGTATGTGTCGTTCAAGTATGCTTTGATGATGCCCCTGTCGAGTCGCTGACCATATGAAGGTTCTATTGTCAGGGAAAGAGACAAGCTAGCTGGATGATGCTGCGGCAGGCCGTTCAACTCGCTCAAGACTTTGGAATGTTTGAAGCACCAAGGACACAACATCACGAGTGGAAAAAGATGAATGCTCAGATGCAATATGTGGCATCTATAACTGCCCACAGCATCTTCATATTGAATTCGTATGTAGTTTTTCTCGTTGCAAGCAGCTATGCAGGGCGACTGACCGATAATATAGGCAAATGGCTCTAATATGCCGTAGAGCTGCGAACCTTCAGCGTCCCAGATTCATGCTAGTCTTGGATAACCATCTTGATGACATCGCCTGGGCTCCATATCCCCATTCGAACAAGATTGAATATGGCAGAAAGTCAGCCCTGCTTCGTTACGTGATGGCGGCTCTGGAGTCTTTGACTGCGATAGTGGTAGAAATCCAGGATCTTTTATATAGTAAGGCGCTGTTTCTCAATATTGATGAAGCGTGGGTGCTGGTCAGTCCGCTCTATTCGCGCCTAGATCAATGGCCGGAAAGCCTGCCTACTATCCTGCGACTAGACGAGGGACCAATGCCGCAGACTTTGCTTGTGCAGTAAGGAAGAGATCTTGCATGGGGACTGGGAATTGAATCAGCTTTTTAACATTGTTTGCAGCATCAGATATTACCACGCTATCATTTCACTGTCGGATTTCCTCCTTGACCGCGGAGATGTGGAGTCGGCGCCCAACTCAACCCTGCCTCGACAAATGAGGCTCATCCAAGTCCGTTCGGCGAAACAAATTGCACGATGTTTACGCATGCACCGAGAATTGTATGGGCTGCGGCAATTTTCTGGACAGGTGCTCGAACCCATCTGTAGCAGCGCTTCTGTTTTGATGGGAGCTTTGGGCGATGATGGGATCGAAGGCGCGTTTGTGGAGGTGTGTCGGTGTCTAGTTGCATTCAGCAAGCGGTTTTCGATCGCAAAAGCTATGATTCACGAGATCGAGTCTACGGGCTCGGCGCTCTGGAATTCGCTTGCCGCCCGAAGCTATTGCAGTGTTGGATCACAGGGAGCTGGCCTCCTCACAGTGGCTTTAATTCGAAAGATTCCATCAGTTCTATTGGTTGACGCTCTCCGTTCTCTTGGCGATAATATCGGCCTGAGGTCGAATAGGAGGAACGCACTATATCGGAGCCAGCGAGGTGGAGGTGGAGACGCATTCATTGAATGAGTGAGCGAGCAAACCACTGTATCTGAGAGGGAGCTCCGAGACACCGGAGGCGTGATTCCTACCTATTCAGGTAGTGTAAAGTGATAAGCCCACAGGGCGCAAGTCAGCTTTCATACACCCCGCGTCACAGTGCGAGGCAGTTTGAAGCCTGCAGTCATGAACCGGATGGAGAAAGACTAGGTAGCAAGAGCGAGCTACTAGTCTTCTGCGAATCGGGCGGAAGGCGATCAGCTGAAGCTTAGAAGGTGGTTAAGGGGAAGACAGAGAGAAAGAGATCTAGAGGAGGAGGAGGAGGAGGAGGTGGTGGTGGTGGTGGGAACGAGGTGGTCGCTACCTTACGACTTACTCGGAACCGGGACGGAAATCACGATGTCGTGTATGGCCGCTAATTTGCATTCCTGCCGAGGACTGACAGCACGTAACATCCACCCCACTGGTTAGGGCAGCTATATAGAATAGACGGTCGTTATCGTTAATATTAGACTACTTAGGGTATGATTTTAGAGGTGCAGCAGAGGGACGAGTCGTATAGCGACCTCTATTTGTTTTAGTGCCGGGGCAGTAGATGCCTAGTACCTTATTCGTAGGGGCTAGATACCTACCTAACCACTGCCTAACTCTGTCACTGCATTCTATGTAGAGATGATCTGCCATAATGACAGATTAGGTATGTCCGGAGGAATGTTCAGGTACCTACCTACTTAAGTACTACCTTAGGTACCTAGCATCCGGACCAACAGGTACTCTGCAGATTGAAGTACCTATTTAGGTCATGATGTATCGGAAATCCAAGCTGCAAGAGTGGCTGTCCTGCTTCTTTAAAACCTCTGTACGATGAATTATCCCTTTTGAGACAAGGCACTTTGTAGGTATTCTCCAGACAGAGGCACAATGCGGATAGATGACTCAGCAATACCAGTTATGCCCAGATAAGATAAGCACAAAAAACCCGCCCAAGCGAAAACCCTCAAAATTCGACCGCCGCCGAAACAATCGAAATTCCACACGCCGACGCCAAGTATCCAACGACCCCAACTCGACGTGCCCTCCTCCCCCCGTCCTTCCTCCGTCTCCTGACCAATTCGTCCTTTGTCGACTCCGTCCTTTTTTCTCTCGTCCAAAATGTCGTACGAAGAGCGCGCTAACGCGCACCCCAACCTCAACGATGAGTCCGATGTGGAGGAGGAAGCGCTCGTCAACGACTACCGTGAGCAGGTCAACTTCGACGATGGCATGAGTGAACTCGACCGGACAACATCTCTGGGAGCCGCTTCTCAGACGCAAGATCTCCAGGCCCAGCTCGCCGCCGCCGCTACCCCGCTGGAATACCAGGCCACACTCGAGACCAAATTCGCAAGCTATGACAACTACTGCAGTCTGTTCCACTACATCCTGAACTCGGATGGCCCGGTTGAACTCGAGGTCCCTTCGGTACGCTTCACTCTTTCTTTGAATCCAGATGCGCACAAGAGATGGGATAAGTGGGCGGACAACCTCTACTCACTTGGATAATGTTCTCTGTTGTCAGATTGGTTGTGAGACCTTCGGCTAACCTGGACATTACTTCTTTCAACAGTACTACTGGGCTTGGGATGTGATCGACGAGTTCATCTACCAGTTCGAGTCTTTTTGCCGCTATCGGAACCGCGTTGCCCGGAGTGGCTCCAACGAAGAGGAGGCTCAGCTTCTGCGCGAAAACCCCAACACGTGGGGTTGCTACTCAGTCCTCAACGTCCTCTACTCCCTGATTCAAAGATCCCAGATCAACGAGCAGTTGGCTGCCATGAAGCGTGGTGAGGATCCCCTGGCGTTCGCCGGCGAATATGGCTCCCGCCCTCTCTACAAGATGCTGGGATACTTCTCCATCATCGGACTCCTCCGTGTCCACTGCTTGCTCGGTGACTTCAGCCTTGCCCTGAAGACCCTCGACGACATCGAGATGAACAAGAAGGCCATGTTCGCCCGTGTTATGGCTGCTCACTTCACCACCTACTATTACGTGGGTTTCTCCTACATGATGATGCGCCGCTATGGCGACGCTATTCGCATGTTCAGCCACATCCTGGTCTATGTCTCGCGGACCAAGAACTTCCAGAAGGGTGGCAACAGCTACGATGCCATCGCCAAGAAGAACGACCAGATGTATGCCCTGATCGCCATCTGCGTTGCTCTCCACCCCACTCGTCTCGACGACACCATCCACTCCGCCCTCCGGGAGAAGTACGGCGAGCAGCTCAACCGTCTCCAGCACGGTGGCCCCGAGGCCCTGCCTCTGTTCGAGGAGCTCTTCCGCTCCGCCTGCCCCAAGTTCATCAGCCCCACTCCCCCCGACTTCGACAACCCGTCTGTCAACATCGACCCTGTCGACCACCACACCGCCATCTTCATGGACGAGGTCAAGAACACACTGTACAACCCTACGATCCGCTCGTACCTGAAGCTCTACACGACCATGGACCTGAAGAAGCTCGCTGGCTTCCTGGAAGTCGAGCCCGAGAAGCTCCGCTCTTGGCTGTTGGTCAACAAGCAGCGTAGCCGTCAGGTGCGCTGGGTCGAGGGTGGCCTGCTGGAGGGCGAGCCCGTCAACGCCAACGATCTCGACTACGCCCTGGAGAAGGATTTGATCCACGTCAGCGAGACCAAGGCCGGACGCCGTCTGGTGGACTGGTACCTGCGCAACCTGGCCCGTGTCTACTAAAGTGCCCGAGGCTCTCAAGGACGGCCCCCTGGGTAGCCGTAGCGCTACGTGCTTGGCCTGTCCATGGACTTCTCAGACGGCTATTCCTGCCCGGAAAGTCCACTGAACGCTTCCCGACTCGAGTATTTGCGTATCTGCGGGAGGATCTCTGGTCGTGTGAGGCCCAGGCTGGAGATCAATAGCGGCAGGACAACCGGAGTTATTGCCGAGTAGTATGTCCTATGTGCTTGTACACGCCGTGGTGACCGTTATGACTCTTCTGTTTTGTTTCCCTCCATTTTAGTTTCATTGTCTACGCCTTTATTTTCCTTTATGTCTGATGGTTGCAACCCTGGACCTGCTCAGTTTAGAGGTTTGAGGTGGCTTCAAAAATATCGCGGCTTTTCCGGGGCGTATTCCAATGCTTGTGGTTGATTTGTTTTCTGTTCTGGCCGATATTGACCCCGTGCGTGTTTCTGCACGGCATAGCTAGCAGTCGGTTGAGGTAGAAATTCGCATGATGAAATAGATGATGACACTTTTAGTTCTTTTCCTTCACCCGCACCAGTAAAGACACTCGGTATAGAAAAGAGGGGTATAGCTTGGATTCTCTATTTGCCGATGCAGGCACTATAATTACAAACATGGATATGTAAACCCAGCCCAGATGGTACAGAGGATGCTGCCGTATTGCGTGACCTAGTCTTTAACATCGAAGCTGGTTCCACAGCCACAGTTACTCGTAGCCCGCGGGTTATCAACAATTTTGAACTGGCTGCCGATCAGCTCCATGGTGTAATCCACCGTGCTACCGGATAGAAGCTCCAGCGAGGGTTCATCCATGACGACTTTCGCCTCGCCGGCGCCAGCGGGGGATCCCTCCTCCGGCGAGTACTCCGCCTCAAATACGGTATCTTCTTCCGGGTCAATCTTGGAAGACGCCTCTAGCGACATGAGATATTGGAAGCCGTGACAGCCTCCGCTCGTCACGGTGATTCGGAGATGGTGGTAGGGATTTTCTTCCTTGGTGGCAGATGGAGATGACGAGGGATCGGTGATCTCACGGAGGCGCTGGGACAAGTTAGAATCCTAGTAAAATAAAAGCATCGAGTAACAGTTCCCATCATAAGCCAACCAAAAAGATAATATAAAAAAAAAAAGACATGATATAAAAACATACAACAGCCGGGATTCGCTGGTGGTCACCCACCCAACTACTAACCGGCCGGCGTGTGGCTTAAGTACGGCTGAGCGGACGGGAAGCCCTGTTTTCCACACCCTGTGGTCGTATGTGCTAGTTTCCTAGCCATCGCGGGTTTTATCGGCCCCGGCGCTAGGCCTGTCGCCTCCGCGGATGAACTATGGCCCCATACGCCCAGGATGTCAAGCAGGATTCACCCCATCCAGGCTCTTTCGGCATATGGCTCACACACCAAGCATATGCGCCACACAAACAAACAGATTATTGACGTACCTCTGCGGCCCGGGGAGAGATATCCACCATCAACGTATTGCCGTCATCGCCGGTTCTCGGGTTTTGTACGACCTTCGTCGCCTGGCTGATCGGAGAAGAGGAAAACGCACGGTGTTGTCGGGAAATAGTATGCGAAGAGGCGGAAAGCCAGGATGATACTCCCCGTGCGATGGGAGCCTTCGTCGATGCGATCGAGGGGCCTGCTCGTCGATGGGAGGCGGCGGCGCAGAACGATGCGGAGGAAGGTCTAGATAGTTTCGATGGCGGAAAACCGGATCTCATGACTGACGAGGAGGGCGGGCGTGAGAGTCGCCGGGCGGCGGATGACAGGATCGGACGAGACATAGTTGCGACACCAGGAAGGCTGTCCTCTTGAGCGAAGAGCGTCGTCTGGGAGGAATGGATGATTGTTGGATTGTTGTAACTATGATTCTTGCTTAGTTATTGAACTGTCAAGCTTCCCATTAGTCAGAGGCTCGGGATGACGCCATTGGTCGGCTAGGTCTCGGAAAGAAGCGGCAGAATGAATGATCATCGCGGGGGTCTCGCAGAGAGTCTGGAAGGAAGTCAGATCTCCCCGCGCTTCACTCTTGGTGATTTCTTGCATGTTGTGGTTCTCGCAGCCGATTGAGCTCATCGCACATCAACTCCGGAAGATTGCATAGATATCCCACTATACAACCGGCAGAATGGGCTCCCGTTTGCACCTCCGAGACATCAAACATGGACCCCCGCTTCCCTATCACGATGATATTCGTGCCTTCACCAAGGAATACGCCGAGTCTCTCGATGCGCAGGACCCTTTGCGCAAATTCCGAGATGAGTTTATCATTCCTTCCAAGAAGGACTTGAAGCGGACCGTCCTTGCAGCCGATGAAAGTATGCGCTCCGCAAGTTCTGCATATAAGCTTCACTAACACTTGCACTCCAGACACCGATGACTCGACTGATCCTCGATGCATCTACCTCTGCGGAAACTCCCTGGGTCTACAGCCTCGGAGCACACGGAAGTACATCGACCGCTATCTCAGGACGTGGGCAATTAAAGGTGTAACGGGACATTTCACCCCGCACGACGACCAGTTACTCCCCCCGTTCGTGGATGTTGATGTAGCCGGGGCCAAGCTCATGGCCCCAGTTGTTGGTGCACTCGAGAGCGAGGTAGCAGTCATGGATACGCTGACAACGAACTTGCATTTGTTGATGGCTAGCTTCTACCGCCCGACGCAAGAGAGGTACAAGATCATCATTGAAGGGAAAGCATTTCCCAGTGATCATGTATGTTCTCCCACCCCTTGTCCATCAGTTTGTTATGACATACTTACGCCACGAGCCTTAGTATGCTGTTGAGTCTCAAATCAGACATCACAATCGTGAGCCGAGTGAGGCCATGGTTCTGATCGAGCCGGAGGATCCCAAACATCCCATTCTTACCACTGACCAAATCCTCCGTGTGATTGATGAGAATGCCTCGAGCGCTGCGTTGATCCTTCTATCCGCAATCCAATTCTATACTGGTCAGTATTTTGACATTAAAACAATTACCGCACATGCGCAATCAAAGGGGATTATTGTGGGATGGGACTGCGCACACGCGGCTGGAAACGTCGATTTGCAACTCCACGATTGGAACGTTGACTTCGCTGCCTGGTGTAATTACAAATACCTCAACAGTGGTCCAGGCGGTATGGCTGGCTTGTTCGTCCATGAAAGACACGGCCATGTAGAATCGAAGAATGGTGCTCAGAACGAAGGGTTCCGTCCACGCTTGTCCGGTTGGTGGGGTGGAGACAAGGAAACCCGTTTCCTCATGGATAACAGTGAGTTACTTCCCTGTCCAGATCTTGTTCTACTTGACTAACTTGTATCTGCAGACTTTCGACCTCAGGTAGGTGCAGCGGGATTTCAGTTATCAAACCCGTCGGTCCTGGATATGAATGCAGTGGTTGCTTCCCTGGAGATTTTCAGCCGGGCATCGATGGAGAAGATTCGTCAAAAGTCTCTACACTTGACCGGTTACTTGGAGCATCTCCTCGTGACATATCCTCTTGATGCGCCTCCCGAGGAGAAGCCGTTCACTATTATCACACCATCGAATCCAGCCGAGCGCGGTGCACAGCTCAGTCTACGATTGGGGCCTGGTCTCCTCGAAAAGGTTCTTGAGGTGCTGGAAGAACAGGGTGTCATAATCGATGAGAGGAAACCGGACGTTATCCGGGTTGCGCCTGCGCCCCTTTACAATACATATGCCGAGGTATGGGAATTCTGTCAGATTTTCTTTGAGGCATGTCGGGAGGCAGCGAAAGCACAAAAATGACCCAGTGTGTCGAAGCGATATATATATATATAATGTCGGCGTTGAAATAGTACCCAGTTGTCTTCCTCTGGTATCCATATTGCGTACAGTAGCTATAATCAATACTCTTGACTCTTCTTAGGCCGTAAAGTGTAGTTGAAAGAGATTAATTCATTCGGATTGTTTATATGCTTTCGTTTGCTCCTTAACTCCCCGGGAATGATGCCTTTCAACTGAAAGCAAAATAAGCCCGCTCCACAGGCTGTCGTTCTGACTCCCACGCCAGCCAGTCCGATCTCGTAGTCCTATAAGGGTTCCAGTTAGCTGATGCCACTCCCAGACCACATCGAAGACACCAGGTGTACGTACGGTAGTAGACCCATTGCATTCACCTTCCACACTCCCAGTCCCAACAATACCAATTGCATCACGATGTAGATCGCCTTGACGCCGAGAAGCTTTCCCCGGGTTCCTTCCGTGTCGAACTTGGCAAATACCGTGTTGGTGTTGATCAGGCCCTGGATCGGACCCTTGAAGAGCATAAAAACCATCATGATACTGAAGATCTGGAGGCTGTTTCCGGACATGTACATCATGATGGCATTCATAGGGATCTGTTTCGAGGGGGCGAGCGCTATTTCCCAAGCTTTCTTGAGCTTCAGGGTATCCGTCTCGGCGGGTTTGGCTGGAGTCGGCGTTTGCTGTTGCGAGCGCTGGAAGGGAGTAGTCAGAGCCATGCGACTGGGAAAATTCATACAACACGCATAGATAGAGCGCCACATACATTCTTGCCGCTTGATCGACTGCTAGTGAAGCCTGGAGGGTCTGGGATGCTGGCGGCGGCCTTGGAGGGACGTGGCTTGGGAGAATTCAAATCCACGACCCATTGTGGCGGAGGGACTGGAGGCAGAGACTGAGAGGCCATCGTGGATGAGTCGACGGCCGAGTATTGAAACTGAGCTTTTGCGAAAAGTAAGAGGAAGATGCGAGCTAGGTTGGTGGAGAAATGGTAGATGCGACAGTGAGGAGGAGGATGATGATTGCAAGCGGACACTGGACTCTTGCTCCACAAGCGCGCGCGGAGGCGGCGGCAACAACCCCGTCCACTCCTAATTTCTCCCTCGACTCCTTTTCCCTATTCTTCTCTCCAGTTTCAGTGTAATACTGCGTGAATTCGCCATTGGAGTCTTCTCAAACCCTCTTTATCTTCAACTCGGTAACTATTCCCCTTCCCCTGCGCAATTGCTTGTTCGTCACTGACAAAACCAGCGACCGTCGACCCCTTCTCTCCCCGAACCACGAGCCAAGGCATGGAGAAGACCAACTAAGAACTCCGACGAGCGCTTCGAGCTACAGCATTCCCTTTTCTATTCGCCTTCGTCGCCCTTGCATGTGATAGAACTTCGACCCCTCCATCCAGAGAACCGCGTTGCCCCTAAGAGAATAGAGGAACGAATAAGCGTCATCCTCCGACCTCCCATCGCCCACCATGAGTTCCAGCGGGGGAGATGCGAAGCTGTTTGCTAGGGTATGTGACTTGTGATCCTCTGGTCGGGGACCGAGACTGCCTATCGTCCCCTCATACCCCTTCCCCTCATATCTGTGGCATGATCATGCGGGATGTTCTCCTCCGTATCTTTTTCACACGATCCCCCTGGGTATCTATCGCACGGCTATCCCACCTGGTCCTCCTATTCCTCCTATACATGACCTCATCCTTCTCCGACCACCCTGCCCGCCCCGGCCTGATAGAATACCTCCATGTTCATCGCATTATACCCCCATCCGCACCATGACTTACCATATTCTCGAACCCGACAGGGCAAAGTCGCCGAGTTGCGACAAGAGCTCAACAGCGGCGGCAAGAAGGACAAAAACTACTCGGCAAAGAAAATCGCATTGAAGAAAATCGTCGCGAATATGACCATGAGCAACAACGATATGGTTGCTCTATTTCCGGACGTCATCGGCTGTATGAATCTACCCAGCTTGGAGATCAAGAAAATGTATGTTCGAACCGCCGTCGCAGACCCGACGAACATATGCTGACCATGTCTTTCTTGCCGCGACACAGGTGTTTCCTTTTCCTTGTCAACTATTCACGCATGAAGCCCGAAATCGCACTCAAAGCTTTGCCGATACTTGTCGATGTAGGTTGCCTTCTCGCCTTCACGCAAGCCTCAGCGTCCTGACATGTCTCTCTCGTAGGACATGGACGACTCCAATCCTCTAGTCCGTGCTCTAGCGCTACGAACTATCTCATACATTCATGTCCGCGAATTCGTTGAAGCGACCTTTCAACCCGTCAAGCGACTAATGAGCGATATGGACCCCTACGTTCGCAAAACTGCCGCCTTCTGTGTCGCCAAGCTCTACGACCACGACAAGAAGCTAGTTGAGAGCTCTGACCTGATCGATCGCCTAAACAGCATGTTAAAAGACGAGAACCCGACGGTTGTATCGAGCGTTCTTGCGTCATTGATAGACATCTGGGGCCGGAGCGAGACCATATCGTTGACCATCGACTATACGAGTGCCTCGAAACTGGTATCGATTCTGCCAGATTGTTCTGAGTATGTTTACCTGTGTTTTTTTTTGGCAAGAACATGTCTAATGCTTTATAGGTGGGGCCAGACGTATATCCTAGAGGCTCTCATGTCATACGTTCCTCAGGATACAGCAGAAGCCCTTTTGCTGGCAGAAAGAATTGCTCCGCGTCTGTCACATTCCAATTCGGCGGTTGTGCTCACTTCAATCCGTGTCATCCTCTATCTCATGAACTATATCGCAGAGGAAAGACATATCTCTTCCCTGTGCAAGAAGTTGTCGCCTCCGCTCGTTACTCTCCTCTCCAAACCACCGGAAGTGCAGTATCTCGCTCTTCGAAATGCCATCCTCATCCTCCAGAAGAGACCCGAAGTCTTACGCAATGATATTCGGGTATTCTTCTGCAACTACAATGACCCGATTTATGTCAAGGTGACCAAACTCGAATTAATATTTATGCTGACCACCAAGGAGAACATCTCCATTGTCCTCGCAGAACTCAGAGAGTAAGTTTCAATGTTGTTCTTTCCAGCCTCGACTATGAGCTGACTCAAAATCATCTAGGTATGCGACGGAAATCGATGTTCACTTCGTGCGTAAAGCTGTGCGCGCTATCGGTAAATTGGCTATCAAGATCGAGTCTGCCGCACGGCAATGCATTGATACACTCCTCGACCTGGTCAATGCGAAGATCCCCTACATCGTCCAGGAGGCTACTGTTGTCATCCGCAATATCTTCCGCAAGTACCCGAACCAATATGAAAATATCATCGGACAAGTTATCCAGAACATCGATGAACTGGACGAGCCTGAGGCCAAGGCCGCCATCATCTGGATCATTGGACAGTATGCAGACCGCATAGAAAATTCCGACGGTCTTCTGCAGGATTACTTGGCCACCTTCCACGACGAAACGGTTGAGGTCCAACTTGCGCTCTTGACAGCTACCGTCAAGTTCTTCATTCAACGTCCGACGAAGGGACAACAGCTGGTGCCCCAGGTGCTGAAATGGTGTACTGAGGAAACGGATGACCCTGACCTGCGCGACAGAGGCTACATGTACTGGCGTCTACTATCAACCGATCCGACAGCCGCACGGCAGATTATCATGGGCCAAAAGCCGCCCATCAGCGCCGAAAGCGAGAAGCTCGATTCTCGTACGTTAGAGGAGCTCTGCCTTAGTGTCGGCACCCTCGCAACCGTGTACCTCAAACCCGTCCAACAGGTCTTCCGCTCCGCGCGTACACGACGTTTGCAATATAGCCCGGCCCTTCAGAAACGACCCGATGAAGGCAACAGCAATGTCTGGCAGTTACCGGTCGTGTCTAACAACACTGCTGCCTCTCCTTCAGACGCACCTATATCGCCGACCAATGGCTCCACGCCGGCGTCGAACAACATGAATGCCGCCGTGAACGCGGCCGATGCGTACTTCAACAATGTCGGCTCCCAGCAAATGGCAGCTCTTGACCTTGGTGGACGGGGCGATGGCGGTGCTGGTGGCGGCGGAGCTCCGCAGACGCAGTATGTTGTGAATCAGAACCAACAACAGGTATACCAGCCTCAGTTGGCGGGCGGAGCTGCCACGGGAGAGCTGTTATTGCTGTAGTGTATATTTGATTCCCAAGGGATATGTGATACCTCTTAGCCATCATCCAAATTACAGCGTGTTTGGTTACATATTTTCAAAACATTGAAGTCAGAACTGTATCATTCTCAGGCCCTGCCAGTTTGTGATGCCATGCGAACTAAATACTCGAATGCTAATGCGATGTGCAACATTGGGCAGGCTGCCCAGAAAATTGTAGAATGAAAAGTCGTAAAGCAGTTATGCATCTTGCAATTGTGACGACGCCGAACGAATTCCACCAGAACGCCAGATTACCCGGAAATCAACATGTGTGGAGCACAAGGAAATATCAATCTTCCATCTTGGCCAGTCCACCACGGCTGCGACGGATCCGCTCATCTAGGCTATCCTCCTGGAGCTGTCGATGCAGTCCTGAGACGAACCGTCCGCGTTCAGAGCGCTGTTTCTCGTCCGCCGCGAGTTGTTTCTCCTCCTGGGCCGTGACTTCGGCGATGCGGTGGCGACGCGTCTCCTCCATTTCGTTCGCGTTCGACATCATCTCAGCGAGTCTGCGCTGGCGATCTGCTTCCAAATCGCGCGCTTTCGAGCTGTCGTCCGCATCTCGCTCCCGTGGCCGAGCGCGGTCGTCTCTCCGGTCTCTGTCGTTGGGACGGTAAGGTCTGTCTCGGCGGTCCTGATCATAGCGTCGCCCATTGCTCCTGTCGTCATCACGGCGTCTCTCAGAATGGCGACGGGGGGACGGCGATCCACGGTCTCGGTCGCGGTGGCTCGAACGGCGATCGTCTCTATCATCCCGATCCCGATCCCGGTCATGGTCACGGTCCTTGCGGTCACGATCGCGATCACGATCATCCCGTCTATTGCGATCCCTCCGATCCCTATCATCCCGATAATCATCCCGCCGTCTCCGGTGCGACGACCGTTCGGGCGATCGCTCCGCCGGCGAGCGCGACCGATGCCGATGCGACCGCCGATGATGGCGATGTGACCGAGAGTCCTCCGCGCTGTCCCTGCGGTGCCTGTGACTCCTCTCGCGGCCACCGTCACGCTCACTCCGCTCAGAGCGACTCTTGCGCACCGACTCCTTCACCATGTTCTCATACGCGGCCTGCTCGCGCTTCTTGATCTCCAGCAACGGATCGGCCAGCACTTTCGTCATGGTATCGCGGGCGTTGGTGGCCGGTGCAGCCGCGGAGGGGGGCGCTGCAATACTGCTCGCAAAATCGGTCGCGCCTTTCTCGAGCTTCTTGCTTTCGTCGTTCTTGAGGAGGATGCCGTCGATGCGCCGCTTGCCCAGCAGATACCCCTCCATTTCCTCGGAGTAGTGGCCCGTCGCGCTGGACGGCGCCTGGTACATCCAGTCAACGCGGTTCTGCTGGCGCGGCTTGCCCGAGTCTTCGTGGAGGCGCTGCAGTTCCTGGATTTGGCGCTCTTCATCGCGCTCGCGCCGCAGCTGGTCGATGCGCTTGCGTTCCTCCAGCGCGCGTTTCTCCTCCTGCCACACCCGCTCTTGGTTGCGGAGAAGCGATGGGTGCCATGATTTCTTGAGGTTGAGGTCGCCTCCCATCTTGATTTCGGTTGTTTCTAGAGGGTGTCGCTGGGTTGGAGATGATGGTGAGGAGGGGAGAAGATGGATTCTAATATGAGGAGGTCAGTTTGGGAAGGCGGTGTTGCCACTTGGGTTGGTGCCTTAATGCCTTTATGCCTGAGGCATGAATATAGTTCCTGCAGCTAGGTATTATTGAGATGCTGGTAGACCTGCTTTTGGTTACTGGGGTCAGTACCACAGTAATGGTGGCAATTCTAGTCCAAATGAAGATGTTGTATAACGCGATGATCTGAGACAAGATTGTATTCGGATGTACTGTAGACACAGTACGTAGCAGGACCGAGATACGATTCTCTTCTTTTAAGGAGACAGGTGATCGACGTGGCTCAGTTTGAGGTTGTCGTGAGGGTGTCCCGCAGTAACAGCCGCAGTGACGACCATCCGTCTCTCCGTCTTCCCTCTTCATCTTCCCTTTCTCCCTCTCTCCCTCTTTCTCCCTCGACAATCCTCCCTCTCCCTCTCTCTCTTGCCATTCACCTGCATTTTTTCTCTTTTGTCCATCACGAATTGGTCTCCCTCAATTCGGTCAGTCTCCCCCTCCCCCCTTTCCTTCTCCTATTCGTCCCATCCTCGCGGTGACGTACCTCTCCCCTCCCTCCTTTATCCCCCGGGATCCATCAGGCTGACATGTTATGTTTCTGTCCGACTAGACCCTCCTTACTACCGAACAACAACACCCACCCCCGATCTATCGCCGTGGAGCACATCGGCCGATGACCCTGTGCGTCAATCTGTCATAAGCCTGTGCTTCCCGACGGTGTTTTTGTTTTGGTGTTCGGTTGTGCTCCAACCCCAAGCAGTCGCTCCTTTTTGTGCCACATCTCCGTGACAGCTACCCCCCCGACGTACCAGATGTCCAGCCCGCCTTTCACGGTCAGAGCGGTCTTCGAGTATTCGTCGGGCCACGATGATGACCTTAACTTTGCTATCGGTCAGGTAATTACCGTCACCGAGGAGGAAGATGCGGAATGGTATTTCGGCGAGTATACCGACGAGTCTGGTTCCAAACGAGAAGGCATCTTTCCCAAGAACTTCGTGGAAAAGTATGAACCCCCAGCGCCTCCCCGTCCGTCCCGTCCGAGTAGACCGAAGAGAGACGCCGAGGCCGCCTCTTCGTCCGAGCCCGCGCCCGCGCCCGTCGCTCCTCCCACGGCTGAAGCTCAACTCCCGCCTGAGCCGGAGGTAGAGGCCACTTCCCCTCCTGTGCCCGCCCCTGCGCACATTGAAGAAGTGCCTCCACCCCCGATGTCCCCTCCAGCGCACGTGGAGACTCCTGGTAGTGAGGCCCCCCTTTCACCGAAGCTCGTGCAATCCTCCGCCCCTGCTCCCCCGCCTCCCAGTGAAGCGACGGAGCCAGCTCCTAAGGCCGCTCCCAAGCCTCCCCCACCAGCTGTGGCGGAGAAGCCCTCCGGTTCTTCATTCAAGGATCGCATTGCGGCCTTCAACAAGCCAGCCGCTCCTCCGATTGCTCCTTTCAAGCCCAGCGGCTACAACTCTCAGAGCTTCATCAAGAAGCCTTTCGTCGCGCCCCCTCCTAGTAAAAATGCCTACGTGCCACCCCCGAGGGAGGCGCCCCCCAAAATCTACAAGCGGGACGAGGATCCGGAGGTTCAGGAGCGAGCTACACGCGAACCGCCCGTCTCCGAAAGCCGGCCGCCGCCTCCTGCCCCTGTTTCTACTGAGGACGCCGGAGAAGGTGCGGAAGATCAGCCTAAGCCAACCAGCCTGAAAGAGCGGATCGCCCTTCTACAGAAGCAGCAATTGGAGCAAGCCGCTCGTCATGCTGAAGCTGCGCAGAAGAAGGACAAGCCCAAGCGACCCCCCAAGTTGCGCACCGAGTCTCATGAAGAAACTGTCACAGAGGACCTGGGCGACGAGCCTCAGGCTGGTGAACCCGCCCGAGATCACAGTGCGGATACATTGAAGCCTGCGGCTGTTCCTGTACCCCATGCAACAACGCCTCCTCCACCGGCACGGGAGTTAGCCAGTGACACTAACGACGCTGATGACTCTGCGACTGCCGACACCGAGGATGCCGAGGAAACGTCAACAAGTAAAGAGGACTACGAAGAACGCCATGTCGAGCCCCAATCTGCAGCTTCGGTTCAGGAGGAACGGAAGGAAGAAGAAAAGGATGACAGCGAAGCTGCGGAGGAAGGTGAGGAAGAGGAGGAAGAGATCGACCCCGAGATCAAGCGCAGAATGGAACTTCGTGACAGAATGGCGAAGATGAGTGGCGGTATGGGAATGATGGGCTTTTTCGGTGCCCCTGGAGGGATGCCTGTTCCTGGAGGAGCGCCACGGAAACCGAAGGCGCCTGTCGAGTCGGACAGGAGTGCTGCTGATACCGAACACGCACCTCCTGCTGCTGCTGCTCCCCCCGTCCCTGTCATGGCTCTGCCTGGAATGAATGTTCCCAAGCCTGCTGCTACTCCCAAGGTCGAGAAAGACGAACAGGAAACGCAAGCCGCCCCGTTGACCGAACAACATCCGGCTGAGGAAGTGCCCGATGTAGAAGAGGCTGTTCGCGAAGAGCACCCGCCCACTTCCTCTGACCGGCCACCAGCCCCTCAGGGTGAGTAAATCTGTCCTGACTATATTTCCTGTGTGCCTTGTTCTCACGTGTCCTATTGCACAGCTCGTCCAGCGCCGCCGCCTCCGCCAATGGACACCCGGCCCATCCCACCTCCTGTTCCTCAGGACCGACCCATCTCTCCACCACCAGTCCCTGGGGGTAAGTCAACGATAGTCCTACCTCATGGATTTGCTTGTTTTCTAACTGCCTGAAAGGTCGCCCCGCTCCCCCACCTCCTAGACCGTCAACATCTGGCGACCCAGGTGAAGAGTCTGACGACGAACTCTCCGTGCGTGCTAGAAATCTCTCTTTGAATGCCGCAGCAGCTGAACATTCTGCTGTCCCGCCTGCCCCGGCTCCTCCAATTCCTGACCACCTTGATTCACGTCGCTCGTCTACCTATGACCCCACGTCTCCAAAATCCCCAACGCTTCCTGCGGAGAAGCGGATGAGCCGCCAACCTCCCCCCGTTCCAGCCAACCCCCCGGTCCCGATGCAAAGCAGACCAGCTCCCCCACCTCCCCCTGGCCATATCCGTCGTAGATCGACTGCAGACAGCCGGGCCAGCACCACTTCCCAGCCCCGGCAAGCTGGCGAAGAGGCTGAGGGGGAAGTCACGGAGTACGATGGCGACTACGACACGGATATTGCCTCTAGCGCTAAATTCAAGGACGCTCTGAAGGCCCATGGGCGGGATTCAAGCCTTGATGACGGCGCTATGACGGACGAGCATTCTCTTCAGTCTCCTCGCAGTCCCCACGAAGGCCGTCTTCCGCCACCCCCTCCACCTTCTGCCCCCCGCGCTGTCCCTCCTCCGCCGCCTATCCAGCCTCCCAAGGGTGCATCTAGGCCTTCCTTGGATTCGCCAAGAGGACCGCCTCCGCCCCCGCCGCAGAAGGAGCCATCTGTTGGCGATGACGATGAGTATGATCCATATCGCTATACTGCTCCTCAGCACGGACTGCCTCCGCCGAAGGCACCACCTGTGCCCTCCCGCGCCCCGGAAGTGCCTCCCGTTCCTCAGACGGAGCCCGCCAGGGATGATGACTCTGACGAGCTGTATGAGGCGTCTCCTGTGCAATCGCCACCAGAGATCCCTGCGCCGCCGTCTGACAAGCGCAGTTCGTTTATTCCTCCGCCTCCCAGCATGCCGCCTCCCGGACAGCCCACCACGCCGCGGAGTAACCGGGCGTCCTTGGACATCCCAAGACAGCAGTCTGCTATGCGGAGATCCATGGACGTAGGCCGTCCATCTGTTGACCAAGGGTTCATTGCTATGGATATTGACTTGGCGGAAAGCAGCCTTTGGTGGACGCAGCCTAACATGCCTCCGCCCACATTCCAGAACCGCAAAGACATTCTAGTCGAGGTCGAGGAGTCCAGCTCCACAAAGCGCGGTGGTAAGACTACCGTGACGAAGGATGTCTATATTCTCTTTATGGACTATTCCCAGACCGTCATCAGCGTCAGCTTTGATGCTCGGAACCCCGCAGACGCTTCTCTGGAGCAGCGTCACGAGGCACCTCCTCACCCGCCCCGACAGGATCAGCTTGAAAACGCCCACACTCAGATTGGCAACCGGATTGCCACTGCTGTCAATGCCGTTCAGAACACCACTGTTGGAGACGGCACTCCGCACGGACTGGTCCAGCATCTAGTCAACCCACTCTCCGACGCTCTTCGTCCTGTGGGCACCCGAGCTTATGGCGCTTTGGTGTATTCCAATTTGGCCAACGCTTCTGTGCAACAGAACGATGAGATCCGTGCAGGAGATATCGTCAGCTTCCGTAACGCTCGTTTCCAGGGTCACAAGGGCACGATGCATCAGAAGTACAACGCGGAGGTCGGCAAGCCCGATCACGTGGGTATTGTCGTCGACTGGGACGGCACCAAGAAGAAGATTCGCGCCTGGGAGCAGGGTCGGGAGAGCAAGAAGGTCAAGGTGGAAAGCTTCAAGTTGAACGACCTTCGCAGTGGCGAGTGCAAGGTCTGGCGAGTGATGCCCCGGGGCTGGGTCGGCTGGGAAAGCTAGGCTTTTTTCCACCTCTTCCCTCCTGTGATTGACTGATGAGAAGTACATGTGCATTTTCTTTCCCTTCCCCCCTCCATTTCAAAGTTTATGAAAGCGTCGATGTCTGAACAGCAGATGCGTAAATGTTTGATTCTGGTATATTTTAATTCGCATGGTACATGGTTCGTCTTTCGCCGCGTTCTAGTCGGTGGATACGCTTCATGCAAACTAGGACGTTTTATGTTCTGTCTGTGTCTTGTCCATCTGAATCGATTGTATGTATGCAGTGATGATATTTACGCGACCTTGTTATTAGAAGTATAACATATGATTTACCAGTGTTTGATTGATCTGGAGTCTCTCTACGAATCGCTCATTTTCGAGCGAGGCATCTGGATAGACTTGAGTTACAAACAACCACTTTGTGAATTTTGAATGAATCTGCACATGATACAATATACCTTAGTACTCTAATGCAGTCTCTTCCAGCGTGGAAGGACGCAGGTCAAACCTGGTACACGCCAAGTGCCCAGCCGGTAGTCCGCTCCAGATCTTGATATGAAGCGATTTCTTAGCCAACTCCTTGGCGGAGCTGCACCGTCGCATATGTTCCTGGTCTATCACGACCTACGGCCAAGTTTTACTGGCGTCCACCCACTGCTCTCCTTGACAATTCCAACCCTCAGGCAAAGCACCCTCGGATAGGCGGCATGGACCAAGATCTTCCATTTGATCCCGGGCGCTGTGCCGAGCTCTACAACCGCATTATCCGCATCGGATTTGACGGTGCGCGGCGGTCTCTCCGCGGAGAACGTCTTCAAACAAGTTGGTTCAATGCCTGGTCGGCCAATCCGGATGCTGCACCACATGTATCGCCCTGGCGAGCCCGGTTTCCTCCGCTGTTGGTCTCCTTCCTGGACCAGGTCGAGCTGATAGTCAGCTCCGATGGAATCCCGATCGTAAACGATGCGCTGGCCTACCATGTACAATCAGTGTCTCCACCTCCCCGTCTCCAACCGCCGGAGCTTGATGGCCTGGAGGACTGTATCTTACTCTTTCGCAACAACCTCGAGGCCTTCCCAGACTCCATCGGGTTGGTGATGGACTTATCGGACATGCAAGTCTCTTACATCCACGATCGACTCGATTGGGAGGAAAGCCCCGAATGGTATGACCTGCAGTTCGTTCTGGAACGGCTCAACGCCATCATCGATGTGGGCAAGTACCGTCCCGGTCCGGCCGACAGCAGCTTGCATGACCCATACCAAGCTATCAGTAACTTCTGGAGTGTGGTACCATGGAACGACTGGGTACTGAACCAGAGTGTTCTGGTGTACAATGCCCTGGTCGAAGCCATTGAGGTTCGTCTTCCAGGCTCCCAGGAACGATCTCAATCTCAATCTCGACCGTCGATCGCGACTCCCGAGACATTGGATCCCAGAATCAATGGCTTCCCTCGAGCGTTCCTGTTACAAGCACGAAAACCCATCTTCAAGCAGATTGCTCCAGGGTTAACTGTCTATGATCCCTCGGCGCCACCTCCACCGATAGAGGTTCATCACCCACCGCGTGGAGAACCGGAGTTTCGAACCCCATACTACCGTGAGTTGAACGGTGGTCCTGCCGTCTCGGATGCTGTGATCCTCTTCCCTGCCACCGAGAGTGAGTATCGAGAGCGCCAGGCGGGGTTATGGGTATATCCTGACGTTGCGTGGGCGGATACGGTCAAACTCGCACTTCCGTTTGAGCTGTCTTCGTTTCCGAGATTCGATGGGAAACATGTTCGCCAGAACACGTCGACTGGTTTGTGGGGACAGCTGGGCTGTTCTTTCTTTGTTGATCATGGAACACGACTCGTCAGCTTGCTTGAGAAGTGGACGGAGCTCGTTGAGAGTGGGATTTGGACAGTCTCAGAGAAGGGAATTGAAGGTGGAATGGAGTTTTATAGAAGAGCTGAGGATCCAGAGAAATCGGAGTGGTTTGTGTTGGAGGCCTGTTTTCCCATGGGGTGAGGATAGAGCATAGAGTGAGCGAATCTGGGACGGTCCTGCTCCAGTCATTCCTATATGCTAGGCAATTGTCGGGATCCGGAGCCCAGACGTATCACGGCGGGAAGAGAAAACAAGCTCCAAGGCCCAGCTATCGGATATCCAAGGCTCTAATACGTCCTACTTCCTTCATGAGTGGAACAACCACCTTCCAGTCCATGCCGACTTCCAAATCCTCTGTATAGGCCCCCGTCTCCACTAATAAGTCGCGTACCGGCTTTGCCGTGCGGTAATAATAGCACAGATAATGCACTGCATTGCGGCCCTGATGATCCTTGATCCGCACGTCCGCGCCAGATCGAATCAAGAACCGCATCATCGCGTCCGGTTCGGCCAGCCGGTGAAGCACCGTCCAACCCCTGCCCGGACTTTGTGCGTTAATATCTGCGCCGGCGGGTTGGTCATACTCCGCGCGGTCAGCTCTGCTCCGGCGTCCATTAACACCGGTAGAAGAGAAAGGGGGCCGTAATATGCTGCAAGATGGGCGACGGTCTCGTTGGACTGATTTCGCAGGCTAAGATTGGACCCTGCCCGGAGTAGAATGGATACGGCATCACTATGAGACGCAATCGCAGTAAAGATGGCACTTTCTCCCTCGCTGGTGACTGCATCTGCCTGTGGCCCCGCCTCCAGAAGTAGCTTAACTATTTCCCGCGCGCGCGGTCTCTCCGCCGCGCAGTGTAGCGGGGTCATGCCATGGGTAGTGGAGGCGTTCACATCTGCGCCTTTATGCAATAAAAATCGAACACAGTTCAGGGATCCCGAGGCCGCTGCGCAATGTAAAGAAGTCTCTCCCCCCAGGCTGCCACGATGCAGGTCCTCTCTCTGGCCGGAGTTGCCATGTTGGAGCCTCGACTTGCGCTGATGCCAGATAAACTCTAGGATCGGGAGATGGCCAAAGCTTGCGGCCGCGTGGATCTCTGTCTCGTGGAACTCGCCGACAAAGCCCTGAACGTGGTACTCGTACAGTAGCTAAACCATATCCAGGTCCTTGTTCTGGATAGCGCGACTCAGCGGTGGGTCGTCATAAGGCTCATTTAGAGAGATCTTGCAGTCTAACAGGTAGTAGACGGTAGCCAGATCGTGGTTCTGGATGGCAGTCACCAGGTGGGTTTCTGGGATAGATGAGAATAGACGGAGGACCTGCAGGTGAAATTCCTATAGCGGCATCGGTGGCAGCCTTAAAAACAAGGCCACCTAGACCATGGGGCGAGATAAAGAGCGGCGGGGTCTCTAAAAAGGAAATCTTGGCCATCGCAACCCCGCCAGGGTCTAAAGGACAACAGCGGAGCACACTTTACCCTCTGACGCAGTAAATTTGCACTTGATCGGGCCCTTCCCACCCCTTCCTCGGAGCTCAACGAAGCGACGCGCAGTTTCCTCTCGACCATCTAAATCCGCATGTCGGGGGTCATATCGGCAGCAGAGGCGTTCGAATAACTTTGGTGCGATGGACATTGACGCGCAGCCACAATCGACAAATACGAGGAGGAGACGCGGAGGCACGCGCAGAAAGACAGGCAAGCCCCCATCTCCGGAGTCAAGATCCTCCACACGCTGACCCGGACGCCATCAGGATGGTTCGTACTACGTTGGGGACGCGACGTGGACTGGGCCTTATATTAACTGACGGGCGGTTTTACAGCTTCACATGCAAGGCACGGCACACCCGCTGCGACGAGAAGAAGCCGGTTTGTAGCAACTGCGAACGGCTGGGGCTGGAATGCCGTGCAAGCGAGTTCATCGCCTATTCTCGCTGGTGTCCGACTGATCAAAGCTCCACCGGCCGTCGGGAGAGCTTCGCTAGCGCCGTGGATCCTCAGACGCCTGATCCACCAACATCAACGTGGGATATCTTTCGTCTCGATTTGCCCGGATTGAAGAGCTCTGGCGGATCTGCCCATAATGGCTCCTCCGAATCCTCCAGTCAATCTGCGGCCTCAACCACACATCCGACCTTCCAGCCAAAAGCGCCATCGCCTTCAATACCGCTGACGCCAGAGATGGTGTTTCTCCTCAACGAATACCGGAAAGGTCTCGCAAAATGGATGGATATTTTCGATCACAGCTGCACCTATCAACGGGAAATTCCCAAGCGTGCCTTGACCTCTGAGCTTCTTCTTTTCTGCATCTGCGCGTTTACCGCCAGACAACTGAGTCTCTCAGCATCCGGAGAGATCTGGACGCCCGTGGCCACCAACTATTACGCGCAAGCATTGACTTTGCTGATCAAACTATTGAACAGCCCTGCACCTCAAGATAATGCATTGAGCGCTGTCATGCTCCTGAGCAGTTATGAGGTCTTGGCCGCGCAAGGACAAGAGCACCGGCGACACTATGAAGGCGCTATGAAGCTTATCTTCATGCAAGGTATTAGTGCCCGAGCCTGCGGGCTGGACCGAGCTAATTTCTGGATTTGGATTCGACATGAGATCACAATATCAGTTATAAATGGAACCCCTCTGCAGATGAGTCCAAAGTATTGGAATGTTAGCTGGCGAGAGGGCGAGACGGAGGAGGATGCCTTGGGAAACCAGTTGTTATGGCTAGTCGGTCGAGCTGTTGACTGGGTATATGGCAGTGGGACACTATCTGAATATTATGATCTCTTGCGAGATACAGAGCATTGGTATGGGGGCTTATCCGAATCCTTTCGGGGGGTCAAGTTTGGTGGTCTGGTCGAAGACGGACTTTGCAAGGTGCATTTCGCTCACCCTGCCGCTGGTACATCTCATTCGGACCCCTCACGCCGATCCTTTCTAACGTGCTTAGCTGCCGCCATGATCTGGTACCACCTTCTCCATATACTGCTTTATGCCGAACCTGTGCTTAGGGATGTTGCATACGCACCAAACGTCAGTGGAACTCTCACGGCGCGACCCTGGAAGCTGATGAGGGATAGGTTCAAGAACATGCGACTGAACTCATCAACATATCGATCTCCGACCTCCCTAATGAGGCTCGTTGCTTCTCCATAATTCCACTTTACTTCGGTAAGGTCTGTAGCGAGTTGCGCGGGCAGCAAGGTGCTAATCATCATACAGCCGGAAAGCACGTTGAGAGCGTGATCAGAAAAACTAGAGTATGGGTTCTGTTGGACAGAATACAGACCGAACTTGGCTATAATACGCGCGGTAGAGTAGAAGCGCTCCAACAACTTCTCGAGCCAACGCATCGCAGGGAGTGGTTTGACACAGGCCCGCCCACTCTACCGCCAGGGCGGCATTAAAATGATCGCACGAGGTCCTATATATCGGTGAACTTGATCATGGTATAGATGAGGCCATTCCCGTTGCAGTGGCTTACACGCGTGAGGCGGGCCCGCGGAATCGTCCCGACTGGTTCCAGGATTCTGGGGCCTGTAACCCTTTCCCCTTTGGGACAACTACACGCGTGTATGTTCCTTGCCCTTGGTATGGCTTCGCTGTCATTGATGATCAACATGCAAAGACAGTCGACTACGCGCAACGATGCATTGGGTTCTAATATTTATCGTCAGAGGATTGATTTATCTCCCGTCGCCTCAGAAATTTCTTCCCTCTTCCATATTCTCCTGCTGTCTACTGTGTCAGAGCATCTGTTTCAATCGTGATATCGAGATCGGCCCCTGTGTGACCATTTGCCAATGGATCAAGTTAGCGGTCGTACATGCGCACCCTGGCTGCAGATGCCTCCGAGGTATATTCTCGCCAGTTTACTCACAGCCACGGGTGGATTTCTTCTGGGGTACGTCGGCCATAGCACCTTGTCGAGGTGATGCGGTGTCCCTCTCAATCAACGAGCCTCATCTTACCCCCACCGTCTATGGACGGGCATAACCTAAGCCCAAGCTGACCGGTGGTCCTCTCTAGCGTCGACACAAGTATCATCGGACCGGTCACGGTCATGCCCAGTTATGTCGAGTACTTTGGATCCCACTCCTCGAGCGTGCATGGTATCATTGTCTCGTCGATCTTACTTTCGGCTGCGGTCATGAGTGTTATCGCTGGCCGGCCCGCGGATGTCTTCGGCCGCCCACAGGGCATTGCGCTTGGCGCTGCAGTCTTCGGGGTGGGTGCGGCGCTCGAGGCCGGTGCGGTTCGGCTGGCAATGTTCATGGTGGGACGAGTGATTGAGGGGATGGGGTTTGGTCTGTATTTTGGGACGCTAACGGTGTAAGCGCTCCTATGCCCACACCTCTTTTTCTCCCTTCCTGTCTTGCTGATGGTGGACATTCGATAGGTATGTCTGTGAGATCTCCCCTCCGGACATCCGGGGCCCCTTGACGACAGGCCCGCAGTTTATGGTCTGCACGGGGCTGGTAGCCGGGTATTTCACCTGTTACGGGACCGCTCGCATTGAGGGCTCCATGTCCTGGCGGCTGCCGTTTATTATCCTCGTGGGTTTGTCCATTGTCTTCGTCACCAGTGTGTTGCTCTACCTGCCTCCATCACCGAGGTGGCTCCGCCTGCATGGACGACACTCGGAGGCCGAGGCCGCGTGGGAGGCACTAGGAGTGAAGCCGGAAGACCGTCAGAGTATTGAGGAAGACCTTGAAGAGGGATCCCTAATGCACGCTCGTGATGACGGATCGATATCTTCTCAGTCGCCCGTGCGAAACACGGAGAAGCAGCAGGAGGAAGCCAAATTCTTCGACCTGTTCAAGAAGGATGTTCGCGGGCGGACGATGCTGGCTGTCTTCCTCATGGGATTCTTGCAGCTAAGCGGAATTGACGCTGTGTTATATGTACGTGCACACATTCATCCTTGGTTCGCCTGGACATGGCTAACGCGGAGAGGAAAAAGTACGCGCCTCTGCTTTTCCAACAAGCCGGCCTCACCAGAGAGGAATCCTCCTTTCTCGCCTCCGGCGTCTCGGGCATCGTCCTGGTCGTCGTCTCCGTCCCGGCGCTCCTCTTCGCGGATAAATGGGGCCGCCGCACCAGCACCATCGTCGGCGGGCTGGGGCTGACGATCACGATCCTGCTGATGGGCACTCTGTACGCGGCCAACGCGGTCCACCCCGACCACGGGGCCGCCCGTTGGGTCGTGATCGTCTGCATCTACCTCTACGCCGTGTTCTTCGCCTCCACCTGGGCAGTGAGTATCAAAGTCTACGCGCCCGAAATCCAGCCCCAGCACACGCGGGCCAAAGCGACCGCCCTCGCGCATGGGTTTAACTGGGTCTGTAACTGGTTTGTGGCGTTTATCTGCCCCATTCTGCTGGCGAAGAGTAGCTCGGCAGTGTATTACTTGTTCGGCGGGTGTTGCGCGCTGACGACGATTGTGTGTTTCTTTTTTATGATTGAAACGAATGGTAAGAGCTTGGATGAGGTTGAGAGAGCTTTCACGTTGAAGAATGATGAAGACGAGGGGATGGGATTGAAGATGGGCAAGGCGATCTTGAAGGTGTCCAGGATAGAGGGTGAGTAGGCGGCGACGGGCGGTTTAGATTGTCGACTATGGTGGTCAACGCTATCATGTATACGGACGACCTTCTCTCATCATGGATTTCCACCAGATGAAGATTTTCCTGCTATGAACTGTTCTGCGAGCGCATGCGCAAATTTTGGGGCGTGGACTTGCCTGAGGACCCTGATTACAAGGCTATAGCAGAGGCGAGCAGGCCACCAAACGCACTGGCAAAGATGGCCGAGGACCAGTAAATGGTGAAACGGTTCTGCGTTTCGGCACGCTTGTACCAAAAACTACCTGTAAATAAGTCATACCTGCAATGCAAGATCCTTAGTCTATGTCTCTAGACCTAGAGCGGTTCTTAACAACGTGATGGAGGAGAGTCTGTGCCATGTAAGGCGCTCTGCCATGAGTGGCTCGTTTTGGAGGAAACAGCATATGTGGACCACTCCGCTAACCGGAAAAAGGCTACCAGGCATGGTCTATATAATTTCGACGGAACTAGCCTCTAATTAGTGAAGGTATTGCCTAAAAGGTCGGTATAACTAGACCTAATTAGAGTGTACGAGGCAGAGTGTTAAAAAAAGATAGAAGAACTAGTTGTTTTTAGACACCCTTGAAATTTATTAAACTGGTTCTTTATTGTTGAGAATTAAATAAAGGACATATAACTACCTAGGTACCTAGTAGTTCTACGGAGTACGGTCGAATTTGCCTCCATCAGTGACGCACCTCTTTCCCTTCCCTCCACTCCCACATTCTGCTCCAACATCAACATCCACACCTTTGGTCGCACCCTCAGGCTCACAATGTCTCCAAATCCCACGCCGTTAAGAACCTCTCTTCCATCCGCTCATGCGGCCTCTTCCACGTCCTCTCGCTCCCAACCCTCGCGTCCTGCGCCACCACGCCCTCAAGCGTCACACCAACAGACGAAGCCCGGTGCCGATCCGCGCCATATGGCCATCGCTCTACACCATGCGCACCGCATCCAGGCTCAAAAAGACACCGAAGCCCTCATCCTCGACCGAATTCTCGAACTCGTCTCCTTCCCCTCCTCTCCGGACGCAGACCCCGCGGCTCCCTCTCCCGACGATGCAAATGCCTTCAAGGCTGCTCTGGCGCCCTTCCAGCCTGCCGACTACGATAACCTGATCCTCGAGCGCAACATCGAGGGTCTCTGCGGATACGGGCTGTGTCCACGTGAACACCGCAAGGAAAACGCCAAGGGTACCTATCGCATCACCTGGGGTGCAAAGGGGACCGGTCCGGGCGGTCGCGGTCGCGAGATGAACATCGTCCCGCGCGAGAAGCTCGAAATGTGGTGCTCCGATGCCTGTGCCGAACGCGCCATGTATATTCGTGTGCAACTGGCGCAGGAGCCAGTCTGGGAGCGACGGGCGGATGACCGTCGAGGAAAGGATATTCTCCTTCTTGAAGAAGGCAGAGGCTCCACGAGGATGAAAAGTCCTGCCACGGTCAAGGAAGTTGCCGGACAATTGGACCAACTACGACTGGACCCTGGTCAGCCATCGTCAAGCCACATGGCCGAGGATCTTGCGAGGCTCTCCGTCCGAGACGAAAATCATCACGATCTGGCTATGGAGCGTGGGGACTCGAATCCAGCTCTGTACGGCGGTCGGGTGGATGTGCAGATCCGCGAGAAGCAGAATCTTAATCCCACGGCCAGGGCTCCCGAGATGCGCCCCGGCGATCATAAAGGGGGCTCGATTGAAGGCTACATGCCCCGTGACGACTAAGCCGGCTGCACGACGGCTTCATCACTTTTGCATAGAGCAGCGGGTTGTTTTTAGGGATTTGTTGGGCGTTCAGGATGATACCCAGTATCTACGTTAGACCTAGAATGTGGAATCCACAATTCAGGCAGAGGTCTTGTCAAGATCCGTAGCAGTCCGGAATCATAGACAATACTCCTTGCGGGATCGTCTACGAATGTTCCGCATGTAAGCGGAACATAGACCATAGGATAACAATTGGCGATCAAGCGTCATCCCCAAAGGGGAATCGGCGACACCTTGTTCAGCAGGAACCACGTTTTCATTCCGTATCTGTCGACCGTCTAAGCTATATAGATAGCTGGAAGCCAGCCTGCCAATTTTGTAGTCGTAAACTTTTTACCGGAAGCGGCGGGGGCGGTCCTGGTGCTGCTGCTGGGAGACAGGGACAACGTTGACCTTGAGGTTGTCGAACTAGACATCCACATTAGACTCTGCATGTTCGATTGCGCCTGCAGGAATACTTACGCCCATGCTCTTGAGCAGGTCCTTGGTGTCGGCATCGACATCAAGCTGACCAGACTCGGTCTGGGAAACATCCAGAGCGGAGATCTCAGGAACGTACTGATCCTTACGCTCACGCTCCTCCTCCTGAAGCTTGAAGGAGATACCGCGGACAGGGCCACGCTGGATACGCTTCATAAGGTGGGTGGCATAGCCAGCAATCTGCAGTCATGCTCGTTAGAATTCGTTCCAGATGAGATCCAGGTGTCGCGATTTCTTACCTTGTTGCGCAGGCGCTTGGAGGCAATGATAGCGACCTCATCGCACAGACGCTTGTTGGTCTCGAAGTCGAGCGTAAGCTTGGGGTAGTAACGCTCGATGATGACCTTGGCGGAGCGCTTGACGGTCTGTATGAAAATAATTTATTAGAATCGGAATTCTGCTTCTCTTTGTTGTGTTGCGATTCCTCAATCACTTACCTTAGTACGGACGCGACCCATTTTGGCGGTTGTGTGCTGGCGGGATGGATGTTCGAAAATCAAGATTCACTTCCGTCCATTTTCCTTAAGACGATAGTGCCGACGGTCAGGTGATTGCACTAGCCCTAGCGCCCCGTGACCGCTTCGTTAAATTGATGACTAATGATGATCACGTGAAATATGCGAAGAGGTCATCAGTACTGAAGTACCTTCTCTACAGTAGTGGACGCGTTCATGGAGAAGTGGGAGTAATCTATTCTCAAGTATTCAATTTACACAAAGAATATAACATAGCCTGCTTTATATCACACAAAAAAGCCACAATATAGGCCTACATTTCCCGCCCGACTAATCGTACAACAGTCCCGACAATCCATGCAAGTGAAGGAAAAACAAATGCAGAAACAGCCTCAGCATCATCCTTACGAAGACTTCAGGTTCTTCATAAGGTTGTTGGCGATATCCTGTCTTTCACGGAACCGAGAACGATCAAGTCTAGGGACCACCCGCTGGTCGCCGCGAGCGACATCAGAGATGCTCGTGAGACCAGGCTTCTTGTAGTCCTCGATGTTGTAGGGCGCCTTGGCAGTGGCACTGGCCCGGTAGGAAGCCAGACCGATTCTGCCTTCCGAGTCGACGGAGGCGCGAATCGGCGTAACCCAGTACTTGGCACCACCGGGGATAGATGCATCGAAGTAGGCCAGCCCAGGAGGCGAGCCCTGCTCCACGAATGTCATAGCGTTCAGATCCTCAACGGCGATACCACCAACACCAGCAATCGCCTTGGAAGTTCTGCCCTTGAATCTACCCTTCGGGCGCAGAATACGCGCCTCCACAGGGCGCTGGTAGGCTTGGGGACCAAACTTGGGGTGGTTGTAAATCAGAGCATGAGACCGCGTGTAGCTCAATCCAGCCGATGGATGTGTCTTGGGAGGTCCGGAGACGGCGTACTCCGCTGATGAAAGCTTTGTTCCAGGAGACTGGTAGTACTTGTGGCCGATGCGATCGCTGGGAACAGCGGGAGGGGATGGAAGATCCAACAACTCAAAGACGACCGGGCCCAACGAGAACGGATCCGCACGGAGAGACTTGAGATAGGTCTGGAACTCCTCCTCGGTGACTTCCACCGGACCGATCGCAGCCAGATCCTCGCCGTTATCCTGGGCCTGTTTCCTCCGCTCCGCATTGCGCTTCGCGACGAAACGCTCGCGAAGCTTCTGGAGCAACTCTGGCTTTTTCTTGCTGACCTGCTTCAAATAGGCCTGGAACTCGGCCTGAGTCTGGCCTGCGAGCCAAGGTCCGGAATGCCTGAACTGCTTGGCACCGGCATCTTCAAGACCCTTGCTCGTGTCTGTGTTGTCGACATACGATTCGAAAGGACTCTGGTGTCTAGGCACAATACTTGTGGCGTAGTTGACCTTCGAGGGAAGGGACATCGGCATATGGAGCTCCTGGAACTTCTCTAGGGTCGCGGTGTGATCGGCTGCCGACTCAAAGTCCGTAACATGTTCGAAGGTATCGAGGGCATTCACTCGAACGACAGGCCGGGATGACTTGGCGGCGGTCGATTTCGCTGGTAAAGGTCGCTTGAGACCCCAGTCACCTCTAGCTAGGGACGATGCCGGCGTGACAATGGAGGCTCGGACCGGATGGGGGAGGGTCGCAGTATCGGATTCGAAGACAGCCTTTGAGGTCGGGGGATCTTGCGGAGGCTTCAATGCCTGCGGAAGAGCGAATAGACGAGATTTCCGCAGCAGGTTCGCTGTCGGGGATAGCCTGGCAGACGCCATGGCGTTTGTGACTGGATGTGATGTTGTTTTCTGCGGCTGTCCTTCTGCCCTCGGAACGAGCTGGAGAAAAGTTGGACGCCGGAGACACCAGTGCCTGCCAAGCCCCGGGTACGGCGAACCACAACTCCACCGAGTGCAGTGGCTTCTACAGGTCGATTCCTCTAATATGTCTTCATCCTAAAACCAGGATATTGATGAAATTGTTTGTCTTATTAGGCATTGGCGCTGAGGCTATACTGTTTATTCTATAAACTTTAATCACGCCCCAATGGTCAACAGCGACTTCACTGTCTCCACAACAGACTCCTTCAAAGATCTATACTTGATGCCCAGGACCTGAATGGATTTCGTGTTGTCATAGCCATAAACATCGGTAGGCATATCGCTGGGCTCATCCTTCGATGGAAGTTTGTCGGCAAGCTCTGGGAATGAATCACGAATGATATCGGCGATTTCCTTGTTTGAATACAGGCCGGCGGTCAGGAAGAATCGTTGTCCACCGGCTTCAGGGACTTCAATTGCCCTGACGTGGGCCAATGCAACTTCGTGCACATCCACCCAAAGGAAGGTACCCGAAGGAGGGAGCTTGTCCTTGCAGTTGCCGCGGATCATGTTGGCGATCCGGTTGTTCGACGTGTTAATGGCGTCGAGAGAGTTGAGATAGTGCACAACAGGGCCGAGCACAAGGGGTGGGTTGATTGTTGCGACATCAAAGTTCGGCTTTTCCTTCTCCACGAAGTCCCATGCGGCCTTTTCTGCGAAAGTCTTCATGGTATTAGCGTTAGGACAGATCAAAAGCGACGGTGCGGAGTTGTTACCTTGCTGGCCCGATACGTCTGAGCAGGGTCCATAGCTTCCTCCCAGGTGACTGGGTTCCAGACCTTTTCGCTGTACACCTTGGCATGTTCTTTCGCGTTGACGATGGCTGCAAATGACGACGTGATCACAACCCTTTTCACCGTTGGGGCATACGCTTTGATCGCCTTCAGTATTCCGGTCGTTCCCTTGATGGCGGGGTCTAGGAAGTCCTTGACCGGGTCTGAAATGTTGTAATGGAAAGGAGAGGCGGTATGGAGGACATAATCGAAAGGAGGGTTGGATTTCACAGCCTTTTGGCGGATGATTTTAGTAACCATGCGAAGCCTCAATACGGGGAAGGAAGAAGAGGTTACCTCGTCAAATGCCCCATCAGCCGCCACGTCCTTGACGATTACATAGGAAAGTTTCTCCTTGGGCGTGTCGGGGTGAGCCTCCAGAATTCGTTGGCCTTTCTCTTCAGACCGGACCGTCACGACGGTGTCAAACCTGTTATATCTCGCGTTAGCTCAATTGAGATGGGTTAACAGGACTCGCACTTACCCGTGTTCCAGTAGCGTATCGACAATATGCGCAGCGATGAAGCCGCTTCCACCTGTTGCGAATGTGAGTATGAACTCCGTATATTGACAAACAGTGTGGCGGCTGCATACCGGTCAACAGAACCTTCGGCATGGTGCTTTATTATCGCTGGTTGAACTGGGTCGTAGACTTGAATGGTCTGGTGATGGAGGGTAATCAGGGAGGTTCTTTGCCTTTTAAATGCATACTTCGGACAGCATGCACACCCCCTCCTTTAACCCGCTTGGGGTACTCCATTCTGATCTCCGTCCCCCACTGTGGCACCAGCAGAGGTATCATTCGGCTGTGATAGGACGAAAATACGATGATTACAAATGAATATCGGCTTGAAAGCTTGCGTCAATCGAGCGCGGAATTATTCTCGTTATAACCACTGTTAAATCCGTCAAATCCCGCTCGTCCCGATGACTGAATGGCGGGAGTTAGCTCCATACTCATCTCTGGTCCGGCTACGATATCGGCTTTAAGCGGGGCATTCTGGCTATGTCATGGTGCGGATATACTCCAACTACCAACGGAGTGCTACTATGCCTTTTTTCTCCTCTTCTCGTTTCCTCGTAAGAGCCTCATGGTATTTCTTCTAGATGAAATCATTCTGGAAACAAAAGTTGTTCTGCACCTATCATTCCCTAGGTCTAGGGTGTTGAACTACGTTGCTTAAATATATTTTCTCTCTCTGGTAGCTCCACGTACACCATTTTGACTGTATATATTTCCACTCATACCATTATTGAGAATTCTCCTAGACGGACCTTGTTCAGCAGAGAACCGAGAATGGCTGTGCTTTAGTTAGAAGGGCGATAACCTGAACCGTTGGTTCTGTCTATCATCCACATCAGCATTTCCCTAAGCTAGGAATACACATAGTACTCGTTGAAAAGACCATGAAGCAGGAGGACCAAAAGGATCCATACTCGTAGATTACCTATTCTATACCTACTCTCATCTTCGTTCTTCTCATGATTAGGTGTGGTAGTAGAGGGTTACTGATATTTTTCGCATATGGTGGGAGAATCTTTGACATATCCTTTTAGAGCTGCATGGTGTCGCTTAGCCCTTTGCCAAAGACAATATGCTTCACCGATATGTGAACTGTTATCTGCAGTCAATAACATATTACACTTCAATCAGATGCGACATGATAGCTAATAATGCGACAGCTGAGACATGCCAGTTACTCCTTATCCTAGTTTGTATATCAAGCTTTTGGTGATTCTGAGGCACCGTGAAGCAGATTTGGTTGGCCCAATAATATTACATGCAACATCCTCTTTATCGTGAAGAACATATAAGAAAAAAGACGGAATGAGTCATATACTAAGACATCTAGACACACAAGAAAGAAATTAACCACGTCACGCAGGAATAAGTCCAGGACTTCACTCTGTAGAAACATCCTAGAGGGGAAGGTTGATGCCCCAGGCGAGAACATTCGTGATGGCCCGTGCACGAACCCGTCTGACCTTCGGAACTGCCTCCCACCTCATCCACGCCGTTCATCTCCATCTATCTCCCCCTCCCTGTTCTACTTACCTCGTGTCATCCGTACATGCCCTAGAGGTTGGCTTCAAATGTCCACCCCGGGGTGTGCTACGCAAAAATGGCGCAAGCGGGTCCGATCACGGACGTCACTCAACGTCTCTTCGTAGAGTTGAAGTCCAAGAATGAGGAGACGCGGGTGAGAGCTGCTTACGAGCTTTACGACAATGTCCTTGCCATCTCACGAGGTAACCCCTTGATCCTCTGTCGCATGTTAAGCCGAAACTAACCTGTCTCTCTTTCCCGACAGATTGGCCTCCCGAGAAATTCCTAGAGTTCTATAATGCAGTCAGTCAACGTATTGCGCAACTCGTCGTCACTGGTAGCGACGCCAACGAAAGAATCGGTGGTCTACTGGCCCTCGATCGCCTGATAGATTTCGACGGTGTGGATAATGCACAAAAGACGACACGATTCGCTAGTTACCTCCGCAGCGCCCTTCGCAGCAACGATAATGTGGTGTTGGTTTACGCCGCCAGGGCCCTTGGCCGTTTGGCTAAGCCAGGTGGAGCTCTAACGGCGGAACTTGTCGAGAGTGAAATTCAGTCGGCGCTCGAATGGCTCCAGTCTGAAAGACAAGAAAACAGGCGGTTTGCCGCGGTTCTTGTGATTCGAGAGCTTGCGAAGGGCTCACCAACACTCCTTTATGGCTTCGTCCCTCAGATCTTTGAACTCATCTGGGTGGCGCTTCGCGACCCTAAAGTCGTCATCCGGGAGACAGCGGCCGAGGCTGTTAGCGAGTGCTTCGAGATCATCGCCGCAAGAGATATCCAAGTCCGGCAACTGTGGTTCTCGCGAATCCACGAGGAAGCGCTTCAGGGTCTGAAATCGAACAACATTGACTGGATACATGGTTCGCTCTTGGTGCTGAAGGAGCTCCTCCTAAAGGGCGCCATGTTCATGAATGAACACTACAGAAACGCATGTGAAATTGTTCTTCGTCTCAAAGATCATCGCGACCCTAAGATCCGCACGCAAGTTGTGCTCACGATCCCCATCCTGGCCTCCTACGCCCCCGTCGATTTTACCGAGATCTACCTCCACCGGTTTATGATCTATCTGCAAGCGCAGTTGAAGAGAGATAAGGAACGAAATGCGGCATTCATTGCTATCGGCAAAATTGCCAACGCAGTCGGCGGCGCTATTGCCCAGTATCTCGATGGTATTATTGTTTACATCCGGGAGGGGTTGGCACTGAAAGCGTGAGAGAAACATACCCGTATTACCTTTCGCGGACTGACTCATTCTTTTAAGGCGAAATCGCGCGGGCGTCAAGGAAGCGCCGATGTTTGAATGCATCAGTATGCTATCACTGGCCGTTGGACAAGCTCTCAGCAAATACATGGAAGACTTGCTCGATCCGATATTTGCTTGTGGACTGAGCGAGTCGTTGACTCAAGCCCTGGTAGACATGGCCCATTACATCCCTCCGATCAAACCTACTATTCAGGAGAAGCTCCTGGACATGCTAAGTTTGATCCTTTATGGCGCCCCGTTCAGACCGCTTGGGTGCCCAGAGAGCAGACTACCTCCAATGCCATCATTCGCAAAGGATTTCAGCCCACAGGAGTTACACTCTGATGCGGAAATAGCACTCGCTCTCCATACATTGGGAAGCTTCGATTTCTCAGGCCACATTCTGAACGAATTTGTTCGCGATGTCGCTATCAACTACGTCGAGAACGACAACCCCGAGATCCGGAAGGCTTCAGCGCTTACATGCTGTCAATTATTTGTTCATGACCCAATTATCAACCAGACCAGCAGTCATTCGATACAGGTTGTAAGCGAGGTCATCGAGAAATTGCTTACTGTCGGTGTTGGCGATCCGGACCCTGAAATTCGGCGCACAGTCTTGTGGTCCTTGGATCGCAAATTCGACCGTCACCTCGCGCGGCCAGAAAACATCCGCTGCTTGTTCCTGGCGGTTAACGACGAGGTCTTCTCTGTCAGAGAGGCTGCCATCTGCATTATTGGTCGTCTCTCGAGTGTGAACCCTGCTTACGTTTTCCCACCCTTGCGCAAGTTGCTTGTGAACCTCTTGACAGGTCTTGGGTTTGCTAGCACTGCACGTCAGAAAGAGGAAACAGCGCAATTGATCAGTCTTTTTGTTTCGAATGCCACGAAACTTATCCGGTCATATGTTGACCCTATGGTGACGACTTTGCTCCCAAAGGCGACAGATGCAAACCCCGGGGTCGCCTCGACCACCCTTAGGGCTGTTGGTGAATTAGCCAGCGTCGGGGGAGGTGAGATGAAGTTATATCTACCTCAGCTCATGCCGATCATCTTGGATGCGTTGCAAGATCTTTCGTCCCACTCCAAGCGTGAGGCCGCGCTGCGAACCCTGGGCCAGCTTGCCAGCAATTCTGGATACGTCATTGACCCATACCTTGAGTATCCTCATCTACTGGCGGTCCTCATCAACATCATAAAAACGGAGCAGACTGGTTCTCTTCGCAAGGAGACGATCAAGCTGCTGGGAATCTTGGGTGCATTGGATCCCTATAAGTATCAGCAGATAAGCGAGTCAACACCGGACGTCCATCACATCAATGAAGTGCAGAATGTGTCCGATGTGGCGCTCATTATGCAGGGGCTTACTCCTTCAAATGAAGAGTATTACCCAACTGTTGTCATCAACACCCTGATGCAAAATATCTTGCGCGAGAACTCTCTCGCTCAGTACCACTCCGCCGTCATCGAAGCCATTGTCATTATCTTCAAGACATTAGGCTTGAAGTGTGTCCCATTCCTTGGACAGATTATCCCTGGATTCATTGCGGTCATAAGAGGTTCGCCTCCGAGCCGATTGGATTCTTATTTCAACCAAATGGCGATTCTGGTCAACATCGTCCGGCAACACATTAGGGCCTTTCTCCCGGAGATTATCGAAGTTATCCGCGATTTCTGGGATGCGACGTATCAAGTCCAGGCGACAATACTCTCCCTTGTGGAGGCCATTTCGAAGTCTCTAGAAGGAGAGTTCAAAAAATATCTTGCAGGGCTCATTCCACCTATGCTTGATACCCTAGAGAAGGACAATACACCACGTCGGCAGCCTTCAGAGAAAATCCTCCATGCTTTCTTGGTATTTGGCACCAGCGCGGAGGAGTACATGCACTTGATTGTCCCGTCCATCGTTCGCCTTTACGATAAAGCCCAGAATCCACAGAGCATCCGGAAGTCCGCCATTGACAGTCTTACGAAGCTCTCCCGCCAAGTGAACGTTTCTGACTTTGCATCCTTGATGGTGCATTCCTTGTCTCGGGTAGTTGCGGGCAACGACCGTCTGTTACGACAAGCTGCCATGGACTGCATTTGTGCTCTGATCTTCCAACTCGGCCAAGACTTCAATCACTACACCCATCTTCTGAACAAAGTCTTAAAGCACAATCAAGTCAACCATGTCAACTACCAAATTTTAGTGGCAAAGTTACAGAAAGGCGATCCCCTTCCACAGGATCTGAATCCCGAGGAGTCACATGATTTGAATGATGACAGTACCATTCCGGACATCGGCCAGAAGAAAATGGTCGTCAACCAGCAGCATTTGAAGAATGCTTGGGACGCTTCTCAAAAGTCAACTCGTGAAGACTGGCAGGAATGGATCCGGCGATTCAGCGTGGAGCTGCTGAAAGAATCACCGTCGCCAGCCCTGCGTGCATGCGCAAGTCTTGCTGGTATCTACCAACCGCTGGCAAGGGACTTGTTCAATGCAGCTTTCGTGTCCTGCTGGACCGAATTGTACGACCAGTACCAAGAAGAACTTGTCAGGTCTATAGAAAAGGCGCTCACATCCCCGAATATCCCGCCAGAGATTTTGCAGGTTCTCCTCAATCTTGCCGAGTTCATGGAGCATGATGACAAGGCGCTTCCCATCGACATTCGCACACTCGGAAAATACGCAGCCAAGTGTCACGCCTTCGCCAAGGCCCTCCACTACAAGGAACTCGAGTTCGAGCAAGACCAAAACTCGGGCGCTGTGGAAGCTTTGATTACTATCAATAATCAGCTCCAGCAGTCTGATGCTGCTATTGGTATTCTCAGGAAAGCACAAGCTTATCGCGACGTGGAGCTGAAGGAAACCTGGTTCGAAAAATTGCAACGCTGGGAGGAAGCACTTGCTGCATACAAGCGGCGAGAGAAAATCGATCCAGAATCCTTCGGTGTGACAATGGGCAAGATGCGCTGTCTACATGCTCTCGGCGAGTGGAAGGTTCTCTCTGACCTCGCGCAAGAGAAATGGAACCAGGCGTCCTTGGAGCATCGTCGGGCTATTGCTCCTTTGGCAGCGGCGGCTGCTTGGGGTCGCGGCCAGTGGGAGCTGATGGACTCTTATCTCGGTGTCATGAAGGAACAGTCGCCTGACAGATCATTCTTCGGTGCTATTCTCGCTATTCACCGCAATCAATTCGAAGAGGCAGGGATGTACATCGAGAAGGTACGCAATGGCCTCGACACTGAACTGTCAGCTTTGCTTGGGGAGTCATATAATCGTGCCTACGATGTGGTCGTTCGTGTTCAGATGCTTGCTGAATTGGAGGAGATCATTGCATACAAGCAGAACGTCGGGGATCCAGAAAAACAGGAAGCGATGCGCCAGACATGGAACAAACGACTTCTTGGGTGCCAACAGAACATTGAAGTATGGCAACGCATGCTCAAGGTCAGAGCACTCGTCACATCTCCTCGCGAAAATCTGGATATGTGGATCAAATTCGCCAACCTGTGCCGTAAATCCAACCGCATGGGTTTGGCCGAACGATCTCTAGCATCATTGGAGACGGTCGTGTCAGACACGAACGGGACACGGGCTGTTGCTCCGCCAGAAGTTACGTATGCTCGGCTGAAGTTCAACTGGGCTACAGGACACCAACGCGAAGCCCTCCAGATGCTGAAGGAATTCACAGCAACACTTACTGAAGACTTGACGCGCTTTAACGCGATCATGATGTCTCAACCGGACCATAACGGAATCAATGGTATCAATGGTGTGAACGGCATTGCTGACGTGAATCATACGGATATAATGGGACTGCGTGAGCGGATTGGCGATGTGGCAAAATTCAGAAAGCTTCTGGCCAAGAGCTATCTTCGTCAAGGCGAGTGGCAGACCGCGTTGCAACGGGGTGACTGGAAACCGGAGCATGTGCGGGAAGTCCTCGGCGCATATGCCGCTGCCACGAAGTACAACCGTGACTCCTACAAAGCCTGGCATTCATGGGCACTGGCGAACTTCGAAGTGGTCACCACGATTGCTAGCCAAGCGAGCAGAGATGGTGCTTCGATGGCCATGGTACCGGGCCATATCGTTACAGAACATGTCATTCCTGCCATTCGTGGCTTCCTCCGCTCTATCGCGTTATCGTCAACATCGTCATTGCAAGACACGCTGAGGTTTCTCACACTGTGGTTTACCCATGGTGGTGATCAGGAAGTCAATGCTGTGGTTACCGAAGGCTTTACTGCTGTGAATATTGATACCTGGCTCGCGGTCACTCCCCAGCTTATCGCACGGATCAACCAGCCTAACATCAGAGTTCGAAGCGCCGTCCACCGCCTCCTCGCCGAAGTCGGAAAGGCCCATCCCCAGGCACTGGTATATCCATTGACTGTCGCGATGAAGTCCAATGTTGCTCGACGATCACAGTCCGCGACTAGTATCATGGATAGCATGCGCCAGCATAGTGCACGACTTGTTGAACAAGCGGATCTTGTTAGCCACGAGCTGATCCGGGTCGCAGTCTTGTGGCACGAGCTTTGGCACGAGGGATTGGAAGAAGCCTCACGCCTCTACTTTGGAGACCACAATGTCGAGGGAATGTTTGCGACTCTCGCACCCCTTCATGAAATGCTCGACCGAGGAGCGGAGACGTTGCGTGAGGTCTCGTTTGCCCAAGCGTTTGGCCGCGACCTTGCTGAGGCCAAGCATTATTGCATGCTCTACCGTGAGACTGAAGAGATTGGGGACCTGAATCAAGCCTGGGACCTGTATTACACCGTGTTCCGCAAGATCAGCCGACAGCTACCGCAGTTGTCGACGCTCGATCTGAAGTATGTGTCCCCTAAACTAAAGGATTGCTCGGACCTTGATCTTGCCGTCCCTGGAACTTACCAGAGCGGTCGACCGATTATACGAATCCTTAGCTTCGATCCTATATTGCACGTGCTGCAGACGAAGAAGCGCCCGCGGAGAATGACGCTCAAGGGAAGTGATGGAAACTCCTACATGTATGCCCTCAAAGGTCACGAAGATATCCGACAAGATGAGAGAGTCATGCAATTGTTCGGTCTGGTGAACACTCTTCTCGATAATGACGGAGAGAGCTTCAAGCGGCACCTATCGGTGCAACGATTCCCTGCCATTCCCCTCTCTCAGAACTCTGGTATTATAGGATGGGTGTGCAACAGTGACACTCTGCATGCCCTCATCAAGGAGTACCGTGAGAGTCGCCGCATTCTGTTGAACATTGAGCATCGAATCATGCTGCAGATGGCTCCCGATTACGACAACCTGACTTTGATGCAGAAGGTCGAAGTGTTTGGATATGCCATGGACAATACGACCGGAAAGGATCTGTACCGCGTCTTGTGGCTAAAGAGTAAGAGCTCTGAGTCTTGGCTTGAGCGACGCACAAATTACACTCGATCCCTGGGCGTTATGTCTATGGTGGGCTACATTCTGGGGCTGGGTGATCGCCATCCGTCCAATCTGCTGCTCGATCGAATCACCGGCAAGGTCGTCCACATTGATTTCGGTGATTGCTTTGAGGTCGCAATGCACCGAGAGAAGTATCCTGAGCGGGTTCCATTCCGACTGACGCGTATGTTGACCTTCGCGATGGAAGTCAGCAACATTGAGGGTAGCTACCGCATTACGTGTGAAGCAGTGATGCGTGTTCTGAGGGAAAACAAGGATTCGCTCATGGCGGTTCTGGAAGCTGTAAGTCCGCTCATACAGGCAACTCTTGAACATGGAGTTTCGCTAACGATTTCTAGTTCATTCATGATCCGTTGATCAACTGGCGTCTCGGAATCCGCGAATCTCCTGATCGTATGCCGTTCTCCTCAGAGCGTCGGCAGTCCGTGGTTACCAACGTCAACATCGAGCATGGTGTCCAGCCCAGCAATTTCTCTCGTCACCGCCGACCATCTATCCTGGAAGGCGGCATTCTGGATGCACAAGAGGGCATTCCCAACGAAGCCCGTGAAGCACAGAATGCACGGGCTCTCCAGGTGCTTGCGCGCGTCAAGGAAAAGCTAACCGGCCGGGATTTCAAGCCCACCGAAGAGCTGAATATCAGTGAACAGGTGGACAAGCTTCTGGCTCAAGCCACGAGTGTGGAGAACATCTGCCAGCACTGGATTGGATGGTGCAGTTTCTGGTGATTTTGAACTTCTTCTTCTTCTTCTTTTTATTTTTCTTTTTACAAAGGCGTAAATTGCGATCTGGTGGATAGTCTTCTGATTCTCTTGCATGGCACGGGGGATTCTACGTGTTTGCTTTTGCCTTTCTTGGTCGTGTAGAATTATGGTTGATTCCCGTTGTTTGTTAGCTATCCGGGGTCTAGAGGGGATACCGGCTTGGTAGAACATAATGTGATGGAGTTCATCCGATTACTCGACTTCTGAAGCTATAGTTCGGATCTCATGAAGTTGCTGGCGGATAGCCGAGGTCACGCGCGGCGGACTAAAGCCTCCTCCCCCTGTTATGACGACTTCTCCTTCCTCCCTCATCGACATCCTCTGTTCTCTCTCCAGAACCAGGATGTGAGACCTCCATCTCGCAACCTCAACGATCAAATCTGTCCATCATGGCATCTGGTTCCCCTTCGTCCGTTCCACCTCCCGACAGCTCGCCTCAAGTCCATCCGGTCGTGCGCAACGCTCTCCGCATTTCGCTGAGTGCCAAGGAATACAAGCTCCTCCACGACTACGCTGCCCGACGCGCACCTGGACTCCAGGCGCAGCTCCCTTCTCCTGCGAAATTCGAAGCTATTGTCCGCTCCAAAAGCAAATATAATGAAGCATCTGTGCGTGCGTCGATACGGGTCTTCCTCCTTTCGGGAGCCCTGTTAAAGGTCCTGGAGTTGGTTCTCCGTCGGCTGCGCAAAGAACCTAGGTAAGTTACGTTCATCATGAAGAGCAACATCGCATCATACGAATACGAGAGTGTGCAAAATAAAGTGCTAATAAGACGCATAGCCCCAAAGCTACTTCTCGCACGTCCGTGTTTAGGTCTCCCAACTTTCGCCTCTCCCTCTCGTTCTCCCTCGTGCTTCTTCTCCACCGATTACTATATCGCTTCTTCACCCGGTTGCGCGCGAATCTTCGTACCGACGATGCAGAGCCGTTCCGCATCCGCAACCCGCGCGTATCGAAAGCGCTGACTTCACGCTTTGCGCCCGCTGTTGGAGCTAGCGTGGCGGGTTTCGCGCTGGGTATCTGCCCGCAGGAGCAGCTGCGGAGAGGGCTGGCGATCTACATGGCTACACGGAGCTTGGATTTCTTTTATAACGTGCTGGATGAGAAGGGATATCTGCAGAACCGACCTGAGTGGTTTGGAAGCTGGCTTTTGATGCCGGTATCCTGCGCGCAACTGTTCCATGCGTTTGTTTTTGACCGCGAGGCGGCTCCCAATGTTGGTTTGCCCGTCCTCTGAGTAACTTGCGAAGGATATTTACTGACGGCATGGCAGTGGTTTGGAAAACTTCTTCTCAATTCCAAGGCTTATATCCAGGAGCGCCCGGAGACCGTGGGCCCTGGGGTTGCGTGGCCTGCGAAGGAGGAAATTGTAGACTCTCTTGCTGCGATTGCTAGTCTACGATGGCCGTGAGTCCTCCCTTTTTGTTATGACTGTGTGACGTCTGACTTGTTCAGGGCATTCGTGTCGCCCATTCTGCATCCCGGAGATCCCAAGACGCTGCCGTCCGCCGTCAAGTCGATTTCTCCGATCACAGGCCCTGCACACCCGTCCATCCAGAGCCTGTCCTGTGCTCTGATGCATCCGAGTAACCCCAGCTGCGGAACGGCATTCCTACATCATATTCTACTGACGGTACCACCGCTTGCTCGGATGCTGGCCACTGCGACGCTGGCGATCTCTGCGCTCAAGTTCAAGAGCTTCATGGCACAACCGATCACGACGGCGAACAAGGTGTCAAAGCAGATTATCTCCTTGACTGCGGTGCTGTCCTCGTCGGCTGGGCTAGCATGGGGCAGTCTCTGCCTGTGGAATGCTCTGCTTCCGCGGAAGATGCTCCCGACGAAACGGTTCTACCTTAGCGGTGCCCTGGCTGGCGTGCCCTTCGCGGTGCTCACGCACAGTCGTAGTATGTACCTGGCGATCTTCCGGGCGGCAGTGGACTCGGCCTGGAAGACGGGCGTCAAACGGCGTCGCTGGACGGGATGGAAAGGCGGCGATTTGATGATTGTGGTGCTGTCGTGGGCATTGGCCGGGGCGATTCTGGAGTCACGACCGGCGGCCGTGGAGGGGGCGGGCGTGCGCAAGTCGCTGGCATGGATGCGCGGCGATGGATTCGTGGATCCGGTGGAGGGAAAGAAGAAGCGGAAGAAGCACGACGAGTAATTGGTGTTGTTGACATGGGATTGTGGAATACTTACTCAGCGCTATTACCTGTGTTTATACCTTGTCTATATCTTGGAATCGTCTATACCGCCCAGTCAGTCTAGTAGAGAGGAGCGCATCGTCGCTCTATCATGGATACCGACAAATGCCGCGATGGTTCGAGAGGCGCCGTCATCCTGCAAGGAGTCACATAGCCACCGTGTGAAACATGGGGTTGCTGACTACATACGATTGCCTTGTTGGAGAAAAAGGAGTTGAAGATCATCGTTGATGCTGTGGTCAGATGGATATTCTATTGACTTGGCAGAACAGCAAACATCTCTCAGGTTACACTGCACTGTATTTTCCTATTTGAGAAGAGGCCGGAGGGTTGTATATAAGCCCAGGCAATCTCCCCTCAGATTCGTGCTCACCATTCCACCTTCATCGACTCAATCGACCAGGCTTATACCAATTCTCAACTGCTCCGTTCTTTGATATGCGCGCTATCGCTATCTTCGCTGCCCTCCTGGCTGTGGCCTATGCTGCCCCCTCCGCTCTGGAAGCTAGACAGCAGGGTGAAGGCTGCGACGTATGTATCATCTCGAATGCTAGTCCAATAGATGTTTGATGTAACATGCTTGGCAGTTGATTCATGGCGATTCCTGTGCGTCCCAGTAAGTGTATGAGCCCCATAACGGTAAGACCTTGCACTGACATGTCCGTAGCGGATTGAAGCAGTGCGGGCCTTCTTCCGGGAATGTCAAAGTCTGCTGCGTATGACCTATCCAAGTGAAATTATCACCAGGGGATGTTCTGACTCTCCATAGAAACGCTGCTATTAAGCCTGTTGTGTGGTGGATCAGGGGTCGAGAATCGATGTTTGCCGAGAACATGGACGATGTCTCTATCAGAACCAAGGTAGCTAAGCAATGTTAACCACACATGATCAGTAAATCACCGTGTGCACACTGAGAATGCTTCGAGAGCATTGGTACTTTTACTTGATCATTCATGCGGAATGTGCCATAGATGAGGCACTGGTCTATAACTAGTTAGAGTGAATGCGGGGGATCGACTCCGGAGAAAGTTTCCCCACGGGACAAATCTCCCGTCTCGGAATTGCTGGCCTGGAAGTCAGTTTCCGTTGTATGTACAGTACCAAGTAACGAAGTAACGCGCTTTGTAGTACATACCGCCATTCACTCTCCTACACTTTCGGTCATAAATATCTTCTCCTAGTTCCTTTCTCTCCATTCTCTTCCTCTCCAATTACTCTCTCCCGTTCCCATCCTCTCCAATTGCTCCTATCCGCCTCTCGCTACAATGTCCGCCACCAAGCTCAAGATTGGCTGCGCCGGCCTCGGTCGCATGGGGAAGCGCCATGCCCTAAACTTCCTCGAGCGCACTCCCCGCGCCGAATTGGTGGCCGCCAGCACCCCCGATGACAGTGAAATCGAATGGGCCAAGCTCCATCTGGCCCCGTACGGCGTCACCATCTACAAGAACTATGACGACATGCTCAAGCACGAGGGTCTGGAGGCGGTAGTGGTGGCCTCGGCGACCGCCGTCCACGCCGAGCAAGCCATCAAAGCCATTGAGGCGGACAAGCACGTTCTGTGCGAGAAGCCGCTTTCCACGAGTGTCGAGATTGTACGTACTTACCCTTCATAACCCCTGTACGGAACCCCTGCTAACAAACCCAGTCTCAAACCGTCCTCGACGCCGCCGCCAAGAAACCCAATCTGAAGGTGATGTGCGGGTTCTCGCGGCGCTTCGACGCCTCGTACCGCGACGCCCACCGCAAGATGACGTCCGGGGCGTTGGGCGAGCCGTCGGTGCTGCGCAGCCAGACGTGCGACAAGCTCGACCCGACGGGCTTTTTCGTGGCGTACGCCGAGTTCTCGGGCGGCATCTTCGTCGACTGCTCGATCCACGACATCGATCTGACGCTGTGGTTCTTCGGACAGGACAGCCGCGTCAAGTCGGTGTCGGCCGTGGGCATCACGGCCGTCGAGCCCGACCTGCGCAAGCACAACGACCGCGACAACGCCGTCGGCCTGGTCGATTTCTACAACGGCAAGGTCGCTTACTTCTACGCCTCGCGCATGATGGCCGCCGGTCAGGAGGACACCACCGAGATCATCGGCACCCGCGGCAAGGTCACCGTCAACGCCCAGCCGGCCCTCAACCTTGTCAACGTCTTTGACAACGCCGGCATCCGTCGCGAGATCCCCCAGCACTACTATGATCGCTTTGAGTATGCCTTTGTTACTGAGGCGAATGAGTTCACTGCCTGCTGTCTGGAGAATACCCCCGTGCCGCTGAAGCTTGAGGGAGCCGTCCAGGCGGTGCGCATCGGTGCCGCTCTGCAGGAGTCGTTGATCACCGGGCAGAAGATCTTCTTTGACGAGAGTGGTAACCGTGTTGAGAAGACGAAACTATAGACAGATTATAGATTGGGTAAATTTATTGCATTGTGTTCGTCCTTGCCCGTATACTGAGTCGGGAAACCGTTTCCGAGACGATGGAACTATGAGGTATGTAGGTAATGGGCTTTAAAAAAGACCTCGGCACAGATGAGGGTCGTACTAATTGCTCGTGATTAGAGCGGTCGATTGTATTTTTTGTACTCAAATAGATTATTTCTGTTGAGATCAAGGAGTTCACCGACAAACTCCTTCAACTCGTCTAACACCGTTCCAGCACTGGATATGATAAGCCGTGTCTGCCTACGCGCCCACACACACATAGTATCCGAGCCAAAGACTCGCGCAGTTTGTTCCCACCTGCGGATTCCACTTGTTGAAGTTGGCCGCCGTGATTCCATACTGCTTCTGAATGGTGTCACAGGTGTTTCCGCTCACCACCTTGTGCCACTTCTTGCAGGCGCAAACAGCGCCGGGCTGCGTCGGGGTCGGTGCGCTGGTGCAGCCGGCCGTGGTGGTGGTCGTCGTAGTCTTGGTCGGTGTTCCGGGGACACCTGGTGGAAGATTAGCCCGCGTCTTCATAGAACGCTACGCGAGAATGCATACCAATGCAGTAGTAGTATCCCAGCCACAGGCCTCCGCAGTCGGCTCCCACGGCCGAGTTCCAGGCGAGGAACTGGTCCAGCGTGAAGGTACCGTATTGCTTGACGATGCCGGCGCAGCTGTCACCGTCCACGGCCTTGTGGTACCGATTGCAGGTGGAGATGATGCCGGTCTGTGTGGGGGACGGCCCGGAGGCGGTGGTACTTGTCGTGGTCGTGGTGGTCTTGGATGTCGAGGTTCCCGGCACACCCACGCAGTAGTAGTACGTGGCGATGAGGCCGGAACAGTCGCTGCCGACGGCCGGGTTCCAGCTCAGGAACTGGCTCAGGGAGAAGGTGCCGTGCTTGGCGACGATCTTGTCGCAGGTGTCGCCGCTGACCGCTTGGTAGAAGTTGTTGCAGGTGGCGATGATGCCGGTCTGGGTGGGCGCGGGCCCCGTGGGCGTGGTGGTGGTGGTCGGCGTGGACGGAGTGCCCACGCAGTAGTAGTAGCCGACCTGGATGCCGCTGCAGAACTCGCCGACGGCCGGGTTCCAGGTGATGAAGTCGGCGGTGGAGAAGGTGCCGTACCGGGCGGCGATCTTGTCGCAAGTGTCGCCGGCCACGGCCTGGTAGAAGCGCGAGCACGTCGCGATGATGCCGTCCTGCGTCGGGGACGGGCCTCCCGTTGGCGCGGTCGTCGTCGTCGACGGATTGCCTGTCGGCGTGCCGGGCACCCCGACGCAGTAGTAGGTCTTGGCCCAGATGCCGCTGCAGTCGGCGCCGACGGCCGGGTTCCATGCGATGAAGTCGGCCGTCGTGAAGGTGCCTCCGTACTTGGAGACGATCTTGTCGCAGGTGTCGCCGGCGACGGCCAGGTAGAAGGCCGTGCAGGTGCCGATCAGACCGTCCTGCGTGGGCGACGGCTTGGGAGTCGCCGTGCTGGTCGGGGTTGACGAGGTGGTCGTCGGGCGAGGCTGGCCATTGTTGACCTCGACACAGTAGGAATTGCCGACCTTGATACCGCTGCAGTCGTCGAGGACGGAGGGATTCTGCCACGCGCGTTAGTGGGAGGGATTGGTGCGAAGAGGGAGATTCACGTAGGAGACAAAGTCTTCATGAGACAAACCCCAGTTGAACTCGAAATACTCGCAGGTATAGGTTGAATCGAGGGCCGTGTCGTAATAGGTGCAATCGGACGCCGTGCCGGGGTCGACGGGGCCATCCTGTCGGCGATAGAGATGGGGATTCGCCAGCGCGGCTCCCACGAGCAGAGAAGCAGGCAGAAGGTGTCGGAGACCCATGGTGACCGGTGTTTGGGATGAATGGAGAGGGTGGGATTGGCGTCTCCTTTTGAGCTATGAGATCTTCTCTAGCTGCATGATATGTCTCAGGTCGAGCAACAAGCGTGCATCCATCTTGGGCACCTGTGAGCGCTAAGTCTGCTGCTAACGAAGCCATCTGTATAGTGGCGCAATGGTCATGTCCTTTTTGCGGAAGGGCATCCTTCGATCAGGGCGTATTGGTGGCGTTGTGCGTTGGGATCTGGGAGGAGACTAAATTAGCGTTGTAAGCCCTGGTATTTCATCCTCTCTCTTACTCTTCGTCTCTTGCATCCCTCCACCTTTTCACTTCTCGTCCTGGTCCCCAATGTCCGACGTAACGCTAGAAGAAGACGCCGATTATGGCCGCCTCCCATTTGACATCTTCGTCTCGGTTAGTTTTTTCCCCCAATCCCCCGTTCGCTTCTGTTCTGACCTTGGCACGCAGGACCGGTGGGATCACAATGCCACCGGGGACAGTCGGGAACAGTGGGAGCGGCTCGTCTGGGAATGGGAGAGCCTGACACTAATAGAGCGTTATGTGTGTTTCTTTATCCCTGGCGGCAAATGATACACCATCCTGACAGTCCCTTAGCCGTATCAAGAACGTGCTGAGTCTGAGGACGGCCCGCCAGAACTCAGCGAGGAGATCAAAAGTGTGCTGGCTACGCACCAGACGGCATACGAGCGGAATATCAGCCTTGTTAGCTGTACTGGCTGGCAGACCGTCTGGCTGCGCACATGCTACGACCCAGATCTCGCCGAAAAATACGAACAGATGAAGTCGGCATCCGAAATCCCTGGAGGCGGGGTCTCCGGGGACAAGATCCTGGACGACCCCTCCCGTTACAATTTTGACGACGGTAGTGGGGACTCCTGGCGACAAGTATTGGTTCGCGTGCCCGGGATCACAGATTTCTGCGGTGTTTGGGGCGTGGACGGCGGCGGCAGTAGCATACGGTACCGCAGTGGGCAGGACGATGAGGAGATGATAGCGGAGTACGAGCAGGGGGAAGAGAGGTGGCGGGAGGTCAGTCTAGCGGAGCTAAGAATCCAGGTGGGCCTGTACCTGTTGGATCGTGAGGCTATCGAGTCTGGATTGATCAAGATTCTCTGGCTGGACGAGCATGGGCAGATTGCCTGGGAAAACCGGTTCGATGCTTCCACTTCAAGTTTGGCTCGGCTCACGGGATGCCTCCTGAACGCCACGAGTTTGGTGGAATTAGCCGGCTACAACGGCACCCGCAGCGCTCTGCTTCATGGCTAGACGGGCTAGAATTGTCAGAGCTCTGCTATACCACGCCCACTTGCACGGACGGTACTCGCGACGAGCGGGGGCCAGACCAGGTGTGTAAGAGCGGCTACACCGCGGTTGAAATGGCACATTCTCCAGTCCAGAAGAACGCCGACTTCCCCATGCACGGTGAGTGTGCAGAGAACTGGTGGCGCTATATCTGCTGTCCGACCAAAGCCATGCCACAGAATTGTGAGTGGGTGGGAGCCCCTGAACGGTCAGTCTTCGGTTGTGATCGTGGTTGTGGTAAATCGCAGTTTGAGCTCAATTACGACACATACATTGATCCAAAGGGGCACGGTAACTGCTATTCAGGAGCACGGAGTGTAAGGACCAAATTGAATACATTGCGTTGCAATGCCGCTGACGAAACTTGCCTAGCTCTGCTGTGATAGCACTGAGATCCTGAACAAGTGTCACTGGACCGCCTGCGATTACAACCGGGGAGCAAGCTTGTGTGGCAGCGATGAAGTCTCTATCGGGGTCCGTTACGACGAAGATGACGGTGGTAAGTTGAGTTTCGCATAGAGAAACAGTGTTTTCGGATATTGACACAATTATCTAGGGCTTTGTGACACCTTCCAAATGGGTCCAGCATATGGTTACGACAGTCGACTATATCGAAATTATTGTTGTCCTACAAATGGTACAACCTATTGAAAGTGCCTTTGGAATAGCTAAGGGAGATTGCTGATGAATGTTGCCCAGACGACTTCGAGAACTGTTCGTGGGCTGTTGATGATTGCAATCCGGGACAATGCGCCAAAGACAAGCTGCAAGTCACGACTGCGCAGATGCCGTCCTCGATACATGGTGAAAACCATGGTGTAGATCTATCTTCACAGTGCTATGGGTTCCAGATCCCCGAGATGATGAGCCCGGATTTCAAGCTTTGCTGCGATCCTCCCTCTCGGTACAATGAGAAATGGCCCGTCGAGCCCAAATATCTCTGGAGCCACTATTACGACGACGCCGATGACGATGTCACTTGGGAGTTCAGCGATAATTTCGGCAACAACAACAAAGACACTAGGCCGAATGATATGGAAGATGAACCAGGCACAGATCCGTACGGGTTTGTCATGCTGGATGGACCCCCGGGCTCGATCAACAATGCTTTTGATGCCCAGTACACCATCGTGACCCGCAATGAGCCGGTCAACGTGAAAAAGAGGAGCATTGTTACAACCAATCAGACGATCTTAGATGCGGTGTTTGACCATTCTGAAGAGACTGTTCTGGTCTATTGCAATCATCCCGCCGATTCCAAGGAATGTCGCCAGATCTTCTACAAGGGAGCAGAGGACACTATTATCAAGCTCCCCGACCATGTTGGAGAGGGCCCCTGGGCCCGCGTCGTCTCCATGGAACCTGTGAAACAGCTGGTAAAGAGGGATCTGCCAGATTGGGCGTTCCAGAAAAGAGAGACAAGCCAGAACCAGAATGGTACGTTTCGTTCCCCATACCCCATTCACATCCGCTAATCTGCTACAGGAATATATTCCTTAAAGTTTGACTACAACTTCCACTTGATCAAACGAGAAGACGAACAAGTGAACATCCGCGTGGACTACACTAATCTTCTGCCGTACTGGGATGAGATGACCGACTCGCCTGCTTCCAAGCGAAAGCGTTCAACAGACGACGGCCTGACCTTTGCAGAATGGAAGGGCCGTGTGGATCGGGCCAAATCCCTGGATACTAAACGCTCGTCTCACAGCCACACCGGAAGGTTGAATTTCTCATCGGAAGACAGCAGCATCCACCGTCGGTGGTGGGGGACCTTCGTAAATTGGGTCAAGAAACTGACAACCGTCACCAAAACCGACGGCGACATGCTTCCCATGGGACTCGTACGGTCTCTGATTCTCTACAGTGGGCGTCTGATATGCTCCAATGACGCAGTCACTTTCACCGCGGGGATGGCTATCACTGCCGACTTCAATATGGAGATGAACGCTCGATACTCCTACTACTTTTCTGGCACCGTCGTGCCGCCATCGGTCACGGATATGTATGCTTATGTGGGCGTTCACCCGCGAGTATATGCAGGGATTGGGATAACAGGCAATGCAGACCTCTACTACCCCAGTGAGAGGAAGAAGATCATTGACACCTTGACCTATCCCGGGTTGGCGATTAAAGGAATCGCTGCGGTGGGACCTACGATGGACCTCTGGGGCCAGATCACTGGCCAGGTCACCGTCTCTGGTGACCTGAGAGTGGGAATGACGTACAAGTTCAAGCCTGTCGAGCTGTACTTTCCCAACAACGACGAGGTCAGCAATAACCTTGACGTCAAGGATATGGAAGATACACAAGTCAACAACCAAGGTCTGGAGCCCTCAATATCCGGCAATGTCCGCGCCGATGTGGATATTAACATTCACGCCACCCCGGAGATCAACCTGGGCATCAAGATCGGGGGAGGAATTGGATCTCTCAAAGGCACACTAGCTGACGCTCATGTTTCTGCTTTTGCCAACACGACGCTCAACTTTCATGCCCAAGCATCCGCCGCAACCAACAATGGCGACAATAGTTGGTCGTACGGGTACTCGGTTAGCTTCCTTTACCGATTTGGTTTTGGCTGCATAGCCGAGATCTACAAGTATGGCAAATGGACCAGTGGTATTTGGTATCCATTCCCTCAGCGCAGAATCCCGATCATTTCCAAAACATTCAGCTCGTTACCGTCCACGAAGCGGTCTCTCGACCATGGGCCGTTGCTGTCTGAGGAGCCTCTTCCGGGTGCCATCTTTGGCGGACCCGTTGTGCTTAGCTTGGACATTGATCCCTACTATAGTTCCGGCAACGCATCCCTCGCCAAGCGCGAGGGCTCGGATCTATCAAAGAAAGAGTCGCAGTTTACGCTGGGTTCGTTCAGATGCGCATCGTCCACTGGAAGTACCTGCGATCCTTTCGTGCGGAGTGACAATGTGCTAAGACGCGACCTTATTCCTGCACTGGACGAGCCCAACAGTCTCCAAAAACGAACAACGCCAACGCCAACGCCAACGCCAACGCCAACGGACTGCAACAACAAACTGCCTCGTCTCTACTACAATTGCGTGACCTTTTTCGGCGATTTTACATTCCATGGTTCCGTCGGAAGAGCCCAGTTCCCCGGGATTTGCAGCAATGTTGAAAGGTTTCTGAACAATAACCAGCGCGGCAATATCGGCGTTACCCTGACCTGGGAATCCGGGAACCAAAAGAATCGGAGGCGCAGATCTTGTCCAAAGGGGATCTGTGATGCAGACAATGCTAACTACGAGCTAGCATCCCTGGGGACAGCAACTGGAAGGGACTTGAGCAACTGCGATGAATTCCCGTTCGCGTCGACTGAGGAAGGTGGAGACGCGTTCCTCGGGCTGCATCCCGACGTGTTGACAGGAACAGTAAGGACATGTGTGCCGACATGGCAGAATGATGTTCAAGGAAACTGTCACAGTGAGTCAACCAATCCCCCCACCCCTTGATTTACAAAGGAGAGGTGCCAATGAAGGAGCAGATCTACTGAATAATCTCGAAACCAATGTCGAGTACTTCAATACCTATGGCAGTCCGACGCTGGATAATCCCTACTGGGTGCTATGGGGCCCGAATAAAAACACCTGGGTGTCAAAAAGCGGGCTCGGGGGTCGGCAACGTCTGTCAAGTTATCCGTCGGACGTTGCCGTTCCAAAGACTTTTGTCCCTGGCTTGTCCCAGGCAGACCGGGATAGCCCGGAGAATCTGAGCTACTACCACAAGCGGAACTTCACCTTGTTCCTGTCCTATCCCCGTGACGGCCAACAGCCTGACGCCCAGTGGCCCAACCAGGACTTCAAGGACGGGACGTTCACCGGGAAGGGCAAGCCACCCCCCGTGACGACAACCGTTGAATCTTCCACGTGGGTAATTTGCGCTGTCAACACCATGGGCGAGCAACGCTATCGATTTGGAAGCCGAGCCAACGCTCTTTGCACCGACGCGCAGACTACCATGCCAGTATGGAATGGACTTCTACACGTGGTGAAATTCTATCAGTATGTTTCATCGTTGCTATCCCTCTCACGATGGTCCCTGGACGAGCGACTAAGCAAATCAACAGGTGTAAGGTCGGCTTTAGCGGATCTCCCGGACCCACGAAAAGAGACAATATTCCGCTTGGGTACCTGGGTGGAGAACCATACTATTGTAGGTGACACCTTGCTGGTACACTGCTGCAGATTCACTGACGGGTGAGTAGCCATCGAGCGGGTCGAGGGAACAGAGCGCACGATCGTTGTGCCGTCGGGTTAGGACGGTCAGGAGCCACGAGAATCATGGGTGGCCACAGATGATGAGGATCTAGGAAATGGGGACTGATGGGTTGGGAGGCACAAAGAGCTTATGGGGTATATGGAGGACTCGCACCTTGGCAGGTGAACAATTTCTTATGTGATATCCTGCACTCTCTATACAAAATTCCTTTTCTTTGCATCAAAGCCTTGGATTGGTTCTGCAAGTAGCTTGGATAAGGTCTTCGGCTAGAGCTCTACAATCTTGGATAGAATAGGGGAAGAGGCCGGGATTGAACCCGAATAAATGACATTAATAGCAAAGCAAAAGTCATACAATTTATCATCATCGCTCATCATGCATACAAAATATAGCCATAACGTGCAAGGTATCATTCTATCCGAACAGACCAACAAACGCAACCACTACCACTTGATGACCTTGTTTGGGAAGTACTCGTCAATGAGCTCGAGATAGTAGGGCTTCAGCTCCTCGACAGTGGGGACATCGTCACTCTTGCTGTACAGGTCGTATGGGTTGAACGCCTTGACAGCCTTGAGCATCTCCTTGTCGTGGTCGTTCATGAGCTCGTGATAGGCGCCCTGGTTGTGCCAGGGGTAGAAGGAGTGGTAGCGGATCATGGCGAGGGCCTCGGCGGGCAGGGTGCTCTGGTCCTTGACGACGTGGTAGAGGTACTCGTCGTGGCCCCAGGAGAGCATGACCTTGTCGAGCCCGCAGCCGGGGGAGTAGATGCCGAACTTGGAGCCGTAGATCTCGTGGCCGTAGTCCGGGTTGTCCCTGAAGGAGTCGGTGCCGTAGATGATGCGGTCGTCGAAGGCGCAGCCGACGGGGAAGGTGTCGCCGACGACGTCCCACTGGCCCTGGGCGTCGAAGAAGTACAGCAGCTTGCCGAGGTCATGGATGAGGCCCGTCAGCTGCATCCAGCGCGGCTTGCCGTCGCGGCGGATCGCCTCGGCGGACTGGAGCAGGTGCTCGATCTGGGAGAGCGAGGTGTCCGGGTCGGACTCGTCGATCAGCGTGTTGAGCTTCTCCATGGCGTCCCAGACGCTCATCTCGGCGCGGGTCTTGGCGTGGAAGGCGTGGCGGGCTTTGAGGTTGTAGGCGACGGTCTGTTTGGTGTGCTGCTCCTTGTAGAAGTTCTTGACCCGGTCACAGGCGTCCTCGTACTGGCGGAACTGGGTCTTGTCCTTGTTCTTGTCGAACTCGGACTCTTCGTAGAGGTCTTTTTCGGCCTGTTGCTTCTGCTGCTGCTTGAGGACGTTGACGGTGTCGATGGCGTCGGACAGGTCCTCGAGAGCCTGGCCGTCGCGCTTGGTGTTGAAGACGGGGTCTTCGGGAGAGATGGCGACTGGTGCCATGGTGATTGGTTTTGTGTTTGGTATGTAGAGATGTGAGACGATGTGAGATCAGTGTGAAGATGAAGAAGATTGTTGCAGGCGAGAGCAGAGAATTTATATAAACAAGTTTCAGGAATCTGTCGTCTGGAATATGTCGTGCCGACGTTCACGTAGTGAAGATGAAGGAAGAGATGCTCAGCGAATTTCCGTTCATCGATGCAGAAATATATTAAAGTAAAGAAGGCATCTGGAATCCGAACGTCATCCAATCCCCAGACGCCCTTTGCAACGACCAACAGCCGACGGGAATCTGCACATCTTGCAGTGGGATGGTGTCACCTTGTCGGATTCTGCTTTCCGTGAAGGCCTGAGATGCAGACCAGTTGGCGATGGACCCGTGGGCGTGGAAGGGATCTGCCGCTCAGGCACGCCACCACAGTGGATGAGATCAGATCCGGTGGAGAAGACCGGCCAACGTCCGTCATCAGAAAGGATTCTGGTTTCCGATGTTTGTCAGCCGGGACTGATTCTTATTGATTAGTCCATTTCCCTTGGGGGTTCTATGGGCGTTTCTTACAGTAGATTGCTTTGTTGTGCATACTGCGTAATGCATGCACGTGCATGTTGTCGTGGCGGACGGAGTTCCATCATGATAATGCAGTTGTAATTCACTGGACATTCAGATGTTCACGCAAATTTCGTAGATCAGACAGTGAACTGAGTGACTTGGTAGAATACTGCAAAAGAACAAGAGACTCGAGAGTACTGGAAAAGAATCCGGGGACAATTAGCCCGAAGCCCGGCGGTGATTGATGGGAAAATACACCCCGAGCGGAGGCGGGGGAGGGGTACCTTACATTTCTGTTCTTCTTTCTCTCTGTACTATTTACACCTTTCTTCCTCTGTAAACTACCTAAACCTCTCCATATCACCTTCGTACACCTTCAATCTCCTCTCAACATCACCATGGCCGTCTGCGACACCAAGTTCAAGCTCAACACCGGCGCGGAGATCCCCGCGTTGGGTCTCGGTATGCTCCTCCCGCGGCTCGCCAACCACCAAGCTAACATCCCCAGGAACCTGGCAATCGGCTCCCGGAGAGGTCGAGCGCGCGGTCAGCCATGCCATCTCCGTGGGCTACCGCCACATTGACACCGCGCACTGCTACGGCAACGAGGAGGAAGTCGGCCAGGGCATCAAGGAGGCCCTCGCCTCGGGCAAGGTCAAGCGGGAGGATCTCTTCGTGACCACCAAGCTCTGGTGCACCGACCACTCGCGCGTGGAGGAGGCTCTCGACAAGAGCCTGAAGCTCCTGGGTCTGGACTACGTCGATCTGTACCTGGTGCACTGGCCCTTGGCCATGAACCCCAACGGTAGTCCACCCCGCTATCACTCGAGTGTAGAGTGCAACTAACAGCCACCAGGGAACCACCCGCTCTTCCCCAAGCTCCCCGACGGCTCCCGCGACATCGACCATGCCCACTCGCACGTCACCACCTGGAAGAGCATGGAGAAGCTCATGGGCACCGGCAAGGTCAAGGCCATCGGCGTCTCCAACTACAGCGTGCGCTATCTTGAGCAGCTCCTCCCCGAGGCCTCGATCGTCCCCGCCGTCAACCAGATCGAGAATCACCCCTCCCTGCCGCAGCAGGAGATTGTCGACTTTTGCAAGCAAAAGGGCATCCACATCACGGCGTACAGTCCCCTGGGTAGCACCGGCAGCCCGCTGTTCACCGCAGAGCCCATCGTCGAGGTGGCCAAGAAGAAGGGCGTCACGCCTGCCTCGGTGCTTCTGAGCTGGCACAGTATGTCTCCATTTTTAACGTTTTTGTGGAATGTTTCTAACTTTGTAGTCGCCCGTGGATCCTCCGTCCTGGCCAAGTCCGTCACCCCGTCGCGTATCGAGGATAACCGCAAGCTGGTCCAGCTCGACTCGGAAGATATGGCCACCATCGCCAAGTACACTGACAGTCTGGCCGCGACGAAATCCTTCCAGCGTTTTGTGTATCCGCCTTTTGGTGTCGATTTCGGCTTCCCTGACAAGTCATAGGCTGTATAGAAGTAGGAGTATGGAAGGACCTGCATTAGACTGGGAAACTTGTACATAAGATATCCTTTCTAGAATGAACATGATGAATTTCTCTCTGTGCATGTGATACAAACAGAATCTCCAATGCGTTAGCTCACCGCTTCGCTTTCTGCCGGATGGTTTCATCTTCTCGCTTGTTGTGGTCTTCTGTTCCTCCGTTCTCTTTCTTTCACGTCACTTTCCCGCCACCCATCCTCCAACCTCACCACTCGCACCACACTCCCTGTATCACTGTCTATCGTTGACCATCGTCCTTCATCCCTGCATAGAGACAAACCGTACAGGATATCAGGAGGTGGGTGGGTGGGCTAGGTGAATGAGTTCACTTCGCCTCCCTCACCTTGAGGCCAGTCCATTCGCGGTCCAAAGCAATCTCCCTCACCATTTCACCGGGCTTCTCAGCGTCCACCTGGGCCTTGGAAGTGTAAAACTCGCGATACCCCAACTCAAGCACGTCTTCAGACGCCACATCTTTCTCGAGCTGGGCGCCAGGCTGCTTGGAAAGCTCCTGGAGCGCGGTGATACGCCGTCTCTCTCTCTCGCACACTATCTTCTCCGCCATCTCGGCCGTCATCACGCGCTTCAGACCCATTCCAACAAACAGCGCCCGCAGATGGTTGAACGTCAGCGCCAGGAGCACCGCAGACAGCTTCTCACTCGGTGTCATCGGCTCGCTGCCGCGGTACGTCTCTGCGGCTGTGGTTGTGCGCTGTCCACGGAGACGATCGGGGATGCGGTCGGGCATGCCTGCGCAGTGGGCCTTGACGTCGAGCACGAACGTCTCGTTGATTCTGTTCATCACGAAGCGCAGGGCAGCCGTGGCGAGCCGCGACACCGCCGCCTTCTTCAGTTCTTTGACGGGGTCGTCGTCGTCGCTGCGCTGCTGGACATCCTCCTTTGCCTGGTTCTTTTTCTTCTTGCCCGCGGTATAGGTGTTGGCGGCGGTGTTGTTGTCCGCAGCGCACGCAGTTGGGTCCATGGTGATCGCGATCTTGGCCATATTCAGACTCAGCCAGAACGCCACGTCGACGTTCTCCAGCGATATGGTTTCGACTGCCAACTGCACGCCGCGCTCGACCACGTCACGGAGCTGGAAGAACGCCCCCGCCGCTGCGTAGCACACCGCCGCGTCGGTCATGGCCGCCTCCAGACAGAACTGCGTCAGCCGGTGCGTATCCTCAGTGTAGCCGAATCCTGCGAGCGTCTGGGTGCGCAGCTGCGCAGCCGTCAGCAACGGCGTCCCGTACATGTACTGGATGACGAGCTGGAAGGGTTTGGGCAAGCAGAAGTTCTCCCCCGCCACGGCGAAGAGCTCTCGCATTTCGCCGTCCTTGGTCTTCTCGGGCGTCGCGCGCAGGAAGCTGGCAACGACCGGGCTGCGCGACACAATGGAAGCGTGCGTGCGGAACGACATGGGCCAGAAGAGCTCGCTGCTCGAGCGCAGGGTGACCAGCAAGTCATAGTGCCCGGTTCTTTCGAAGCAGCGGAGCAGGTGTTGGGCGATGGGGCTCAGGGTTTCTTGTCTTGTCAGCTGGGACACATACGCGCATGCGTTGCGATATCTTCTCTTACCTATACCGTCCTTTCCGACTGGGCCGTTGTCTGCACCCGGCGCTTTCTCCGACTCGGTCGTTTTCTTCTCTCTATCGTTGTCACTTCCACCAACCTCTGGCGCACGTGTGTCGCTCTTATCACCCGCATTCCCCTCCTCGCCACCGGCCTTTTGATGTCCGTGCATATTACCAGCAGGACCAGCCGAGACATTTCCCCCGCTAGCGACAGCAGCGAAATTTCCAGCCGCCACCGCCGCCACGGCGGCATACGCACAGTGACAGCAGTCGCCCGCGTGGTGCAGACAGCAGCACGACGCCTTGGCCGGACAGGTGCAGTCTGCCGGACGGGGCTTGTGCACACAGCAGGCGGGATGGAAGACGCAGAGGCGGCCATGGACGCGACAGTAGGCCGATCCGGGGCGGGTGACGGCCGCACCGCTCGCCGCAGGATTGTCAGTGTGCGCTCCGTGGACTGTGTCCGTCGCAGCGTGGTGGTCGCGAGCAGAAGCAGATGAGTTAGTGGACTCGCTCGGACCCATGGGCGTGTCCTCGGGCTGCACGGTGGACGATCGCGAGCTGTCCATGATCATGGGCGAGAAGGGCCGGCCGTTGTTGTCGTTGGCTTCGGTCGGTTGGACTATCTCGTCGTCAGTATCAATGTGTCGCTCACGATGCAATACGAAATCACTCACCCTTGTCACGAACGTCACTCGCCGGCACGTCGTTGCCGGCCTTCTCAACCTCATTCCCTTTCTCCTTGTCACCCTCAACCTCATCTTCAGTCTTCTTATGAACATCCTCGGAGCCCTCGTCAGGGACCTTCTCCTCAGCCTGCGCAGACGCAGTCTTCTTGCCCTTGTTCTTCTTCTTCTTCTTCTGGGCATTTCTCTTTTTCTTCTTGGCGATCCTGCGACGTTCCGCCACGCCATCGACCTGCGGAAGAGCCATCATTTTCGTTGCACCCACGGGCGAGCCGGGAGACGAGAATGCAGCTCGAGGGAGTGTCGCGAGGCTGGTACGCTCGACGTGAAAGAAGTCGTCAAAGGTGGTGATCACAGCGGGGAGGTCGGCGGTGCAGAAGGAAGCGCTTCGCTTCTTTTGCATGCTTCCCTTTCTTGCTTTACCTTAGTATCTGAAAGTGGAGAGGAAGTTTTCTTTTATTGTTTTGTTGCTTACCAGAGTGGTGTTGCGGATGGGAAGGTACAGTCAGTCCGCAGCGTGATGTGTGAAAGGGAGTTGGTGATTTTCTCAGAGCTGGAAGTGAGGATTTTATGAAGAAAAACAGTGCACTATGGGGGGAAGCAGAGAGGGTACTGGCTGCTTTCTGTTGTTGTTCCTCCTTACGGGGCTCTGGCTGTTCTGGTCTTCACAGATAGTTTGTTCCGGTTGCTTCTAACTACACTAGTGACTGGTCAATACAAGCTGGTCTTGTTACTCTGAATCCAGTGATGCCTTTGAAGCTTCCTATAGTAGCGATCCTGTAGAGCTAACATATTATCTACTATGTAGTGATACTGTGTAGCTATTCATCTGCTGGGCTTATAGTTCTGTTGGTAGGGCTTCTGTGTCCACGTGACTTCTGTTACCAACATTCACGTGACTAATACCTACTTAGGTGATCCTGTGAGTCACACGTGACCCGCTTCACATGATTCTTTCTTTGTTCTTTTAGGCAGCGACGCGCATCGGCGCATTCCATCATATCGCATCATCCCTACAAAACACTCCAATACATTTACTCAACTTCATTCTTGCTCCCTATTGCATAATGTAGCCGCTCACATAACACAATGGTATATCATAACAAACAGAAGGGGTAATCTCAAAGGAAGGTAGGTATCCAGAATCTAACAAAAAGAAAAGCTACATGTCGTAGAACCAAGTTGGATCAGAACATGCCCCCCTCCATAGGAACCTGAGGCGGGGGATACGTAGGCATCGCCGGCGGCGGCGCAGCATTCATTGCCTGCTGTCTTGCCTTGGCGTTGAGGTTGCCTCCCTCGCTGGAAGTCTTGCGCAGACGATGTCGCGATTTCGGGCGTCGCTCGCCCTCGTCTGAGAAAGTGCTGTGCTCGTCAGGCCCCCACGAGGCGTTGGGAGGGGCTTCGGGCTTCTCGCCCTTGATCGCGCCCAGGATAGTCTGCGTAGTCGTCTGCCGACGGCGGCGTGGGTTCATCGGAGGCACGGGCGGTGTTTCCATGCCGTTGCTCAGGCTGGCGCCCGGGGGAAGGCCGACGGTCGGGACGTTTGACGTGCATGAGATGAAGGTGGGCTCGGAGATTTGCGTCTTATCGATAAGACGCTTCTGCAGGGCGCCGTGACCCGGGGCGCGTTGCGGGATCGTGCTGGGATGTGTGGGTGCGGGTGTGGCGCCATGCTCGGACGGCAGATCGTACAGCGGGGGCGTCGCGTTGGCCGAGTACGGCGCGATAGGGGATGGTCGCGGCGCACCGACCATCGGGGAGTTCGTGGCGGGTGGAAGCTGCAGAGGTCGGTCGTGGGCACCAGACCGGCTCCCACTGCGCATCCGCCCCGACGCGGCCGACGATGATCGATCGTACGGGGAATCGCTGACTTCCACCGAGGGGCGAGCGGATGACGCGACAGAATTCATTCCATGGGTGTCGATATCAGGATACCCACGGCGTCCGTACGGGCCCACGGTGTCTTCCTCGAGGGTCTCGAGGTCTTCTCTGTTGGGGCGGTTACGGCTCTTGGAGCGGCCCGAGGCGTCCGAACTCGACCGGTCTCGCCGAGATCTGAAGCTCGCATGGGGTGACGCGCCCCGGCTACGACTCGACTCACGGGAATCCTCCTGGCTGGTGCGGCCAAAGGCGGCCATTCTGGACCGCATGGACCGCTCCCCCACATGTGGAGAGCTCGAGTTCGAATGCTTCCCCAGGAAGGACGGTCTCTCTTCCTCCCAGGCGTCGTCTGGGACTAGGGACGGAGTCGAAGCGTTTCCCATGCCGTAGCCCCGGGGGTTCTTCGAATCCTGTTGTCGGTTGAACAGGTGATGTTTCCCAGACCGGCTCTTCAGCAAGGCAAACGCATTTCCAGGGCGTGCGGGAGGATAATCGGGCGTGTGGCGACCGGACACAGGGCTAGCCGATCGGCTCTCGCTCTCAGCAAAGCCCTTGAGCTTTTCTTGGACCTTCCTACGTCGCTCTGCCAGCTCATTTTCGAATTCCTCCCGTTCCCTTTGGGTCTCCGTGCTTCCTCCGCGCCGGTGCTGTGCCACGATCTGCCCTTGCCACGAGGATCCGTTGAGAGCTTGCTTGAGATCAACAGATTTGGGCATTGCGGACGGCTGTGATGAGGTATCTTTCGCTTCTGACTCGGCAACGGAGAGTGCCCGGTCGGCATCGTCATCCGCGGGGTTCGGTGGAAGCCCTGGGGAAGGTGGAGGGAAAATCGACGATCTATCACTGCCATGCCGGAGATGGGTACGGATCAACCCGCTGAGCCCCAGTCCCGACGGGCCCAGGGTGGGCGAGTCTGGTTTTTCAGGAAGTGCCTCTTCGTGCTCGGGGTTGCTCTCCACAGCATCCTGCTCAGCGATCGGTTTCAGGTCTCCGAGATCTGAATAGCGAACCTCGGGAAGCGGGCTGAGAGGGCTTGATTCTTCTCCTGTAGGAGTAGAAGGCTTGGAAGGGGTCTTGGATCGAAGGGCGGGGTGAACGAAGGCATAGTCGCCTTCGTCTTCCGACTCACTAGGGGTGGTATCGAAGAATGTCCCGTTCATTCCTCTTGCCGGTGAGGCGCCCACGCTTGTTCCGGTACCTGGACGCTGCGTCTCACTGTAGTGAGATGAGACCGAGCCACCTCGGGACCGATAGCTGGTCGTCGAATGGCCACGGGGACGTCCAGGAAGGTCCTGCGGCGTTCCACGACCAGAGGTCATAGGGGAGGGTCGGCTCAATGGGGGAGTGTTTCTCCCTTGGTGCATCTGAAGCTGGCGGCGAGTGAACTGTTCCTCGTCGAAGGGGGTTCTGGGCTTGTTAAATAGTCCCATCGCGGTGGCTTTGCCATGGTCTTCAGGTTGCAGGGCGGCCATGAGAGCCGCGTTCTCGTCGTTTTCACTGTGGGGAGGGCTGAGCGGCGGCGCCGCGTAATCAGGTGACGTCTGGGACTTTTGTTCCTGCGCCGTAGACTCCACAGGCCGTTGTGTCGGAGAGTCTGAGGAGGAGGGTGGGCTGCTAGGACTGGATGCCTGGCCTGTCGGTTCGGCGATGGCAAGCTTCTGCAACCTGTCACGAAGATTGGTGGCGCTCCTCGAATACGACCTGTTGAGAACAGGTAGTTCCGGGGTCCCAGCCCGCTGTCGGCTCAGGCTCTCCAGGCGATGCAGCGCCGAGTTGTGTTGATTCTGGACCGATTGAGCCAGACCCTGTCCATAGAGCCGTCTCGACTTCAGCGAGCCGCGATCGGGAGCCATCCCTGGCAACGGTGGTTTCGACACTGCTTGAGAGCCTTCAGTGAGGCTCCCCGTGTTGGAGAAAGATTGCTCGTCGACCGAGGTGGCCGCTGTGGAGATACGGCCGCTGACCGTGGGCCCTGACGTTGTGGAAGAAAAGGTGGTCCGTTTAGTCGAAGAGACACTCGACAGACCGTCTTCGGATTCCTGGGCGTTGGAATCCTGTTGTGCGTCTTCGACAGTGTTTGCCCCCCTCTCCTTCTCCTGCAATCGATACCGCTGAAATGCCGACAAGGTCACATCGGGCTCGTACACAGCACGGCCAGCCATGCCGGAACGCCCTGCTTCCGACTGAGTCGCCTTGGCCGGGATTTTATAGACTTTCTGGCGTCCACCAAACAGGTTGTTCCCTTCGGCCCGACGAGCTCGGCTCATGATGCTGTCTTTCTGGGAACGATCGTCATCCGTACCGTAGCCATCGCCGCCCGAGGCGAAAGAATCGGTGCGCCCCAGACCGAAGGATGGGCGGCTGCCGTCGGTGGAGACTTCATCGATATCAGTCAGGAAGTTGGGAGTGTGGCCGAAGAGATTGAGGCGGGAGGCTCGCTTGGGGAAGAGAACGCTGTCGTCGCTCGCCTTCCCGATCATGGTGTCCGGGTCATCTTGTTCTCGCAGCATGCTGAACCGGGCGGAGAGCTTGGGCATGAGCAGACTGGTGCGGAAGTCATCTGTGGAGGGCAGAGCGGAGGACAGGTCGAGCTCTGGTTTCTCTTCTGGCTCTTTCTTGCTTCGTTTGGACAGTTTTGCGGTGAGGGTGGTATGGAAGGATTCGGCGGCCTCTCCATCGTCCTTGACCTTCTCCTTCTTGGACTTGAGGAAACGATTCATGGCGAAATGGTCGATGAGATAATTTACGGGCACGATGCGACCAAATTCAGACGGGGGAGCTGTCGCTGAGGACCATGGACCGGTGCAAGATCAACACCCACTACACGGGGACCATGTATGGACAGTCGACTAAACTGGAGACATGTACTGCACCAGGTCTGGTCAGTACGTCTGTGGGATTTAGGAGGAATTGAGCGAGAGGGGGGTTTGTTGAAGTGGCGCGGATAGCGATGAAAAGGGCGGCGACTCACTGGGTCCAATTGGACAGGGATGCGCACAGGGGGGCGGAAAGGAGACGGGCTACCAGTGGGTGACGGGTTCGATTGAGAGAGCTAAGACGGGTCTACTCAGGAATCGTTCGATTATGGACTCATCTCAGGGTCGCGGCGAAAGAAGCGCGGATGGCGCGCAGTGGTCGGGGTTGGAATGGGAGAAATGGAAAACGGGGAGGAATCCCAATCGGCCGATGACAATGGGACGAACGAGCGACAGAAAACCCTCTTGGGGAAGGGAACGAGGGCGGGTGATAATACTGGTCGGATTGGATACTGGGAGTCTGCAGGCCGGGGGGAATGTGGCGCGGGACGCGGAGGCAGAAGATATGCTGGTGAAGCTGGAATGCTGGATCTGTAACTATCGAACGGTTGACGTTTGATGATCGTTTGGGAGCGAACGGGTGGCAGCGATCGAGGAATGTTTCTATGGAGAAGGAAAGAGTGGAGGAATGTGAAACGAAGGAGAGATGAAAGAGGGAGTGAGTGTATAGAGTAGAGAGCGGAGTGGGTGTGAAGGAGAGACGCAGAGAAAAAGAGAAGAGAAGGAAACGACAGGAAGAGCGACAGGTCAACAAAGCGCGGGAGGGAAGAAAAAAACCCGACGTGATGGATGGATGGAAAGAAACGAAGGGATCTGGATCCGATCGTCCTTTTTTTTTTTTTTTTTTTTTCCCTTCTGTAAAATTAATAATTTTCGTCCGTTAATTTATTTCATTATTATTATTATTCTGATCCTGTTCATCAACCGAACAGTCCAGAGCCAACTAGTCTAGAGGCATAAATTATTGGGCCCGTTGGAGACACCGGCGAGTCTTGGACGACGATCAACACGAGTTTGGTAAAATAACCAGTACTTTGGGGCACTCCTAGATCAGAGAGACATCCCCGGATGGTCCGTCTCTACGCCGTCTCCAGGAAGAGATATGATCCGAATCTATCTCCCTCTCTTTCTCCTCCACGGCAATGTTTTCCCCTGATGGTGTCTCCTGTCTCCTCCACTGATTAAAGTCGACGGACCCCCATGGACAACCATGGATACTGGGACGGTCCCTCCGAACCAGGGCCCCATCGGCTGTCGAGGGTACCTGAATTAGTCGGATTTAGCCTCGCTTCGTTCCCCCTTGCAGGCTCCACTCGCCCAGGAACCACGAATCACGGCTGCCCAGTTGGCCCGGTCGTTACTGGCCCATACCTGGAACCATACCGCTTGGTACCAGACAGCGTTCACGCCTTGCGGGATCAACTCCCACGGAGTCACACCAGACTCAAGACAATGGTGGGGTACCGGTACAGACAGAGTTGACGCTCTCTTGTTTTGATTTAGTCCTGGTTCTGGTCCTGGCAACGTTCTGTGCATGGAACCAGGAACCAGATCACCAGATTCTCTCCCTAGATCCATCTGGATCATCATCCTGCGGGTGGGCCAGACGAACCCCTCAGCTGCAGCACATCGTACAGAGGCGTCAAAGACCGGATGGAGACGACCCAGCAAGTGGACAGTGGACAATACCTCCGAGACAGAAGAAGGAGATCAGCTGAGGCCTGTCCTGCTCAATCTAGCTATCCCTTTGCGGATATGACCTGTCTGTTGGGTTTCACGCCCAATGCCTCCCTCCCGACGCTAGAGATTCCGGAAATTTGGACGAGCGGAGACGATCACTGGAGGGTGGTGCATCATTGCCTGAAGCGATAGAGACGATAGAGGCGGTCGGAAATCCGCCGCGGTCGGAGAACCCAACAGAGCCTGACAGGGAGCTGTCCGAATCAGGACGAACGGCTCCATCGTATCGCATCTAACTACTCCGTGTCTTGCATCCCCTCATGCAGTCATCTCCTGATCCCGGGGCACTAGGGACGGTTGTCAACCCGGCTACAGAAGGGAACGGAGGACATGCGTAACCGACCAGAGTGGTCACTCTAATCCGACCTCAAAACGACCAGCAACGGGTGTTCAGTCGCACCCGAGGTTAACCTTGATCAGTCTGTGTCCAGGTCTCAGATGCAATGACCATGTTAACGTCATCTGGCGCTCAATCCAGGAGAACCGGTTTGAAGGACTCCACAGGATGGGTATATGGGCCAGTGTTATGAGTCGGGAAATGACAAGTATGTACTTTACAGTAGTTACTCCGTACTGTAGACTCAATAATATCAGCCATACTAATAGTACCCCGCTGCATGGACAAGACGTTGAGGCCGCCTAGGCTATTTCGGGATGACACTTAACTGTATGTACGGAGGAGAGCTGACAGCCGTTGGTCCTAAAGCCTGAAGTGGAAGAAACCGGAGTTAGTTGCCCCATCGGAAGCATTATTTACGGAGTAGTACTCCAGAGTACCATATTGACTGGGTACTTATCAATGATAATAATAATGATGATAATAATAATAATAATATTGGTGAAAGTCCCCCTGACTAGTCCAAAGGGGGAACTGACTATCTACTCCGTATGTACTAGTCATTCATAGAATAACCAAGTACATATCGCTGGAATAGTAACCTCAATTAATGTCAGGAATAATCCTCCGATACTCCTAAAGATGATGGGAATAAAGGTAATTATTATCGGAAGAATTCGCCCACCCGTGGAATGACATCCTTAATCAAAGTCAATTTCCGCCTCCCCCTCCTAAACTAACTAGTCACTCAACTAAAAGGTTCCAGAATCCCCGTTTTAATAATGAATCTCATCAAATTAATTAGCTACCCCCACAGCCTCTTTCTCATCACATCCGCAAAACCAGATCCATTGCCGGGGTCAAGCTTTGAAAGGTCGTTTGCTGCTGCATCATTCGATCGTACCAGGCCGCCGGTGTTTCAGCTTAACACAGTGTCGGATCCAGTCCTTTCGCTAAAATTAATCATGATTCTCAGGATGTTCGGGCCCGGTTGGATCGGAGCGGCAGTTGATGACGATCGATCGGATTCTGCCTTGTCCACGATCCAGTTTGATGCGGGGAACAAGTCCTGAGGACTATAGGGTCGGGATGAGGAGATGATTCAGAACAGAAGTCAAAGGGAGAAGCCTATTCTCACACAACAATCATCAGACCACTACACGGTCTTATCCCTTGCAGTGAGCTGAGACAATCCAACAGCATGATTGATCATTCTATCTGAGGACAAGCAAACACTTGAGAACATCTATGACGCCATCTCGATTATTAATCCTGCATCACCCCGCGACATCAACAACAACATCCTACCCCTTCCCTCTCCTCCCTAAGACCTCAACAACTAATTGATCCAAAACAGTCTACACAATGCAGGTCCTTCTCCTTGGCGGCCACGGCAAAGTCGCCCTCCATCTCACCCCACTCCTCCTCAACCGCGCCTGGAACGTCACCAGCGTCATCCGCAACCCGGACCACGAGCGCGAGATCCTCGCCCTCGGCGCCGGCCGCAAGGGCAAGCTCAACGTCCTGCTATCCAGTCTCGACGACGTAAAAACCGACGCCGACGCAAAGAAGATCATCGACGCGGTTTCGCCCGATTATGTCGTGTGGTCGGCCGGTATCCCTCTCCCCTTCTCCTCGTAGACTGTTCCCAACCCCCGTTCTCTCCCCCATCTCGATAGAACAGTCAAGAACGCAAGTAACTAACAAACCAAAGGCGCCGGCGGCAAAGGCGGCCCCGAACGCACCTACGCCATCGACGCCCGCGCCGCCAAACACTTCCTCGCGGCCGCCTACGCAACCCCGCGCGTCACCAAGTTCCTCCTCGTCTCGTGGATCGGAAGTCGCCGCACGCAGCCCTCGTGGATGTCCGACGACGACTGGGCGGGTATCCAGAACGTCTTCAACAACGTGCTGCCGGCGTACGCCAAGGCCAAGCTCGAGGCGGACGAGTACATGACGGCGCTGGCGGCGCAGCGCAAGAAGCTCATCGCGACGGGCGCCGCCCCGGGCGTCGGCCCCATTCAGTCGATTAACCTGCGGCCCGGCACGCTGACGGATGACCCCGCCACCGGGAAGGTGCAGCTGGGCAAGACGGCGCGCGGCATGGGCAAAGTCACCCGTGAGGATGTGGCGATAGTGGCGGATCGGTTGCTGGCGCGGGCGGATACGGACGGGTGGTATGACTTGCTCAATGGAGACGAGCCGGTGGATGAGGCGGTTGAACGGGTGGCGAGGGAGAGGGTGGATGCGGTGGAGGGGGAGGATGTTGATGCGATGGTTGCGCGGTTTTTCTCGTAGGTCGAGGCCAGTGCAGTCTATGTAAGTGATTGATTATGCTTGATGCGTCTAATGTGGTAGATCTCATTACACGATCTTATGAACGAATAAATACAGAGAATCTATCGAAATGCCTAAATACAAACACTCATATCTACATTACAGCTTGGCCTTGGGCGCTGCCGCCGCCGCCGCCTCCTCCTCCTCCTTGGCCTGCTTCTTCAGCAGCCGCCGCAGGATCTTGCCGCTGGCGCTCTTGGGGATGGCGTCGACAAACCGCACGCCGCCGCGCAGCTTCTTGTGGTACGCGACCTTGCCGTCCAGCCACTGGATGATGTTGGCAGCCTCCTGTTCCGCGCTGACGCCCGACGCCTTGCTCTTGGCGCTGCGGACGACATATGCGAGGGGCACCTCCGTGCCGTGAGCTCGAGACTCGACACCGATAACGGCGACGTCGTCGATGGCCTCGTTGTCGACCAGGATGCCCTCCAGTTCTGCGGGCGCCACCTGGAACCCCTTGTACTTGATGAGCTCCTTAACGCGGTCGGTGATGTAGAAGTTGTTGTGCTTGTCCTGGTAGCCCACGTCACCGGTGCGGAACCATCCGTCCGCCGAGAGGCAGTCGGCCGTGGCAGCGGGGTTGTTGTGGTACCCCAGGAAGATGTTGGGCCCGCGCATGTACAGCTCGCCGACTTCGCCAGCTGGCACCTCGCGCGGCTCGGACCCGTCTTCGGGCATGGTCATATACTTGGCCTCTAGGTTGGGGAGCAGCTTGCCCACGGAGCCGATGCTGGTGCGCCATTCCTCCCAGGGCTGGGTGTGGGTGGTCGGGCTCGTTTCGCTCAGCCCGTAGCCCTGCTTGATACCGACCTTGATGCGGGCATACACGGCCTCGACGAGCTCCTGGGTGAGGGGAGCGGCGCCCGAGTTCATCATGCGCAGACTGGACAGATCATACTTGTCGACCACAGGGTGCTTGCTCAGCAGTAGCACGACCGGAGGCACGACATAGCTGAAGGTGATCTTATAGTTCTGGACGTGCTCACACCACTTCTCGAGATCGAACTTCTGCATCACGACCAGCTGGTATCCCTGGTACAGGGTCTGGTGGACCAGACAGGTCAGACCATAGATATGGAAGAAAGGCAGGAAAGCCAGCACGCGGTCTCCCTTCCCATCGGGTCCACCATTCCACGTCAGGTGGCCCGATTCGCCCGCGGCCAGCTGGAGCGAGTTTGCGATGATGTTCCGATGCGACAGCATGACGCCCTTGGGCACGCCAGTAGTGCCGGAGGAATAGACCAGGAAGGAAAGATCCTTGGCGGGGTCGATCTTAGTCTTGCGGTAGCGGGTGGCCCGCGAGATGTTGCGAACGGAGGTGAAGTGCTTGATCTTGCCCTGGGGATCGCGCTCATCGCCGATCAGGATGATGTGCGATTCGGGGATGCCCACCTGCTTGGCGGCGGCCGTCGCGGCGGGCAGATGGGCTATCTGCGTCACCAGCGCCCTCGCGCCGGAGTTCTTCAGCTGGAAGGCCAGCTCCTCCACGGTATAGGCCGGGTTGGCGGGGGAGATCACGCCTCCAGCCCAGTGCGTTCCCCACATAACGACAGGCGTGTCGATGCTGTTGGGGGTGTACAAAGCAAGTACATCGCCCTTGCGCCAGTCATATGTGGCCTTCAAGCCCTTTCCAAACTCCAGGGCGGTCTCCTTCAGGGCTTTGTAAGTGTAGTGCCGCTGGGTGTCCGCATCTCGGTAGATGACTGAGGGGGTTAGTATCAATCTAGAGCAAGAAGGTATAGAAGACTCACTGTTGTCGTCAGGAAAAGGCTTATCCTTCCGTTCGAACAAGAACGTCCAGAGGTCAACATTGGGAATGTCGACCGAGGGGTAAGGTGAGGAGACGGGCATGATAGACTGCGGGGAAGTTGGAGTCGAAGGAGGGAGTCGAGGGACGGAAGCAAAGGGCTACAAGGATGAAGAAGGTGATCGCGTAGAGGAAGAGAGGAGATCCGAGTCGGTAGCAGCGGCAGTGAAGAGGAGTCCTGAGCAGGAGAAAGGGCGGTACTCCGTAGATAACCACCGCAGTGGCCATTCATTCGGCCCTCGGCATTCTCGCAGTACTCCGTAATACCCGAACGGGTATGCTCCCCCGGATCGGTAACGCTTCGCTGCCTCAGGCTGCTGCAGGGCCCTCAGGGTTCAGGTGGAGATCGTCTCCGCAGCTGACTCATCCGCATCCTGTCTGTCATCCGTGGATCTTCTTTCTTCCGACCCCGTATAGGAAGTCATACTGCATCTCAAGCACCTTCTAAGAGATACCTAGATAGTCCTTATACCTAACAATACTATGCCAATGTAGCTCCTCTTCACTTGCCAACTTATATGTAAGTTTATCTCGTCAACCTCAATGCGCTTAATGCCTTCCCCTCTTATTGTTTTGAGCAATGGTGAAGTTCATGCAGAGACTCGCCAGTGCTAGAAGCATATCATCCATTCCCTGTTTCTACAAGCCGCGGGTCTCTTACAAGCAGCCTGCAATATCTGCTACATCGTGCCATCACTTATCCACCAGTCCACCAGCACACCGCGAGGATTTCTTCCGAAATACATCAAGACGATGGATGTACGTTACGTATATTATGTCTTTGGGCTCAGTTATTGAATGTCAGCTAGATTCAACGAGACCGACCGTTTGAGCGAAAGATACGTCAAGTTCCGACCAACAGAACTCCAACGGATCGCCGGCGAAGCAGTACAACAAGAGTATTGCCCTGATATTGCTAAGCTTGCAGAGGGTGGCTTCAACAAAGTGTTCCTTCTGCGAGCAAAGAATGGCCGTGAAGTGATTGCGCGAATTCCCACTCCCATTGCCGGGCCTCCTCATTACACGACTGCCAGTGAAGTGGCTACGATGGACTTTTTGCGAGATGTCCTCAAACTACCGGTACCAGAGGTCTTGGAATATTCAGCATCTTCGGACAATCCCGTGGGCGCAGAGTATATTCTCATGGAGTGTGTGGAAGGGGAGAGTCTTTCCTCACGGTGGTTATCTCTCACGACCGACGAGGTGAAAGACATTATGGAACAAATAGCAGATATGGAGAGGAAGATTTTTGACTTCCATTTCCCCGCGTATGGAAGCTTATATCACAAAAAGGACCTTGACGGTGAGACCCAGATCTCACTCGTGGAAGATTTTTGTATTGGACCTGTGTCTGCCCGGCAGCTTTGGCATGGTGAACGACGCAGAACAGAAATTGACCGTGGGCCTTGTAGGTTCCCCTTGCACCTCCCTCCCCTTTGTTGGCTATGCATAATAACCGACCTGACCGGGGCTGATTATTGTCACAGGGCTCTCACCCGTGGACTGCGTTACCTCTGCGGCTCGTCGAGAGATGGCTGTTATTCAGCATCACGCCAAAGCTCAGCCTCGCCAGATATTCCTCCTGCCGACTAACTACGACATCCATCCGTGTGAGTACACCTCGTTACTTTCGCAATTCCTACAGTTGGCGCCTCATATAACACCACCACCAGGTTCTTACAGCGCTCCCACACTGAGACATCCTGACTTGAGTCTGAGTAACATCATATTGGCACCTGGGTCAAGCAAAATCAGTAGTATCATTGATTGGCAGGATGCTGTGATATTCCCCCGCTTCATGCAAGCCGGTTATCCCGCATTTTGAGAACACGACTCCTCCAAGCCTCAAAGCCTGAAAATCCATCTCTCCCCGATAATTTCGATGAGTTGGATATCGGTCAACAGAGACAATCCAGAGCCATCTTTCGCTTGGAAGAGGCCAACCTTTACTACACGGCGTCGACAGGTGTACACAATAACCAACACATGGCTGTGTTGAAACTTCCCCATCTCGGAATGCGGCAGTATCTCCTTCGCCAGACAGGCTATCCCTGGGACGCAGACGTAATCAACCTACGTGCTGCATTAGTGGGCATCACGACTCCATCGGTATGGAGCAACATATCCTCGGAAGTCTGTCCGGTTGTGTTCAGCGATGAAGAACGAGAGGCTGCTATGGCGGAATCGCAGGAATGGAACGAGTCTGAACAGCTACTGTCTCGAGTTAGAGAACACCTCGATATCGATCTGGAAGGCGGGACCGACCCAGATAACTTTGAGAGAGCAGTGGCGGGCAATCGAGAGTTTCGTATGGAAATGGTTCGGCAAGCAGAGGCGGACCAGCGGGAGATCTGTTGGCGTAATTGGCCATATAAGGATAAAGAGGATAGCAGCACGCCTCCTATCGAATAGCTAGCTAGCTTTTGACGCGAATACGTTGTGTTCATTCGACTCAAGAACTAGTTCACCAAGTCAATCACTCCAATATAAAGATAGATAATCAAGTCTGTCATCCGATCGTTACTCAAAGTAGAAACTAGTTCAATGCAAAGTTCTATACACTCTACTAAGCATAAATATACATAGTCGCCAGACCACTCTCACATCAGGCTGGTTCGTCCCCCAATCTCCCGGCCCCCTTCACCGTTGGGCATCTCGCCGTTCCGGCCCACCACAAACTCGCGATAAATCGCCTGGAGTCGCCTCCGTTCGGCATCACTGAGTGAGCTGCGCGTACTGGATAGCGAACGCTCCATATGCTCCCATCGCACGATGATATCCTCACGAGGCTCCTCGTTCGTCGTGCCGTTCGTGGCAGGTACGGCGCTATTGGAAGCGGCAGCGCTATTGCTTCCCTGTTCCATCTGACGCTGGCGTCGGCGAGCACTCTTGATGGCATCCAACTTCGACGCGACAACCGCAGGCGCTGGCATGGACACCGACCCGTTCACCTGTTCCGACGAGTAGAGGAACTGGATAAAGGACTTGCTGCTGGTGCTAGTCGCCTGCTTGCTACCCTTACCCGTGGGCTTGTCTGTCGAACGGTCCCCTAGAGCATCGTGGACAGCTTCCAGGTGGGCGTTGTAGACCACAGCCTGGAGGTCGGCACCAGAGAAACCCTCCGTCCGCGCAGCGACCTCGTCCAAACGAGCGGCGACCTCATCGCTCATCTTCAGTTTTTTGCTCACTGCCTGGATGATGTCGACACGGTCCGCGTGGTTGGGCATGTCACAGAGTAGAGACTTGTCCAGACGACCGGGCCGCAACAAGGCAGGATCGATCAGATCCGGCCGCGAGGTGGCCGCCAGGACGTACACTCCAGAGAGTCCTTCAGCACCGTCCATCTGCGTCAGCAGCTGATTGACCACTCGGTCGGTGACACCAGTAGAATCGTGGCCACGCTTGGGCGCGATACTGTCGAACTCATCAAAGAACAGGACACAAGGCCGCGCCGCCTGAGCTCTCTCGAATAGGTCACGCACACTCTTTTCACTGGCGCCGATATACTTGTTCAGGATCTCTGGGCCCTTCACGCTGATGAAGTTCAGGCCGCACTCGCCTGCCACAGCACTGGCCAGGAGGGTCTTACCACAACCCGGGAAACCATACAGCAGCAAACCTGACCGCAGGCGCAGTGGACACTGGGCGAAAATAGGGGCATACTTGGTAGGGTATTGTAGCGTCTCCAAGAGCATCTGCCGGGTTTCTTGTAATCCACCAATCGCGGCGAATGTTGTCGTGGAGGAGGTGAGAGTGACGTTGCGAAGTGATGCGGGCGTAAAGCCCTTAATGGCGTTCTCAAAGTCCTCGGAAGTTAAGGTGATTGCTTTAGAATCCGCCGTAGGGCCCTGAACGGAGCGAATAAGAGCCTCGTTCCGAGCACGGGAAACAAACAAGACGAGATCACCCGGCATGTATCCATCAGTCTTGCCAGCCAGTTCGAGGAAATCCACATCCCGTCCGAGGATGAACCCGTCGGCTCCAGCAGAGCTGGGACGGCTACCCGGGTTGGAAGGATCCAGCCAGGAGTCCTGGGTGGATGAGCTTTCTTGCCGTACATGGCCATTCATCGTGATACTGTTGCCTCGGTCTTGGCTGGTCAACTGCTCCAAAACCTTCCGTCGTCCTTCTTTATCAGGGGCTCTCAGGTGGATGATCTCACGCGCAACATGGCCTCCCACGATAACATTGTTCAATGATTCTTTGGACTGTGCCGTGGCCAGCAGCACAACTGATGAGTTCATGGAGCAGTACTCCCGCACCATAGAGCAGATCACCTCGCTGTTCTGCCGGCTCCGACCATTGTCACCTCCAACTTGGAGCTCGGTCTCCACTGGGCATAACTTGTCGAGATCATCCAGGATCACAAGCGACTGCCCGCCGAGACGCGCACACCAAGAAGCAGACATGAAGAGGCGGTTGAGCGTTTCTTTGATATTAGATATCCGAGTCTCATCAGTGACGAGTTTCCGGCAGGAAAAGTATTTGACGTTGAAGAGGTGCTCTTTTCTTAAGCGGTGGGCCAGGAGATGGGTAAGGACTGTCTTTCCTGACCCAAGTCCACCAGTCAGCAAGACAGACGAAGACTTGGTCAGGTTGTCGAGGGATTGCGAAATAGTCTGGTCAATTCCCACCAACTCAGGAACAGCGGTTGGGATTGGATCGTCTGTGGGTAAGGCAGACGAGCCTTGCTCTGAAAGTCTAGGAATTTCAGATTGCACGTCCAGAGACAACTTAGTATCGGCACCAAGCACCCAGCCAAAGGTTTGCTTGTTCGCATCGGATCCACTCTTCAACGGAGGATCGAATCGAATGATGGCGCCATCGAAAGCAGAGACCGTTGGGTGCTCCGCCCTGGGGAGGATCATTCCATCAGTCAAGGGCCCTGACAGTAAGCCCTTCTCGGGTTCGCCGTAAATAACCTTCAGACGTTCGGCCAAAGCGTCCTTCGCAGCCACAGTGTCCGCACCAAATTTCAACCCATCCTTTCTCTTCGATGCGTCAGTCATGAAAGGATAAACTTTCAGCGACTTTACTGCGGACCGCTGCAATGGCGGGGGAGCAGCCTCAACACGCACAATGCCGCCTACCATATTTTCAGCTCCAAGGCCAGAGCACAGTAGAGACGACATGGCAATATGTTGAGGGTCCGGCGAGTCGACCCAAGGAAAAATCTTGGCCACAAGCTTGGTAGTGGGTGCACCGGCATCGTGGGACTTTTGTTGTTCGGCTTGGTTTACTTGTTGTTGAGGGTCCGGGGGCGGTTTGAGACCAGAAGGCTGGACAACCGAGACGCATGCCCAGCTGGCGCCGCGTAGTTCGTTCGTCGCGAGCATATCCGGGTCAATCCACACACGGAAGCCATCATTGCTGTCTTCATCCGACTCGCCATCGAAGTATTGTTCAGACCATTGCCGATCAACCCCTCTGAAATACAAAGAGCCTCGGCTTGTCGAGTCCGAGCGACTCTTCGGCCGGGCCGCGCTTCCACTGCTTCTTCCTCCCGTGCTTCTCCGGCTACTACCGGTGACACTTCGACTATCACCACGGGTCCCTCTGGTAGACTTGGACCGCACTTTGGGCGCTACGATAACTTCGGCGTCGGGAGCTATCTTGGCGAAGGCGGCCGTATTGGGCGGAGCGGGGGTAAGCGACGTGACCACGATGTTGGCAGTTGAGGTTGGCGAGAGATGTAATGCAAGAGGATGCATATGATCCGGTTGGGTGGTAGTATAAGATGGGTTCGGTAATGCGCGGATTTGCGACAGCAAGTTGAGCTCCAGGAACGTCGCGTGCAACTCGATGACTGCATACAGGGTCAGCAGAGCGGATACGTAAAGAGTATCATATTAGGGGTGCCATACTCTCCCAGTCTTCCGGAGTCAAGGGCTCAATGTTAATGGTATGTGCAACTGGAGGATCCAGATGAATGAATATCCCCACCTAGCCGGTATTAGAAGATCCCGCAGTCTACCCATCCCGATAAACAAACTTACCCTCTGTCCTTCGGAAAGTCCCAAGACTCTTCCGAAAGTGGTATCCAGCTCGACAGTCGATACATCTTGCTCTCGCGCCGAGGACCCACTGCTTATGCCATCCCTTCCAACAACAGGGGCGAGCTTGCGCTTACTCGGCATTCCCGTCCATCCCAGATAACAGGATCGTTGTGCGGAATTGCCATTGGCTCTCCCCGCGGTGGGGGAGTACTGTAACTCGACAATAACATTCTGCGCGGTCTATCTTCAAGGTCAGCGATGTCAATGCCTCCATGTGGATGGAAAGAAGAGCGGAGGAGTCAGACGAAGGGGTTTCACATACCGTGTTGGCATTGACCAGCAGTGCGACAAGCGATGGCGGGAGGTTCACCAAACAATTCTTCAGAGGAACCAGAGCGACTTCAGCCGTGGTCGAAGGTTTTTTGGGCGCCATTATGAGGCGCTCGAGAGAACAAAGCTCGAGCTGCTGGAAAAGCAATGGAGGAGGGGTATTCGAAGAGCTGTGTTGGAGAAGGAGAGGAGAAGCGGGAGATTGGATACTTCTCCCTCCCCGGACTTGGGTTCGACTCCGCAAATCAACTGCCCGCCCGCCTAGCGCCGGTCGCCGAGCCGGCCAGCACTCCGGGCCGAGACTTTATCCGTTCCGATCCACGTGCTCCTCTGCTAACCCTCAACAGGACTAGTGCAGGTTCCTGGAATGGGCGACGCGTGCCTTTCGCGTCGCGACGTGTTTTGTGCGGCGGCTGAAGCAAGCAAGCCAGAGCGGTAAGAAAGAAGTTCCATCCGCACCATCTCCAATTCTTTCGCTTCCCCCTCTCCCTTCCGGTCAATGCGCTCTCCCATCCCAGTCGCCAATTCGCATCCCTCAGCCGGTTGACCATCGTCGCATCATGGCTCTCCTTCAGTATACCGCTCCAGTCAACTATGCGGAGCAATTGGACGCCTTCAAGGATTTTCTAACTCACTTTAAGAGTTTTGAGTCCACTTCGGCCTCCGCTGCCGCTGAGGCGATCGAAGACCTTCACATTGATGGCGAGCGCACCAGTGACGAATATGATTTCATGGACGATGTGGAGGATGAGAATGGAGCTACCCGGGAACGCTCCGGTCGCAGAAACCGAGAACCGAAGCTCAAATACATGCAGGTGCTCCAGGATGTCGCAGACAGAGAACGGAACAATATTCTCATCGAGCTAGACGACTTGGCCACAGTACCGCGCCCTTTTCTTTCCCTCGTCGAATTAAGGCGACTGATTACTGACGATGTCCTTGCAGTACGAGAAATCCCTTCCTGAAGAGGTGGACTTGAAACTCGTCGAATCTGTGCAGAGAAACACGAAGCGTTATATCGATGTATTCTCGCAAGCTGTCGATGCTGTCATGCCCAAGGAGACCAAAGAGCTCACGTAGGTTGTCTTTCTGTCGTCTCACACCCGTCGCACTAACACCCCCTAGTTTCAAAGATGATGTTCTTGATGTTATCATGTCGCAACGTGAAAAGCGAAACGAGGCCATGAATATGGCCATGGAAGCCGATGCGGACGCCGTTCAAGCCCCTTCGATATTCCCGCCTGAATTGACCCGCCGTTATACCTTGAACTTCAAGCCCCTTACTCCTTCCGGCTCCAGCAGTGAGCGCGAATCTAAAGCTCTGGCAGTTCGCAATGTGCGTGGAGAGCACCTGGGCAGTCTGATCACAGTTCGTGGTATCACCACCCGCGTTTCCGACGTCAAGCCTGCCGTTCAGATTAACGCCTACACTTGCGATCGTTGTGGAAGCGAAATGTTCCAGCCTGTGACTACAAAACAGTACCTTCCTATGACCGAATGTCAGTCGCAAGAATGCCAAGCAAACGGCTCGAAGGGACAACTGTTCTTGTCGACTCGTGCTTCCAAGTTCGTCCCCTTCCAGGAGGTTAAGATCCAGGAAATGGCGGACCAAGTGCCTGTTGGTCATATTCCACGGTCCCTGACGGTCCACTGCCACGGTGCTCTTACGCGGCAGCTGAACCCTGGCGATGTTGTTGATATTGCTGGCATTTTCCTCCCTACTCCTTACACCGGTTTCAGGGCCATCCGCGCTGGTCTTCTCACCGACACCTACCTGGAGGCTCAGCACATCACGCAACACAAGAAGTCCTATAATGAGACCGCGATGGACAGCAGAACCCTGCGGAAAATCGAACAGCATCAGAAGTCTGGAAACATGTATGAGTACCTTTCTCGGTCCATCGCTCCCGAGATCTACGGCCACCTCGACATTAAGAAGGCTCTGTTGCTCCTCCTGATCGGAGGTGTCACGAAGGAGATGGGTGACGGAATGCACATTCGCGGTGACATCAACATCTGTCTGATGGGTGACCCTGGTGTTGCTAAATCGCAGTTGCTGAAGTACATCGCCAAGGTGGCTCCTCGCGGCGTCTACACGACGGGTCGTGGAAGCAGTGGTGTTGGTCTCACCGCAGCGGTCATGAGAGACCCGGTGACCGATGAGATGGTGCTGGAAGGAGGAGCTTTGGTTCTTGCGGACAATGGTATCTGCTGTATTGATGAATTCGACAAGATGGACGACTCGGACCGGACGGCTATTCACGAAGTCATGGAACAGCAGACCATCTCCATCTCCAAGGCCGGAATCACAACGACCCTCAACGCTCGCACGTCAATCTTGGCCGCTGCTAATCCGTTATATGGACGGTACAACCCGCGCGTCTCTCCCGTCGAAAACATCAACCTTCCCGCCGCTCTCCTGTCTCGTTTCGATGTGATGTTCCTCATCCTCGATACCCCATCGCGCGAATCGGACGAGGAACTGGCGAACCACGTCACCTACGTCCATATGCACAACAAGCACCCCGAGAATGAAGATGCTGGTGTCATGTTCACTCCCAATGAAGTTCGTCAATACATCGCCAAGGCACGCACCTACCGACCTGTGGTCCCCTCATCCGTGTCGGACTACATGGTAGGAGCATATGTGAGGATGAGAAAGCAGCAGAAGCAGGATGAGGCCAAGAAGCAGCAATTCTCCCATGTGACGCCGCGTACTTTGCTTGGTATTGTTCGTCTGTCCCAGGCCCTTGCCCGACTGCGGTTCAGCAATGTGGTGGTTACTGAGGACGTTGACGAGGCGCTGCGTCTTGTTGAGGTCAGCAAGGCGTCTCTGGCCCACGATGGCCAGCAGGGAGCCGACCAGACGCCCAGTAGCAAGATCTACAGCCTTATTCGTTCCATGTACGAGAGCGGTGCTGCCGCCATGGGAGACGGCGAAAGCGGCGCTCTTGACATGAGGAGAGTCAGAGAGAGACTGATCGCCAAGGGCTTCACGGAGGATCAGATCGGCATGGCTATTTCTGAGTACGAGAACTTCAACGTAAGTGTTCTACAGGCGAATCGTGTGTTATATTTGTGGGGAGACTGACATGTGCGTCACAGGTTTGGCAAGTGACTGACGGCGGAAATGGCCTCATGTTTTTGGATATCGGAGATGACGAGATGGATTTCTGAAGGGCCTAATTATAGTGGTGGCCGGCAAGCCCTAATGACAACTGTGGCATGTCCGAGTGGACTGCCGTTTCTTTCCTTCCTCTGGTTGACCTTAGTATTTTACGTCTGAAGTCCGAGATATGCATGGGAATGTTTGGTTTTGCGAGCTGGTAGATCTGGGACAGGTGTTATGGTGTATGATATTATCTTGGTGTCTGGGATTTGTTTACTTAGTTTATAATGTTTTGGAGCTCTACGCTGAGAGTAAACTTCTTCATTCACTTCTTACTAAACTATGGACTGCCTTCAGACACGACCTCCATACAACCGCTCCAACCGACATATCAGAACCAACTGGACATCCTCGACATAGACGAGCCCCTTGTCAGCAGAATCAGTTCCTCAGACAGGGCAGTACTTCTGGATGGGAACCTCAGCGCAGAGCTGGGGACTAGCACCGTAGGGGTTGTCGCAGAGCGTGTCGCAGACGGTGTTCTCCGGGGTGAAGACCAGGAACTGGTAGCCGGGCACATTGAGACGGAACTGCTTGTTCACGTTGGTGTTGTCCTTGGAGGCCTTGTAGCCCGCGCGGCAGGCACAGTGGAAACGGCTGCCGGTGTTGATGCAGGAGGTAGTGACGTCGCAGCTGTTTTGGCCCGAGAGCGGGTTGCAGGTGCCGCAGTAGGGCGCGGCCGGCGAGGCGAGCACCACAGAGGAGGTGGCGACGAGGAGGGAGGCGATGACAGCGAGAGTGGACTTCATGATGGTCTTTGGAGTAGACTATGTGGACTGTATAAACGAGTGTAGGGTTTGGTATTAGATGGAAGTATTGGATTGCTTGCTTGGTTGCTTGCTTGATAAGACCTCGTCGAGGGACGATATCCGTCCTTTATATACCTTTCCAGTCCGCGGTGCGCTGCTATTCCGGGATATCAAATCGAGACCCGTCTCATCTCCTACCACCATCAGGCCGTCAACATGGCGCCGGTGGCATGCCCGTCATGAGATGCGGTGATACAGACGACAAAGAGTCTGTCCACCTGTTCGGGCAGGTGAGACAGGGTGTATGTGTCACTGAAGCCATGTGCGAGCCAGAAGCCCGGTCTAGTCCAGGGTTGGATGATGTCGAATACGAGATCTGGAACAAGACGAGTAGTCCGGAGTACACTGGGCAACGAGCGGAGGGATTGCGGGGATAGTGCATTTTCCTTGTCTTTGCTTACTAGATGCTTCCCCGGATGCGGGCTTTTGCTGCCTTGCGTTTGGCAGGGATGCAGCAGGCGGGTGTGATTGGTATAGCGTTCCGAGGAAGACTTGGGCGGAAGACCGGCTGTCGCTTATTCTCAAGTACGGTGTGGTGTTTGACTTTGGTGGCTGGCTCTATGCTCGCAAAGGCCGGAGAGATGAGAGACAAATCATACCTCGTCTGTATACAGGTGCAGGTGGAACTTGGCAAATAGAGAATGACTTGTTTTCTTCCTGTTCATCCGGCAGTGACTCGTCTTCAACTCTCCGACAGCTAGCTATATTTAGGCCTATCTCAGCCACCTCATGATACGTGCTCGACCGATGACCGTTAACGAGTACAACAAGGTTCATTACCTATACCTCACGACCTATGTACGATCCACATTCACCACCATGCAGCCATTCTCAGCTGAGAGACATGCCAGAAGTCTAAAGATGCACCTTCGATCCTTCCGGCTCACCGATCAAAGCCAGGAAACTCTCGTGGACCTCTTCAGTCAAGTCACTGGCCTGCATGCTGCGGCCCTTCGCCTTGAAGGCCCGCCGTGAGCACTCGCGGGTGATGGCGCTGCCTGCCCAAGCCGCCAGAAGCAAGGTCGTCGCCGGCGACATCCGCTTGTCTTCCGCTTCCAGCTCCGCCTGCACTTCCTGCTTACTCTGCGCCTCCTTGGGGTTGTCCTTTTCTCCCGAGTCCCACAGCCCGTTGTGGTACGCCGCGCGCCAGGCAAGCAGGGTGCCCAGTGAGCCGGTGAGGGTGTCGCCCTGCCCGCCGCTGCGCTTCAGGCCGCCTGTAATATCGGAGATGATGCTGGTGACCCCGTTCGAGATCACATCGTGAGGGCCCTTCTGGATGATGGTCACCCCGCCGAGGGCTTTGGAGAGCTTCTCGCACGCCTCGGTCTCGCGGTTCGTCTTGTCCCCGCCGTTGGATTCAGAGGCAATCTGGGCTTGGCTGGGGACTTCGATGCCCAGCGCCTTGGCCAGACGGCTGAACTCGTTGACGTTGGGCGTGAGGATGCACTCCTTGTACCCCTTCACCAGGTCCGGGTCCTCGGTCACCAGGAGCAGCCCGTCGGCGTCGAGCACGAACGGTATCGAGCGAGACCGGGCTTCTTTCATCACCTCGTTGACGACCTTGAGCGTTACCCCGTCGCGACCTAGCCCGGGGCCTATAACTAAAGCGTGGAGACGCGAGAGCATCGCGATGATCGGACCGGCGAGTGCCGGGGCATCAATGGAGTCCGGGTTTTGGACCGTGTCGCTGCTCGGGAGTAACGGGTGAACCATCAGATTTGGGGAGTATGATTTGATTACCTACAGTCGTTAGACTGTGTCATGGTACGTGATTCGCATTAGACAGTTGACACTTACGGGTGATGCGGAGCGTTCGCAGATGACATGGCTCTACTCTTGTTAGTAGAATCTTCCATTGGGAAGAGACTCTTACCATATCGCATCCTGTTCCAGTTAGTCGGTGATGGCTTGTGTGTATTGGAATGCGGCGTACCTAATTTGGCGGAGGCCATTGAGGAAAAGTAGGGAGCGCCTGTGTAGCTTTTCGGGTCTCAGTTCCGCACACGGTGTCGTAATAGAGGAGTTGAACATACTCGGCGCATCCACCGATAACAGCCACACGTCCCTGTTGGCCTGGAGAATGGTCAGTTTGTCGTCCCTGGCGATGTGTTGGAGGCGCTTGCTTACCTTTGTGGAATCTCTCCAACAACGGCGGGACAATCTTGCGTACCTTGTTGAACAAGGTCTTTGAAGAGGTGGTAATATGATGGGCCTCCATTTTGTCTAGTATCTGGCTAACAGAACGAGGCGATGAGAGACTGAGAAGGGAGGGAGGTCAGGATCGAAGGAGATGAGAGAAGAAATGGGATTCCTGTCACGGCGATGGGGTGATGTCACCGCCTATCATCGGGTGGGGCTAGTCCATCATACTCTCTGTATACATCGTGAAGAACATTTACGAAGACAAGAACATCTGTGAAGTCTCCTGGGTACTAGGATTAATCAATCTTATTCTTAACCAAGGAATCTCTGCATAGGGAGCACAATTTATGCACAAAGAATAGAAACAAACCGAACTAGGTCTATCCACGCCGTGACGCTTGCTGATGCTAAACGAAATGACCGAACCAGACAGAACAAACAAAGGGAAATGATAGAATGCACCCTCGGGGTATCCCTCGCCGATGCTCCGTACCGACTAAAAGAATAAAAATGTGCTGTAGAATGAATGGGGGCCCTGAAAAGAATGGAAGGCCAAGGCTGGAAGCTCTAGTACCGCCTGGACGCTAGTGCAGCAAGCTTCTTGCGGCGCTCTTCCTTCTCCCGCTTGGCCGCAAGCTCCGCACGCCACTCTTCTTCGTCCTCTCTTCTGGCAGCAGCTAAAGCTGCCGCCTCTTCTTCCTCCACGTCGTTGAAACCACCCTCCATATCCGAGGATGCATCCGAATAGTGGTCGTCATAGTCGTCCACGAGATCGCCCTCGTCCTCTTCGTCCGTTCCAAGATACTCATCCAATCGGGACCGTCTACCGGCTCCAGCACGGTCCTTACGGCTGTTCGGGTCGCGACGAGGCGGCAATCCGGCTGTTCCACGGTATTCAGGTACCGCAGGGGATGTCGTGGGCCGCGCAGTCCCTTTGTAGGAGAGTTCTTCATGTTCCCGCTTCTTAGCAAGCTTTCCATCGCCAGGTCTCGCGGCGGAGGCACTAGAGCCAACCCCGGGTTTCTTCGACAACCGCGGATCCTTTCCCTTCGCCTTGGCTTCCATCTCCCGTTTCTTGCGCTCCAGTTTGCTAAGCTTCTCTTTGGGAACAGCCTGATGTTTGAACATGCCAACCTGAGTTGGGGCCTTCTGTTGTAGTGCCTGTGCCTTCATCATAAGATCCGCATAGGATCCTTTTGGTGGGGCTTTCGACTGGACCGGTGCAGCGGTCTTTTGAGATGTAGGCGTCGTACTAGCAGTCCTGGGTTTCGGAGCGGGAGTGGTAGAATTTCCCGGACGAGGTTTAGGTGCTGTAGACGAAGGCACCGATTTAGAGGGAGCGGCTTTGCGGGGTACTTGAGAGTCAGGCTTCTGAGGCCGTTGAAGCGGCTCCTCAGCTTTGCGCTTCAGACCGACGGTGACAGGCTTTCGCTCAGGAGGGCCATCTTTCAAGGTCGTGGAGGGTTTGCGAACCTCTGCCTTGGCAGTTGCCGATGAAACGGGGGGAGAGAGGGGGGAAGAAACTGGTGGAATCCGGGCTGGCTTTCCCGTCTCGATAGACGATAGAACCGAGTCGAGGAACTGCAGGTCATCAGCAAAGGGTTGCACTACGATGTGGGAGGATATACATCATATACATACACTCATAGTGCCGTAGGACAGGACTGGGGCGTAGGTGAGGGCTGCAGAGACGATATATGATAAGAGCAGCTTCACCGACGGTGGTTAGTATGACGGAGTAACTTCATGACTTCGTTGCGGGGAACGCCAGTAGAAGCGTCTCTCGCCACGACTTCGGCTGAGAAGACGCCAAAATAAAGGAGACAGACCGTACAGGAGAAGGGGGCGTCGGTGGACAGACAGGGAACAAGGTAAAGCAGTTGAATCGCCATCCTGTCTTCTTCTAGAAGCAGCTAGTCACGTGCAGCATCCATTCGCCGCGGAGCTGACTAACGCACCAGCCACGGGGCGCGACTCGCTTAGAAGACACGGGCGCACCGCCACACCCACACCAGCCGCAACGCACTTTTTCTCATGAATTTGGCGATCCTTCTCCGACTTCCTTTCCACCTCGCTAAATTCCTCCCAGAGAACTCGACGTCTCAGTCTCCGCCCAACTTGCGGTTAAATCGATTGATTCTCGTGTTCCATACATTCAAACAACTCGGTATGTACATTGGTCTCGGTGATCGATTTTGATTGCCTCGCTGTCTGCTCATTGTTCGCGACATCGATAACTGACGAAAATTCGTTGCGCCGGTTACAGATCAAAATGAAGCACCTCGCCGCTTTCCTTCTCCTCGGCCTTGCCGGCAACACCTCCCCCTCTGCTGAGGACATCAAGGCTGTCCTCTCCTCCGTCGGCATTGACGCTGATGAGGAGCGCCTCGGCCAGCTCCTGAAGGAGCTCGAGGGCAAGGACATCCAGGAGGTTAGTGATCACCATAACTTCGGACTACTGCGATGAAAACGCGCCATACTAACGGATTATACAGCTCATCGCTCAGGGCTCTGAGAAGCTCGCCTCCGTTCCCTCTGGCGGTGCTGCCGCTGGTGCTGCTGCTCCCGCCGCTGCCGCTGGCGGTGACGCTGCTGCCCCCGCTGAGAAGAAGGAGGAGGAGAAGGAGGAGGAGTCCGACGAGGACATGGGCTTCGGTCTCTTCGACTAAACGGTTTCACTCCGCCGAGCCGAGTCAAAACTGTGATTACTTGTGGGGGAAAAGGAATCTGGCGCTTTTGTTCCGTATTGGGAGGAAACTTCCCCGGGTTGCGGGTCTTCTGATGCCGTTACGAGTGATGCACGAGTGAGCTGAAAAGCTTAACTGCCAATACAGATGATCTCCGCAAGTATTATGTGTGCTGTAGTATCCGTAGGGATGTTTGTAGACGCGTCTAGGTGGTGTTTGTAACAGGAGCTACTATTGAACTACGAATGGCGCCCTATCAGCGTTTGCGCATTAGCACTACGCATGGAGAACATTCGTCCATTCATTCGACTCATCAACGCAGTACCTACTGAGTACAGGCAGATTGAGATGATACGAAATAGGAAATTCTATAGGGCTGGGGTCAACATAGCCCTAATTTGATGGTATCCAAAAAAGGAAGGTGTTAGGGCTGGCAACCCTAGGGCGGTCGCTTAGACGAGGGCTGCAGCCCACCTCAACTGGAGCGCTGGAAGCACAAGACTAGCCCGACGAACGTTCATCAGCGACACGACACGACAACCCACCTTCCCTTCGCTTTTCGAGTCTCGTTCGGAAAGCGACCTAGAGAGGAACATCTGCAAAAATGGCTGACACCGAATACGTGAGTTTTTCTTTTCCCATCGGTCTTTTGCCTTTGAAGGTGCACTAACATCAATCTTTGCAGAACGCCGAGGAGGCTGCCGGTACGTGTGTCCGAGAATCACCCATCCCTATCCATCACCTATCCCCGTGGCGCAAAGACCGATCAGAAGAATAAATGAGTGGAGTGTTTTTGTTTGGGGTTTGCGAAGGGTGTCGATGGAGGTCAAACATATCGACGACCATGGAAGGGAGGACGGAAGGGATTTTATCTGCACTTTGCGCCACATCACTATTCGATCGAGATGGAAAGAACCGAAACACTGACAGCGCTCTCGCCGAACAGAGATCAAGAAGAGAAGACAGTTCCGCAAGTTTACCTACCGCGGCATCGACCTCGACCAGTATGTGACATACCGATCCCACCTGTCCTGTCAACGCCTGGCGCCTGGCTCCGACCGATTCATCGAATTCACTCTTCTCGACGCTTTCTGTTGGAGTCGGGATCCGGGCAACGACGACACATGGATCCTTCGGAATGACCCTCTAACTTGATTGCAGGCTCCTCGACCTCTCCTCCGAACAGCTCCGTGATGTCGTGCACGCCCGCGCTCGCCGTCGGTTCAACCGCGGTCTCAAGCGCAAGCCCATGGGTCTGATCAAGAAGCTCCGCAAGGCCAAGCAGGAGGCCAAGCCCAACGAGAAGCCCGACCTCGTCAAGACTCACCTCCGTGACATGATCATTGTCCCCGAGATGATCGGCAGCGTCATCGGTATCTACTCCGGCAAGGAGTTCAACCAGATCGAAGTCAAGCCCGAGATGGTTGGCCACTACCTTGGAGAGTTCTCCATCTCCTAGTATGTGTCTTCGTCGTCAAGGTTATGGGGATACTGCTAACAATCCCACAGCAAGCCCGTCAAGCACGGTCGTCCCGGTATCGGTGCCACCCACTCTTCCCGTTTCATTCCCCTCAAGTAAAGAAGAAAAGCTTTCTGGAGTGTCGCGCGGAGGATATGGGCGTCGGGAGAAAAAACAATTCAAAAACATTCGATGGATACCATTTGCGCTACTTGGGTTCATCAACTTGTATGTCAAGTGCGGGTCAGCTTTTGCATCTCAATATAAAGGTCTTGTCGTGAACGCCAAATGAACGAGCCCTAGAGCTTCCGATGATGAGATCTCCTGTCTTGGTCTGCCCGGTCAAGGCGAAGACTACCTGATCCTTAATTGTTACTAGGAGGGAGTCTAATTAACGAAGTTTCGATTATGCATGTCGTAGGGTATCTCTATCCAAGTTGTAGACGTATCTGCATCAATATCCCCTTTCCAGCGCCGCACCCACCAGCCTCTCCACCTTGGCCCATTCCCTCTTGATCCCATCACCCATGCCCCTCGGGTCCACGCCCTTGTCCAGGAACTCGCGATGCACCTCCCCAAACGCCGCCCTGACCATGCGTTTGAAGCTCGGCACCGCACAGCTCTCCGCCTCGCCATCAACCAACCCACTCAGCAAAGACCAAACCAGCAGACTGAACTCCAGCTCAAACGACGCCACCCGCAGCCCACCCGTCTCCTCTTCCTCCTCCATCCCCTGCGACAGATGAATCGCCAGCCGCGCCAGCGTCCACGCATGGAGCTGCCGAATCGGATGCCCGCGCACCGGATACACCACACAGTCGACCCGCACAACACGGATGGCAGCCTGCACAAACGCCGTCTGGAACCGCCCCGCACCCAACAGCGACGCAATCAGCTCGTCGCGCAGCGACACCAGCGGCTGCTCCGTGATGCGCCACGACGCCCCCTCGCTCTCGCGGAGCGTCCGCATCGCGCTCTCCAACGCCCGCACCGCTTCGGCCGGGTCCACCCCAGCGCCCGTGGCGACCTCCATGAGCGTGTAGGCCTTGCGCTGTGCGTCGGCGGCGGCGGGCGCGCGCCCCCCGTCAGGGGCGTCCATCTCGGCGGCGCATTTCGCGCAGCGGCAGTCGAAAAAGTACCGCTCGCGGAGCTCGTTCCGGCGCACGGCGACGGGGTTCGTGGCGTCGACGTAGGAGATGAAGATCTGCTCGTCGCGGGTGATGGGCCGAAGCGCGGTGGCGAAGAGCTCGGCGCCGTCGAAGCCGATGACCGCGTTGTAGGCGCAGCTATGGTTGATGAGGGCGGCGTACGGGTGCAGGTAGAGGCCGATGCGGTCGGCCAGGGCTGTGGTCATGTTGAAGGAGTTGACGTCGAGCTGGGGCGTTAGCTTAGCACTGTATACTAGGTGATCTTGGGTGGGGGTGTACTTTGGCGCCAAAAGCGGAGATCGTGTCCTCGGGCGTGTCGGTCTGCGAGTACGCCTTGACGGCCTTTGAGGAGAGGGCGATGCGCTCCCATTGCGGGGCGTTCTCGTGGCGGATCTCCTTCTCGTGCGTCTCGAGCTGCTGGAAGAGATCTAGTTCCTGGGGCGTGTACTTCCGCCGTGCGCTGCGCTGGACGATGCGCAGGACGGCGCGCGCGTTGACGGGGAGGACGCGCGGCTTGAGCTTGGAGAAGATGGCGCATTCGAGGGAGTGGGCGAATTTCCAGTCCTTTGATTGACATGTCTGGATGGTGTTAATGGTGTGGTTATGCGCTGGGTTGGTTTGGGTTGGGTTGCGCCCACCTTGTCGCAGTACTTGACGACCTGACACCCCGTGCAGGCTCTCAGCTCCGTTCCGCTCTCTAGTTGTCGTTTTCCGAAGCATCCAGAGCATGTATCTGTTAGTCGCTGTGTCTCTAACACAGCAACGAAAGGGTTCTGGATGTGCAAGATGTTTTCCCCGGGCTTGATATTTTCAGTGGCGAAGAGACCAGTTCCGAGGCCATCGGGAGCTGGACCTGGTTTTGCCCTGAATTCTGAGGGAGATGGGGCGTCAAGAGACATTCGACCTGGGTGTTGATATCAAACTTGATGAGGATATATTGTCACAGATATGTCTCGAGAATTGTGGTACAGCGCCAACGACGACGGCGCTATATAGATCAAGTGCAAAAGGTATTACGATCAAAATCCTGTGCAAACTTTGAAGGCCTCACAAATGTCGGACAATCTGTATAGAAGGGCTGTGGAGAAAGCTTGTAGTTAACTGTCGGATCAAAATCATCATATTTGTGTATGACTAAGCATAGTCTCAAACTGGTTAACTATAGAGGACATGCCCTGCTCCTAAGACTGCAGACCTTGAGAGCTTAGTCCTTGATCTATTGAATCATGGCACCATGCGTATCAGAGACTCTAGGTCTACAAATTCACGTATGCGCTCCCTGGGTTGATATCCAGAACATCTTCCATTTTACGGACGAGAAGCGAAAAACTACACTAACCCAAAATGGAATTGATAGATACAATAAATTCAGGACTTGATTCACTAACGCTAATATATACATAACGGATAACACTATTCTTTTGTCGCTAGCCGCCTACAGGAACTAAAAGCATGCGATGGGAATAAGAAACGAGCCAGATAGACAAGACAATTAAGTAGAAACACCACACCACCGCGCATAACCACATTCCTCGTGCCGCCCTTCGTCTTGGGGCATCCAACCCACAACGAAGGGCGCAGAAAGCCCTTTCAAAGTCGGGCTGTTCCCAAAACAAAACCTTCAAATAAAGAGTCTATATCAACAGGGTGCCTGATCCGCTGCGCCAAACAAGGCGGCTTTTCTGTGCCTGGAAAAAGAAGGAAAGAAAACAGTCGTAACACCGGATGGTTATATCTCTAAACCACTTTTGTGCTTTTGGTACCTTTTTGAGCTTTCCGTGTAAGGTTCGCTTACACGAGCTTGCGGCCGGCGAACTGAGACCAGCTGCGGACCTCAGAGGGAATACCCTCGGCACGGGGCAGCTTCTCGCTCATGGCCTGGGCGAAGAGAAGAGCAGTCTGAAGAAATATTAGTACATTTGGTAAGTAACCATAAAGATTATAGGGGTCATACCTTAGGCTCCATGAAGAGGGGCACGCCAAAGTCAACAGCGTTACGTCTCATCACGTAGTCCTCATCCAGCAGGGTCTTGCCACGGGTCTTGGCAAGGTTGAAGCAGCCACGGATGTCGTACTTCTGGAAGACCTCACGAAGGGCACGCTTGTCCTTCTTGGGGAACTCAATCACCTGGACGGAGACGTTGTCCTTGGAGGTGGACTCGATGTGCTGCTTGACCTCGGGGCTGGCAGCGAAGAACTTGTAGCCGAGAGGGTGGAGGTAGTCCACGATGGTGGACAGGTTGGCGTTGTTGATGTCACCGCCCAGGAGGATACCCTCACCAGGCTCAGGAACGCGGAAGTTCATGGTGGACTGGAGAGAGGCCCAGTAGGCCTCAACGAGGTCCTTACCGAAGCAAGCAATCTCACCAGTACTGGCCATCTCGACACCCAGGAAGGGGTCGGCACCGGCCAGACGAGTCCAACTGAACTGAGGCACCTTGGTGGCAAGGTAGTCGCGCTTGGTGGCCATGAGGTCAACGGGCTCGGGAACATCACGGCCAACAAGAGCCTTGGTGGCGACGTCAATGAAGTTGGTACCCAGGACCTTGCTAGCGAAGGGGAAGGAACGAGAAGCACGGAGGTTGCACTCGATAACCTTCAGCTCCGGAGCGGCGCCCTCCTGGTCGGCCTTGATGATCTGCATGTTGAAGGGACCGGTGATGTTCCAGGCCTTGGCAACCTTCTCGGCGATCTCCTTGACACGGCCCATGACGGACTCGTCAAGGTTGGCGGGGGGAAGGACCAGGGTGGCGTCACCGGAGTGGACACCAGCGGGCTCAACGTGCTCACTGACGGCGTGCAAGAGGAGCTTGCCGTTGGAGGCGACGGCGTCGACATCAATCTCCTGGGCGCCCTCGATGAACTTGGTGATGACAACGGGGTGGTCGGGAGAGACTGCGCTGGCGTTGAGCAGCTTCTCCTTGAGCTCATCAACGCTGTAGATGACGTTCATGGCGGCACCAGACAGGACGTAACTGGGGCGGACCAGGACGGGGTAGCCAACAGACTCGGCAAAGCGCTCAGCCTCGGCCACGGAGGTAAGCTCCTTCCAGGCCGGCTGGTCAACACCAATGCTGTCGAGGATCTGAGAGAACTTGTGACGGTCCTCCGCACGGTCAATGTCCTTGGGGTCGGTACCGAGAACGTGGGCACCACCGGTCTCCTGGAGGCGGAGGGCAATGTTCTGAGGCAGCTGGCCGCCAACAGATACAACGACACCGCTAGCGCTCTCCAGCTCGTAGATATCCATAACACGCTCGTAGCTCAGTTCTTCGAAGTAGAGCTTGTCGGCGGTATCGAAGTCAGTGGAGTAGGTCTCGGGGTTGTAGTTGATCATCACGGTCTTCTTGCCCATGCTGCGGAGGGAAAGAGTAGCATTGACGGCACACCAGTCAAACTCGACAGAGCTACCGATACGGTACACACCGCTGCCCAGAATGATGGTTCCGTGGTCATCGAAGGTCACGTCGTGCGAAGTGGCGTTGTAGGTGGTGTACAGGTAGTTGGTGTCAGCCGGGAACTCGGCGGCCAGGGTGTCAATCTTCTTCACCCAGGGGCGGATGCCGAAGCTCTTACGACGAGCGCGGACGTCATCCTCGGTGGAGCCGACCAAGAGGGCGATCTGCTTGTCGGAGAAACCGAGCTTCTTGGCCTTCAGCATGGTCTCGTGCTGAACGCCGAAGAGGCTGCCGATCTCCTTGAGCTCGTTGTGGCAGTTGACAATGTTCTGGAGCTTGTACAGGAACCACTTGTCGATCTTGGTCAGCTCGTGGACCTTGTCCACGGAGTAATTCTCGTGGAGCATGGCCTGACCGACAGCCAACCAGCGGCGGTCAGTGGGGTTCTTCAGGACCTCATCCAGGTTGTCGAACTTGTCACCCTGGAAGCCAATGAAGCGAGGGTCCACCTGACGGATGGCCTTCTGGAAGGACTCTTCAAAGGTACGACCGATGGCCATGACCTCACCGACAGACTTCATGGCGCTACCAATGTCACGGTTGACGTGCTGGAACTTGCTCAGATCCCAACGAGGGATCTTGGTGACAATGTAATCCAGACTGGGTTCGAAGTTGGCGGTGGTGGTCTTGGTCACGGCGTTGGGCAGCTCGGGGAGGGTGTGTCCAAGACCAATCTTGGCAGCGGTGTAGGCCAGAGGGTAACCGGTGGCCTTGGAGGCGAGAGCCGAAGAGCGAGAGAGACGGGCGTTGACCTCAATGACACGGTAGTCCAGGCCGTCAGGCTGCAGGGCGTACTGGACGTTACATTCACCGACGACACCCAGGTGGCGGACAATCTTGATCGCAGCGGTACGGAGCATGTGGTACTCCTCGTCGGACAGGGTCTGGCTCGGCGCAACGACGATACTGTCACCGGTGTGGATACCAAGGGGGTCAAAGTTCTCCATGTTGCAGACGGTGATACAGTTGTTGTCAGCATCGCGAACGACCTCATACTCGACCTCCTTCCAGCCACGGAGGGACTTCTCGACCAGGATCTGGGGAGCGAGAGTCAGGGAGCGAGAGGCCAGGTTCTTCAGTTCCTCGGGGTTGTTGGCGAAACCAGAGCCCAGACCACCCAGGGCGTAGGCGGAACGGACGATGATGGGGTAGCCGACCTCTTCGGCGGCCTTCAAAGCCTCATCGACGGTACCGACAGCAATGGACTCGGCAATGGGGATGTTGATCTCGTTCAGGGCCTTGGCGAAAAGGTCACGGTCCTCGCTAGTCTCGAGGGTGCGAATGCTGGTACCGAGAACCTTGACACCGTAGCGCTCAAAGGTACCCATGCGGTTCATCTGCACACCCAGGTTCAGGGCAGTCTGACCACCGAAGGACAGGAAGATACCGTCGGGGCGTTCACGCTCAATGACATAGGTCACATACTCGGGGGTGACGGGGAGATAGTACACTTCGTCGGCGAGCTTGTGGTCGGTCTGGATGGTCGCAATGTTGGGGTTGATCAGGACGGACTGGACACCAGCTTCCTTGAGAGCCTTGAGAGCCTGGGAACCTGTAGTTCACGAAATTCAGGATTAGCCACGTGAGCGCAGAGGGATACTCCCAAAGACGTCGGTCCGTGGTGGTCGGGGGAACGCGAGGGTTGACCTACCGGAATAGTCGAACTCTCCGGCCTGACCGATGCTCAGACCACCACTACCGATGACCAGGACCTTCTTCACATCGACGAGGTTCTGGCCAGGCTTGACGGCTCCACTGGCGAGGTAGCTTTCCGCAGCGGGAGCCTCAGAAGCCAAGCGGCGCAGAGCGCTGGAGAAGGAGCGCAGCTGCTGGGGGCGCCATGGGGAGGGGGTCTTCTGCTGCAGACGAAGGGACGAGGCAGTCGAGCGAGCGGCCGTCGTCTGCGAGGAGAAGGGGCGCAGAGCAAACGTCGAGCGACGAGCCTCGGTCAGACAACGCTGACGCAAGAGGGAGGACGTAGCCTGCCCGCAACGAGCGGCGAGAACCATTGCGCGCGGCGCGAATGCGAAAGGAGAAGGATCTAGAGTCTAATGAGTCAATTGACTAGATTCGACGATGCTCTCCCTCTCTCTCTTGATCTTGTGTTCGATAATCCCTCCTCTGTCGTGACAGGTCAAAGGGTTGAGGATGGGTTGTGGGTTAGATTTTTTTGACGGCCAGTAGTGGAATTGCCCAGGTGCTTGTCCCGCTTTCCGCCACAACACGTCCAATCAGGAGGGGGAGGAGCAGCAGAGACAAGGAGCGTCGCCTCGAATGAGGTAACCTGGTCAGTCGGCAGGAGGAAAGACGAGCGGTCCGTCACAAGGAGAGAGGAATGATTGAGAGAAGAGGAAGAAGAAGAAGGATGGGACAGGGACCGGGGAGCAGTAGATAAAAAGAACGGAAAAAGAAAAGTCTTGGGAGCGGCGATGAGTCAATGCCAGAATTCTGGAGACAGGAACCTGGAAATCGGGATATCGTCAGTGAACTCCCGTCCCTCACAGACCTCCCCCAACTATTTTTTCCCACCAGCGCCGATAAGAGCGCCGGTCCGGTCGTTCGCGAGGCATGGGCCAATCAGCAGAGCGAATTGGGGGCGGTGAGCCTGGCTGGAGTCTCCACCAATCCAGCATTTCCAAAAGACCCACTCGGCACTTTTCCGAATGGGGTTCTTTCAGGGCACATAGTCCGTCTAGCACTAGTTACTCGGTAGTACCTGGGGGGTCTTTATACTGTATAGGTGAATGTGTTGTATACTACCTGGATATCATAATAATTGAGCAGATGCTATATGAATCATCTTGCGTGAATCATTGGAGCCTGCCCCAGAAGTCCTCCGTACAGTACACTGCAGATTCAGGTGCCGATCATTGCTTCAGAATAGTTTTTTTTCTTCTTTCTTTTCCCTCGACGATCCATGCCTCTTTGGGAACCCACTAACCCAGTCAGGACGAAAAGCACTGGAGCACCGGTTATCGGAGTCTCCACCGTCGCCTATACCGAGTCACCATCCATTCACATCGATATCTTAATCTGCCCAGAATCCCTCGGAGTATAAATCCTGGCCGTTCAAGGGATCAATAATTGATGAACTCCCGAGACTCTCATGAAGGATGCGGGTCACTCTAGATAACTCTATCTCGTATCAATGCATTTCAGGGAATTCCCACGCCTACTCGTCCATCTAGTCCACTCCAAGGACCCTGGGGTCGCTTACTGTGATGTCCGAGCTTGGCCTGGGGCCGCGTGGATAGTGCCTGAGACGCCCAGACATCACTCTCCAAGCCACCGTCGCCATTGTCTTCTTGAAGGGCCTCTCCCAGGTTCTGGTCGAGGAGGCCGTACACTTCTTGTAGCACCTGCTCTGCGTCTTCCGCCGTCTCTCTCCCCTCCGTCACTTTCTGCTCCACGTATTGTCGCTCATTGGTACCGGCGGCCTCGGACGCAAAGGCCCACGCCTCTGCCAGACGCACGACCTCGTCTGGCTTCATCTCAGCTGGCGCCGCCGTCTGTCGGGACCGGAGGGCCGCAGTAGCGTGCTGGAAGCGAGGCTGACGAGCGAGCAGCGGGTATTCGGGGAGGAGATGGCTCTCGTCACTCAGGCGATTCAACACGCGAAGTGCTGTAGACTTCTCCTTGGCCAGCATTCCCGCAAGGTAGGACTTCTGTAGTGCCAACGCCCGCTGGCCTTTCGCCATGGGCAGGAGGATATCGCTCGTAAAAGACAGGACACCGGCCGGATCCAACGACACGGGCTCCCCTAGTGTCTCCGTCTTCCTTGGCTCAATAACACGGTCGGGAGATCTGGCTGGCGCTACGGTGATGGGTTGGCACGCCCGTGAAGCGGCATCTAACAGCCGCTTTCGTGCATCCACGTAGGCTGCATATTGCTCGACAACCTGGACCTTCTGGTCTTCCAGCAGGCGGGTGGATTCCTCGATCTCCTCGGCGGGGATCTCTTGCAGGGGGGCCTCCTCGCCGTCCCCCTCACTCACAAGTTTCTCTTCCACCCAATGCACCAGCTCGTCGCGCGTCCGCTGTAGCGCCGCCAGCTTCACCGCAGGAGCAGCGTCGGCAGCGGGAGTCTGCAGTGCCTTGAACTCTTCCAGGAGCTTCTTCTCGCTGTTGAGTTGAGCCTGCGCGCGAATCACCGCTCGTTCCAGCTTGTGCATCAGCTCTTCCACGCAATCCTCGGGCTTCGCACCGCCACCACTACCGGAGCCCCCGGCGTCCAGGTCGCGCAATGACGCCACTTGTTCCCCGCGGCTCTCTCTCGTATCGAAGTCCTCGACGTGCGTGGGATTGCGCGCCTTGATTCCCTGCAGATAATGCTGGAAGACTTGTAGCTTCGCGTGGCGCCGTCGGTCGCGCAGAAGGCGCAGATAGGCCTGTAGCTCGAGCGAGGACTTAGCCGCGGAGCCGCCCTCCTTCGACCTCGAAGACACCTCTCGAACGGCGCCTGTCTTCTCGCAGAGGGCCTGGTACTCGCGCCTGGCTGCCAAGTTCGCCCGCAGCGCCTCCAGGTACTCCTTGCGCAGCCCGGTCACCTCGGAGGGAGGGCGCTTCACGTCGATGACGGCATCGTGGGGGACGCACAGGGAGAGGTGCGATTGGGCGTGTCCATTGCGGGGGGCGGTGTCCTCGTCCGCAAAGACAAGGTGCGATCGGAGGTAGAGGGTGAGGGCCTGGCGGATGCGGAGTGCTTCCTGACGCGACTGGGGAATGTCGGCGACAGGTGTCGGCGTGCGGTGGACCATGGTAGGAGGTAGGTGTAGGTAGGTAGGTAGGTAGGTAGGTAGCTATCGCGCTAGGGGGGAGCTAGGGAGCTGACAGTGACATCAGCATGCCTCAGATGAAACGAAACAGAGTGAAACGAGGGTCTTGCGGATCTCCTGGCAATCAATCTTCTCGGTCTGGAGTTGGTGTCGTTCGTTCTGACGTTGTTCTGGACTGTTTGTTTGTGTCGATCCGATTAGGTAAGGGTATCCCAGGATCACGTGTTGGTAGTGACCATCAACATTGCTTCAGGATGTTCTTAATAAGTATGAGAAAAAGAGTGATAATAAATAATAAATATAGGGAGTACCTAATTCATAGGACCCAGCATATCATAGTTCAACAGCCATTCGACACTATTGTGCTGTCGAGGTACCTTGGCCTTGTATAACAACGAGATATAAGGAGGATCTATACTCCCAATTTACTCCCAATTGATAATGACACTCGTTACATTCCTTTCTGACACAAACATCATACATGCCAACATCAACAATAATTCTCTCCTGTCAGTAAGACACAACCATACTCACCGTCTGCTACGATATGTGACGAAAAGTAATGATGTACGCGACCCACCGCGGCCGAATGATAGGTTCTATGCAAGTATAACCAGCATCTCGACTGGTCATGAGCGGAAGTGTAATCCCCACGCCAGCTCAGTGAGGTACTTTAGTTACTACCTGCAACCTAACATGGCTAACTAAGGGATGGAACGCCTGGAATGTCAATCAATCAAGGGGGAGCTTCTACCGTCATCGTCTTAAAACACGGTCCGTGCCTTTGTACCCCCGTCTCTGCAACCACCCCATCTCACCACGATCCTGACAGTCTAACAGCCTGACATTTCATCGCCTATTCAGACGAGTCTCAGTGAGATACAAACACTCACCATGGCTCCCGATCTCGCGGCCCCGCTGTCTGCACCGCGATCGCGCCCGCGGGCTGCGACAGCCATGCAACCGACCACCACATCTCCCCCGCTCTCATCGCGACGACCATCGCAGGTCATGGGCACCCCGCTCACCTCGCTGCCGGCCAGCGTCTATACCGGGAGCTCCAACGAGAACGGCAGTGTCAGGTCGGCGTCCGGTAGGTGCCTACACACCCTTATCAGGACCACAAACTAAACGACCTACAGGCCCATTACGCCACCCCAAACCACTCACTCCGTCCGACCTGCACTCGATGCTCGAGCAAGAGCAAGAAGCAATGGTAGTCCACCATCCAATCCATCCCCTAGACTCCCCATTGACTCTGCCCAGGTCAACCGGCTCTCGCGCGAGCTCTCCCTCCTGCGCCAGCAAACCGCCTCCGTCGCATCAACCACCTCGTCCGCCTCCACCACCCCCTTCAACGACTCCGTCGAATACCTCGCCAACCCAGCAGCCCACCCGGCCACCACCCGCCGCCACCGCTCCTCCTCCAGCCTGAGCGCCTCCTACATCCCAGCCATCCAGGAGTCGCGCACCGGCAGCGTCACGGGGATTGCCCCTTCGCGCGACGCCTGTCTACCGTCGCCCCGGTCGACGGACGCGGCGCGGTCAACACGCAGCCGTGCGCCGTCGTTCACGTCCCCCCGTCAGCCGGACCCCGGATCGCCCCTGGACATTAGCGGTGCGTACCCGCACCGGAGCTCGCTGTCGCAGCAGCGGTCCCGCACCGCCTCCATCACGCGGCCGGAGGAGCTGGAATCAATCAAGCGCGAGAACGAGATGCTGCGCCGGCGGGTGCGCGAGCTGGAGCTGACCGTCAGGAAATTGCGCGAGGGCGCGGCGCCGAGGGATGAGCGCTCTGATGGTGGTAGTGTTCCTTCGGGTGCTGGGCAAGGGAATGCCAGTTGATCAGTTGCGTGTGTATGGGGGGTGGGGGCGTTCATGCCCGAGTGTTTTCTGTCTTTTACTTATATAGGATTGGGTGCTTGTGTAGAAAGCTGGAACTTTCAGACAAGCTCCGTACTGGGTTCGAATCTGCAAAATAGCTCAATGGATTGGTTAGATGATTTAAATGTCCTTATAGTTAGTAACTTACCTAGGCACTTATATCTGATACCTCCATGATGCATATTGCTGACGACCATAGACATATTATGCTACTCACAGATCACTGGTGCCTTGGCTAGTGGTGTACCGGGTATGGTACTAGGTAGATTTATGGATACCTATCCTGTACCTAGCCAGCAGAAACAAACTAGTAGGTAGGTAGTACTAGGCACGAAAGACAACACCTGACCACCAACCACCTATACATCAGGCAGAATTCCTCACTCCCTGCAAGCTTATGCTAACTCCCCTAGCCACACTCAACATAACATCCTACAAAACATCAGTACGCACTCAACGACATGAGCCAGGCTCCCAGATCCGTACCAGCAATGCATCCAGCAACGCCACCAGCATTGGGGATATTGGCGCAGTTGTAGATACAAGGCGCGACGCCGGTCACGCAGTTCGAGTAGTCGCAGCAGACACCCGAGCAGCACCGCTTCTCGAGATCCGCGTCGGCGGGGGACTCGTGCGCGGCGTTGACGATCTTGTAGAATTCCTCCAGACCCTCCGGGGTCAGGCCTAGGGGTGTCAGTCGCGGTCCAAGGGTGACATTATATGAATGAATGCAGAGGAATGATATGGATATGGATAAGGATATGTACCAGGGCCAGGAGCCGCCGAAACGGCGAGGACAGAGGCTGCAAGCACGGCGAGCTGGGTGAAGCGCATGGTGATGGTTCTGGAGAAGATTGAGTAGAGACTGAATTGAGAGTGTTGATTGTGATGATTAGAGGAGAGGAAACGAGGGAGAATGGCAGCTATTTATGTCTTCGACGAGGGAAATGGTGTCTCTTGTCGGTTGAAGATGTGGTTCTATTCTGTCCCTTCGCTGTTCGCCGGAGGCGTGACGCCCGAAACATGCATGAGGACTGATTGCAGCTGTGCCAATGGCTCTCTACTCTTTTCCAACTGAGGATCGGTATCCTAGAGAGCACGACTCCGTGGTGCAGTAGTAACGACTAACTTCATATAGTTCCGGAGAGGGAGTATTCTCAGCTAATCGAGCGCCGCAAGAGTATCGTACGTAACATGTGCCATCGGTCATCAGTAGAGAATACCATATTCATTCAGATAAGGTGTCAAGAAGGACATATTCTGCAGTGGTGTAGAACATTGTCCATCGATATACACCAAGAACAAAATGAAGACATTCCCACTAGTCAAGACCGTATCAAGCAGCACAAGCCTTGTACAAACACGCCACGGCATGACGGTCCGCTCGTCCGACTCTGTATCATGGGTATACTCCGTGCATAGTACTGATGCCCCGTTTGCTAGTGCTTTCATGGTCTAGTCCAGACATACCAGGCACATTACCAACATCAAAACCAACAACAATGCTTATTCGTCAATCCAGATTGGCTACAGGATGCAGATGCAATATATCTTAGCTAGTCTAAGTGAGATCCGTGATGAAACCTGCCAATAGCCCGCGCCCCATCCCCAGGATTTCGGAGCGAAGCACCGACTAGGGGCTTGACGATGTCTGTTTTAGGCATGGACGACGCCGACAGCGTGTTTGCCTGGGCTACATGCACCTAGGATCCTCGTACTGTGATTCCATCAATCATTTGTACATGGCTTCATCCTTCCGCAAAAGCAAATTTGGGGGCCGATTCCTTAACTTGGAGACAGGGAAGTATACAGCCGTCAGACGAGTTGGTAGGCGTTGGTGTTTGAATTACGTGCAATTGAATGCGGTGGGATGTTATTTGCCTGAGTATAATGTTCCTGTTTGGAATATCCCTAAACAAGGACTGTACCACAACCTACAGAATAACCTGTGAATAGTGTCTTGACACTCTGATTGTCACTGGCTAGCAGTATTAAGTACAACTAAGGCACACGAAAAAGATCCTTTGTCCCAGACAATTTGGCAGAAAACAACAACAGAATGTCATCTCATAATACATGAAGGCACGTAGCACGTAACGAAGAGATGCGTCAGACCCACCGAGCCATTAACCCCACCATCAACATTACAACTCCTCGCCTACAACGCCGTTTACTCCTTTGACTCAGCCGCAGGCGCAGTACCCGCAGGGTGGGAGACAGGCACATTCGAAGGTGCAACATCAGCGCCCTCGGCGGCGGCGGCGGGGCCACTAGTGGCGGGGGCCTCAGTGCTAGCCTCACCGGCCGGGGTCTTCCCGCTCTTCAGATCGGCCAGACGCCGTGCCTCGTTGTGGATATCGCGCACCTGCTTGTCGGTCTTGCTGTAAAACTCGCGCAGCTTGCGACCCGAGGGCGTGTTGATGGCCTTCTCGAAGTAGGAGTGCAGTCCGCGCCAGCTGCTGGCCGCCTTGTCGGAAATCTTGTAGCTCTCGTCAATGCCACGAGCCTTGTCAGTGGCGTGGTACTTGCTGTCGAAGTTGGACAGAGCGGAGGTGAAACGCGCGGAGAAGCCGTGCTTCTGGTCGAGTGCGATGGCCTTCTGGATGGCGCCGTCGCTGATGACGTACCCGTGCGCGAGGTACTCGGCGATGATGCGAGACCGGGGCTTGTCTTCCTGCGCGACGTCATGGCCGTTCTCGTCCTTGCTGGTCTCTTCGGTGGCCTGTGCGCCGGCGATGTCCTCAAGAGAGGGTGCCGCCTCGACGTGCACTTCCGAGGGTCCCAGCTGGGTGTTGTCCAGGAGGAGGGCGGTCTTTGCAGCACTAGAGGCGGAATTGTGAGCGATATAACCCATGACTACGAGGTGGCGGGGGTTTGTATGGGATGACACTGGCAGTGCGGGGTAACACTTACGCTTCCTTCTCGAAGGTCACAGTCGCAGACTTAGAAGCACCGGGCTCGTTAGAGACGGGGGTGACGGAGATGGAGGTGATCTTTCCGCTGGTTGGACGTTAGATACGGGCGAATAATATAGGGGTCCTTGCGCGAAACTTACCAGAAGCTGAAGAAATTCTTCACTTCTTCGTCGGAGGTGGAGGACGAGATACCCGAGACGTGGACGGTGGAGTGAGCAGACATGGTGATGAGAGGGAAAGGTGAGACTGATGGTTATTTCGTAGGAAAATGATTCGACGGGGGTTGTGAGTCGGGATGAAATTGAGAGGGAGAAGAGAGAGGAGGAGATATTTAAAGTGGTCGAGATCATTCAAGTAGTACGTACGCATGTAGCTAAGGTACCTGCCCAACACGGGCGCAGCGCCACACATGACGTGGTGGGAGGCTTTGCACAGCCACAGTGGGTTTTACATGTGAAACCCACCAGGCAGACTGGTTTCGTCACTTCATACTCGTCGTTGGTCGTCACTACGGAGCACTCATCCTTAGGTTGTTACTTATATCTTCTAGTAAGTTCGACCAGCTGTCAAAACATTCACGATGATTCCATGACTTCGTTTATTTTAAGTACATTCGATAACAACCATCCCCTCCATATAATCAATTGCCAGGCCCTTTGGTAAACTTCGCCGCCTCAATCTTCTCCAATGGATGTTCCGGGTTACTCGTCAGATTCTGCGTACCCTTCTGGGCCAGGTTCTTGGACTCCTCCCGAAACTCCGCTGTCGTCTTTCCTGAGGTCAAAGGCGCCTGCTGGTTGTTGGACTGGGTCTCCGGGTCCGGGGACTGGCGGCCTGGATAGGGGGCGGACATTTTCTCTTTTTGAAAGCTAGGGTTACCGTTAGATTGTGTTCGGCCAGCGTAAGGTGGTCAATTACCTTGGAGATAAGAGGATTTGGATCAATCGATCTAGACAAGATGAATCGGCAGTGGTGAGGTGAAGCAACAGTAGCCGGATTATAGGTGTAGTGCTGGATAGAGAGGTTCAAAGCTCCAGGAGAGACAGCCCAATTTAAATCTATGAGTGCTGGTCATATCCTGTCTATGTCTCCATGGCGAAACCGGCGGACTCCCCCTATCATCATCATGACGTTCCTCGTCCTGTTTCATAGGCGGACCAGCTCGAGCGAAGAGAACCAGACCGCACGACCCATCGACTTGACAAGACCCTCATTGCCCATGGTCTCTACGTTCCTCATTCCCTTTCTTCGTTTCCCTCCAACCTGTCGTGGTATCATGCATGATGATCTTCGAGGAGGATTGCGTCATAAGTTCTGCCATGTTTGGTCAGTTTGTTCCCTATAATCACGTGATGTCATAGTCCCCATCGCTTTCGCTTCGATAAAGGTGTTGAAGAAATAACCATGCCATCCATTTCGGAGAAAGAATTCATTTCACAACATTATGGATCGGGAATCAAAGGTCGGAGTCTGTGTAATACAGGCGGCATGAGAATGGTATTGGATATGGAGGACAGAGGTCATCAAAGTAGTCGGACTTTTGGGCAGTAATCAGGGGGAACATGCAACGGATTCACAGTGGGACTGCGGGGGTGGTGGAAAAGAAAAGCGATCTAGAAAGCAAAGACACAAATGAAACAGGCGTTATCACATATCCAGTTGACACCTCAAATCAAAGTCCATCATAGTCGGCTTCGGCCATGACATTGCAAAATCGACAGACTGTACATGCAGCCCCAACAGACACTCAAACTGGAATAACTTCTCTTTATATCATGAGCTTGAAGGTTCCAGAACAAGTCAACAGGCTCGTCTCGTTGACTGGCTGGGATCTTTTCTCTCTTTTACTTTTCGCATTGCTGGGGCCTATTGGTTGCCATTGGACTGCGCAGCCTCGGCATTTGCCGCCATGGCCTTCGCATCAGCTTCATGGAATACAGCCTGAAGGACCTGTTGCTCCTCAGGGTTGAGGATCTTGGTCAAGTTCTCATAAAGCTGTGGTTGCTCTTGTTGGAGGCCTGGAAGAGTCAGTGATCCCGGAAAATAAAAGTCTGGAAGAGGGCCATTCGTACCCATGAACACATGCTTGAACATGCCATACGGCTCGATCTTGTCCAAAGGTGTCTCGAGCAAACTCTCCTCATCCAACTCATCATCGTCATCATCAGCGAAAGATCCAAACTTCTGAGCCTAATGTCAGTTAGTATGGTGTGTACAATACCAAAAGCGATTGACGTACCTCTTTGTTCAGGAAATCCAAGTAGGCAGCACTCTCGTCGGGAACGTCCCCGTCAACAGCGGCCTCGGTCTCATCCTGATCCGTCCACTCGACCTCGCCATCCCAGTCGTTCTCCTCATCACCCTCGTCATCCTCCTCATCATAGGTGAAGTCGGACTCCTTGGTCGCATCCTCGCGGTCTAAGAAAGTTAGTATAAGCACGAACACTGGATACAGGTATGTAACATACGCTTAAGGGCCGCAGGTAATGTCTGGAATAGTCTGGTCACGCCCTGAAGCAACCTAGGCCAGCCCTGCTGGACACTTGCGGGAACATCGCCGGCCTTCAAGGTCAGCAATGAGCTGATGGCAGCAATCGAGAGCTTCTTGTCGTGAACCCGCTTGAAATTGTCAATGTTGGAGAACCACGTGCTGAAGAACTTGTTCGTCCAGCCCTTGGCCTCAAGAACTTGAAGACTCAGAACGGGGTTGTAGTAGATGGCGTTGATGATCATCTCCATAAGGTGGATGCGGTAGGATTTCGTGCGGGCCTCGCCAGCGTCAATGACGCTCATGGCGAGCTCGATGAACAGGGGGATGTATTGGTCGATATATCCGCGCAGGTTCAGCATCACAGTCTCGGCAAGCTTGCAGCCGCAGATCCGGTCCACACCGCCGACCTTCTCATCACGGAAGATGTCCTCAACCATGCCCACAACAGCCGCGAGGTAGGCGGGGTTCTGGACCATCATCTCAGAGCCATAGGCGACGTAGTTATCCAGCGCCGGCAGCATGTCTTCGAGATAAAGCTCGGCACCGGCCTTAAACGTCTTGTGGATGAGTTCAAATGCCTGCCACATTGTAGGAGAGATAGACTTGGAGGCGAAAGTGCAGCTGTCAATGATTTCAAAGACCTCGTTGTAGAGATCATAGAGCTTGTTCTCAAGCGTGATACTGATCACCGGCATCAAGATCGTCTCGAGATGCAGGAGCACATCTGGAGTGCTCTCGAGCGTAAGAATAAGAGTGCCGATCGTCTGCAAGACTCCCAGGGCCGTGATACTCTTGTCATCCAGGAAATCGCCATAGGCATCCTCGTCGCCCTTCGCGGCGTTCCGTTCCAGAAGCTCACCGACAATACGCATGTACGTATCGCGCAATTGCTCGCTCAGGGCCACAGCAAACGGAGTCAGCTCGGCGGAGAAGACCTCAACAAAGTCCTCCATGACATTGGCAAGGGCATCCACATCAACCTCGTTGGCGAGTTTAAGGAGCTGCTGCATGATTTGCGGGATATTCTGCTGCATCGAGGTTCTGATGATATCGTGGCGGATCAGAGGCTGCAGGGCGAGGGCGGCCTCGACCCGGACGGGCAGTTCGGAGTCAGTCATCGACTCGAGGATGTTCCGGTAGATGATCATGAGATTGTTAGGGTCTTGGAAGTCAAGCGCCTCGAACTTCTCAAGGGTGTCGCAGGCACGAGCGCGGAGGAAGCCGTGAGGGCTGCGGAACTCAGGGAAAACGTGACGGACGAAGAAATATTCCACTTGGTCGGCGATGGGGCTCTTCTTGCCGAGAATCACAGAGGCCAGAGAACCGATCATGCGCAGAGCACCCTCCTTCTCCCGAGGCTGCTTTTGGTCGTCCGGAGCGGATTCATACTTGCTAACCACGCCGTTGACAAAGGTCAGGATAGAGAAAGTCTGCTTCTTGCGGTTCTTGGTGAGAGAGACCAAGAAATTCGTGGCTGCAACATCGGGTGCCGAAACCTCTTCGTAGTAGTTCAGCTTCCGGTGAAGATATTCCGAGGGGTCCTCCTCGAACAGCTCGATGTCCTCGTCGGATTGGCACAGGATCGGGAAGATGAAGTGGGCGATCAGGGTATCCATGTGTGGTTTGAGATGATCCCACATCGCCTTGGGCTTGACGCATTCTTCCAAGAAAACCAGAGTGTAGGCGAGCGCCGGGTTGCTGAGCCATTGACCGTTGACCCACTTATCAATCTCCTGCAGATATCCCTTCAGAATCTCCGGCGCGAAAGTCGTGATGAAACCCTTGGCGAACGGGGTGTAGTCGGGGTTGCTGGATTTGGACATCGTCGTGGGGTTTCCATATCTGCCGAAACATCAGATGAGACGTCCCCGTAAGCGATCCAACTCACTTACCTGATGAACAGACGGTTCAGGTTGGCATATGACCATTTCTTGCATTTCCACCAGTGGTTCAGTTCGCGCTCGTCCTTCGATTCCATCATGGAGTTCGCAGGAGGGTTCTTGGCGATGATTCTCAGGAAAAGGGTGCACCAGTCGACGGTGGCTTGTTGTGTTTGCAGGGCAGGCGAAAGCTCGAACTATACCACATGTCAGTCTCAAACGTCTACCAGAGAAGGAGGTCCGACTCTGTGAACCCCAGGTCACCCACATAGATCGCATGTTTATAAGACTTGACAACAATCCGAAGCATCTCACCGGCCTCCAGACTCTCCTCATCCACCAGCTTCATACCGATGTTGAGCAACTGAGGAAACGAATGCTCCACGATCTTGTCAAACTCCTCTCTCTTCTCACCGCCCTTAAATCTGTACACCCGGCAGATGGCGAGAAGACACTGCAGGCCGGCGTAGACGGAACTCGCATCGTTGGTGCCGAGGAGCTGGAGGGTGATGTCCAGGAACCCAGGCCACTGCTCGGGGAAGTCATGCTGAAGGATTTTCTGAAGGAGGGGGACGAGTTGAGCGCGCACGTTGGGGGGCGTCGAGGCCAACGCGGGAATCAACCTCTCACGGAAACCGGGCTTTTCGGCATCGGCAATCGGCGCGCGTAGGGGGTTATCTTCGAGGGGGGCCCAACCGCGGTTGATGCGGTTTTTCAGGTAGACACCAGCTAAAGAAAGCGTTGTATGTTAGACGGAGACAGACGCTCTTGAGGTGTGGACGGGGTTTTGGTGATCGATTGAATGAGAGGTGGGGAGGGGAGAGCCATGATTGTGCACCACACATGAGAGTAACAAAGCGACCACATCACCACCAGGACAACTTACCCGATAGTTGGACGGCATTATTCTGCTCTCCCTGCAGAATATCGAGCAGTGCATTGATAAAGCCCGGTTGTGTCTCAGCCTACATTAAAACGCGGGGGAATGTGAGTACGGGAAGACGGTAGAGGACGAAAAAGGAGATGCCCAAAACAAGGCCTCCTCCGGCCAGGTCTCTTGCTTCTGATCGTCCGGACGTACATGTTTTAACGCCAATTCGGCTTGACGTCGCGTGTCGGTATTCGGGTCGAGCGTCGCCTGTATACCGTTCCGCAGCGCAGTCACATCCATCTCGCACCAAGTCCCCCAGCAATAGGAATTTCAAGCTCCGACGGAAACAAATAAGCCCCGGTCCACAATGAAGGGATCCCGCGATTAGACCCGGAGGGGATGGAGGGGGGAGAAGAAGTAGTAGAAGAAGAAGGGGGGCCGTCAAGAGGGCGAAGACGTTGTAGCGGGGAAGAAGAAAAAGGGCAGGAGGGGAAGGGCCAAAAAAAATCATGGACCATAATAATGGCCGTCGTTCACTTTCTGCCTTTTTTTTTTTTTTATTTGGCTTTCTCGTGGATTTTCCAGAGTGGTGCCCGCCCCGCGCCTATGGCAGCTAATCAGAAGGCAGGCCGCCACGCGCGGTCAGAGAATTTTCTTCTTTTCTCCTGAATCTTTGCCCGCACCACGGATACATTCAACAGTAATGCGGTTGTGAATGCATTAGTTATTAGTTTTTACATTTATTTTCTTTTTCTTGTTTCCTTTCTTTTTTGTCTTACTAAATATTCATTTTTAAACTATGTACTATCGGTTCAGAGATCGACCGACAGACACCTGGTCAGGCAGGAACTTGCCCCTTCGGGAATACATGCCTGATCTGGACCTTCTTTGACTCTATAGTACAAAGTACAATAATCAGATCAAAATAAAGAACTATCATGCCCACGTGGTCTCCACCCTATCTACTCCGTACTCCTACATATACAACGACGCCGCAAAAATCACATCGCGCTTGATCAGCTCCTGCGCCTGTTGCATCTTCGTATACAACGTCGGATCTCCCACCAATTTCGCCGCATTCTTCACTTCTCGACAGGTTTCGTCCAGACGCGTGATCGTCCGCACAATCGTTCCCTCCATCACGTCCGTCAGATCCGTGATGCGATTGAACGACATGCCCTTGGCCCATTCGTAGACCACTTCCGCCAGGCCGAACCGCGGCTGACTGGCAAAGTCGTTCGAGTCCTCGCTGGACTGGATCACCTGATACTGCACCTGGAAATCATTCACCTTGTCCGAGATGCGAACAATCGCCTCCTTGCCCTTCTCCAGACGCGGCGTTAACGTAGGCACGTTTTCTGTCTTCTCCTGGAAAACAAATGCCGACAACAGCGCGACAATCTCCTCCGGCTCGTATTCGGCCAGCACGTTCTCCAGGATCAGCTCCGTCAAGACCAGCTCGTCAGCGGAGTGGATCTGCATTCTCATTAGTGATCGTTCTCCGCACAAGTCCCTGAAGCAACTCACCTCGCACGCGACCTTGCCTTTCAGCTGCACGCGAGACTGCTCATCGATGAACCCTAATTCCCGCAACACTTGAATCCGTTGCTCGTAGTCCGGCAGGAGCTGCAGATTTTGATCCGACATGAGCTGCTTCAGCTGCGAAATGTTTTCCTTGACCTGCCATTCGTCATGTTGCATTTCAAACTATTCATCGTCAGCCGTGTCAATCGATGCGCTTAGAGACTATCCCACATACATGCTTCAAAAAGTCCGGGCATTGCACAGACCGACAGGACTGCGCAATCTTGGCCTGGGCACGTCGCTTCTCGAGGATGTCCCGCACTTGTAGCTCCTTGATCCGGGACCAGTCCATCTCGTCCCACACAGGGGTTGCCCACGAACCGCAAAGCTTAGACAGTTCCTTGTCTGCGAACTTGATGGCCTCTGTGTCCGGTGTCAGTCATCTTCATGCATTCTGGGTTGCGTATCTCCTGTCTACCTTTTTTGATGTTAAGATACCACGTTGGGCCGCTGAGTTTGACCAATGTATTGGTGATACACTCGAGGTCAGAGAGAGGGATCTTGCACACTTTCAGCGTCATATCAGCCGCACGGGTGGGAAGAGGCTGCATCAGCTTCCGAAATTCGGGGAGGAAGGGAAGAATATCACTCGGGTGGCGTCTGCTTCCCAGCTTGCCGATCTCAAGAACCTGTATGTTGGGCGTCGGGCCCCCTCCTACGCCTTCTCGGACGATGATACCCGCAGTGCGGTATCCATCCTATATAGCAGTTAGCGCGTCCACGGACTTCTTTTTCTCGGCTCTTCTCACCTTGCGATACACAATCAACCGCTTCGGCGAGAAAAGGCGTTTTCCAATCGGAGATGAAACCAAGCCAACATGAAGTTCGCTTGTCAGCTTCTCGTACTCGATGGCCGCGTCATGGCAAGCCGTGAGGTCAACATCACATATGTCGCAAGCTTCTCGTTTAATCTTTTCCAAACTAGCTTCTGAAAGCTGGACCTGTTTCTCGTGCTCTGGAAGCAGGGCTTGGGTGGCGTTCTCGCTGAAGCTTCGCTTGATCATCTCTTCGATTTTCAGAGCTTCCACACGCAACAGATTGAGAATCATATTGTATGTCAGTCGGAACTGAGATCGGAGCTTCGTCGGATCACCCAAAATCATCCGTCGCAGGGCCGCGGCCGGAGGCGCCTCATCTTTGCCTACACTGACAATAATCACGTATCCAACGGTATCCAGACCTCTTCGACCAGCGCGTCCTGCCATCTGTGTATATTCACCCGGAAGCAGATCTCGGAAGCCCTTTCCGTCATGCTTACGGAACCCAGAGAAGACGACGGTTCTTGTCGGCAGATTCAGGCCCATCGCAAATGTTTCAGTGGCGAACAGCACCTTGACCAAGGACTTAGCGAACAAAATCTCCACGATCTCTTTCATAATCGGCAGCAGCCCACCGTGGTGGACAGCAATACCTCGACTCAGTAAGTCGCGAAGCCGTCGAATCTGTGGGAGATCCCGGTCTTCAGGCTTCAGTCGGGTCAGGGATTTCTCAATAAACATGTGAATAAGACTCTTCTCGGATGCGTTGCAGAAGTCCTGGTTGGAAAGCGAGTCGGCATTTTCTTCACATCGCTTCTTCGAGAAAACGAAGATGCAACCGGGAAGTAGGTTCTCCTTGCGAAGATGCTGAACCAACTGCACCCATATTGTCTTATCCTGTGCAGCGGTGGTTCGACCACCTCCACGGCCAGTGCGCGCAATGTTTCCAGTGCCCCTGTTTGACGGCTGTCCTCTGCCTCGGGGAGCACCACCTCGTTGCGAGTTCCCCCGAGCTCCTCCTCGCCCAGGAGCTTGTCCTCGTCCGGCAGCCTGCCCACGTCCTCTTCCTTGGGGTCCTCCGCGCTGTGCTTGGGACTGGGCCTGCGCCTCCGCGGCTTTCTGGGCTTTGATTTTGTCTCTGCCCGAAATGACATTGTCAGCTTCCTTCCAGCCGTTTTCGAGAAACCTCTTGTTCGAGTCCACGATCTTGAACTTGTCCTTTCCAGCCCAGAGGTAGTGCTCGAGGGGGACTGGACGTTTCGCGGTTGAAATAACGTAGATATCCTTTTTCTTAGTGCGTCCGACCCAGGACGCAAACTCATATGTGTTAGGTACTGTAGCAGACAAAAGAATCAGGGTAACATGCTCGGGGAGCATGATAATGACTTCTTCCCAGACGACACCTCTCTCAAGATCATTGACATAATGGACCTCATCGAAGATCACAAACTCCACGTCTCTGATCAAATCGGCCCCACGATAAAGCATACTCCGCAGGATCTCAGTCGTCATAATCAAACAACTCGCCTCGGGATTGATCTGGACATCACCGGTGAGAATGCCGACATCGTCGAAGGTGTTCCTGAAATCGCGGAATTTTTGGTTACTCAGCGCTTTGATCGGGGACGTATAGATAGCCTTGGTCATATGCTTGGCAGCCAGAGCAATCGCATACTCAGCGACAACTGTTTTGCCCGCCGACGTATGCGCGGCCACAAACACGGAATCACCACTCTCCAGGTGGTACACGGCCTCCTTTTGGAAAGTATCCAGTTCGAACGGCCACTCTCTCGCCATATCCGGGACGAGCTCTCCGAAATTGGGGATATCTTTATTGACATCCACAACATGCGCCCATTCACGGCCGCCTTTCTTCTGGATGCCGGACAACAGCGGCGCACGGGGCTCGAGAGCAGGGAACTCAACCGGTAACAAAGCGTCGATATCTTCCTCGTCGCCACTTAACTCGTCCTCATCCTCGATCTTCACGCCACCCTCAATGTCAGACGTCGCCTCGTCACGCTCAACAGAGAGCTGACTCTCCTCCTGCTGGAGCGCATGCTCGACCTCCTGGTCACCTTCAGCAGCTTCCTTCGACTTCGCCTCTTCGAAGCGTAATCCACGCGTGAACCCAGGAGCAACCTCTAGAAGACCACCCTCGGCCCCAAAATTGATGATCCGATCGAGACCGGCCTGCTTTCCGCCTGGTCGCTGTTGCTCGGCCGTCTGCGCCTCGGATTCCATTTCCGCGATCGCCTCCACACCGTCCAGACCGCCAGGCGCGAACGGGAAAAAGCCCGCGGCCCCTCGGACGAAATCCGCGCGGCCGGCCGGCCGCCGGAGCAGGGAGGTTGAATTCTTAGCATTGGCGCTGCTGGCGGGAACTGTAACTTCGTGATAGCCCGTGACTCTTCCTTCCAGACCTTCGCGATCGAACCGGACAATCGTCCGCGTTTGGGTGCCGGCGACCTCGAAGAGATCTGTATAGTCTGCCGAGACATCCCATCGCCTGTTGTCGATGTCAGTATATATAGCTTTTCTGCGTAGGAGAGAATTGGAAATCTAAGCGCAGTTGGTATCTAATCAGGGTGTCATATCGCAACAAAGAGCTCATGAAAGTTGGCTGAGATCCCCACCGCAGCGACACACGGGAAAACGCTGAAAGTACAGGCAAAGAAAGGCGGTCAGACGCACCTTTGGAGTCGGTTAAGCCACTCAGGGCTGAATTGGGCGGATGGAGTCAAGAATTCAGCTTCTAATTCTTCCTTAAGATCCGTGGCGTTTTGACGTGCTCTCTTTCGAGGCTTGTAGCCGTGGTACACGCCGTTTTCTTCGTCAGTTATCCGAGCATCGAATTCGGCCCCGCTGAGATGCTGGGTACTGAGGCTCAGCTCGGCCAAAGTTGAGGCGAGAGCTTCCGCCATTGTGCGGTGGGGGTGTATTGCGTTGGAATTGAATATTCGTCAGGCTGTTCGTGGAGTCTTCTGTCCGATATTGGAGGTTTCGGGGATTCTCCCGAGACGAAGGTGGCAATCAAATCGATCTCAAAAGGCCGACAAGATTGATATATACGCCCCCAGCTATTCACCGACAATTGCTACCCGTAGGACAGATAGACCTGACTTGTACTCACTGACAATGCAGTGTGAAAGTGGCTGTGAGGCGTGGAGTGAACGGGCCAACAAGGCACAGTGAGTGTGTCTTGGAGGTTGTTGGCGGTGTTTAGTCACGCACATTTGTTTGAACTCATCGCTGACGTCGTGTGGGGACTGCCGCTTGACCAATACCTTCCTAGTTAGGCACTAGAAACTCCCTACACCTGCACCTATTGAGATCGCAAATATTACAAAAAGAATTACAATTAACTTTTATTTAGTATTTCTGCTTAGACTCCCGAGTACCAAGTAAGGAAATCCTACCACCTGCTGACGCCAGAATAGTAATCAACGCAGAAAAAGCCAATGCAGACCAAACGCTCTTGAGGCAATGCATCCATTAATTGCAAAAGAACATAGAAGATTAGCATTATATAAAGAGATAAGGAACTATTTCATATCCACGAAGGGTTTGAATGGGTTTGAATGGTCCCTGCAAAGCATAAATCAACAAAGCAAGAATCCAGCCAGAGCCTGATACCGGAAGTTCATATCACATCATGTACAATTAATTGCTCCAGAGCAAAATCAAGGGTTTGTCATAGTCTTCTGGCAGACAGCGCTCTGTGACGCCCGGCGTCAACCCACGCAGCAGGCCTGCTATCGGTAGCTAACAACAGGGAAGGTCTTCCGATCCCATGTGTTGACCTGGAACTCAAAGATTCCATCGATGGTTGCGATGTACCTAACCAAATTAGCACGTTTCATTTGACGGTGCGCATGTTACCTACAAAGTTCTGCCGTCAGATCCCCATCCAAGACCCGCAGTGCAACCAGGGTCTTGGTCTCTGTGTCCAACTCCCAGGCTTCGGTCAGGGAGTTCATTCAGAATATTCCGGATCCAGCGGGGTGAGCGGCTCTGCTCAAGCCCTAGTAGCTGTCGGTAATGCTGTTCTTGTTCGTTGTGTCGGCTCTGCGCTTCGGTGATGATCTGTCGCTGTCTCCGGAGTCGCTCAGCTGCCCACATTGGTTCTCAGTTCCGTGCTTGAAAGGCGTGTCATTGGCTCATGTCGGACTTCTGGTGTCCTTGTCCTTTCCTCAGAACGGCGTTGACTAGAGGGCGATCGGTGGCCGTTTCGAAGGGGTGGAACCAGGACTTCAGGGGTATTGGAATAGTCAAAGTTAGCGGACGGGCGGCCTAGGATGCCATTGTTCACATCGGCTCCATTACTAGAGCTATCGTATGTTGAGTTTGAGATGCGTGAGTTGGTATTGGACGTCGCCGACTGGAGCTCAGCGGGAGAGGTAGTCCAACTGAGCGTGATACTTGGCTGCGGTTCTGCACTCGAACCAATTGTATCAGGACTTCTACTCCCGGTCTCATACCGACTGAGAGTCGGGATATAAGATGGTCGATGCCTGAGGCTGTGCCTTCCACCCCCTGCGTGCACTGACTGACTGTCGTGAGACAGATCATGGAGCACATCGCTTTGGCGAAGAGGCGAGGTAGGACGAGAAGCTCGATTAGGCACATCTGTGGAACCTTGGAAGCGTGGGCGAGGTACATGAGGCGGGTTCGCGTTGGCTCTGGCTCGCAATCCTTCTTCTAATCGAGACGTCCAGCGTGCTGTGTTCAAGAACTCGATGATTAACCTCTCCCTCTCTGTGAGGTCCTGGAGCAGGGTATCGCGCAGGGGGTGATTTCCAAGCGGAGCTCCAATTCGGCGATTGAACGTACCCTCGATAGAACCAGCAGCTTCGTGGTGTGCCCCATCAGCTCCACGGGGAGTTTCGGTGGCAGGCCGGTTGTTATCGTCCGATTCGAGCTCAGCGCATTCCTCTACTAAAGGATCAGTACGGACTGTCTCGAGTCCTGGCTCATTCGTGTCTAGGTCAATGATCTGTCGGCGGACGAATGCCTGACGAACGTCGGCAATACCCGCCCTGCCTTTGTCTTCTAGCCACACCAACAGATCCCAAGGCTCAGGCGCAAACGCCATGCAGCGCACAGCGCCGCCATTAATGGACGGTCTAGAAGACTGAAAATGGCAGATTATTGAATTGTTCCCGTTGGGTTCTTGGAAGATGTCTCGAATCTTCGTCACGTCGAAGACAATGATTACCCCGGACTGGGCTCCGATGGCGCATAACCGGCTGAATTGCGTGAAGGCAATGCTGAAACAGCATCTGTCAACTAATCGGGAGCCAAGGTCCATCTCAATGCAGCGCAGGAGGTCCCAATTCCACCCGGTCAGCTTTTGACCACCTTCTGTCAAAACGGTGGTATCATAGTCACGGGTAATATCATAAAAATATGCTCGAGGTTCGTCGCTAACCGCCGCCAGGGTTCTCGAATCGGGCGAGATGATAGCATAGTTCATACTCTCTGTGTGTTCCAGGACCTTTAACACTTTCGATCTTGTTAAGGAATAGACCGTCACTGTGAAATTATTGTTGCTGTCGGGTGCATCAGTACGGCATGAGAGGTGGTCTGGGTCTCAATGCGCCTCACCTGAGAACTATCACATCCTCGTCTGCTAAACCCTTATTATCCCCCGGTAACCGGTGAATCGTGACCGAGTTGACAATGCTTCCGCCGAATTTATGCAATTGCACGTCGCGTAATGGTCTCCCTCGACCGTCGGGGGAGGACTGCGACTCATCTCCGGCTAACCAAGACTGGTTGACCCTCCGGAGGCCTTCAATATCAATTGGGAGCGCGCTGTCCACTTCCGCAGGGGTTTCCGCGGGGGTGTTTTCGCGAACACGCACGGCCTGGTCGGAGATTTTGATAAAAGCACACTCGCCATTATCCGAGCCACCGATCCCGATCCAGCCGTAACCAGAGGTGAGACATCTCGGTTCAAACGGAATGACCGCTATGGTTTCCCGCTTTTTGGATGAGATGTGAATCGCATAGATCACCCGGTCCACCGCGACATAGATGCGATCGGGGTCGGCGGTACTGATATAGTTGTGGAGCTGTAGGTGGCTACCAAAGAGTCAGTGAGGGGGATGATGCGACAGCTGCACATGGGAGAGACCAACAAATTTGGAATCTTGAACGGAAAGAAACGTCTCTTTGTCGGAAGCACAAGCGTGTCGGTCGGGTGATGTCTGGAGGGGGAAGAGGGAAATGAGTTAGCGAAGAAGCACGGCATATTGATTCTTGAGAGGAGCTGGGGAGAACCAACGGGAGAGGAGAATCTGTCGTCATGGTGAGAGGGCTAAAGTGACATGGTCGACGGTATATAGTTTCAGATGGCACACCGCTACGGCGGGAAAGGATGATCGGCGGGGACGAGGATGTCGGGGAGCTTTAAGGTTGGACGTTGTCCAGCGGTGGCGATAATCCAACGTGAGAAGCTGCCTGGGATAAAGGAGGAGGAAAGAGGAGAGATCGACGAAGACAGCGAAATGGGTGACTGAAAAGAAAAGGGAAATTTTGAAATAGAGAAGAGGGCGCCCAAAGCTGCAGTTTGCTTGTAGCGCTCAGCGACCAGAGAGGGAAAGGTAAAAAAAGTAATTAGGGTAGCTCGAGGTCACGAAGCAGGCATGTATGCACTAAAGCGGGTTGGAGGCCAAGACAAGCAATGCTCTCCTACTACTGTCTTCCATACTCCGTCCACGGTGGTTGTAACTAGGTAGAGAGATCATTGCTGTTACCTCACAGCTGGGACAATAATACTTAATCCCTACACGACTCCGGGAACGGATGACGTAAGACTTGGTCCAGCCAGGGATTCCAATCCGGGGAACTCCCGGCGGCGAATGCGACCATCAACGCCGCATCCAGCAAATTCTCATTTTTCCGCATGGGCCCGGATCTGCTCGCGGTGGAGAGGAGTTGGGATTCGCTGACTCTTCCCTGTTTAGATTAACTAACTGGATTTTTCTTTGTTGTTTCTGGGACGTCGGTATCAAGATCTCCAATATGGTGGTTTCGCTCCCCGGGAGTCGCGTGTCTGGGGGCATTCGAACATTCACGAGCCCCTGCATCTACCTGGTTTATAACTGTGCAGAAGTGACTTACATAGAAGAACACACATGATTAAGGTAGTTTCTGTGGGCGTAACACCCAATTCTTATCATCTCATTTCGTCTCTCTTGTGTCACTCGACTTGATTTCTTTTGAGTGCACATACTAAGGACTACTATAGAAGCAAAGACAGCTCATTGATCCCCGACAAGGGAATAGTGTAGGTACATAATCCTGACGTTGGTGTGCTGGCAGACGCCTGAGCTGTACCCAGGCAATTCCATTAATGATTGGGTAAGAGTGATTCTCATGGGTCATCGTACAGGTACTTGTTATGTCGGGTACCTAGAAGGGAGGTACTGGTATGTACGGAGTATGATTGGGTTTGAGGATGTAGTGGTACTTACGGAGTACTGTGGACTATGTTTACTAGGGAAAATATGCACTCTACCTGGGGTTGATCCAAGCTAGCCTCTATCCTCCTAGCCACATTCAGGTGATGCCTCTCTGAAATATATATCCGGGGTAACCGGACCTCGAGATGCAGGCATGCCTGATACTTGTCAGACCCTCGCCCTGAACCGATAATCAGATAAGCGATAATAATGTAGCGGGCATGATACACCATGCCCATACTCCGGAGTCGCAATAGGTACTCCGTACATTGACTGATAAACTGGCTACTGTTCAAGTTTCATGACATCACCGAAAAACACCTTCTGCACACCCCAATGTGAGCCTCCGTAGGAAAATACGAACCCAGTAAACAACGGCGGAGACCATCCAACGCTCCATTGATAACCATCAACCACACATCATCAACTGAACGCCTCGTCGCCTCAAGACGATTCTCTCCGCTTCTTTTGGAAGGCTTCTGGTACCTGCTGGCAAAACCAGTGGGACCTCTGGCGGAACCCCCATTGGTTCGGTTACTCAGCGGTCTGAAGGAAGCTCGGCTATCATTGGGCCATCAGCTCCTTTGCCGTGATTCTACCAACTTCGACGACGGGCCGAAGCTCTCCGTGCAATTTTTCCAACTCCTGCCGTCGCCCTTCCTTTTTCCCCCGAGGAACAGCTGAAAAAACCTCATCTCCTTTCACCACTCTCCATCCTTCTTCCCCCATCCTACCTATCCTCCCTCTTCCCATCTCTCCGTTTTTTATCTTCTCCCTTCGATTGAATCGAGCGGAGTTCTTCCATACCCTTTTTAATTCCCTGTATTATTTATTTTAATCAATTCACAATGTTGCCCTCTCGTCTCTCCCGCGCGGTAAGTTGTGCTCCTGCTCCTGACTCAACCAACCAACCAACCGACCACTTCATCGCCAATCATTGAAACATCATTACTGACTCGTCGCCTGATCTTTTAGCTTCCGCGTACTGCTCAGTTCGCTCGCGCTCCTGCTTTCAGAGTCCCCGGTGCTGCTTTCCGGAGATGGAACTCGACGGAAGGTGGTGAGGAGAAGGTGAAGGGCCAGGTCATTGGTATTGACTTGGGTATGTCATTCCATCATAATAGGCATTCAAGTTTCGTCTACTAACTTCATTCTTCAGGAACCACCAACTCCGCCGTTGCTGTCATGGAGGGCAAGGCCCCCAAGATCATTGAGAACGCCGAAGGTACGTGAAAAATTTTACCCCGTCCGCCGATCGCCGGGAGCTTTGGCCCCCAAACAAAGATTCGACGCTCTGATGAACTGCGATACTAACATTATCAAAGGTGCCCGTACGACGCCTTCCGTTGTCGCTTTCGCTGAGGATGGTGAGCGTTTGGTTGGTATCGCCGCCAAGCGTCAGGCCGTCGTCAACCCCGAGAACACCCTGTTCGCCACCAAGCGTCTCATCGGTCGCAAGTTCACCGACCCTGAGGTCCAGCGTGACATCAAGGAGGTCCCCTACAAGATCGTTCAGCACACCAACGGCGATGCCTGGGTTGAGGCTCGTGGCCAGAAGTACTCTCCCTCCCAGATCGGTGGTTTCGTCCTGAACAAGATGAAGGAGACTGCCGAGAACTACCTCGGCAAGCCCGTCAAGAATGCTGTCGTCACTGTTCCCGCCTACTTCAACGACTCCCAGCGTCAGGCCACCAAGGACGCCGGTCAGATCGCTGGTCTGAACGTCCTCCGTGTCGTTAACGAGCCTACTGCCGCTGCTCTTGCCTACGGTCTGGAGAAGGAAGCTGACCGTGTCGTCGCTGTCTACGATCTTGGTGGTGGTACTTTCGATATCTCCGTCCTCGAGATCCAGAAGGGTGTCTTCGAGGTCAAGTCTACCAACGGTGACACCCACCTTGGTGGTGAGGACTTTGATATCTCCCTCGTCCGTCACATCGTCCAGCAGTTCAAGAAGGACTCTGGCCTCGACCTCTCCAACGACCGCATGGCTATCCAGCGTATCCGTGAGGCCGCTGAGAAGGCTAAGATCGAGCTGTCCTCTTCTCTCCAGACTGAGATCAACCTGCCTTTCATCACTGCTGATGCCAGCGGTGCCAAGCACATCAACCACAAGATGACTCGTGCCAACCTCGAGTCTCTGGTGGACCCTCTCATCAGCCGCACCGTTGAGCCTGTCCGCAAGGCTCTCAAGGATGCCAACCTCCAGTCCAGCGACATTCAGGACATCATCCTGGTCGGTGGTATGACCCGTATGCCCAAGGTCACCGAGTCCGTCAAGTCCATGTTCGGCCGTGACCCCGCCAAGTCCGTCAACCCCGACGAGGCTGTTGCTATTGGTGCTGCCATCCAGGGTGCCGTCCTGGCTGGTGAGGTCACCGACGTTCTGCTCCTTGATGTCACCCCTCTGTCCCTCGGTATCGAGACCCTGGGTGGTGTCTTCACTCGTCTGATCAACCGCAACACCACCATCCCCACCAAGAAGTCCCAGACCTTCTCTACCGCCGCCGACTTCCAGACTGCTGTCGAGATCAAGGTGTTCCAGGGTGAGCGTGAGCTGGTCAAGGACAACAAGCTCCTTGGTAACTTCCAGCTTGTTGGCATCCCTCCTGCCCACCGTGGTGTCCCTCAGGTTGAGGTCACCTTCGACATCGATGCTGACTCGATCGTTCACGTCCACGCCAAGGACAAGTCCACTGGCAAGGACCAGTCCATCACCATTGCCTCGGGCTCTGGTCTCTCCGATGCTGAGATCCAGTCCATGGTTGAGGATGCTGAGAAGTATGGTGCTCAGGACAAGGAGCGTAAGGCCGCCATCGAGGCCGCCAACCGCGCCGACAGCGTCCTGAACGACACCGAGAAGGCCCTCAAGGAGTTCGAGGACCGTCTTGACAAGGCCGAGGCTGAGCAGATCCGCGAGAAGATTGCCACTCTCCGCGAGTTCGTTGTCAAGAACCAGTCTGGCGAGGGCACTGCCACCGCCGAGGAGCTCAAGCAGAAGACTGATGAGCTCCAGACTGCCAGCCTGACTCTCTTTGACAAGATGCACAAGGCTCAGTCTGAGCAGCAGCAGCAGCAGGGCGGCGAGTCCGGCCAGCAGGGTGAGCAGAAGCCCTAAATGCAGATGCATTCTCCTTGACGACACCCGGTGTGCCCCCGGGTGACCTGTACTTTTTTCCCTCTTCCCCTTGCATTTTCTGGTTTCTAGAGATTCCTCTCTTCGTGGTTGTTTAACCCGGACATGTACACATACTGGTAGCTTCGATTCATGTGCCTTACTCGGTGTATGGGTGTTTTTGTTTATCTATTTTTCTTTTTGTACCGGATCTTTTTCTCCTTCTCTCTTCTCCCCTTGCTGTTTCTTCATACCGGTTGGATGAAAGAGCCGGCGTGAGGGTTCTTTTTCTTTGGCTGGAGATGGGGATGGACTCTGTCTCCTACCATTGTTGTAACTTTAATGACATTACGGCTGGGGACCACAAAAAGGACGGACGTGGTGGGTTTGACTTTTATGTGCATGTGACAATAGAATCTGAAATTCTCCTCTCGATTCCAACGGGTTCTTGTTGAGTAACTATCTGCCTCCATAAAGGGACCTAGGTACATACTCCGTAGTGTTGTCAAATAGTGCTGTTTTACAGTGAGACATGATTTGTCGGGGGGTCAGCCAGACCTTGTGGGCTGGCCGTCCACCGCCGCGTGATGGATTGATGAACGGGGTTTGCGAGAGATTCTGGAACCGTTCAGAATCGCAAGTGGGCCGATAGCGCGTACACGTTGCGCATGGGAGCGAAAAGTACCTCTATGGCGTCCCCAGTGCGTGCGTTAGCCACTTGGCCATCGGATCGTCTGGGATGATGATATGAGGAGGAAGGCCCGCTAAGGTTTAGGAGTACGAGGGGGGTTTATTTATTATGTTCCCCTCGAGGGTGGAAATTGGAAGCGCAGGCCAATCAGGCTCCCGACGCCATCACAGTCCCATTCGTCGGGGATGATGAACCTGTAGAGTAAGAGGATTGTTGTCCTTGTGATTATTCAATTTTCTTTCAAGAAGAATGTCAAAGTTCGTTGGAGGTTTGAGTTTGAGGCAGTTGTGCTGGGATAGTCGACTACTGGCTGGGAGGAGAATGAGATACCTCATACGGGCCCTATGTATTAATTTCGGATCTATAGGGAGAAATGAAGTGGGCAGGAGGAATCTGACGGACTTGATTCCTTGCATGCGCATAACTATTGTACAGATACTCCATGGTCTGTGGAGAGGAGAGGGGGAGAGAACAACACAGGAAATGTAGGGCTCATTCTTATCGGGACATTCTCAGCGGTGATTCGACCTGGGGCAGTTGGACGGTTGTTTGGGTGGAGAAGCCGACACGGCACAGCGTTGAGAAGGCATCCGTGATTGGAATGTCAGGGCGACGATGATGTGTGATGGAGTGGTGAGCAGTGAGCGGGAGTGGAGTCGACGTGCAGGATTGACACGATTTTGGACTCATCGATCTGGAAGACAACTAAGTTCATAGGCGTAGGGTACTGGATTAATAATGAGAATATGAATCATCTAAACATAGCCTGATGCGGGCAACATCAGAGCTCGAGCACTGGCCAATCTCCTTGCCCATCATGCCTGTACATACTCCAGTACATATGATAATGACCGTCGAGTAAGCCGTCTGCTTGAGACTGGGATCGGCTCGATGCAGTCTGGCTGGGGGACGTGCAGCGCAATGCGGTAGAGGACAAATCATGGCGATACAAGACTGCCGGCAAGGATGGAGTGCAGACCCGACTGAATCAGAATCGAATCGCTCTCGACCAGAGTTCAATCCAATCCAGTCCATCCTTGATTTGGTCCCGACGCGAATGAAGTGGACAAGTCGGGTGTGTCTAGTGTGTTTAGTGGTGGGACTGTGATCCAGTCAAGACAAAGCCATCCCAAACGAGAAAATCCCAAATAAACCACCCACCCACAATACGGGAGCAGAGATTATTATTGTCTTTGAATCCTGCGGCTACAATGTTTGGTTCGAGGCTCCATCCGAGGGACGCCCTTGGACCAAACAGGCACTCCTCACGTCTAGCCTAATTTCAGAGGGAGTTTGCGCCCGTGATTTGTCGATCATTGGGTGTTAATAATGTATCTGATCCAGGAATCATTGGGTGGTGGTCCCCACTTGGGGGGTATTATTATTACCTCGTCCATACAAAGGGACTGGACGATTCCAAACATCCACTATCCACTCACTCCCTCATCCCTTGGGTTAGAACTTTTTCCCCTGTCGGTCTGCAAGATCGGAGAAGTGGTGCCATTTGAGAATCGAGATGTTGTCATTGAGTATAGGACCTCCTTAGTAGGTAGCTGACTGGATGTTAGGATATAATGGAGTAAACTACTGTACTGATTCACGCAATCAAGACTCTACCTGAGATAGAGAGGATCTTCTTGATCTTCCCCATTCCTTCTCATTTAATGGTGTTACATACAAGCAGTAGATCATGGGGCTTTTATTGGTTCCTGCGCTAAAAATAAATAATCCGTTTGAAAAATTTTCTCCTTCAGTCGTTTGCATTCCTCGAAGGATCATGCGTGGTTCAGAGAGAGAGAGACAGTAAATGAGATTGTGTTAGAAGAATGTTGTAGAGTAGATTCCATCTGTTAATCCATCCACACCAAAGCATGGAGGTGGCAAAGGTGCTCTAAACTACCTCAGTACGGTAGGTAGGGAGACATGACACAATCCATCTCAGAAACTCACAAATCAATTTCTACATGACGAGTGATTATGTTTGTCACTAGTGTGTGACAGTAGTCTAGTTTGGTTCGAGGGGTCAAGCTAGCCTGAGGAATCACAACTATCCACCCACACGCAGGACTTTTCCTCAGGTCCCAATTCTTTAACATTCATGGCGAGGAAGAAGGGGAATACAATCGAATTCTATAGATCACACTTGAGCAAGTATGAGAATACCCCAAAGGTCAGACAACAGACACTCACTATGTTACAATAATAATGCTGATTAGGATTATTATGATATTATTATAACAGGACTAATAAATAACAGGAATATTATAGGATGACTACATCTGATACTGGAGCGACTAGTGCGTCCAAGGCCCCAGACTCTATCCATGGACTTGTTTGTCCCCCAAGCCCAAACTGGTTTTTGCAAGCTCCCACCAGCCAACGAGCAGCCACCAGACGGCTTGCAGTTTAGTGATCGGGTCTGGATTTAATTTCGTTGTCTCTCTTGGGTAGTTAGTAGTTTACTAGTTAGTCTGATGATTTTCTTCTTTTTTTTTTTTTTTTTTTTCCCACCCTCTGGATTTACTAAATTAATTCATACCTAATCATTCTAGTCATTTCCCTCCGCAATAGAATTCCACTATTTTCTTCGGTATTTCCATATCTCCAATCCATTTAATCCCTTGCTTCAACCGTTAGCTGCCTGTTGCATCCTTTCCTGACAACTCTACTGGCCGCTATCAGCAATCATCAACAGGGAATCCTCCCCCCGGGAAATTTCCCACTGGCTTAGCTACAGATTCCGCCCAACGGGGACTCGAACAACGGGCAGCCTGCAGCACTAGTCGTTCTAGTCTTTTCTTCCACCTCTTTTTTTCCCCTTCCTGTCGACTGTCGAATCCTGCGTTTGTCTGCTCTTGATTGACATTCTTGCTTGTCTTGCTGGACCGCCTGCAAGTGTAAGTTTCTCCTGTCCATTCATATCGCATTGAGATGCTCTGGTATAAACTTTCCCTTTCTGTTGTTATCTTCCTGTCCATATATCTACGCAGCCCTGCTCCGTATACACTTTCTTTCTCCCACACTCAAGAGTTACCTACCTAGTCCCAACTACCTTACCTGTCTCGGGTCCCTTCTACCTCACATGGTACAAAGGCTTTGAAAAATAACTAATCCTCCCCAATCTGCCAGTCACATCATGACAGTGGCTACACCCGCTGTGACGCAAGTCCATGAAAATGGCCTGAACGGACATGTCCCACATCAACATCACCACCACCACCATCATCCGCACCAAACCAATGTGAACCTGCCTCGGTTTCACCCAATCGCCATGAACCCGAGCCAGCCAGTCCATCCCGAGCACATGGCCGTGCCAAATCACCCTCACTTTCGCCCATTTCCGCCGCCGCCGCCAATGCATGAACCCGGGCCGCCTCCCCCGGGGGCTCATCCCGCCCATATAGATCATATCGAAGCTCGACTGAGGCAGTTGGAGCATGAGGAAGCCGCTCGCATGGCGGCTCGTAGTCAACTACTCGCAATCCGCAAGCGGGAAGACGAAGAATTCCGTAGGATGACCGAGAACGCTGAAGCGGAAGAAGAGGTATGATATAGCATTTTGCTTCCACTTCTATATTATCTGTTCCAGGCCTCTCCATCTGACTTGCATATTCTAGGAACTACGTAGACAGCGGAAACGCCTGAAGCGCGAGTCCATGGGTCTGGGGTTCAATGCCACGGTCGACTCGCCTCCCCTACGTCCCACGCCGCCTCGCCGGCTATCAGAAACAAACGCAGCCACCACTCTGGCCTTCTTCAAGCAACAAAGCCCGCCAGAGCCACGACCGATTCCCGTGCAGGCGCCGCCGCACCACCCGCCGCCGCCTCCGCAGCATCTGCACGACTCGACGGGGGCCACCATCCGCCGCAAGCAGAAATACACGATCAAAAACGTCGAAGCATGGGGCGAGCGCCACGGCCGTCCCGCGGCGCACGACCCGTCCGGCCGCGCGCTGTGGAAGCGGCCCTCTGACGGCAGCCTGGTGTACCTCACCTGCCCGGTGTCGGGCTGCGGCAAGGCCGACTTTGTCACGCTGCACGGCTTCATGTGCCATCTGACCAAGAAGCACAAGGACCGCAGCCTGGGCAGCCAGTCGCGCGCGCTGGAAGTCTGCGGCATCGTCTACGACCCCAACGCGCCGTTGCCGCCCGTGGCCGCCGTGCCCCGCGCCTCCACCGAGGAGAGCCGCCTCGAGTCGCCGCACCCGGACGGCTATCCGCAGGAGATGGACACGTCTTCGGTGTCGGACGAGGAGCAGCGCGAGCACACCGTCAAGACCGAGTCCACCGAGAGATCATTGCCGGCGCACGCGGCGCCCTTCCCGCCCCCCGACGAGCCCGTCAAAGCACCCCGTCTCAACGGCTCCACGAAACAGACCATCTCGTCCATCATCGACCGCGAGCCGGACGATGAGCCGCGTGAGCGGCCCGCCTCCATCCCCCCCGTCCAGCCCGAGACGGCCGTCCTGCCTTCCCCGGAGCAGAAGTCGGTCGTTCGGGAGGAGGAGCCCAAGTCGGCGGATAGCGAAAAGGAAAATACGGAGCCGAAAGACGTGTCGGAAACAAAGTGAGCTGAGACGTGGCTCCTAATCTAATGCTTGCATTTCTCGCGTGCGAGAGGTGCTTCTGTTCTTTTGCGTGCAGTCTTGCATCAATACCCTTTTGTATTTGGGTGGCTTCTTGGATGATCTAATAATAATGTTTTGCCTCGAACCCTCGTCTTCCGCATGAGGACTCCTGTTATCCTCTTGCATGCTTGATCTGGGGGAGTGCTTATGTACAGATCGGTAGCAATAATGAATAATCCATGCACCATCCTACAGATACCTTAAACCACTTGTATACTCGACTACCTACCTCCTCTCCCGGGTAACGGCTGCTCCCGCAACAACAGCAAATGCACCAGATACCCAGACCCGTGCTGCAACTTCGGCCCCAGCACCTCATCGCGCACCCGCCACACCCGAAACACCTTCATAGCCTCCAGCAGCCACGCCTCAAACACATCCGGCGAGCGCTGCTGCTGCGCAATGATGCAGATCGTCGGCCGGCGCGTCGGCGCCGTCGGCATTTCCGACGCAGGCGTATACGCCGGCCGCAGACCACAGATCTCGGCGCAGGCGCGCACAAACGGCGCAACCAGCGCCTCGTTGTAGATACAGTCGCACGAGAGTAGCAGATCAAACCCCCTGTCGTCGAGGTCGTCGGCGGCTCCGTCCGCAGCCGGCGCCAACTGCACGCTCTCCTTCAGGGACGCCGCGACGTCTAGCTCCCAGTCCAGCGTGGTGAAGGTGATGTTTGCAGGGGATGCTGCCGCGGTGGAGGATTTGGGCGCGGCGCGTTTCCGCCCGCTGGGGGTGGGCTTGCGCCGCGCGGCGGGCGCGCTAGCGTTCGCATTCGCGTCGAGGTTTGTCCGCAGCAGACGCTGGACGTAGTCCTGGTCTGTGGCGATGTAGTGGCGCACGGCGGGGGCGAGGGCGAGGGCGATCAGGCCGGAGATGCCGCAGCCCAGCTCGACGACGGTGGAGGACGGGGTGAGGAGGGCGTGGCGCCAGAGGGGGTTGGAGTGGAGGGCGGAGATCCATTCGGCGAAGAGGGGGGTGATTTTCCAGAGGACTGTAATACGGTCAGAGGGGTTCTGGGTGAGACGTGGATGAGGTAGAGGGAGAGCGTACCTGCGCCGGTGGTGCCGCCTGCGCGCGACGACGACAGCAGCGTCGGCGACTGATGGATGGTGTAGTCATGCCCGTGGATGGCTATGTCGAGGGTTGTGGCGCGGGAATCGACAAATCCCAGGTTGGCGGAGGGGATGTCTTGCGCGAAGAGGAGAAAGGATTCTAGATGTCGTGAATATGGTCGATGGCTCGGGCCTGGTGGGCATCTACATGTCTACGCAGTGGACATACCCTCTTCGGCATCTTCGACTTCCTCACCGATGGCGGCGAGGAAGTTGGTGAGGTCCTCCATGCTCGTTTAGAGACTTTTCGACCGAGGGTCCAAGCACCGGAGATGAGGTTTTTTAGTTCAGGATCTAAATTGATTAGCTCGGCGTCTGGCCAGGGTCAACGGCGTGGTGCGATGTGCGACGCCGATCGGAATTAGACCTACTGGGTGTTTGTGTGTGTCTGAGACATGATCATATGGAAGCCATGGTTCTACCTAGGCAATTGCTTAGGTAGCAGCGTAGTACTGTCAGTGTACTAAGTAGATTTTGTCTATGTCCGATAATGGATCGTGATGTCTACCGGTGACGATGGCGATTGGCCGAGGGTCACGGGACCCGGCGGCATGAATTAGGTAAGAAATGCGAGTGCATCCACAACGATGATTGATCGATTTATGCTCCGTACTCCGGAGTACTGTTTCCTGGCAAAACGGCTAGTCGGTTGGCCCAAGCTCCGACAGCCTCTAGAGTTCTTTGGCTCGATGGCGATCCTCGAGTGTTGGGCGCAATTCCCAACAAAAGCGTCCAAAGTCGAGGGAACTGTGCTTACCCCCCACAGACAGCTACAGTGACTCGTGAGAGTTCGAACGGGGCTGATGGCTGTGGAACCGTAACGAAGAACCCATGCATGCCCAGAGAATGTCATTTATTTTCCTCTGCGTCCGTGCAGGTGAATCAGAAGCCTGCAGGTCGGTTAGCTTGGATGCTCCTCTGCGAACCGCGGCACCACTGCTGGGCTTCCGAGGAGGAGGTTAGGGGTATTCGATGTGGTGGATAGACAAGTATGGACGTAGGATGGTAGCTGGGTATCTACTGCTAGATGGACAGATGTTGAGAACATAGAGAGCGTATGTAGAATAGAATAGCACAAGAATTAATATTGGATCGAAGAGCCAAAATGAATCAATCGAGCATAGCAGGAAAGTCCAATACGAGAGTGAAGTCTGGTGTTGCCCAGCCACAAGTGACTTCATGGTCCGCCTCCGCCTTTGCTCTCCCCCCAAACGAAGACCTCCTCATTTCCCTCCATCTCCTCCCTCGTTGCTTTCTCTTAAGCTCGTGTCCCCGCAGTCTGGGCTCGTCCATTGTTCTTCTTTTCTCTGCGCCCGACTCCCTCTGCTGTGTTGTTCTGTTGTCCCTCCTACCCTCTCTTAGCTCCGGAGTACAGCCTCCGCCCGGTACGTGCCCTGTTTTGCCGTCAGGAATCTTCCCTCCGGCACAGACCGACGTCCTGTCTTTTGCGCCCAACCCTCGACTCGACTTGCGATTACCCGCCAGCTTGACTGACGTTTTCCCGTGGATAGTGTCCCCTTTCCTCTACTCCCTCTGAACATCCGCCAAGATGTCCCAAAAACACATCCATCTCCAACCGCGCATGGTCAAGAAGCCTCCCTTCACCGTGGAGGTTCCAGGCTGTGAGCCGGTTCCAGGCGAGACCATTCCCCGCAGATTGCCCCAGGCCAAGGACGGCCTCATCTTGAAGCCCTCCGAGGATGTCTCGACGACCTATGAGAACTTCCGCCGTTCCGCGCGCGTCTTTGGCAATGCGAAGGCGGTCGGCAGCCGTCGCCTCATCAAGACCCATGTCGAGAAAAAGAAGGTGAAGAAGATCGTCGACGGACAGGAGCAGGAGGTCGAGAAGCAGTGGACGTACTATGAAATGAGCGGCTACGAGTACAAGTCCTTTGTCGAGTATGAACAGCTGGCCCTTCAACTCGGCGCGGGTCTGCGCAAGCTGGGCCTCGAAAAGGACCAGCGGATTCACGTCTATGGTGCTACTAGGTGGGTTGTTCCGGATTGAGAGTCGTCTCCAACTCGCAGTACTAACATGTGTTGCCGTTATAGCGCCAACTGGCTGGCCATGTCTCACGGTTCGTGCGCGGAGCTCCTATGAACCGTCCGACAGAGTACTGACCGACCACCTTAGGTGCCGCCTCCCAGTCGATGCCCATCGTCACCGCGTATGATACCCTCGGCGAAGCCGGATTGAAGCACTCGATTGTCCAGACCTCCAGTATCGCCATGTTCTGCGACCCTAACCTGATCTCCTCCGTCAAGAATGTGCTCGGCGATGCCAAGTCGATCCAGTACGTGATTTACAACTCCGATATGGACGTAAAGCAGGAAGACCTGGACGCTCTGAAGAAGGATTTCGACTACCTCACTATCCTGAGCTTTGAGGAACTCCGGAAGCTGGGTGAGGACAACCCAGTGGACCCTGTTCCTCCCAGCCCCGAGGACCTCTGTTGCATCATGTACACCTCCGGCTCGACGGGTCCTCCCAAGGGTGTCCCTCTCACCCATGCCAACGTCATTGCAGCGAGTAAGTTGTCCGTGCTTTCGGTCGTGATTTGAGCTAAATCCGGTAGCTGCGGGTATCAACGAGATCGTGGGTCCGTACATTGGCCCGTCCGACGCGCTTTTGACCTACCTCCCTCAGTCCCATATCCTGGAGTTCATGTTCGAGAACCTCTGCTTGTTCTGGGGTGGTACCATGGGTTACGGTAACCCCCGCACGCTGTCCGACAACTCCATGCGTAACTGCAAGGGTGATATCCGCGAATTCAAACCCACCATTCTCGTTGGCGTGCCGGCGGTCTGGGAAACCGTGAAGAAGGGTGTGCTCAACAACCTGAACAAGGCCAACTTCTTCGTGCGAAGCCTGTTCTGGGGCGCCATGTCTGCCAAGAACTTCTTGATGACGACCGGCTTCCCCGGTGCTGGCGCTGGTGCCTCGGTCCTGGACGCCGTCGTCTTCCGCAAGCTGAAGGAGGCTACCGGTGGTCGTCTGCGCATTGTCATGAACGGCGGCGGTCCCATCTCGAAGGAGACGCAGAAGTTCCTGTCGATGGCTATCGCCCCCATGATCAGCGGTTATGGATTGACCGAGACCTCCGCCATGGGCGCCCTCAACGATCCTCAGGCCTGGAACCCGGATGCCCTGGGCGATATCCCCGCTTCGATTGAGGTGAAGCTCGTCGACTTCCCCGACGCAGGATACTTCACCAAGAGCAACCCGCCGCAGGGAGAGATCTTCATCCGCGGCGGCAGTGTGGCCAAGTCGTACTGGGAGAATGAGGAGGAGACCAAGGCTGCGTTCACTGACGACGGCTGGTTCATGACCGGCGATATCGGCGAGTTTGACAAGTACGGCCATCTGAAGATCATTGACCGCAAGAAGAACCTGGTCAAAACCCTCAACGGCGAATACATTGCCCTGGAGAAGCTCGAGTCGGTGTACCGCTCGTCTCCGGTCGTCGGCAACATCTGCGTGTACGCCGCGGAGGACCAGGACAAGCCGATCGCCATTATTGTTCCAGTCGAAGCTGCCCTGAAGAAGATCGCCAGCGACAACAACATCCCCGGTGACGGCCTCGAGTCCCTGGTGCACAACGAGACCCTGAAATCGATTGTCCTGAAGCAGCTGCAAACTGCCGGCCGTGCTGCGGGCCTGAAGGGGGTTGAGATCATCAACGGCGTGGTCCTGTCTGACGAGGAGTGGACGCCTCACAACGTAAGTTTCACAGCTGTCTGTTTATTGTCTTCGGCTAACTGTCGCAGGGTTACATGACTGCGGCGCAGAAGCTCCAGCGCAAGAAGATCGTTAACCACTTCAAGGCTGACGTCGACCGCGCGTATGGCAAGAAATAAGTAACGCCGACTTTTCGTTGATATATAGTTATCCGATGTTCTGCATGCCTACCTCGCTTGACCGCGTTGTATCATTTCGGCCATGTATCCTGTGATCCTCGTACTATTACCCCATGTGTTTGTGTTACGTTCTGTCGTCAGCTTTATCTTTATATGTGTATGCAATTATAGCAAGGCGAGCCTCATCTCGGAAACAGGTAGTATAATGGAGATGCTCATACAATTGATATCATCACGTACCCTACGCCGAACAAACCCCATCATCATAAGACACATGTAAAATCGCCGGATTCCCTGAATCCTTCGACCAAACCTCCATCCGCCCAAACACCGTCCCAACATAAATCGAAAAGGCCCCATCCTCGCTCGCCCCGCGACACGCCCCCGTCGCATCCAACGCCGGCAGATTCGCCCCCGCAGCCACCTGCACGGTACTCAACACGGCCCCGGCATCGGGCGCATTCTCGCCGCTCACCGTATCCTCATCCCAGTCCGCCGACACAGCCGACGACACGGTCACGTTGAACGCCGCGGACACGGGCGCCACGAACGCGGGGAACTGCACCGTGCAGGCCGTGACGGCGGCGGGTCGCACGCCGGCCGGCAGATCGAACCCCACCAGCCAGCGGAGGTAGGCGAGCCCGCCCGTGTTGGCGACGAGGGTGTCATTGTGGCCGAGGGTGCATTTGTAGCAGTTGCGGTCTGGGCAGGCCGGGCAGCTGACGGTGCTGCGGTAGATGGTGGAGTCTTTTGTTGCGGGTGCGGCGGTTTCGGCGGCGTGGAGGGGGGTTAGTAGGGGGAGGAAGAAGAGGAGTGAGTGGAGTTTGAGGAGCATTGTGGATTGTTTCGTAGGAGAGGGGTGGTGGTGAGTGTATGCGGGTTCTGGGGGAGTATGAGGGTGGGTTTTATATGTCGGAGTGGTCTATATATAGTGCTCGTATGATAGTTGGGAGGAAGCATTCGACGTGTCTCAGCCGGTATATTAATTACAGGTCTAATTGGTCTTGATATGTTCCAGGCTCGACTGAATACGAACCGCCACCGCATGATACCATATGACTTCCGTGTTTCCAGGACTGATTGGAAGTGTTTCTGGGTTACGAGATGCAGCGGCGGTGACGTGGGTGGGTGTCTGGTGGTCAGATGCTTCGTAGAGCAAGCTTTGCCCGAGATGAATCTTCTTTCGAGGTGAGTTTTGGGATATGAGGCTGAGTATATTGATCTGAATAGGGTTTGTGGATATATCATGTGCTTGTATGCTTCTAAATACAGTCTCAGGGTGCCACCAATTCCCAACTGGATTCCCAACTGGAGAGTTCTCGCTGCAGTAAGGTCTTGTTAGGCCAGGGTAATGGATGCCTCTGCAAAAGAGAATATCGAAGTTCGGAATGAAAGTTGCAGCGGGCTTGTTCCCTGTTTCAAGCCATCAATATCTTTTCCCGATGGCAACTTGGAGATTGTCGACTGTGATGGTGTACTGGCTTACTAGCGTGAATCTCTAGATGAGCCTGTTTTTGTAGGCTCAATAAGGCATCTGTCGAGACTACCTAGCTGCGCATCTCATCATTGCCATCATCAGAGCTCTCATGACCTTGATCACTCGCATATCCCATCTGGACCAAGTCTCCATTGATCATGTTTCTGCTGCTTCTCTTTGAATGTGAGAGACATGGGGAACCGTCTGAAAGTGTAGAAAGGCGGTACTATATGTCAGTTAGTGAGAAGGCAGAACTTGAGCAAATGGCGTGGGATGGGACATGAGTACTTACAGCATAGTTGACCCAGAGGCCCGAGGAAGGACGATTCCTTTACGCGGTGGAGCACGGACCGTTCAAACCCAGCGATTAGCTCCTACAAGAGCTCGTTAGACAGTCTAGCTTCCAGTTGCAGAGGTCAGAGACTCACGAGGACACGATGGTAAGATGAGTTGCTTGAGCTGATGGCAAGTGATCATTCTCCCACTGTGGCCCTGCCACATTATTCTCCCCTTCTAGGCCCATGCCCTCATGGTGCCCAGGTCCCTCAGGGCACGCGGCTTGCGTTGGGCCCGAGTGAGGAATGCTATCACTTGGGACAGCTCCTGGCGCTGCTGCGCCTGCTGCGACGCAGGAGCCGCCCTCCTGGGCCTCATTCGATGAGGCTGACTGGCCTCCTGTGGCGCGACCATGGGGGCGCCCACGTCGGCCGCGCGAGTAGTCGTTCCGTAATGGAGATTGCAGCGGGTTGTGTTCAGGTTCAAGCTATCAATATCTTGAACCTCGATTAACGGGGGCCTGGTTTCCCGATGGTAGCTTGGAAGATTGTCGTAGGCTTTGTTGAGTGTTCTGGATTCGTTGATAATGGGAACCTTCCTGTTGGATGAGCCTGTGTAGGCCCAGTTAAGGCATCTGGCTGGCTCGTTCTTTAGCCAGTCTTTGTTCACTTTCACGAAGCTATCACACGTGAACAAAACATCAAAGAACTCACTTGACACGACCTACAAGATTGTGCGCTGTCCGGAGCGTCCCGACCTGTGACGCAGGGAGCAAAACACGCCCCAGCCAGTCCACAAGCACGAGGCACAAGTCTGTAGCCGATGCAAATGTCCCGAGAATTCCTCTGACGCGATGCAGAAGGCGGAAGGTCCATCGTGTGTCGCCCTTCAGTGTAGTCCAGCCTAAGTGCGTCAAGGTGCTATATCTCCCTTTTGGGGGTCGGCCTGACGAAGGGTGAAGGACCGATAGGAACAAGATAAAGTCGATATGACGATATTTTGAGCGAACAAAGTAGTCGATAATTAGCCCGATGTAGCAACCACGCGAACTCTCCTTCGCCTTATTCCACTTCTTGATATTGACGATGACATACATCGCCGCTCGCGCCCGGCTGAGCGCCACGTTCAGACAACCGCGCTGCTTAAGGAAGCTAGGCCTGTTCGTAGCGGTCGTATCGAAGAATATACCAGGGGCCTCGCCGCTCTAAAAGGAACTAATCGTCTTGACGGGGACACGGCCAAATCCTACAGTCAGCTCCTGTGACTGAAGGGTGCTGAGCGTCGCGCGAATGGCGTTGCATTAGGCGGTGCAGGGGTCGAGGTAGGTAACGTCCGCTGGATGCACCAGTTGGGCCTCTAGAAGGCGACGGAGCAGATAGATCCCGAAGAGACGGTGGTCTGTGTTGTAGCGCTGATGGCGGTCGTCGCGGGCCTCCAAGGACTCTGTCGTGTCGACTAGGACGAAGGGCTGCTGGACGCGGAAGAGCTGATAATTCAAGCCAGCAACCTGCTCGGAAATGTGCTCGAGGCGGGGCGGGAGACGGGTGCGGACTGGAGCCTAACAGATTCGTCACCGGTATCAAGCATCTGGAAGCTTGTCCACAACCTCTTGGCGTCCGGATGCCTGGCATAGAGAAAGGCCGGGTAGAGGGAACGGAACCGCTGTATAATTGCGCCGATAGGTAAGCTTAGCTCGGCAGCCTCGGCTCACCATCACTCGGGGGGACTCACGATCGAAGGCCCCGGGTCGGGGAAAGGTGCAGTACTATCCGCACCAGCTTGCACACCAGTATCCAAATCATCTTATCCATAGGATAGCCAGGCTGGCATAAGCACAGACGGGTCGATGGTATCAATGGCATGCTGAGGTGGCAATGGAAAGCTGGGCTGTCTGCTAGGACTATGGTGAATGCCAGTAGTTAAGGTCTGTGCAACCGGGGGCGTCAGCAGGATGACTTCATGGGGTGGATGTGGCTTCTGTACATACAGCTGGCAAATATTCGACCTTTTGCTTCTCCATTCACTTGGTTCGCTGAGGGTATATAGTAGACCACGTATGTCTGGTAAGGTTGTAGCGTGTGGCTCAAACATATGGGGAGGGTTGTTTGAGTGCGTTGGAGGGAGACATCGGTTCATCCCTGCATACTGATTAACAACTGTGTTAGCAGGACATCACCGCGGACATAGATGAAACCACGTACCCCGCAAATAACACGCTTATAAGTTGGCTCTACCCCGAAGACGCATGAGCTTTTTGTTGTCGTAGTCCAAGGTTCTGGATGCACCGGACAGTCGATACATCACAGCGACAGCTGCCGCGCGGCTATGGACGAGAATGCCCGATTTGGCTTTTCTTCTCAATGCATGAGAAGAACCTGGGTATCGACGCCGAGACTCTGAAGCGGCAATTCTTCGAGTTTGTCTGTGTCCGGAGGCCAAAGTATAGCATCGGCGAGATCGCAGTGGTGTGGGACGCTGGGAATCTAGATTAGCCTGGAAGAACAAGCTGAATACGGAGGAGCGTTCAACACCTTACCGCCATCAGAGCAAAGGCAATGTGGGAAGTAAACTGTTCTCAAAGCTTCGCGGTCACAGCATGCCTCATGGCTCTGGCAGAAGTAAATAAATCAGGTATATAGACGAAGGGGAACCTGGCTTCCCCTTCGTCGACGGCCACCAATGCGAGGTAGAGAAAGCATTCTTTGGCACTGACTCCCTTTGGGTAGCATATGCGTCCCACTGCACTGCCTGAGAGGCCGCGACATGATATCCGTCGTCACGGCGCCTGCTCCGCATTAGCTCAGACATGCCGTAATGTGTCATGCCCCGTGCTTACTTGAGAAACCTGAGCTTCCTCCTTCCGTGCGTTCAGAGGTCCAGTATCATCGACATTATTCGCGATGAGACGCCTCCAAGTCTCACCACCAGGGTCGCCTGCTGGGCACCGTGCCGAGCGGCGAGCGTCATAGTGCGCAGGTAGGGGGGTTCGCAAGTAGATGCCAGATAACGATAGCGTCCGCATATCCACAGAGGAATTCGGCAGTCCTGTGCGGTGGTCTCTCCCACTCGTCCGCCTCTTCTTTGGTACCCAAGTACAAGGCCATCGGCGGCCAAGCCCCGCGTGCTATGGCTCTCGTGGCGTAGCTGAGAAAATCCTCGTCAGATCGCGCACTGCCCAGCCAAGGCTTTGGAGGCGGACAATCGCGGCGTTGTCGAGATAACTGGCACTGGTGCACCTGGAATACCTGGCTGATTTGGCCCAGTGCCTGTGCGCAGTCCTGCGTGCAGCAGAGCAGGTCTTGTAACTCAGCAGGTTAGCCATGTACTTTCGCTCTCCCACGGGTGTAGCCCAGCTAAAAGGTAGGCAGGGACTGGACGTACTGAGTAGAAGGTATAGTGGAACTCCAAGTACGTCTGCAAACGGGGCGCAAAGGCGGCAGACAGACTCGCCGTCCATGACAGCAGTCAGGTGTTGGAGGCATCACAGGGACAGAGCCATGGGTCGTCCTCCTCGTCTTCAGGCTGATTGTTGGGATATAACTGGTCTCTATAAATCTGTGGACGATTCAAAGAACGTATGATAGTATAACTGCATGAGTGTACATGTAGGGGTCATATATATATAAGACCAATGGTATATGCCGTGAAGATGATGCTGCAGTTTCCCCACCGCTCAGGGTGAGAAAGGAAGATGGAGAGGATCTGGAGATGGGAGGATGAGGTCGGTCTATATATACAGTAAGCCTCTGATTAAATAGTGAATATCTGAGTTACTTATCCATCACAATACTACCCTGTAACTACTGTGGGATGGTCACCGACATCAAACGGACATCAACAACAAACGAGTGGTGACCGATGCTGGAATGGTTACATGCGTAAAGTTCCTAAACTTCGTATACCAAACCATGCCATTCAATCCATCCTAGTCACGAACCCCAGATCCCCATCACTGAGGGCATCACCAGATGCACTGCTGGATCCAAGTCCATGAAGACCAAGCAATATGATGTCTTGTTAGGGCAGGCAGAATACTCAAAGCGGTGAAGATTCCTGCCCGGGGCATACGCACTAACCACTTTCGTCCAGTCAGCCATCACCCGATTCTACCCAGAGCTGAAGTCCAGCTTGCAATCCGATCGACAAACAGACCATAAGACAACCCCACGGCAACCGCGGACCCAACATGACCTTCTGGAGGTACCAAACGCCCATCCGATCACTCCTCAAGAGGCGCGACTGACCTCCACTACCGCAGTTCCTACCGTTCGCTGTCGCCAAAAACGCGCGCGCTGTTTGGCGTCGGGGTCATGGCGTGGGCCTCGATTGGACTCTGGATGACTCCACAGGTGGAAAACGCCATGGGCATGACGCCGACGAAGGAGGAGCAGGAGGAATTGGATCGCAAGTTGGCGATTCGCGTGTCCCGGGTGGATAAGGGTGGCAATTGACGGGTGGTGTTGGGTGCGCACGGCGAGGATGGAAGGATGATTGAATGAATTAGTTGTTCGTCGGGCAGTCTTTCTCTTCTCTGCAACGAGGGCGGGGCTGAGTCTGCTGTCTTGTGCAACGCTCAGTGGACGCCGCGGGCTACGGACATGCGGCGATTGGCGGGAGGGACAAGCGAGCAGCCTACATGACTACGGGGATATGGCGCAAATAGGCAGACAAATTCGGCGGGGCGTAGCGCTTACAGGGAAGGCTCGCGCGGGACGTTGAGCCGGGGTTGTTGATTCCCGTGTGATTTCTCGTCTTCCTGTCGCGTGTCTGTTGCGGGTTGTCAGAAGTTTGTTTTTGGCATGAAAGGAGGGCCCGGAAACCGTTTCGTGCGACCGCAGCGCAGGTGTCAGGATGACGGGACAAAAACACGGTTGGATCGACAAGGCTGGATAGTGGGTGCTTTCGATTGGGCCTTTTCTGACTAGGAGTGGTAGATTGGGAACAAAGACTTTCCGCGGGGGATACTTTCCCCAGTACGAAAATGGAATAGCCACGGAGATAAGAAAGCGACGAAGAGCGAGGGGGTGGATTGAATGGCAATAACTCTGTAGCTGAACGGCTGTGCACGTTGGCTTTCGGGCCAGGGATTCATGCGACCCATGCGACTTAGTGCTGACCTTAACACTGGAAATGTGAGCCCCTGCAATCAGATGAATGAGGCTGAGAGATTCCTGGTGGGCTTCATCTGACGATGCGGAAGATCAGGTCTTCCCGAGCTGACGGTGGATCCCTGCACTGCGATCCATCTGTTCCGGGAGGGAAGCCCCATACCCCGAAGCCATGTCAGAGATGCTGATTTGGACCCTAAGAGTGGACTGCAGGCAGCGAGGGTGTCTGTCCATTCAACGATGCATTGTAGTGGTGGGGTGGAGCTGGACGCAGATTGGATACGGCGGCGTGCCGGCCATGCTCGGGAGTCTTCCAACAGGAGATCATCGTCCCAGTTGGCTGGCTTTCAAAAACAACCATGTCGACTGTCAGGAGCAGATCTGTTGTGGCTGGCACCCTTCGGCCCAATCGCTCTTCAGCCCCCTTCCTTGTACGACGTGCATATGTAGTGGGCGATAGTCACTGCACGAGGTGACTGTCCGCACCCAGCAGGACGGCGGTTTCAGTGATTTGGGCAGGTCTGAGCTGCTTGAGGGGAATGCATTGCCAAACGAATGGTCGAAAGCATGCTGTAATAGACGCAGGTTAATACAAGCTGAAGCGTTTGAAGTGGATGTGGGGAATGAAGTAGGTGGCTCATTCCACAGTGCATGTGTACTTGACCCGGTCAGCAGGGGATGGAATGGAATGTCTAAGACGAAACCAGTCGTGTGGCTCTGGGGATGGTGGTCGAGAGACTGAGTCAGTCAAGAGAGATCGAGTGAAGTACCAACCTCGGTAAGGTAGGTAGGTCGGTTTCTGGATGGAATGATCGGAACGTGCCGTACCAGCCCGCCTAGTCCCAAGGAAGCTAGCCCCGAAGGGTCCGTGACAGCCCAGACTAACCCGATCGAGATGACAGAAATAACATCAATCTATTCTCTTAGCGCTGAGACTAACCATCACGCTAACGTACCACACGTCGATCATCTGAGGTTCATTGGCGATCTTTCCTGCTAGTTCGATCTTCCTTTCGACGACAACCCTGTCCAACCATACAGAGAAACTTTCTGACGCGCGGTCATCCCATTGCCGTTCGCTGTCAGAACGCTGTGAGGGGGGCAAGGCAGACCGGACACCGCGTGCATGCGCGGAGATAGGGCCTCCCTGGGCCCAAAGGCAATCAGAAGGATCAATAGGGGTGGTGCGGCAGGCAGCCGGCCCAACAAAGGTGGCGTCGACCAAAGGAGGTGAGAGAGTCGGCCGAGCAAACCACAAAGGGGGGGGGGGCGCGCCTAAAGGGGATGGATTCCTGCCGGCGGCCGCTGCGACCGTCAGCTGTGGTCTGCGACAAAATTAATGATGATTGATTTGCCCGGATTATCCCCTTGCTAGCGTGCTCGGCATCGGACTTTTCGTCCTGAGCGATTATCGATTATTGTTTATGTGTGATTTTCTGCGGAGGAGAGACGGTGTAGGTATCTTATGCTATCTTTGTCCGGTGCAGGGATCCGGCATCTCTTTACTCCATGCCCTCAGAGGCGGTGTCTTGACCCAGACCACGTCGACAAGCACTGTTGGAGCGGAAGAATCTGTGCTTTTTTAAAAAAAAAAAAAAAATCGAGACCGAAAGGATCACTCGATCGAAGGAAGGGATAACTTACTGTACATGCTAGCGGCGGAGCGAACCTAGCCTCCATGCCTCGTTGTCGTGTCACAACATCATTGACAGCCGATCCAGGCGCTCCGGAGAAATTGGGCCCCAGTAAGGGCCAATCGTGAGTTAGTCGATGTTTCAACGCCAGCCAGTCTTCATCGGGGGTTCTTCACGCTTGCGGCCAAAGCAGGCGCCGTATAGGGCGTTGTCGCTTAATTGGTCATTTTATATGAACATCATCGTATCTGCAACTCAGCTCTCGGCGGCTATCTGTAGATCAATTTTGGGTGACCTGATCTAAAACATATCTTTCCCTTCCTTCCGGAGGAACCAGGGCGAGCACAACGGATGAGGGAGAAATATCCAAGAAGAAAAATAAAAGCAAAGAAAAGAAAAGATGAGACATGAGACACATGAAATATAACGGATGGTTTCACCATGCTATTTTAGCTTTTCGCTTTCGTAGAGCAAATCCAAATCTATTCTGCACATTATGACCCAGATTTTCCAACATCATTTGAGTAGATTTAAACAAAAACATCATGTTTTTTTCGCTTCCTCTCGCATATCCAAAATGATGAAATAATATGAAAAAAAGGAAATGATAGAGAATGAAATGAGCTCAAGCACACAGGCTTTGGGAGCTCGGGAACCGACCATCCTCGCCGCGAGTGGAGTAGACCGGATCGTAGCCACCCGGGCCAGAATGATACATGCCAGGGATTCGAGAGGGCTGTTTCAGAAAATGCGAATCCCTTTGTTCGGTGGGGATCATGTTAATCATCGAATCGAATTGCTCAGGAAAGCTGGTGTTGTGTTGCTCCGCGTCTTTGGAAACAGCATCGTACTCGAACTGGTGCAGTGGACCGCGATACTGATGGCTGGCTTTCCTGTCTTCCATCATCCCGAACCCGGCATCCTGGTATGATTCCATACTGGGCGACGGCTTAATGGAATCCATCGGGTCCATCGAGTCATTGAGAACGCTAATATCAAAGGTGGAGGACGACGATGACGATACATGCGGACTCTCGCTCATGGAGGACTGGTCCGACGCTGTCATTTGATGGTAATCTGGCCGACCATAGTGAGGCCCGCCGCGGTGCGACGAGTCGTACGACATCAGGGTCAAGTGAGACCGTGCAGCAGGCCCGATGCCGGGGGGTAGGACAGTGCCACCGCTGCCATCGCCGGAGCCCCCATTGCTCCCATCGGGCCCCATGCTCGTCGAACTATCGCGCCGGCTATCTTTGTAATGGCCCGGCGAGCGACCACGGACGACCATTGGATGAGACGGCCTTCGGGCGATTTTGATCCATTGGGTTTCCGACCCGCCGACGGGATTGGCAATTTCCGCATAGAGCTCGACCACCAGATTGTAATATTGCTGCTGCGCCCGACGCTTGCCATTGTTGGCGGTAGCCTTTTGGAATTGGATCCGCTCAAAGGTGTGTTGAGTCGGGGGCTGCGTGGGTGGGGGCGCGCTGTACGAGGTGTTGTAGTCGAGCCCCAATGCCGTGGCTGAGCTCAAGGAAAACCCATGCTGGGCGGCGTTGGACGCTGTACTATGACCCAAGACCAGAGGCGGTGCTTGGCATGGTTGTAAGATGACCTTGGCTGGTTTCCTCTCTGACTGTTTATCGCGTTTGGGTGTGTGTTGAACCAATTCCCTGATCTCTCCATGTTGTTCGTTGACAATCGCCGAGATGGACATGGAAAAGGCCAAGATGCGTTCAGTGCTTTGATCGGAAAACTTGAGGTAAAGAGGGGCATGGGTCCACGGATGCAAGGAGAAGGAACATGAGACAGAAAAGTAGTTGCGCCGGTAGCAGGTCCATTTATCATCGACGAGAAAGAAGCCTTTGTGTATCTTGGCCTGGATCTCCGGCTTGATCGTTTGGTTACCCGCAACGATGGAATGAAGGACATTAGTTTCATAGAAAGGTGGCGCATCGGTCGTGGGTTGTGTGAGGCGGGGTCCTGGATCGAGCAGCATATTTCCAGATGGACCAAATAAGTAGCTCTGTGACCGATCCATCGAACTGTCCATAGTTCTGGAGGTCGAGTACGGAGAGATCCTCGACATATCGCCAAGGTTGCTCAAGGACGGGAATGTGTTCCGGTGTAGATAGGATGCTGGATATCCATCATTCCTGGTCAAGAGACTGGTACTTCCAGTAACAGCCGCATTGTGTGATTGTACGCCGGTTGACATCCCCGAGGGTGGTTGGCTATGTCGAAACCATGATTAATCGGGCGAAGACACGGGCAGAGCGCCACAGAATCCAAGAAAACGAAAATACGGACAACGAGAAGGACTTACAGAGGAGGTACCCGATGAGACCTAAAATCTGACATTCTATCGTATGACAGCCCCGGGGAGTGGGAATAAATCGAGGCGGAGGTAGGCGAGAACGGCTCTGGTACATGTCAGGCCGGTCACGCCAAGATGAGACGGAAGAGGACAAGGTACAAACCAGAGCAAGAATCAGACGGACTCATGAGAATCGTGGGGGAGGTCGCGTAGCTGTGAGGACCAGCCCTGGGTTAGCCATGCATTGTCGACCCAACATGGAGGAGAGATAAAAATCGGTGCTCATTTCCCGGGACCGCAAAAGAGGATTTATGGCAAGGGAGAAAAATGGCATAGGGCATGTTGAAGAGCTCAATAGGATGGCCAGGAAAGCGCCGGGTGGGGTGCATGCAAGTAGCAGGAAGTTGGACGGAGAGAGAGTGAGTGTGAGAGAGAGAGAGACAAGTAGTGTAAGACAATTCGAGAAATAAAGAAAACATGCACTCTGTCGAAAGATCACAATAATGAGAATAATAATAATAATCATAATAATCCGTCGAGGAAGGGAGAGCGTCAACTAGTGGCTGCAGGTGGAGTGGAGCAACAAAGAACTGCCTCCAATAGAACAGACAACTTACGGGAGATTTTGCATCGCCGGCTGCTGTGTGTTGTATCGCAGGCCGTTGCTTGCAGGTATCGACACCGGCTGTGCCAGAGGATGTCCCACCGTGCTTCTGCTTCGATTTCCGTCCTCGTCATCCATGGAAAAGCCGATTGGCCCTGAAAATTGTCGTGGTGTCCCCGTATAGTCGCTGTCGGTGGTGATCGGACCATCCATAGGGAATGTGTTTTGTGAAAGCGTTGCTGTTCCGAGTGGCCGTCAATGAGTGAGTGTGTATGTGAGTGAGTGAGTGAGTGTGTGTGTCTGTGTTGGGTTGATCAAGATGTAGTATCTGGAATCAAAAAGAAATGGGATGGATTGAAAACCACCGGGGAAGATAATGCAAAAGATAAACAAGGCACAGACTTCTGTCCAGCCTCCTTCCGTCAGTCTGAAATGAAATAGGGACCCCATCCCGGTCAGGCCAGGGTAAGAAACTCCTTGACATCATACCCTTATAGGCAATGGAGAATTCCAGGGTTGTGTAACCAGGGAGGGGAGATTGGAGACGCATGAATGGGGCGCTTAGCGGCCCCCAGATATTGTCGTCGTCTATCAGACTTGACGCTGGCATGCGGACCCCTGCCGACAGGAAGAAGACCGGAGAGAAGACCATCCGAAGGAAGAGAGGACAAAAGACAATTACTCACATTGGTTCATTGGTGCGTTCAACCCACAGAAGGCCCGTATTCCTAGGTACAGGAAAAGTCGGGCTTTGGAGCGATCGGCCGAAGCTGAGGATGGGCGCGCACCCAGAGGAGCACTAGGCTTTTGGGTCAGGGATTTGTGAGGGTGGCAATGAGTCGCTCAGAACGTGGGGACTGTCTGCTCATTGAACCCTGTCGCGCAGCCGGGGAAGAGCAACAGGGGAGGTGCCCGCGTTTGTTCGGACAAGCCTGCGTCTTAGAGCCTTCTATTATAGAATCGTGATACTGGAAGCTCGTCGTCAATTTCCGAGTCAGCCTATCGGGGAAGGGTCGCAAGCGCCACAAGGATTGAGAGACCGAAAGGTACCCTCCTCGCGGGACCGGGTAACATGAACAAAGAAAGCGGCTAGTGTGGACAAAGGCTTGAAGCGAAAGAAAGTCGATCTTCCAGGTGGCAGGAAGCAGAAGTGGGGGGTCAACAGCTAGTCAAGAGAAGCCAAAACAGAGGGGAAAATAAGAGCGTCAGAAAAGTCAAAAAAAGTAAACATAGAAGTCAGGGAGCCTTCTTTTTCGGCGTCCTGGCAGGATGGATGCGAGAGCCAGTGGGGTGTATTAGTGTATGTAAGTGCTGCAGCAAGATGGGAAGGGTTTCAGTGGTATATGGCAAGTATATAGTACCCGGGTAGAGGAGCAGAGGGGCAAAGCAAAAGATCGTTCAAGACGAGGAGAAGAATGTCATAAAGATATGGGATCGAACAGAACCATCGGGAGAAGGAATCGAAGTGCAACTTACTGAGATGGTAGTATGTGATGAGAATCGTCGGATGGCAAGTAGAATCAGAAACGAGTGATACTGTGCAGTCACGCTGCGTATAAGTCCGCAGCGGTCGATCTGGTATCCGACTGTCTCGTCACGATGTGATAAGAGGCGAATCGGTCTCAACAGAGGGAACCAGGATGGAAGCAGGCTGGCTCATCTCCCGGGAGAAAGAAAGAGTGTACGCGGAGGACAAAACAGGAGGAAGAAGCCCTGGGTCACGGTCGAGGGAATCGCTTGATTGATATTGCTTCCCACAGAGAGAGATGGAGGGCATTTCTCATGTCAGTTGGTTCTTACCCACAGCCGCAACGCCTGCCTCCGTTGCTAGCCTGGCCCCTTTACGCCCAGTAAACACACCCTGGTAATCTGCGACGGAATTACCTGCAGAATGTCGTTGCGCACAAGCCTTGACAGCTCCCAGTTGCCAAATTAAGCTTGAAGGCGAATACCACTCTTGCCACGAGCTCTCGTGAAAGAGTGACCATGTCAGGGCCAGAGAAATCGCGGCACCCACAGATGCATGAGAGATAGAAATAATAATAGCAATTAGGAAATAATAATACAATAAAAAGAAAGAAAAGGAGAAAGTTAAGTTCACAGGAACTACTACTACAAAAGGGTGACAGCAGCCTAGCGGGACTCCAGGAGCCAATGGGTTGGATTAGGCCCGCTAGGAGCGATCACTCTTACTAGGGACTGTTATTATTATTATTATCATTATTAATGATTTTGATCATGATTTTAGAAGCAAATCTAAAATAAATTCTCATAATTTTCTCGTGGATGGGGGAAATGATTGATTGATCTCCCTGATCTTCGTTCTGATGGACAGCCCGGGGGCATAGACTGTCATGGAAAATTGAAACCGAAAGAAATCGCGCGAGGCAACTCGGGCAATGTCAGAACATCCCAAGGCGAACGGCATTGGTCAAGAGGTACCAATGTTACATCCATCTGATCCAACTCCTGACAGAGCCGGAACGGCGCAAACTCTCTGAATGCCTGGTTTCCAGTGGACTGATCTCCATCGCTGGGTGCTAGACTGGCCGATTCGACCTAGCAAACTGCCCGAGGACCGAGCAGCGCCCACGCCGGTTTCGTTCTATACAGAATATTTACCGGCCAAGTCAGCTGTCGGAGCGTGCACACCCGGCCCAGCGGGAGACTGCAGGAGGGAAACAAAAATAAGATGGGCACTAGAATAATTAGTCGCGACGATCGTCGCCCCCGGTCATCCCGTGCAGATCCAGTCGCATGACAAGAGACTGACTCCTGGGATGAAAATGGGCCCCTTCAGGCGGCCAATAATGCTGACCTCCGGGGAAGAAGGCTCGATGCAGCTGCGAGGCAGGGGCCGTGGACCCATCAAAAGAATCCATGTTCCAGACATGACGCCTGTCGGGCTCGTCCCAAAGAAACTCTCCAGCGTTCGAGGCACGAGCACCTGGGTCTTGCATGAATGAGAGATCAGGCGATCGACGGCTAAATTCCAACCGCTTGCTGTTCGGACGGTGCCCCGTTGGCTCACCGACAGAAGCATCTGCAGCCGACTGTCAAAGAGGGCGGAGGGGCATCACTACCTAGCCCCTTCTCTCTATTTCCTGAATCGGTGACTTTCAAACTGGTGATCAAACGAGGCTTCCGGAGACAATGGACCTTTTCCCCCTCTGGTACACCTACCCGCCATGTATCAGGTATTGTACAGTGGACAGGTGTGTATTCGGTAGGTACACAGCATGCTTTTTCCAGAATCGACCTTTGGGGCCCACTGAGGCCGGGGAGTAAGACCACCAAAGTTGGACCATCCATTGCATTCTGGGTCATCGTGAACCTGGTTCGTCAGCTGGGTGCAGCGATCCTCTGTTCTTTTCTGTTTCTACCCTGTCTCTTTCCTCTTTGACGGATACTTTTTTTTTTTTATGATTCCGGTCAAGGATTTATTTGGCCAGTAGATGCGCCCTGTGGCTGAATAATCGCCCAGGCGTGCAGGAGGCTAGTTGGCTGAAATAGGAGATGCATCCCGCTGGAAAAGGAGATAATCACATATCATTGGCAGACGATCAATGTATCGATCCATCGGGCACCGGCCACAGAGTCGACCAGGATGGAATAGAGAAGATTGGTTGGGAGAGGGCGGTGGGGGAGGATGTTGTGCAGGATGTGTCCGCGGGATGCAGCGTGAATCCTCTAGTAACCTTGGACAAGGGGGAAGGATTGCATGGTGGACAGACAGCCAATTAGTAACGGGGATAAGGAGAGTCGAGAGACAGACCCATAGTGGCTAACGAGGCGTCTACTAGGTATGTAGGCAGAAAATAAGGTAAAGTGTGGTGGGTTGCGAGATGAAATCACAGGGGGAGGAGGAGTTGACCAATCTGAATAGAATCGAGAGAGGGTGATCTATTTGGATTCCCGCCAAGAACACGCTAGACTCGATGGGAACAAGCAGGCTAGGTCACGGCGGGGGCACGTGCCCCGTCCACTTGCCCAACAGGGTAATGGACGAGGGCCCTTCAGGAGAACTCCAGCAGGGTAACTTAGTACTAGACCTATCGATATACCTACAGAGTACCTAGGTAGGTACCTAGGTGCTTAGTGGCGGACATTAGTACGGAGTACGATTTGCCCCTAATTGTGTTCACTCGTTGCTTTTTCTGTTGGGATCAATAATAACAAAACTAATATCAAATATTCTGTTTGTCATAATAACATCTGTCATGAGGTCTAGATCTAAGGGTGAACTTATATTGATCATCCACTAAAGCAAACCATGAACCAAAATCACACTGACTAGACTCCAAGCTAAGCCATTTGACGTCCATCCCGGTTACCGAACCATGTTTGCTCTGGGCCTTAATTCGCGTCACGCAGGTATCCGCCTCCTTAAGGTTCACGCCATGTCTCACCCAAAGCCTCGTCCGCGGTCTCCTTCTGGATATGTTGGTTTGGGCGCATCTGCGTTGGGAGCCTCTACATCGGCTGTCCTTCGGGTTTATGCACGCCAGACGTTTTCTCTCTTATCTAGTGGCTCTCTCCTTTCGTTGATGTGAGCCATACCATCGTCCAGCTCTAACCCCAGTTAGTTAATGTAGACCGGTTCTGACATGCTTCGATCTGCAGCCGACCGATGATCACGCCTGGGCGTTCAAAGAAGGTCTCAGATTGAATCTGCCTTAAATTCCTTCCCCAGGCCCGAAAAAAGCCGGGACTTATATGTATTCGGCTCTAGTTTCCGGCCTGAAACAATGGGTGGAGTTCGGGGTTGTTCGTTCTAGAAGGCTAGCTGCCATCGCGATCGTAGGTAGGTAGTCTCGAATATCCGTTCTCCTGACGGCCTAGAATGACCAGAATGATTTGGATGCCAAAAGTACTCTGCTTTCTGTTTTCCAATTTCGGTCCGTGCCAGATCTCACTTGTAGAGACCACATAGGGCAGCTCATTTCCAGCCAGTTACCACGCTACAGGGCCTGCTTTCAGATCTGCGTTCCATCATAGCCAAGGTCTTCGTCCTGGGTCTTGTCAATGTCAATATTATCTTTTTGTCAGTGACTGTGCCCAATGACGTTGCCCATCACACACAGGTCTGCATGTGACAACTGACATTCACCTCTATTCTTCCACCATGTTGGAGAGTACCTCCTAACTACCACCAGTGACTAATCAACAACGTATGTGCCATTGTTATGCTTTTTCACTATATCGCGCCTAACCTATGGAGTGACAACGTTCCTGTGCGACATCAACTGACCTCTGGTGCTTGTAGGTAATTGGTTGCTCTCTACAGCGACATCACAAGTATACTGCTTACATACTCCTAGTCAGAGGTGACATGACGGACCATATACCACGATACTCCGACATGCGATCTCAAGTCAAGGAGCAAGGGGCGCGTGAGCCATCCATGGCTCTCAAGGTCAACAGTGGCACCACAACTTCCAGCGGTGGCCACCAAATATAGACCCGGGTTTATTCCCAGATGTCGATCCGCTGCAGACAAAACAATTCACCGACGTGTTGAAGGTCTCAAAGTAAACCACCCTACGCAGAGCTCTCGAGCTCGCAATAAAACCTGCCTCAACAAGTGAGACAAGAACTCCGGCTGTCAAACGTGGACTCCTCCTGAGCACCGGACCTCGATAGTCCATCCCACGGGAGCGACAGGCTGGCCTTCCGCCCGCACCCAGACCCTCTCCTCTTCTATTTCTCCTATCCGGACCGCTGAGGGCTCTCGCACAGGCTTCGCTCCATGTTTGAGTAGCACAGGGAGGGCGGAAAACGAAAGCTGGCAGCGTACGGGTGTCCGTCCGGGTCTGGCAAAAGACCATCCACTGCCCACGGCGTGATACACACCGACGACGGGCGCCAACAAGCCCATTATTTAGGTTTTGGCCTGCGATGTAACCGGAGCTTATTGCTGCCAGCCTTGTTTTCGCGTCCTCACGGGGCCGGCCAGGTGCGGTCATTGGATGCGCGCGCGGACACGAGAGCCGATAGGGGGTCCATCCGGACATCTCATTGACTCATTGTTACTCTCCGATGACACGACAATGCTACACTATGCACCACCTGCTTGCAGGCTCGGCCAACGAGGGCCTCTGCTCCGTCACTTGGCCCCGGCGGTCTGTTAGAGCACGGCCTTGCGGGTCGACCTGACATGTGAATTCCGGATGCGCTGGCCCCGGTGCTAGGACGGCTTGGTACCACCGTCCGGTCTCCCGTGGGTGTGCTTTCGGCCGGGCTCGCGTGTCCAATTGCAAGTCCGCTGGCTCCCTAACGGATATGTAAGGGTTCCCGGATACAGGGTGTGGGCGATGCGCTGCCAGGATCTGGATATCAGGACAGTCTGGCCTGAGTCATTTCCCCTGGCAGTAGTAACGCGTGTTTGTTGAACAGACGAAACTCTGTAGGTCGCACGGGGTGTCAGTTGGTTGACGGGTTATTCTTTAGGCGTGTGGCTGTCGCTGGAGGGCGCCCAAAGAATGTAGATTCGCTACGGGGTGACCAGCGAGGGGTGGGCTGCACAATCAGATAAAGTGATGCTGGCTGAAGGTTAACTCAATCTTCATAATTTTGTGTTATGAAGAGGAGTGGGAGTGTTATACGGCTTTATCCATGAGGACGAACACGTACCACTAAAAGTGTATTCGACGCATGATATGTCAACCCGAAGAAACGGCAGAGCTTATCTCTTACGCGGTCCTATACGCTAGGTACCTCTAGGAGAAGAAATGCCATGTGTAAGTCACTCATTCTGCTCAATCCTTCAAGTCCGTGCATAGAATGAACCTCTAACCGCTGCTTTTTGTATCCAATCCAAGCGAAAAACAAGTGACACGTTGGATGCCGTTCAGTAATCATCATTAACGATCAGATCATACAATACAAATCAAAGATCCTCAGCTATGAAGCAAGCCCGCCTGACGAAAGCATCCAAAGTGTCATAACCGAACGAAAAGACGAAGAAAAGATTTTACGAAGCCCGCTTGGCGAACTCGACGCGAAGGATAAGGTGGCGATAACCGACTAGAGAGGGAAGGCGGCGTTAGCTTTTCATCCACAAGACACGAAGGAGAAATGGGGAACATACAGCCATCCATCTTGTCGCAAGCCCGAGCAGCATCGGTCCGGTCTGCAAAGCTGATAAAAGCGAATCCCTTCGCCCTCTGGGTTTCCCGGTCCCGGGCCAGGAATACTCTGGTGACACGACCGAACCGCTCGAAGAGATCCCGGAGCTCTCCTTCCTCTGCCAACTCGCTGACCTGTAGAAAAGAATTAGATCAAACCCTTCGATAGACAACGCGTAGTTGTGTAGTGAGATAGGACGACGTACGTTTGTAACTCGGAGCGTCGCCAGGTCGTCCTTCTCGTATTTGCCAGCCATTCTCTCGCCGCCACCCGCAGCACCTTTCCGCAGATGAGGAGGCACGTAGCTGCCAGTACCGGTTCCCACAGCACCAGCGGCGGGGGCGTCCTCGCCCGCACCCTCGGCACCGGCTTCGTCGACAGGCGCCATGGTGTCCTTGAACGGACAGCGAGCCGTAAAGTGCTCGCCGCTGCAAATACGACACTTGACCTTCTTGTCCTTGAGCTGGTCCTTCATGCTGCCCTTCTCGCCGCCGTCCTTCTCAGCTTCGGCGGCCTGAGCCTTCCAGTTCACGCTGGGACGGAAGACGATGTTCTCGCCGACGGAGGTGGTGTCGAACGAAGGGCCGGCGGCGTGGCCCTTCTCGAGTCCGAACTTGGCCCAGGAGCGGCGCTCCGCGACTTGGGGGTTAACGTGTTCCCGCACAACGGTGGTCTTGATCCGGCGGGTGACCTTCACCTTCTTTCCGTCGTCGTTGAAGCGGTACGAGACAACCGTCTTGGTGCCATCTTTGTTCGTCGTCACTTGCTGTGCGGGGAGGGCGGAGGGGTCATCGAACTCCTCGTCGTCGGCCCAGTCGGCGCGGCTAATTTTTTGAAAATAGTGTTAGATGGGTTCTGCGACAGGGGGTTTGGGGGGTTCGTTGTACGTACTTTCCTAGCTTCGACATTGTGACTCTGTGGTGATCTGCGATCTGTTGCTGAATTTCTGGATTTCACGAAAGGAATCCGTTGTGGATTTGTTCGGCGCGGCAAAAAACTCGTGGCGTACCATGTGGCGGTGCGAGTATCCGTCACGTGATATAATATCGGACATCACATTCTCCACGAAACCACTACTATTCTACTGCGTCGTATCTCGAATATCAAATTCTTCCGGAATGGATCATCTTTGAGTATCTGCAGAACTAATTTGTTGACCATAGTTGAAAATAGAGTCCGAATGTCCAACTTTGGCCCTAGTACCTTTCGTCCACATAGGAAGGCTTCGACAACTGAATGAAAAACCAAATATCAAAGAAAACAACAACAAACCGAGTCGCAACAAAAATGATGGCTATCCTTCCTTTTGAGAATTTTAGTTCGTACCTTTAAAACTGGGAAGCGAACTTGGTTTCTGGAAAGCGAGTATGGCAGAACGAAGAATAGACTGAATGAGACTGCTCTCTGAGACCTGAGAACTGGATGAATGCAAAACGAACGTTTCAAACGTAGTCCACTTTGACGCTCCCGTGGTTCGTGCCCTTATACCAGAGCGAATATTCGCAATGGGCAGAAAAGTAAGAGGCGTGGATCTTGAAGTCGATCTTGTAATACTTTGCACCATCACTTCCAAAACAAGTAGGCATCCGACTTTGTTCAATCCAGTCAAGGCTTGGATGTAAAACCGCATGCGTTTTCATCCCTGTATTCATTTGTAAATACTCGAGACTCATAAGGGAGAGGGCGCGCAATGTCCATGCTTACGGCGATCAAAATAGAGAGGTGCTGGCTCCGAAGAATCTAGTTCGTAGAATTTCGTATGGATCGCTTCAAATGGACCATCTTCAGCAGATTGGACTTGATAATAGGAAGTCTTGATGGGACTGTCCTCCTTGATATCATCGCCCTGTCGTAGTATTAGCTTCGCAACTTACGGAGTACATTTATACAGCTCTGTCCGCATATACCTTCCGAATGTACCAGTCCATCACTTGGATTCGATACTCCCCCCTGTAGAAGTCCCAATACCTGAAGCTGTCAGCGATACTACAAAAGTATAAACAGCTTGGTACTAACTTCTTCTTCTTATCATGTAGACCATCAATGAATTTGGTGCCTATTATCATCCCATAATGCTTGCGGGCAACACGGGATTCCACCAAGGGTGCAGTGGTTGAAGGAGAAGCATCCATCATTGCTTTGGTCAAAGCTCCTCTAACAACAGCAGTCCATCCATCGACGGGTGCTAGGACCCTGATACCGGGAAATGATTCCAGGAGGGGTTTGCGAAGGTAAGGGTTCTGTCCAAATCCTCCCACCAGGAAGATAGCTTTCACCTTTGTTCTGGAGGCATTAACCTGGCCTCTCACTAAATCACGCACTTCCTGGAGAACTGGTTGAAATATATCAATCATTTCTTTCCCGGTAACGCGGAGCCGGCCTCGTCGTATGCCTTTCTCTTTGTTGTCGGCCAGTCCTGGGACCGGAATCATGAAGTCTTCATCCGGGTTCCCTGCAAAGGTACGTTTAGCAACTAGCTCGAAGCGACCCATGGCCTCTTCCAGAGTGTCATGTTCCCATTCTTCAATGGACGACAGTCGTTCCTTCAGGAATCCTTCAAACCGCCTATTGAGGAAGGTACTTCCACAGAGCGCTCCAGTGCCGGGGGCCTGTTCCTTCAGACGCAAGTGGGGCTTTAACTGGGTCACTGTGAAGGTTATCAAGTCCACCGTACCACCGCCAGCGTCGCATATGACAATGGTATCTCCAACTTCGATGCCGTGGGGGTTTGAAGCCTTCAGAGCGTGGATGGCGACTGCTTCTGGCTCAGAGACAATGTGAATCTGCGATGGCTCTCCGAATCCAGCTTCTTTGGCGCAACTCAGAGTTGCCATCTTGGCTTTATCTGACCATATGGCAGGGACGGTTATGACATATTCGAGGGAAAATTTTTCGAATAACGAGCCAACTCTGGATCTAGATCTGTTTAGTCTCTCGCATGTCGTATAATCTGTAGCAATCCATATGGCAGCTTACTCGATAAGACTGACCACATGCTCCCTCAAGCATGTCAAGTAGTCTGTCACGGCACCCTCAGTGGTTGTATGATGGGGAAGAGAGGCATTACGGCAGTCTGAGTTCATCGTGGTCTTCTGCACTTGCGAAGGATCCAGGCCAAGCTTTATCCATTGGAGTCGCGGCATGATAGCGGGAATTTGAAAACCCCAAACTAGCTTTGGTTCAGATGACTCGGATCTGGAGGATCTCTTGTACTCGTAAGCAACCTCAGTTGGGACTTTTTCGCTTGCCATGCCACCGATAGCTGTGGAAGAGGCGACATCCGGCCACTGGTTGATGAGGTAGTGTACATCTGGCTGAAATCCTATATTGTCAAAGGCAATCCCGGGAACAGGAAAGGGAGGAGGGCTAGGATGAAAATGCACTCACGTGGCTAGTTTGGGCCCATGCCACTCCACTGAAGGTGGTTCCAAAGTCCACGGCGATGATTATTTTCCTCACATCAGATATGTCCATCTTGGAATGCCTTTGAAGCTAGGTATGCGAGCGTTGCGAGTAAGGGGATAAAAAGGAAAAGGGTGTCTCACAAGCAGACCCGAATGGCTGAAGCTGTTTGTGAGGTTGTTCAGAAAGAGGTCGATGGATAGAGAGGTGGAGAGTTGAAAGGTGACTGATAAAGGGAGAGTCACTGGATGAAGAGACAGATGGAAGAATGGAATAGGGAAGAACAACTGCACTGGCCAGGTCTCTTATAATATAAGACAAGAGTGAGGTCAAATGGAACCAAATCCAGGGCAATAGATAAGGACCTAGATAGAATTGAAGCTGAGGAGTGTGGGCTAAGCTAAAGATTTCTTTGCTCATTTCTGTTTCTAAACCACAGCCCCCATACCTCATTCTCTCATTTACTATTCCACATTCCCACTTCTTCTATTTTGCCAGTCCATTTCAATTGTGGGCTCAATTACTGCATGCACACGCACTTACAAACAAAAGGGGAACTGATTCTCTATCCAAGACCTTGTCTATAGCATCTGAATTCACATCCATACGAACCTGTCACAACACAATGGATTCACCAGATGATGAGATCAACAAGCTCATGGATGATTTCAAGAGTGTTCTCTCCCAGACCATTCATGAACGGGACAACAGAATGCACCAAGAAAACGTTCAACTACGGGTGCAACTACGGGAGCAAAACCGGCGTATCGAGAAGCTGGAAGCAGCGCTCCAGGAATACCAAACACAAACCTTCGATTCCATCCCCACCGAAGAGCTGAGTGACGCTGCTATTTCAGAACAATACAGTGTCATCCGTGAGCATATCTCAAACTGGGTCGAGTGCTTGCCAGACGTTCTTGAGTTCGAACGCAGTTTTGAGCAGGCCATGTTGGAATTTCATCACCTGTTTAATGGCAACGCCCTGAGCTATTTACCGGATGGTAATCTCGAATGGCTTTCCGTTGCTCAAATGGAGCTTTTCAGTTCCACCATTTTCCGGAGCCTGGATTCTGCAGTCTTCGACCCTTATATCATGGGAGCCGAAAGGCCGCATTGTGTCCTGTTTGATAATTTGGAGCGAGAGATGGCTTCTCTTGAGGTACCAAAGGGTAAGTACCAGTCCTTTGATGCATTTGATCAGCTGACAGCTGAAATATTTCTAGGAGTGATCACGTCTTGGAGAACAAATACCATCAAAGCATACACATCACGCCCACAGTATGCCAGTTCTGTGAGGGACCTTCGCGATATGTTTCCCTCCGATCTTCGCAGATTCTTCTCTCGATTCACTTTTGAGGAAAATCCCAACATCCGCCAAAGGTTCCATAGCTTTTTTCAAGAGCAGATTATGAATCCCACATTGAATCTGGCCCGTGGTATGAATCTGTCATCTCAAACATACCACGGGGAGTGGTACAAGCATTTCAACAAAGAAGCATCTGGGCTTGTATACAAACGACACTTCGAGAAGTTCATCGTCTATGATATCAGGACGCACAACCGAGTTGCAAGCCCAAATGATGGCGCTTCCCAAGCTGCTGAGCAAAAGCCTATTGCAAGATATCTTTTTACGATTTATCCAGCGTTGTTTCGATCCACAAACGGCCAATACATTCAGATTGAAAAGGCCACTATTCTTGCAATGGTCGTCCGGGATAAATCTTGACGGGTGCTTGAGATTGAGAGAAAGTAAACCAATTTTCATTATCAAAAGTTGAAGACCCCGATTGGTATCTGAACAAGAATGTTTTATGGGGCGAAAGTCTTCCTTTTCAAATATTCATATCTTTTTGGTTCACGCACCAGCACATGTTACCTACCTAATCAATTGGGCTCTAATTTGGTATTTGTCTCTGGAAATGGAAGATAGGGAGAGTGTGGATTGAGACTAGCCTGCGGTTGGTTATCAAGGGCCACTGCTATCTTTTTCCCTCCTATTCGAGCACGCTACCGTGGGCAACATGCAGCGTTGGAAAAATAGATCATGGCTTTTTTTTTTTTTTTTTTTTTTTTTTTTTTTTTTTTTCAGAAATATTTATTAGCTTCTCTGTTTCTAGCACGCAATGAAATCCCAAACTTTCAAATCTTCCACATGAACAACCAAGCCTCTAGAATAAGCAATTATTTATGGCATTTTTGGAGGAAAAGGGTGGCATCAGGGTCCGAAGGGACCTATGGTCCTTTATAGTACAAGTCAATTCATGAGTGCTTAATATACAGCGCAGACGAGGAGGATCTGTCGCAAAAAAAGTATCCCGTGCAAGAGGCTTAGAATAGCTCTATGCACGTGCGCATGAAGAGCCCAATGCCAACATCACTCACACAAGTAGGGGCGCATGCATGCGGTGTTGAATCTGTCGAACTCCATCCGTGAAAAGATGGCGTAGGCCGAGCCAGAAGCAAAGAAAGGCTACCAACTCAGGGTGCGCGCAGCGAAGCCACCCTGTACCGGTTTACCGCCACTGAATACCGAAGATCTTCAAGGCTTTGCCGACTCCAGGCTTTTCCTGGGCTTGCTCCAATATTACTCGCGAGTGGCCTGTTCTAGTATTAGGATAACTGTTAACGAGCAAGGCGGTGGGATAGAAAAGCGTTCACCTTTAACGTCTAGCGCGAGAAGTTGGTATTCCCATTCATTCTTGTCAAGTGGCTTCATCATATGAACGAATACAATTCCGGAGTTGCGAGGTCCCTCGACCTACCTACAGTCAACGACCATCCAAGGTTATGCGGGGTTGAATGGAACTTACGTGGAAGTTCATCCGAAGGTGTTCGCGGCCAAGACGGTCCTTCTCCAAGGATGTCCTGCGGACAAATTAGCATGACCATGCCTCCGGATACTTGAAACTCTTGGGTCCGTACGCAATAGGTCTGTTCCGCGCCCATCGGCTAGTAGTAGCTTCTCCATAAGCTTTGATTTCCCTCCGATCTCCAAGAATATCTGTGCAGCGCGGATCATCCTTGATACGTTCAACGGCCTTTTCGTATTGCCATGTCCGACTGTTGGGGGAGAAGACCTCTGAGTATAGCAAGTAGAACACTCCGCCCTATTACACCTGTCAGTAATCCGCAGACGCCATGACATAGGCTGAACAGTGACCAGAATCCAACGCACCGTAAGGACGGCTCCCGCAATGATGACCACAAAATTCAACGACTGCTGCGTCGCGCGCGCAACCTTCTCCCTTCCACTCAATTCCCCCCACTCGTATCGCCCGTCGTCTGATAATACACCGACTCTCCTTCGGCGAGGAGTCGACTGCGTGCTAGAATTCCCCCCGAGATCACTGTGAGTGGCATAGCTGCGTGACAGTACTGCCGTGCGGGGGATGGAAGCACTGAGGAGAAGGGCGGAAGGAGAGGCTCGGGGAAGAGCAGAGCTCGGGCGGAGGTAGACGGTCATAGTTGCGGCGTGGATGACGACTGGCGGTCACCCAGGTTCCCGTTGGATCGCAGACAGCGGACGAAGCGGGAGGAGCATGAATCGACAGCCCGCAACAGAGGAAAGATGGGATAAATTTCGCCGGGTCGAAGGCGGAGGAGATGATGCTGCACCGCATTTCCTCAAGTGGGCGTCTGTCCCATTGGTCTCGGTGGGGAAGGCGGTGGGTCACGTGCTAGTCTTCTTCCGGGTTGTTATTCTCGTATTTGCATTACCAACGGCGTAAATTACGCATCGTTCCTTACCACGTGCTGGCCCGAAAGTCCCTCAAAGATGGCCTTATTCGATCCATATACTGGAAGAGAAACAGTTAATATGCTCTAGACCAAGCAATTGGGATTGCGCATGCTTTCTAGTCTACGGACTCCTATCTAATTTGGTTGGTGTGAGCGATGGCTCACATTGTCTCGTACCTGGATACCGCCGAAAAACACACCCCCTTTTGCAAAACAGCCCGTCCAGGCCGACCCAAAGCGATTTCCGACCACGTTCGCCCTCCCGATTGCATTTCTTCCTCTTCTCTCCCCCAGAATCTCCCCGTTATCCTCCCCTTTGGCCCAGTCGCCTCTTCATTCGGGTTGTCTCACCCGTCCTACCTGTCATCATGAGTGCCACAAAGGCGCAGTCTCAAAAGATCTTTGAGAAACTCAAGCTGAAGCCCGCAAACAAGGTGTGTATTGCCCCTCCCCGCCTGTCCACACCAGTCAACATGCCCTGACCGAATCCTCCATAGATCTGCTTTGATTGCGGCTCTAAAAATCCTACGTGGTCGTCTGTTCCCTTTGGTATCTACCTTTGCCTGGACTGCTCTGCCAACCACCGTAACCTGGGTGTCCACATCTCCTTCGTCCGCTCCACGAACCTTGACCGTATGCCTCGCGTGGTTGTTCTCTCTCCCCCAGTGAATGCTAATATGCATCTGTAGAATGGCAATGGGAACAGCTCCGAATTATGAAAGTGGGTGGAAATGAGTCCGCCACCAAATACTTCCAATCGCACGGAGGCTCCGCCGCACTGGCCAGCAAGGACGTCAAGGTCAAGTATACGTCCAATGCCGCAGTCAAATACAAGGAGGAACTGAAGAGACGGGCCGCACTGGATGCTCAGCAGTGAGTTTTTACGGAGAACTCGATACATCCCTTCCAGTACTAATGGTGCGTGTTTGTTCAGGTACCCCGACGAGGTCGAAATCACCGATATCCCCACCGGTGCCTCCTCGAATGGCTCCAGCACCCCTGCCGGTGATGCCGACGATGACTTCTTCTCCTCCTGGGATAAACCATCTATCAAGCGCCCCAGCAACCCGCCGTCTCGCACCGGTACTCCCCCTGTCGTGAGTCGCACCGCGTCGCCTTTCTTGAACGCCGGGGCCAATGGCAACGGTGCGCGTTCCAAGTCTCCCCTGTCCGCTTCCGACAAGGAAAGCTCCGCCTCCCCTGCGCCAACCGCTATCCGTTCCAGCAACTCCGTACGTAAGACCGGCGCCGCTGCTGGCGCAAAGAAGGGAAGCGTCCTGGGAGCCAAGAAGGCGCCCAAACTGGGCGCGAAGAGGGTGGGTGCTGCAGAGACCATCGATTTTGATGAGGCAGAGAGAAAGGCCAAGGAAGAAGCCGAGCGCATAGAGAAGTTGGGGTATGACCCTGAGGCGGAGCAGGCTGAGGCCGATGCCAAGGCCAAGACTGCGACTACCGGTGCCGCGCCGATTGCTTCGCCGTCGCCGATCAGCCCCAGCAGAGGAAGCTTTGGTGCCACCCGGACCTCCCACGAGCGCAACTCCAGTGACGTGGAGCGTCTTGGAATGGGAATGGGTAGACTTGGATTCGGTCAGACTGTTAGCTCGAAGCCTGCTGCTCCTAAGAAATTAGGCTTTGGTTCTGTTGGCCCTACCCGGACTGCTGCTGATGGTAAGTCCTGAATGGGTTCTTGTCATAGTTTGGGTGTACTAATTTGATTACAGAGGAGGAACTCCAGCAAGCGAAGACGCGCTTCGGTAGTCAGAAGGGAATCTCGTCCGACGAGTTCTTCGGACGTGACCGCTTCGACCCTGCCGCTCAGGCGGAGGCCAAGGAACGTCTGCGCCAGTTCGACGGTGCCACCTCGATCTCCAGCAACTCTTACTTTGGCCGACCTGAAGACGATTTCCCTGCTGGGGACGACACCTACGGTGACCTGGAAACTGCTGCTAAGGACTTTGTCCGACGCTTCGGCATTACCGCTGGCGATGATCTTGAGAACCTCACGCAACTGGTCGGCGAGGGTGCCGTTAAATTGCAAGGTTAGTGGCAAGGAGTATGCATTGTTCCGGGGAACAGGCTAACAATGTCACAGGTGCTATACGCAGTTATCTGAACAGCTAAACCTTCTCCTTCAACCTCTCGTTGATTCACCCTCTATTCCAAATCCTTGATGTCGTTTACCCCTTTTAGCCTGTTCTCTTCATATATGGCGTTCTGCTTGCTCTCGATGTGTGCCTGTTTGTTCTTATTTTTTAGTCAATATATCTTTTATCTCAAGGGACGTTGGTAACGCGATGACAATATACCCCTACAGAGACGCAGATTAGAGGGATATACGCACCATATTGCCACGGTTGATATACATTGTCGTCCTCACAACCATGTCTTGCCCTGTTCGCGTTGACCCTCGTCTCTGTTTTGAATTAGCTGGAAAATTTAAACGTCGGCATTTACATGATGCTTCGAAATTCTACCCACGTCTCGTGCTCATTCTAACCATTTCTATTCACTACCCAGAGCCCCTGCGGCCCATAAAGCTTGCCATTGTCACGAATGAATCGTCTATTGAAACATTGTTCTGCTCTATTTTACATACAAGTTTTGGTATCGTTGAAGATATACAGTCATGTTGAACATCAATTATCACCCTGGCGGTATCTCATTGCTCCACCCGGTAGATAGCATCCGCCACCTTTGCAACTTGCCACATTTCGTGGACATCGTGAACACGGACAATATCTGCCCCACCAGCAATACTGGCCGTAACAGTGGCCGCGGTGCCCCAACCGCGATCACTGGCCTTGTCGACCCCGGTGAGGCGTCCAATGAACCGTTTCCGGCTGGGCCCCATCAGCCACGGAAAATACTCGAGTCCTTGCACACCGGACCGGAACTTTTGCAGATCACGAAGGATGGTCAGATCCTGGGCTTGATTCTTGGCGAAGCCGAGTCCCGGATCGAGGATGATGCGCCAGCGCTTGACGCCCGCGGCCTCCGCGGCAGCGACGCGGTCGAGTAACTCTGTGCTGACGTCCTGGATGATGCCATTGGGATAGTCCGTCAGTTTGGTCATGGTCGAAGGTGTGCCACGCATGTGCATGAGAATGACGGCCTTGCCCGTTCGGGCCATCGTCGGAAGCATCTCCGGGTCCAGAAGGCCGGCCGAGACGTCGTTGATGATGTCGGCGCCTGCGGCGCAAGCTTCTTCGGCGACACGCGCGCGGTACGTGTCAATGCTGATGGCGATGTTGGCGGCTTCGGGGATGGCGGTGCGGATGTGGCGGATGGCGGGGATCACGCGGGCGAGTTCTTCGGCTTCGCCGACGGGTTGCGAGCCTGGACGGGTGCTCTCGCCGCCGATGTCGATGATGGTTGCGCCGGCTGCAATGAAGTCGCGGACGGTGGTGGTAAGGGCGGACAGATCAGTGGTGAAGTGCTTCCCGCCGTCGGAGAAGGAGTCGGGGGTGAGGTTTAAGATGGCCATGACGTGGGTGGGCCGTTTTGGGTCGGTGGAGTGCAGGGGCGGGAAGTCCTTCGAGATGTAGGTGGTTGCGACAGGTGCTGGAGATGGAGGGGGAAGTGATTTGAAGTGCGAGAGGAAGGTCCTGTTGTGGCCTGGGAACGGGGGGAGCTCGTGGGGAATGAGCCTGGGTGGCTGTTAGATTGGCGGCTACCATGAAGGTTGACATCATACTCACTGACACAGAGGTCGGAGGACAAAATCGCGCTCTAGCATGAGCTTGTGCGGGATGTCGAGTCGTTCGTGGGAGACCGTCTGTTGGTCATAGAGCAGGATGTCCAGATCGATTGACCGCGGCCCTTTATCGATCAACTTCTTTCTGCCGAGTCCGATTTCTATCGACTGGAGGGTATCGAGCAACTCCAAAGGGGACAGACTCGTCTCTACCTGGGAGAGGGTTAGCTCGGTCAATTGACTATTTCCATACAGCGTACCTCGCAAACCCCGTTGATGAAAGGATCCTGATCGAGGACATACATCGGGGCCGTCTCGAAGAGAGAGCTGGTCCTTCGGACTCTGATATTGGCCCTCTCCAGTTCGGCACACGCCTTCTCGATCATCTCAAAGCGATCGCCGACATTGCTCCCCAGTGCTATGAAGGCCCGGTGGAGGGCCGGACTGCACGGGTTCATTCTGGTATTGAACGAGCTTATCCGGCTCGTGGATAAGGCTCGGATTGCTGGAGAACGTAAATGAGAAGCATGTCCGAGGCTTTTGGAGGTGCAGTTGGCTGACAATGGCTGTCTACGGAGTCGAGATGTGATCTGCGGGCCTGCATGAAGGCATTATTAGCGCGGAAGGAAAACCAAAGCTCAACGGTGTTGGGTTTGAGATTGAGGATTGGATTCAGAGACGACTATCATTTCGCGGATAACGTACATGTCGCATGGATACTGGAGAGACTTCTATTGACCTGTTAGACTGAAGACTCCATTTGACTACGGAACAAGTTCACCTGCTGCTGACGGACCCCGCGCATAAGCTTTTCTGCGCTGAATGCAGGCGGGATCGAACCGGAGTGCTTGGATGTGACGGGCGGAGGGAAAGATGCCCGACGACGGTGCTGTTATGCCAGCTCACAGCTGACCATGATCGCATGCTGAGGGAAGACCGTGGCCGGCATACACAGGGAGAGAGAAATCTACCAAAGAAAAGGCACGGGCCAGAAGAGACACGGAGAATACGTCATTTCCCAAAGCGGCGACGCGGGATCAGGTGACTTTTCTGCCTTGCTGCCTGAGATACAGTGCCGATAGGATAACCCCGCCCGGTTAGTAAGCGTTCGGCAGAAGACTAAATAATACTCCGTAATAGCAGCAAGCAAGGCAAAAGCAACCGAGGCTGTTGGTCTGCGGGCTGACCTCCTCGGCTCGCCCGCATGGTTGCTGGTCCCTTATAACTTCCCCCGTGATTGCTGCTCCAGATCTTCGCTTCTACCCCATATCTCTCTTCCTCCTTCTTCTTCCCGTCAGTTGTCTTTATTTGTTTTACGGGTCAATCCGTCCAATACTCCATATACCGTCGTCATGGCTTCTCCTCGTATGTACTTCCTTTCTCCGCATGTGAACCACTACAGTGGCAACCTACCTCTCTCCTGACAGTTCTGTCAGACTGACCACCATGTCTTCCAGAGAAAATCCGTACCACCCTCACCGATCTGCTCAAGATCAACCACCCCGTCCTGCTGGCAGGTATGAACGTGGCTGCCGGCCCTAAGCTGGCCGCTGCCGTCACCAACGCTGGTGGTCTCGGTGTCATCGGTGGTGTCGGTTACACGCCCGAAATGCTCCGGGAACAGGTTGACGAGCTCAAGAGCTATCTCACGGACAAGAACGCTCCCTTCGGTGTCGACCTTCTCCTTCCCCAGGTTGGCGGCTCCGCTCGCAAGACCAAGTATGTCCCTTCCGATGCTAAGCGCGCGGCTCATACTAACGCACGTCGTCCCTAGCTACGACTACACCAAGGGTAAGCTCAACGAGCTGGTCGACATCATCATCGAGAGCGGTGCCAAGCTCTTCGTTTCCGCCGTCGGTGTTCCCCCCAAGCACGTTGTCGAGAGACTCCACAAGGCCGGTATCCTCTACATGAACATGATCGGCCACCCCAAGCACGTCCAGAAGGCCCTCGATGCCGGTGCCGATATCATCTGCGCCCAGGGTGGTGAGGGCGGTGGTCACACCGGTGATGTCCCCACCACTGTTCTCATCCCTACCGTCGCCAAGCTCTGTGCTGGCAAGAAGAGCCCCATGACCGGCCAGCCCGTCCAGGTTGTCGCCGCTGGTGGTCTCTTCAACGGCAACTCCCTCGCCGCCGCCCTCATGCTGGGCGCTTCCGGCGTCTGGGTCGGTACCCGCTTCATCCTGTCCGACGAGGCTGGCGCCCCCAAGGCCCACCAGGAGGCTGTCCGCACTGCCGGCTACGAGGATAACATCCGCACCATCATCTTCACTGTAAGCATTTCCTGACCAACCTGTGTGTATCACTTTACTGATGATCGCAGGGTCGTCCCCTCCGTGTCCGCAATAACGCCTACATCACCAACTGGGAGGAGAACCGCAAGGACGAGATCAAGCAGCTCACCGCCAAGGGCATCATTCCTGTCGAGCACGACTTTGAGAACCTTCCCGACGATGTCGATGACGAGACCCTTGACAACGCCCGTCCCTTCCTGATGGGCAAGGTTGCGGCCGTCGTCAACGAGAAGAAGCCCGCCAAGGCCATCGTCGACGAGTTTGTTGACGATGCCGCTGTTCTTCTCGCCAAGGGCCACAAGATGCTCGCTAAGCTGTAAATATTATTTCATTGTTGTAATTTCGTCGGTTGGTTGGGGTTTCATGCATATAGCTTTGACCTCCGTTCTATAACCGCATATTTCATGGGTTGTAGCGCTCATTTTCTTTGTCAAGAATAAAATTATCACTCAGTCTTATTTTGCCTGGGAAACAGTAGACCGTGGGCATGATCGGGCTGGGCATCATGCCACCTGTGACATGTGCATGGCAAATACGAAGTATCATATGCAACTTACCCCGCAAGTGGAAATTGCCGAAAATGAACTTTGAAGTGTCAAAAGGTCTCGTAGATATGTCGGTCCGAGGAAGTCTATCATTGCTCAGTGAGGAAGGTACATCACAGATCACCATCAGTTACAGTACAGTAGCAATCAGATAAGATAGGCCTACGCGTGCCCAAAATCTGTGTGTCAACTTCTCGCTCGATATGAATGTAGTATATATAACCAAATATGCTCTTTATATACCCAACTTGCATCGAAACATTTTGATACTTCCTGATGTATGGCACATTTCCGGAATTGTTGAAAAAGAAATCAACCCCACAAAAGTACCTAGCTTCGTCTCTTTATCCTGATCCGCGCACCAGAAGGCGGCATCAGAGCCTCAGCCATCCACCGATTCGCAGGTCTCTGTCCCTTATACTCGGCCGGAAACTCGACATCATAATTCATCAGAAGATAAGCAACAATCATCTTGACCTCAAAGTCCACCAGGAACCTCCCCGGACACGAATGGCCCCCATGTCCAAAGGGCAGATGCTCCGGCGAAGTCGACACAAAGCTCAGATGGCTCGCGCTAGACCGGCCCTTCGTGTCTCTGGGCGCCTGTTCGCGGATCCGAGAGAACCGGAAGGGATTGTACTCGAAAGGATCCTCGAAAGTTTCGGGGTCGCATTGCAGTGGACGGCCCAGGAAGGAGACGTATGCGCCTTTGGGCAGCTCGATTCCGTCTTCTGTTTTGATGCCCTCGACAAGGACCTTGCGGAAGACGCCCCGGTTGGTGTTTGAATATAACCGCATGGTTTCACGCGCCACGCTGTCGGATTTGATCATCTGCGCGACTTTGTACTTGGTCCATTTGGCGTTGCTGTCAGGGCCGATGACATCCTTCACTTCGTCTCGGAGGACGGAGATGGTGTTGTGTTGCGGGTCTGAGCTGACGATGTTGAGGACCATGTTTGTCACAAGCAGGGTTGTCTGGTGCACGGCGGCGAAGTTGGCAAAACACAGCCGTCTGCACATGCTGGGGAGGTCGTGCAGTTCGCCTGGTCGCTCTCTCTGGGCGTACCGGAGCATTTGCTGGAAGAGATCCTGCGTTTCGTCGCTGGCGGGCTTTTCCGCGCTGTTTTGCTGGCTCAATGCCTGCACCCGCTGGCGGTAGATAGGCTCTACATGTTTCTTGACCTGCTCGATGCTCTGGCGGAGTTTCATCGTAACTAACGGGCCAACAATTGGGCGTAGAAGACGTGGAGTCGCGCCGGTCAGACCGCCGTTCATCATTATCCCATCATTGACTTTCCAACAGGCTCGAAGGTACGCTTCGCTGCGGCCTGTCGCTCTCCAGTTAGAAAGGGATTTTCAGTAAGAAAGGAGAAACGTACAGAGCGGAAATCCGACGGTAAATCGGCTCGCTGCGGCCATGATGATCATTCGGATTGTCTCCAGCAGATCGACTTCTTTCCACGATTCGGTATCACACCCAACATATTTATCAAATGCATACTTCAGCTCCTCGTTCATGCCATCGCAGACTGCCTCCAGCTTGGAGTTGATGTCCGACTTGACAAGCATACAAGGCCAGGGATCGGCTTTGTATTTCTCATGGCCTAGTGAGTACTTCAGTTGAACAAGTTCCAGGACCGCGTCGGCGTGACTGAGCTCCTTTTCAGGACGGGCCATGATATCCCGCATGGCGCTTTGAGGCAAGACAATGTCATGGCGGAATCCAAGACCCGGGAGAAGGACGGTCTTGCCGTGTTTGGTGTACTTGGTTTAGGTCAGTATCGCTGTCAACAGTGGTGTAAAAGAACGCACATTGTCGTATGTTTCTTTGTATAGAGCCTCGCAGTCGATATAGTACCTCCATCTCGTTCGCCAGCTGAATGTTCTCTTCCCATCAGGTTCGCCAGCTAGTGGGAGGTTGGCGGGATATCGGATGGCAAAGAATGCCCGATAGATAAGCAACGCGCATCCTACTAAAGCAGGAAGCATCAGAGCCCATGCCGCATATCCTTCGGCAAAAGACTGGGAGAAAGTAGAAGCTCCCATAGTCTTTCTTTGAAGGAGAACTGTCGGTACTGCTTGTATTGAATCCTAGTTTGTTCAGATCCTGATTCTCCGAGTAGAATGAAAGTCTTTGGGACTCGTATGAGGGTAGTAACTGGGATATTTAGCCCCATAGTACCGGGCTAGACCTACTACGCCTGACTGCAACCTGGCTTTTGCTAACAAGAATACCATTGATAATCATTTCTGGCATCCGCCGACCAAATCCTGGCCGATAACGGCGTCGGTGATGGATATAACCGGCCCTGGCAGTAATCCACTTCCATGCAGGACAAGGATTCATCGAATAATACTGTGTGTCAATGAAATGACCATGTCGGCAGACTACCTCGTTCGGTTCTCTGATTACTCCGTGCTACTAATTCCTAATTGAGACAAAAGCCTGCACGCTGTTCTAATTACTTCCTAGTAAGGGGAATGAGAAAACAGGATTGGATGTTTACATTCTTTGCTCCAAGTGACCAATGAGGCTATCTATTGCTGTCCACTCTTTTCGGAGTATATGAAATGCCTATCTATAGTACGTCAAGGTAAGCAACAAGCCTGAGTGCCTAAAACAAAAGTACGTGTAGAAATAAAATATAGATCCTACGGCCCACCGACCCACCCGCACATAACTAGCCCATGCTTAGCGCTTACTACTTGCAGAGACCCATAACTCGCGCCTTGACTGCACCGTCGCCTTCCTTGGGAAAGGCGAAGCCCCGTGTATGGTATACAGAAATAGCTTTCGCAGTCGTTTCAAACAGCTCCATGTCCAAGGATGTTGCAACTCTTGCGATACCGAGGTAGAGTTTTGCATATGCCAGGCTAGAGATAAGGAATTAGCAACAGTACCACCGTGGTTGGGTTGCAGTTATGGAAGACCATACTTGATACCGAGACATCCTCTGCTGCCCTTGCTGAAGCTGACCATGTATTTGTCGAGGCTGACGCCGTCCTGTGCAGCCTTGACCCAACGCTCGGGATCGAAGACTTGAGGATTTGGGAATACGGAAGGGTCGTTGTTGACCAGGTAGGTTGACTGGCTGACCGGTGTCTAGTTTGGTGTTAGTAGGTGCCCGTGGGAGGGATGGGTGAGACCAAGCTTACTCCCGGTGGAATTACGAAACCGTTGTACCGCAGAGCTTCGTGTGGGGAGATTCTGGGAATGCGCACGACCAGACCGTACGCAAGGCGGATTGCTTCCTGGACGACGCCTCTCTGTAACACGCGTCAGTAAAGTATCGGCAGACAGATCTTGGGAATCGCACCATATAAGGCACAGCCTCGAGCTCTGTCGTGGTCCATTGCTGACCATCCGGCTTCGCAACAGCCTGCAATTCTTTCCGCAGCTTCATCAGCACATCCTTATTGTTGAGCAGGTGGAACAATGCAACGCCGAGTGTCCTAGCGGTGGTGTCAATCCCCGCAAAGATGATGGTTTCGCCCTCATCCAACAGACGGTCCAGTGTTTTCTCCGCGTCGGGGACATTGGGATCTGTCAATGCGCTCACAATGACAGACTTGGATCTCGCGTCTTTCATGGCCTTTTTGTCTTCGTCAGGTTTGTTGAGGTAGCCCAAAACCATCTTTTTGTTAGCCTCCCGCGCCGACACGACCAGAGGGAAGTTCGGGTTGATCAACCCGAGGATTGGCAATGGGAGGTTTTTGAGTGTGTTTGCGGGGACTGGCAGGAAGCGCGTGAGGTTGTACAGATTCAACAGCACAGTCAGTGCATCCTTGAGTCCGTACTTGAAGTCCTTGCTGCCAATGTAGTTTGCATGAGTCCCATAGAAGTGGTAGGTGACGACATCGGCAGTGTAGGCAGAGAAGGCAGACGTCAGGTCCACGATGCTACCCTTTGCTTCTGCAAGACGCGAGATCAATACATTCAGACGCTCGTGGATGACCGGCTCGATTTCCGCGATGGCCCTTTTAGAAAAGTACGGGCTCACAATAGCGCGGCGTTTGCGGTGGAGGTCATGGTCGAGGGTCGAGATGGTGGAATGCGGGAATGTGTAGCCAGACACGGCGGACAGTTCTTTGTTAACCTTGCGGCCACTTCCAGCGTAGATGGTGTTAAAGTATTCCGGATCGTGAATGTGCAAAGATCTCGAGTTGATGCGAACAATCGGCCCTTTGGGGGTGGTTAGCCTGTCTTGGATTCTGGATGGTTGAAACTGGCCACTGTACCGTATTTCTGGTGCATCTTCTCAATTTCCCAGAGATAGGTGCCATCTCTAATGACGTCGTAGTAAAACTCGTAGAAAGACCATATGGCTGCCCGTTTGGGGCCGGGAAAATTTCGCAACGGATGAAAAAATAGATCGTAGATACATCGAGCGGCTACAGATATAGCAACCGCGCCGAAGACCGCACCGATGGCCGCTGGAAAAGACAGGTCTTGGAATAGCATGGTCACGACTTAGACTGTCCGAGGTGATGAGAAAGAGGTGGACAAATGCGATATCGAGTAGCGGAGAGTTGGGAAGAAGAAGTGTGTCTGGCCTACGAGGAGACCTTTACATGCGGCATGAAGGCCCTTGGTCCTTGGCTTCACCGAAGGCCTGCGGAGTAGACTTAGGTACCTTAGGTAGGTCCGAGTGGAACTGTGACTCTGGCTTATGCATACTATGGCTGACCTGCGTTTGGCCCCTATAGTTATTACCGGATTTCAGCCCTTGAACAACGCCATTGTATCTTTACACCTCCGAGACCGAAGGCATTAATTTCTCACTTGCGTCCGTTGGTGGGACATACTTTCTAGTTTAGCTCATGTACCGGTTGATGTCCGCTCAGTTGTCCGATGTTCGGCATCGGGCGCGAGTATACACTCCCAAGAGGTGCACCGTGTTGTATGAATGGGAATCACTGTCAGAGGCGGTTCTTTGATGCTGTGAGTAAAAGATTCGACGTTCATCTAATCTAGGAAGAATACATACTCCGCATCAGTGAAACGCCTTGTAAAGACCTGCCTCTAATGGATAGGTACTTTCGAACGTTTGCCGATTAATTCCGTGCAGACCCAAGTACAGCCTTATAGTACTAGGACCGGATTAGAAATTGCAGAGGAAGAGAGATCAAACATATGTGGGCTTCCTATCTGTCCTATACCCGGCTGGAATATTGGGCGCTGGGGGGCGCTCATCCTGCTCGTATGTCAGTCCTATCAGGTCGAGAACGATCCATCTTGCTTTTTTCAACTCCTCACCACATCCACCTCGTCGACTACGGCGTGGACATGTGGGGCGGTAATGTTGGTACACTGAAGCGTGGATGGACGGGATTGTTGCCGTCAAGCGGTCTCTCCTTGCCCTCGTTCATCTCGTGGGAAAGAATGGGCCAGACGGCCATATCGCGCCAAAGGATTGGAGTAGAGCACATGAGGGCGCCGGTCAGCTCTCCAGGACTTTTGTCCATCTGAGACGTGATGTTTCCAAGGTACATAAGCAGGCTTCGTCCCAGCCTCTCGAAGGCATCAACGAGCATCTCAAGTTTCTTTGAATTGCCTCCATCATGGACATGAATACCTTCCCCGCCAGCACATACTGCGAATCCATCGTGCGCTTCCTGGATGCCATTGAGTACCATGATGACAACCTGACACACGAGGAGCGGGTCGAAGGCCTCCGTCATGTTCATTCCAAGACTGCACAATACTTTACCGAGCCTCTTCCGAGAAGTATCCTCAAAGGGGTGGCTCCCCGCCGGATTGCTGCTGTCACTCGGACCATTTCCCATTTCATCGTCTATTGTTGGAGCAAGCTACCCCGGGAAGCTCAAGTAGACGTCTCCATTTACCTGTCCATCATCAACGTGCTGGACGACGAGATCAGCAGCGAACCCAGCACCCAGATGACCAGCTTCTGGTCAGACCTGATCCAGGGCAAGCAGCCGAAGCACCCCTTCTGGGTGCTGTTCAATTCACATCTGCCCCGTCTCCTCCGACACTACGGCAGCTTCTGCGCCTTCAACATCATGCGCTGCACATTCGATTACTTCGAAGGCTGTTGGATCGAGCAGCACAATTTCCAGGGCTACCCTGGCGCCGACTGCTACCCGTCGTTCCTCCGACGACTGAACTGCCTCGGCGGTGCTGTCGCAGGGACCATCTTCCCCGCCGCCAAGTTCGATGAGCAGAAGCTCTTTGCGCAGATGTCTTGCGTGATGGCGCAAATCGACGGACCCGTCGCCCTGATGAATGATCTGTTCTCTTTCTACAAAGAATATGATCAGGACGAGGCCAATCTGGTGAGCAACTGGTGCACTGTGGACGGAATCACGATGGACCAGGCCCTCACACGTCTCACCGACGATACAATCCATGCTTGCGTACGGATTCTGGATATCTTGAAGGACAAGGACCCGGACATGCTGGCCACCATCCGCGGGTTTATCCACGGGTATGCGACATGGCACATCTGCGACTTCAGGTACAGACTGCGGGAGATCTATGACCGCGAAGATCTGCAAGAATCGGGCGCCAGGTTCCGCGAGTACTTTGACAAGGCTATTGATGTGGGATGGGTGGATGTTGAAGAGTGGACTTGCCAAGTCCAGGGCTTTGAAGTCGAGGGGCCGGCCCCTTCGGGATCTGAAGTACAGGCATATCAGGCCAATGCATTTGGGTTCTCGGTCGATACACAGCGGCACCACAACATAGATTACGTGGGGAGTTCAATACTTGGTCTGTTTGAATGGGCGACGCGTTATCTGAGGGGGAAACTCCCGCTAGGCAACGCATAAGGAAGGCGATGAAATGCAGGTTTATGGCGTATGGAGCTAGCAATCCTTTTCTTTTTGAAAATATATTTGCCCATTTTCTCTTTCGATATACTAGTTGAGGGACGTATACAACTGGACGCCTAACCAAAAAGTTTCTATAGATCTAGATCCTGATTCGTTCTCAGCCTGCCGACCTTGTTGGCAAGCTGCGTTCACTAGACCTGATCCTTGTCTTACAGCGTATATGGCTGGTCGAGTTGATAACTATACGGGGTACTCTAGTGCTTATTCAGATTATAGCTCTAACAATATTCAGGATCCAAGTGGGACTGTTCCTGCGGGCCATTCCGCCATCCGTACCAATGGCAGCCAAGGAATAGCCGGTGAATGTTCCATTGATATTGATAATCAGTAGGTATGCAGATCACCGTAGGGCTAGTTAGCCGGCAGCGGTTAGATTAGGTCCGTTCTCGCCACAAAGACAGGGGCAGATGCCACCTGCTCCGTGCATTAGTTCGGTGTCTCGATTCAGGCTGAATCAGAGCGGATCATTGCTCGCATCTCTCACGGCAGCCGGTATCGGAGATCGGGGAGTTGTCCGAACAATAAACGAGTGATCGCCAGAAGACATCGAATCATGCAGCAGAGAAAGTTCATCACGGAGTACTCCCGTCAGCAAAGCTTACCTGGTTGATCTAATGCAGACGAGATCCTTCTAGCCGCACCTCGGCCGTTGGTAGTGTCCACTGAAACATCCAACGCAGCAGAGGTGATGCTAAACTCTAGGCACCCCTTCGCTGCCCCTCAGATTGGACCGGTCTGGGCCGGACCCCTATCAACCTAGCTGTGTACTGCCTCCGAAGTGCAAGTCACTAATACGGAAAGTGGATACTCAGGGTATACCTGCCTCATCAGAGTAGGCTGTCAAAGCGGCGGTCGAACGGAAGGTACTGCGGGTAGGGATGTATTAGTGGTCAGCAACGACCACAGGCAGCCCTCCATTCTTCGCTGGCTAAAGAAAGAAGGCCGTGAAATTCCGATTAGCCTGAGCATCCCCGATTCTACATGCGGCTAGGCATTTGCCCTCATTCGGCTCCTTGCTGTCTTATGAGCACTAGAGTCGAAAGTCTTGACGACAATCACATAAGTGCTTCCTATTCGGGCTACTAATATCATAATATACATTTGTTCTTACAGGGTCTAAGGGGATATGAGAGTTATCTAGGATGAAAACTTGAGACATGTGTACTAGGACTTTTCTCATCTACCTGCTGTTTTCGTACATTTGGACGGGATACCTAGATCGGTCCGTCCGTGACACATCCATGGCTGGCATCGCTGACCAGCGTGCAGTACTTCTTCAAAGTTCCCTTCTGGTATCGGAGCGGGGGTGCTTTCCACTCCTTCCTCCTCTTCTCGAGCTCTTCAGTCGGGATATCCAGATCAACCACTCTTTCCTCAGCATCAATCACGATCCGGTCACCGTCCCGGGCCAAGGCGATCGGGCCGCCCTCCATGGCTTCCGGCACGATATGTCCGATCAAGAATCCGTGACTGCCACCCGAGAATCTTCCGTCCGTGAGAAGCGCAACGTCCTGGCCCAGACCGGCACCCATAATGGCCGCGCTGGGCTTGAGCATCTCAGGCATTCCTGGGCCACCCTTGGGGCCTTCATACCGGATAATCACGACCGTCTTCTCGCCCTTCTTGATTTCGCCCCGCTCGAGGGACTCAATAAATGCATCTTCGTAGTCGTAGCACTTGGCCGTACCCTCGAACCGCAGACCCTCCTTGCCAGTAATCTTACCCACGGAACCGCCCGGTGCCAGCGACCCGCGAAGAATCTGGAGATGGCCAGATGGTTTGATAGGGTTGCTGAGGGGGCGGATAATGTCCTGGTCGGCAGGGAAATCGGGCCATGAGGCCACGTTCTCCTTCATTGTTTTGCCAGTGACAGTAATTCCTGAGCCGTCGATCAGGCCCTCCTTCAGAAGATATTTGAGGAGGGCTGGTGTGCCACCGATGTTGTATAGGTCGTTCATAAGGTATTTTCCAGATGGCTTCAGATCAGCTAGGAACGGTGTCTTGTCAGACACGGCCTGGAAGTCATCGATGGTCAACTTGATACCGACAGAGTCGGCGATAGCAATCAGATGCAGAACGGCGTTGGTGCTGCCACCCAGGATATTCACCACAATCATTGCATTCTCGAAAGCTTGACGCGTCAAGACATCCCTGGGCTTGATATCTTCCCTGAGCATAGTCTTAACCACCTCGCCGATGTTTTCGCACTCGACCAGCTTCTTGGGATCGTCTGCCGGGCAACTGCTGCTACCGGGAACGGTCATACCCATAGTCTCAATGGCCGTGGCCAGGGTATTGGCCGTGTACATGCCACCGCAGGCACCTCTGCCGGGGCATGCATTGCGAATAATATCGAACCGCTCCTTCTCGTCGATCTGGCCGGTGATGAACTGTCCATACGACTGGAACGCGCTAACCAGGTCCAGCTTTTGGCCCTTTGCACTGCATCCGGGCTTGATACTGCCGCCATAGACCATGATACTAGGTCGATTCGTGCGTCCCATCGCCATCAACACACCCGGCATGTTCTTATCGCAACCCGGGAGCGACACATTCGCATCATACCACTGGGCGTTCATCACCGTCTCAATGCCATCGGCGATCAGCTCCCGACTCTGCAAGCTGTATCTCATTCCCTTTGTGCCCATACTGATTCCATCCGACACTCCAACTGAATTGAATCGCATTGGGACCAGACCCGCCCGGTGCACGGAATCGCGCACGATGGCGGAGAGGTCGTGCAAGTGCATGTTACAGGGGTTACCCTCGAACCACACCGAGGAGATACCGACCTGCGGCTTGGACATGTCTTCCTCTGTGAGGCCGGTGGCGTAGAGCATTGCTTGAGAGGCACCCTGAGATTTGGGTTGTGTGATTTTCGAGGAGACCCGATTGAGGGTCTCGTCGGACTTGTAACGGCGCCCGGTAGTGGAAGCCGGAAGACGACTAGTAACGATAGTTGTTAGTGTTTGTCTTTTTTTGAGGAGGGAATGAGAAGCATTGCGAGGGAAGATTTTACGTACGTATTCTCAAACCGGGCTCGTGGGTGCAACCCCAGAGCTCTCGATCGGATCCTCGACGCGAACATGATGTTCGTGGATACGTGCATGGGGAATGAAACAGGTCGAGCCTTGAGGGGGGGAGAAAGGGGATTAATAGAGAAAGATGGAGAATCGAATACAACGGGTTCAAGGCACCAACACTGTCAGAAGAAGGATTGTTTCGAGCAGGCGTGATTCATATAAAGGAGGGTGCATAAGCAAAGGTCCTAGTACGGAAAGGTACTATGCCTAAAACGGGATTCGGAGTTGTGGTCCAACTCCGGGCTCTCTTTCATTTGCGGGATCTCGGCCCCAGCGGCCCAATAACAGGTCGAGTAATGCAAACCAAATCACGTACAGGTAACTGATTCAGAGCAGTCAATTTGGCCTATTCATGGCCACGGCCTGCTCAGGAACTAATAGTCCCCTAGGAGACGGCCTTTTCTGACAATGTGCCGAAAAAGCTTTACAGCTGGTTGCGAAAGCAGCTGTTACCCTTAGATATAGTTTCTTTTCTACCTGCCCAGGTGGATATTTGATCGACCTTGGCACATGTCGGTAAACAATCCGTGAACAATGAGCCCGACCTGTGCTCCGTATAGTCCAGCGAGGATTCATATTGGACGTAAAGAGCAGATTGGGGGTGACATACTTTTCTAATTAATCATGTTCCCCGGAGAATCTTGTCTATATATGCCCACGACCTCTATAACGGTTTGATAACCCTGCTGGTGTGAATTCGCCATCAAATTTGTTGTGTACTGAGCGGGCGCTAACCACGGCCCGATGGCAGACCCGCCCGGGAGTAACGTCCGAACCCGTTCCTCCAAACACACAAGAACTCGAGCTCTCAGAAGGAGCCCGCGCCATGGAGAAGTGCTCGCCAACCGGCCCGCACGAACCCTGAATTTGTGGACATCAGCGACCACAATTGCCGAGTCACGACCAAGGAGGTCCATCATCTTATCAACAACCTGAAGGACACCATCACCCATTAAACGGCGATCATCGAATCCATGAAACGGATCTCTTGGAATGGGAACACGACCAGCACACTGCCCGCCAGGAGTAACACCACGATTTCTGGATGGTAGCGGCGAACATCCAACCGCAGACCAACAGTGCTCGACCCCTGTGACTTCGACCCAGTCACAATGCTAGAAAACAGCCTCCGAATAATTCCGTTGAGCATAACGAAATCAAGGGCAGCGAATTAGCTCGACCTCGGAGGCTAATCTATGCCAGCTCTAGCAAATTATCAGCTATCCGGTCAATAACTGGACAAGGGAAGGGACTAATTGCGGCAGAAAGGATAGCCAAGGGCACACATCTACATATTATCCGAAGCTCCGTTTTTCAGTACCTCCAGGCAATTCCAGAATTGAAGCCCTAGAAGCTATCGTCAAAAATGAAGTAAACTGCCTCACTGCTGACAGAATGACGCTTTCTTCTGCCTAACCAACATCTACGGTGATGCTTATAGTCAGCTGGTGGCTTGATTCTCGACAAGGGCATACGAGGCGCGACGTACGATTGAGGGGGAAGACAGCCCTACAGCAATCAATCTGAAGTGCGCCGCCGACAACCTGTTTGTGCAGCCACCCGAGGAATATGAAGAGGCATTGCTGCGATTTCAACTGAGAAGAGGAGAATTTGGATCTGGAAAGTCTGGATTCTGATTGCCGTGATATCAGGGCGGTCGCATAGTACTTATTGATAGGAAGATGTCGGAGTTCTATGACATTCTTGGTGACCTTCGCCGCCTCTTGCCTATTTCTACTGCTTGCCGGAAACTTCTTAATGTTGACAAAGAGAGAAAGCTAATATGATTGTCGAACTGGCCCCAGTTGAGGATGAATACGCCACTCGAATCGGGGTCTTGGAGAAGTTTGCAACTGGTCTTGTGGAGTTCCTCGCTCTAAATATGAGCCTGATAGGCCTGATTCAATTAGTAGTGGTATATAGATAAGATGACATCCTAGTCGTACCTCGTTTTAACTAGAAAAAAGAGCACTTAGAGCACTTCTTCACGAGGGCGAGCTTTTCCTGTATCCGTGACATGTCTTACAAATACCAGACTCGCTTGGGATATGCTGGATTCGTTTGCTCAGCGTAACAGGATTCTGTAGCGATATTGAAAGTATCTGCATCGAGTACAATATATGAGCATCTTTCTAACCTTCATCCCGTCCATATCGCTTATTTCCATGTGTAGACGGGTAGGAAAATTGAAGCCCACAATCTCCGCCAGAGAGCACCAATGCCAATTTGGTTGGCCAAGACCCCTATATGAAAGCCCAGATCTACATATCGCTTGTCTGGAAAGCAATTGAAGGCAAGGAAGCCTCATACGTTAACTCCGAGCCGAAGACAGATTGAACTCGAAACGCCAAGTGTTTAAGGATTAACGCAATTTGTGACTGCCTAACAGCGTCAAGAATGAATAAATTATGCCGCGGCTGAGACCTTGCGGGGTTCGAGAAGTAAAATAAGTAAGGTAGTTCCCGCATGAGTAGCATCGTTCTGGCAATACGAGGTTGACCCTGCGGGCTCAGTACTCCGTAGTTAGTCCGGAAGGGAGACTGGGGAACGCATCAATGTCGGGTTTCCAAGTCTGCAATGAAGGATTCATTGCAACATCTGGGTATTTGTTCCTGAAGACTCTTGAATATCCCAGATACGAGATGTGACAATTTGCTTCGGCAGCAATCCTGGACTATCATGCCTCGATCTTTGAGACTCTTGACATCTGTTGGAGAGATATAATCCAACGCACAGCCAGCCAATTGCCCAATCAGCCTGCATCATTCCATGGTCAGGGTTACCCTGCAGATGCAGATAACGAACATATCCACTAAGCAAAGCTTCGCACATGCCTAATACCCAGGGAATGATATGGAGACGGCGATCACCGCCTTATCCCCCTGCACACGTAGGTTTCCGAAGTGCGGATCCAAAATCCGGGGAAGCAGCTCTTATCCTTGCAGATGTACCGGGTACAACAGTGGTTGCCTTGTGGCAGCCACTCCTGGCGTACAGACGCAAGGAGTGCATTGGCTGGGTCAGGAAGTACTGTGCATGATGACTGTGACAGTTGACGGGGGACTGACTAGAGACGTGGGAAGATACCTAGGTAGTCTGAGGCAGCGTTCAGCAAGGGAGATGATACCCTAGGTACACAGGGCTATCTCTTGCCATCCATGAGAAGATCGGGGTTGACCGATGATGATTGAGGGGAAGGGGTCAGAGCGAGGATCCTGCAAGGATCCTTCACCATAAGCAGTTTAGAGTACAGATAAATGGCTGATGCGGATGATAACCTATCAAGGAGTGTTGCTATGTATCTGACGCCAGTGGTCAGCCTTGATAAGAGGCAACATCGCGTGCCCTATCAACAGTCGCGCCCTTATCACAGGCAGGAGTGGGGCCCTCGTGGGTCTTCCAGATGCTTCCACCAATGGCAGTATGGTCAGTGAGGGGCCATGTGGTGCTAAGCTCATGCGACTATCCAATGGAGAATGAATTATCCGGTAGACGTCTATTCGATTGGCTTGGTGAGGTAAAGCTTAGGGTTGACTAGCACCAGACCCACCGGGTTCTCGAAACAAAAAAAGTCATGTTCCTCCTCTCAACACGCGACAGGGACCGGTCCTTCGGATGGAACTGACGCGGTCGCGGTCGCTTCCCGACTGCTCGCTCCAATCATGAAGTTCGTTGAGATCTCTTCGCCCTCGGTGGGCCGTCCACCATCGAGTGGAATCCGGTTAGAAATTATCTTCTTCCGGGCTTCCTATATTAAGACCGTCTCCGTCTTCCGTCCAGAGAAAAAAAAGAGAAAAGAAGAGAGGATGTGAGACTGCTTTCGTTGGCTTCTTCTACCCTTGCCTTCTGGTTACACCACCGTGGTCCACCAGACACCGTTCTTGGTCTCCATCTTTGTCTCCCCTCTGTCTGGATTCCTTCCAACCCGTCGAAATACGGCCCGACACAATGTTCGGAAGGACGGAGCAGGACCTTGAGAAAGGCCCTCAGACGGCCAAATCAATCGTGGATGACAACAGCGATGGAGCTGTACCCGGCGAGAGCTTCGTCTACGGCAATTCCCTCTACGCCAGGATCCAGCGCCTGGCCGGAAAACTTCATATCGAACAACGAGGAATCGAGCGCGTGCCCGCGGACGAGCAGACTGATACCTCGTACTTCAACATTGGCAGCATGGTGTGTTCCTGACCTCATTGCATCGATTGTGTGCTTTGGCTCGACCAACCCGTCGAGCCGTGAAGACCGCTCCTCCCAACTGACCCAACGCAGTGGTTGGCGGCCAACATGGTGGTCAGTTCGTTTGCCATTGGTGTCCTCGCAAAGTCGCTGTTCTACCTCGGCTTTGTCGACGCCATCCTGGTCGATCTCTTCTTCAACCTTCTGGGCGTCATGACCGTTGGCTTCTTTTCCTGCTTCGGTCCGGCCTTTGGTCTGCGACAGATGGTGCTTTCACGGTTCTGGTTTGGATGGTGGCCTACCAAGTTCAGTGAGTAGCTCTCGAGCAAGGTTTGTATTTTTGGGGCATAAACACTAACGGACCGCAGTCGCCATCCTGAATATCCTCGCTTGTGTCGGCTGGTCCTCGGCCAATTCGATCGTCGGCGCCCAACTCCTCAATGCAGTCAACAGCGATGTCCCGGGCTTCGCAGGTATCCTCATCATCGTTTTTTGCACAATGCTGGTCACATTCGCTGGGTATAAGGTGGTCCATATGTACGAATACTGGAGCTGGATTCCGACGTTCATCGTCTTCATGATCGTCTTCGGCCAGTTCGCTCACTCCGGGGATTTCATGAACCTGCCCATGGAGGTCGGAACGTCCGAAATGGGCGGTGTTCTCTCTTTTGGCGCAACTGTCTACGGATTCGCAACAGGATGGACCAGTTACGCCGCCGACTACACCGTGTACCAGCCTGCTACCCGCAGTCGCCGCAAGGTCTTCTTCTCCACCTGGCTCGGACTCATCATCCCCCTTCTCTTCTGCCAGATGCTCGGTATCGCCGTCATGACCGCCACCGATCTTAACGGCGGCAACAACAAATACATCGAGGGATATAACACGTCCGGGAACGGAGGCCTGTTGTGGGCTGTGTTGGAGCCGCTCGGCGGATTCGGCAAGTTCTGCCTCGTCATCCTGGCCCTCTCCATCATCGCGAACAACTGCCCCAACATCTACTCGGTGGCTCCCACCGTGCAGGTCCTGAATCGCCATTTCCAGCGGGTGCCTCGGTTTATCTGGACCATTCTGGGCTCGTGCGCCACCATCGCCATTGGCATTCCCGGATACTCGCATTTCGAAACCATCCTGGAGAACTTTATGAACTTCATCGCCTACTGGCTGGCTATTTACAGCGCCATCGCGCTTTCTGATCACTTTGTGTTCAAGCGCGGGTTCGGCGGGTACCGCGCTGAACTGTATGACAAGCCCGATAAACTGCCTCTTGGAATTGCCGCTGCAATTGCCTTCTGCTTTGGTATTGCAGGCATGATCACGGGCATGAGTCAGTCGTGGTATGTGGGACCGATCGCTAAGCACGCCGGTGCACTACCCTTTGGCGGGGACGTTGGTTTTGAGCTTGCGTTTGCTTTTTCAGGTGCCATGTATCTGGTTCTGAGGCCGATCGAATTGAGAATATTCGGTCGGTAAGCGCACCTCGTGTGCATGGTCTTACGTTGGCTTCAGTTCATTCATCGTCATGATTCATTTGCATATTTGTATATAATCTAATCATCATTTACACGTCCTACTACTTCTCCAAGAAAGTCAAAGCCGCCAGACACAATGCATCCACCCCAGCCCTCATCGTGGGCTGGATGACAGGCGCGAACAGCGCCGAATGGTTCCCGGGGATATCCTCCATGCGCGATTCCGCCTGCGCGCGATCCCAAAGCTCCGGATCAATGCCCCCGAGAAGCCAGAAGCAGCTCGGGATCCCGCGACAGGTGGCCAGGGTCGAGAAATCCTCACTCACATTAGTCCGCGGCACATCCGCATCAAAGTCATCAAAGTGCGTCGCAAACGTCGCCGCCACCCGCGATGCCACGTCGCCGTCGTTAACGGTAGGCGGAAAGCGCCTCGTGGGCGTAAACACCGGCGGCCTAGGCGAGCCACTGGCAACGCACTCCGCCTCGACAATGCGTCTAATCGCCGCGACGATCTGCTCGCGCACCTCCCCGCGGACAGACCGGAAGTCCACCCCGATCTCGGCCCGGTCCGCGATGACATTCTCCGTCTGGCCGGCCTGCAGACTGCCGACAGTGACGACCGCCAGCTCGCCCGGGTCGATCTCCCGACTCACAATCCCCTGCAGCCGGACCACGATATGCGCCGCCAGCAGCACCGGGTCCACCGTCTGATGCGGCTGGGACCCGTGCCCGCCGCGCCCAAACACCGTGATCTTCATGCTGTCCGCGGCGGCCATGATCGCGCCCGCCCGCGAGCCCACGCTGCCCGCGCGCATTCGCATGACGTGCTGGCCGAGCACGTAGTCCGGCACGGGGACACGGTCGTACAGCCCGTCGGCCACCATCGCCTGCGCGCCGCCGCCGCGCTCCTCGTCCGGCTGGAACAGCACGATCAGCGTGCCGCGCCATGCATGCCGCAGCTGCGCGAGCGTCTCTGCCGCCGCGAGGAGGCAGGTGATGTGCATGTCGTGGCCGCAGGCATGCATGACGGGCTTGACGGTGCCGTCGGCGTCGCGCATGGTGGCCGTGCTGGCGTAGGGGAGGCCTGTCAGCTCCTTGACGGGGAGGGCGTCCATGTCGGCGCGGAGTAGGACGGTCTTGCCGGTGCCGTTGCGGAAGACGCCCGCCAGTCCGTAGCCGCCGATGTGAGTGTGCAGCTCGTAGACATTCAGGCGGGCGAGATGCGCTGCGAGTGTTTCTGAGGTGGTTTGTTCTTGGCGGGAGAGTTCGGGGTGCGCGTGGAAGTACTTGTAGAGGTCTTCGTAGGGGGCCAGGTCTACTGAAGCTGTTCTGAGAAGGTCTGATAGGTTTGGCTGGGACATCTTGCTGGTAGTAGGTAACGATGAGCCAATCTATATATGTGATTGTGTGATAGATGTTCAATTTCAAAAGATATATTGGACAGAGGTCCGTAACTGAGTCACCTACGCTAGACCCGATCAGGTGCTAGCCACTAAGCTATTTCAATTAACCATGCCCCACGCATCTATGTATATAAACATAGTAGAAGCTCAGTACATGATAGTGTTCGTTACGATTAACTTGTTACATCTGCAGCTACGGATGGTGCGCTAGGCGAAGGCCTGCCAGCGTCCTTGATAGAAAACAACAAGTATTAGGATACAACTAGTTGGTGACTCGCACTTACTGCGTTTATAAATAAACTGACAGAGGGTGCACCGAAAAGTCAAAGTGTTCAACATAGCCGTGAAGAGTATCATGACTATGCCTGATATTGGTCATCTCAGCGTTTGTTGTGGGTTGCAAGGACTGATCTTCAGCGGTCGAAAGTAAGCCCACATTACTAGGATCTCTTGATATTTCTGACAATAGTCCAGGATGCAGATTTGCTTCTACTAAGGTCCGAGGATTGGATTATACAGTGTCATTCTCGCGAAGTCAGTGTTTCTGAGACAAAAAAAAAAAAAAAAAAAAAAAAAAAAAAAACACATTTAGGTCAAAGGATGTACAGCTGCCACAAAAGAGAAGGAGTTACCTCGGATGATGGCAATTTACTGAAGGATCAGGTACATATGGCCTAGCAAATTTACATACACTGGTATTGCTATGTAGTATCTATACTCCAATACTCCACCTGCACCTACAATGGGGGCGTATCATCACAGAGAGTCGCCATAACCCTATGTCCAGTTAATTGAGAACGGTCATGAAAAAGAATAAAAAAATACTTACGCAGCAGGGTACCGAGTCCCTTCGACTTTGGTTTGCTCTGCGAGTGTCCGAATCTCCTGCACTTCCTGGTCACTCAGCCGAATCTGCGCCGAGGCAGCATTCTCGTCCATTCTGGCGGTCGACTTGGTCCCCGGGATGGGGATGATGTCTTCTCCCTGCGCCAGCAGCCACGCAAGAGCGACCTGCGCCGGGGTACTCCCGTGTGCATCGGCCACCTTTTTCAACCCCTGCACCAACTCCATGATCTTGGGAAAGTTGGTCTCTGCGTATTTGGGGTACATCCGGCGCAAGTCACCCTCTGGGATGTCGGCGTAGGACTGGAACTGGCCTGTCAGGACACCACGGCCAATAGGGCTAAACGCAACGACAGTAATGCCTAGCTCGCGGCAGGTCTTCAAGATCCCAGAGGTCGACTCTTCAATGTCCAGACAGAACAGGCTGTATTCCATCTGCAGCGCAGCAATGGGGTGGACGGCATGGGCGCGCCGCAGCGTGGCTACCGAGACCTCTGACAGGCCGATATACCGGATCTTTCCTTGGCTGTAAGACCGACGGTTAGCGGAGTTGCTTGCACAGTCTACTAGTGGGAAGACTTACTTCTTCAGTTCTACCATGGCTTCGATGGTCTTTTCGATCGGGGTGACGCCATCGACCCGGTGGCAGTAGTAGAGGTCAATGCTGTCCACGCCAAGTCTCTGGAGGCTCTTCTCGCAGGCTTCCTTGACATATTCGGGGTCAGACCGAAAGGCGTGCTTCCCGTCCGGTTGACGCTGAAGCCCGAACTTGGTGCCGAGAAAGATATCGTCCCGCTTGCCCGACCGCTTGAACCACTCCCCGACAACATCCTCACTGTCGCCGTAGATGTCGGCCAAATCCCAGAAGCGCAGTCCGGTGGCATGTGCGTGGTCTAACAAGGCCAGTCGCTCGTCGAGTGTACCTGGTGCGCCGTAAAATCCAGCGAGGCTACCGAAGCCGAGACCGACGGCAGGGACTTTGGGGCCGTGTTGGCCTACGGACCTTGAAGAAAGGGACATGTTGAGCAATTAAAAGCTTTGGGTTTTGGTCATGGGTAGGGGGAGGTTTAGTTATGGTCGATGAATGATGGATTTATAGACCCGACGGGGTCCCTTTTGGGTAAGTCGGGGTCGGTTACCCAAAAAGGTCAAAGTCGGTATAATTAGTTGTGCATAATTATGCTACTCAACTATGACGGCTGGACTGGTGTTGATGCTGGCAAATTCTAGTTGTTTTCTAATCAAGTGCATATTACAAGTCAATCCACGTGGTTAATTCATATCAGACCTAAGAGCGTATACTAAGCTTCAGCCTGAGGGAAAGTGTAACCGGGTGCCTGACGACTCTTCCGGCCACAGTCTTGCTCGTTCTACCATATGCTTGCGGAACGGCGGCAGACAGGGCACTCCAGGTAGTTTTGATAAAAACGTCTCAGTCATGCGTATAGCATATGAATACATCAAAGAAGCCATGTCATACAAACATCAAACAGTCACACCAATGCAAAGCCAACCCACTATATCCGAGGTCCCTCCAGAATAGGCTTGGCCGCTTCGGACTTCCACCAGCTCTTGCCTTCCTCACCAGGATATGAGAACGCATCCATGCTGTCCGCCTTCATCTCGACGCTGTAACCGGGCTCCGTCGGCGTCACGTAGTATCCATCCTTGACGCTGGACGGATGCACGAAATGCTCATGCAGGTGGTCCACATACTCCAGCACGCTGCGCTTCCCACTAACCACAACGTAGTCGATCGTGCTCAGGTGCTGCGTGTACTCCGGAAGACCGACACCACCGGAGTGCGGCACGATAGGCACACCGAACTTGCGCGCCAGCAGGAGGATCGCCAGCACCTCGTTGACACCGCCAACACGGCAGGCATCAGCCTGCAGCACGGTCAGCGCTCCCGCCTGCAGGAGCTGCTTGAAAATGACGCGGTTCTGGCACATCTCGCCCGTGGCGACACCGATGGGCCCATAGGGCGTGTCCTCAAGCGCCTTCTTGATCGCGGCGTGGCCGAGGATGTCGTCCGGTGACGTCGGCTCCTCGATGAACCACGGCTTGAACTGCGCCAGCTCCTTCATCCAGGTGATCGCCTCCGGCACCGACCACACCTGATTGGCGTCTACCATGAGGATGTTGCCTTTATCGTAGCCGATGGCCTCGCGGGCAATCGTCAACCGCCGCTTATCCTCCTCCAGGTTCGCGCCCACCTTCAGCTTGAAGTGTCTGTATCCCTGCGCCACGCTGTCCGCCAGCAGCGCCTTGAGCTTCTCTTCGCTGTATCCCAGCCAGCCCGCGCTGGTGGTGTATGCCGGCACGGCGCGGTTCTGCTCCGCGTCTCGGATGCGCTCCGCCTTGCCGGGCTCGACCTCCTTGAGCAGGGCGAGAGCTTCCTCAGGCGTCAGCGCATCAGTGATGTACCGGAAGTCAATGCAGCGGACCACCTCCTCGGGGGTCATCTCGGCGACGATGCGCCACACGGGCTTGCCGAGGATCTTGGCCCACAGGTCCCACAGCGCGTTGACGACGGCGCCCAGCGCAAGGTGGATGACGCCCTTCTCCGGGCCGATCCAGCGCAGCTGGCTGTCGGAGACGAGGTAGCGCCACGTCTTGCCCCAGTCGGCGGTGAGCTCATCCAGATCCTTACCGATGACGAGGGGAGCGAGAAGGGAGATGGCGGAGCAGACGATTTCGTTGCCGCGGCCGATGGTGAAAGTCTGTCTGAGTTAGGATGTGTCTCGCCTGGTTTGCATGGGTGTCTCCGGACGGAGTACGTACCATGCCGTGTCCCGCGTAGGACGAATCAGTGTAGAGGATACAGTAGGCAGAGGAGTAGTCGCCCGCGGCGTTCATGGCGTCGGAGCCGGTCTTATCGAGGGAGGTCTGGTCCGGTTAGTGGCTGTTGGATAATGGGTGAGGGACTGCAATGGGATTTGCATACCGGAAACCTCACGTCCCGAGTGGTGAAGCCCGTGATCTTGACCATGATGTCTGATTATGAGGTTTGAGTCAATTGGCGAATTGAAGGAATTGTTCCGTTCGAGTGAAAGATGCGGGGGTGATTGTATGCTTGTCGCGGGGGATTGAGATCTACGGTAGTCGGTATGAACACAACAGAGCAGGGGATTGACCGCGACAGAATCCACCCGAGAGAGAGAGATAAGCAGAATGAAGGAAATGTGAGGATGAGAAGAAACGACGAGGAAAAAGAGGGAATATAAGAGGGAGAAATCCCCCCTCACTTCGCAGGCTAAATCGGGGATAAATGGCTAATTGGCGGAGAAACTCCCCCAGACTCAGATTGCATTTCCCCACCAATCAGCGGGCGTTTCGTCTCCGTATAGATCCAGTTACTCTTTTGGGAAATCCTCAAATTATCACATTGCAAGAATGCTTCTTGCTTCTTGCTTCTTGTAGTCGGTATGGTATGTCGTACAGAACCCGCCTACCCAGACAGCCCGCGCTTCTCGCTTTCCGAAAAGAAGATGATCATCCGCCATAGTTTCCGCACCAACACCTCGGCTTCCTCGTCCAGCGCCTACAAACATGTTAGTGTCAACTAATAGCGGGAGGATCTGGAAACTCACCTCTTCCAGCTGCTCGACCAGCTCCTGAGGATGTCCATGCTTGCGAACATGCTCTTCCACCACGTCCACCAACATCTGCTCTTGCACACCCAGATACTCCACAATTTTCTTCTCGACAAACGGCTTGAGCTGCTCGCTGACCACCGTCTCGTCCACAAACTCCCACTTGACCTCCCATTTCCACAGGCCTTCTTTTTCGGTGGGGATCTCGGCCGCCAGCTGTCGCGCCGCTTGAGCTCGTTCCTCCTCGGTGAGCCCAGCGGCCTCGGCCGCGCTGTCGAACTTGATCGGGATGAGGGGCTTGCGGGCCGTCGCCTCGGGCTCCTCCTCGTCTTCCAGCAATCCTTCGACTTCGGCCACCGTCCGGCGAGACGTCGCCGCTTGCGCCTTCTGAGCCGCCGCACCGAGAGAAAGCTTGAAACGTTGGGGCTCCCGAGGCGCCTGAGGACGCGTTTCGAGCTCTTCGGCCTGGCGTGCGAGGAAGTCGTCGGCCATGCCGCGTGCCTGCTCCCGTTGCTGTACCGAACGAGCCCGTTCACGCTCTTCAGCTGCACGGTCCGCTTCGTCCATGCTAATCTCGCGCGCCCGGAATGCCGCCCGACTCCGTAGCCAGGCGCCGCGGTCGGCATAGTAGTCATCAACCTTGCGGCTGGCTTCCACATCATCGTTCCATTCCCGAAGCCGCTTATCCATCTCTTCACGCACCTCCTGCAGTTTGGCCTCTTCTTCCTTGTCTCGCTTCTTCTCGCGCTCCAGGGCGGCTGTCCGACTGCGCTCACGGTTCAACCAGCGTCGCTCCTGGTCGAGGAATTGCTTCTCCAGCTCGGCTTCCTGCTTCTCCCGACGTCGGCGTTCCAATTCTTCGTCACTGGCATCGGACTCTTCGTCCTCACGATCGATATAGACAGCTGACGAGCCATTAATGCTGCCACCGTTCACAAACGAAACGCCCTTCTGGTAGTCCTTGGGGATCTGTACGCCGAATCCCTTGGGGCCGGATGGCGCACTGCGGTCCCGCGGGCCTAAAGGAATTCCATTCGCACCCGCCGCAGGGCCACTGGGAGCCGATGGAGGAGGAGAGGCCAACCGGCTGTGACGAGGACCCGCATTCCGCGCCCGCTCCATCGATTCAATCTCCTCTTCTCTCTTCAGGCGTTCAATATCTCGGCGATTGCTCCGCTCGCGGAAGGCCGCGATCTCTTTAGCCACCGTCTCGCGCATCTCCGGCGGGATATCGGACAGCTCGTCTTCCACCGTGATGGGAATGGTGACAACTTCAGCGTTCCCATCATTTCCCGTCGGTATCGTTCATCGCTGTGTCGCCTTCGCGGTCAATGGCAGAGGTCTCCTCCTTCTGGGTGGGAGATGTAGGATGGAACAGATCCGACAAGACGTTGGAAAGCTTGGTGCGAGCGGCATCAATGCGGGACTGCCGTTCGGCGGGGTCCTGCTCGCCTTGCGTCGATTCGTACTGCTCCAGGTACTTCAACGAGCTTTCGTCCACGACGACCTACTCCTGTCAGCATCCACGTAGATGTATCGAAGGCATATCCCGGGGGGCACCTCGTACCAGTAGCGTACTCTTCTCCACCTCGGTATCCGCCTGTTCACCCCCATCCGACGGGACTTGTCTCTTCAAAGGCACTTCGATGTCCTTTAGCACTTCCACAGCAGTACCTAGACTGTCAGGGTCCTCGTACTCAGCGAAACCGAATTTGCACGGTTTATCATCGGCATCGGTAGCCCGGATCCAGCGCCGGAGGTTACCCGCGGAACGAAGGATGCGCTCAATGCCCTCGTCACCGCCGACACCTTCAGTGATCCCTCCGACGAAGATGGTGCGCACAATCTCCTCCCGCGTCGGCGGCTGGAGCTGCATCATGGCATCGCGGACATTCTGGCGCTGCGTTTCGAGGTTCGACGATGAGCCAAGGCCGGCCCGGCGGCCGGACGCACCGGCGTCGCGTTCTTTGCTGGCAGTATCCGGGGTGGCGGACTTGGATGGGCCAGAGGTGCCGAGGCGGATTACGGGGGCGGAGAAGTTGATGTTGGGCATGTTCGGGGGCGGTTGGAAGTTCGGGGGGAAACCGGCAGGTCGACCAGGCTGCTGGGCAGTTGCGGGTTGCATCCCGGGGGGAGGCGTTGTTCCTGGGGCGACCATGCCTGGAGGGGGGGCTGTATATTCGGAGGGCATCGGTCAGTGGGTGATTTGAGAATGAAGTGCTGGAGGTTGGCGTGGACTTACCCATGCCGGGAGGAGCTCCAGGATAGGCGGCATACTCGGGCGGCCTCCCATAGAGACCCGGAGCTGCTTTATCGGTTAGTTCTGGAGACCGGCTGATGAGGAGAGGATGGAGGTACCTTGATACGGATACATTGCGACAGAATTCAGCTCCCCGAAATTCTGCTGGGGAATTGGGATGGATATAATAGAAAGGACAGGAGGGCGATATTACTCGGAGAGGACACGAAGAGGCGGGATTCGGGTCGAGCAGATGAGGGAAGGCGTTGGAAATGATGGCCGTTGCGCGTAGTGGCCGTTGGAGATGAAGGAGTTTGCGATGCGCCCCCAATCGGGAAGTGGTGTGGTCTGTGCAGTGACCTTGGCGGTGGTGCTGACTAACTATGAATTGTGCGTCTACATAACCAGGCTAGTACTTATCGATAGGTAGGTGACCGATGTACAGGTACACAAGGTACTGGAATATTCTCTCCATTGAAGGTCCTCATAGTACAATAGAATGACTTCTTCTGACTATTCTTTTGTAATAGTAATTCAGATCAATCATGTATCAATCATGACCTAGGGCACAGAAGATCCATGCTGGTGAGTCTGCAGAGACGGATGGCCTGACATCATCTGTTCTCGTACGACCTACGAGGATCTATGTGTCTTCTAGATAGCTCCAGGATAGCTCCCTGACACAATCATAATGACGATTTCCAATCAGCCTTGCCAGAGGAAAAGCCGGACTCCGGTGGAGTCGACGGAACAGGAGACCGGTGACGGGGTCCGAGGAGATCTGGACTATGATAGTCAACTGAGAGTACTCTAAGATAACTACTATCAATTTACTACAGTAGATGATAAAGTGGATTCTCGGGCGACAGTCCTCCTGGGTCAGATGATGTTGAAAAAAAAAGAAAGAAAAAAGGGAAAAAAGGGCAAAGGAATTCGGATAAATCAGATAGATAGCGTGGGGCATGAAGTATTTCTGCCCCTCCTGATCCGGACCCCAGCACACCGGTTACGCCATCACATCATTCCGTCCCTCCACCAAACTTCTTTCTACTTCTTCTCTACTCTGTACACCTCTTCTCACCTTTCACTCCCATTAAATCCCCTTATAATCCATCCTTCCTCAGTAGGTCTTCACGCCATCCACTTCCTTCTACTCTTCCATCCACTCACCTATTGACTCTCCAGCAATGCCCGGTTTCTCGCAGGCCACCGAGCTCTCCGCCTGGAAGGAGCTCCAGGAGCACCACCAGGCCGTCGGTAACAACATCGTCCTCAAGGATGCCTTCCAGAAGGACCCTCAGCGTTTCGAGCGCTTCAGCCGCACCTTTTCCAACTCGGCCGACAACTCCGAAATCCTCTTCGACTTCTCCAAGAACTTCCTGACCGAGGAGACCTTCGCCCTGCTGGTCAAGCTCGCCAAGGAGGCCAACCTGGAGGAGCTGCGTGATGCCATGTTCAAGGGGGAGCACATCAACTTCACCGAGGACCGTGCCGTGTACCACGTTGCCCTGCGCAATGTCACCAATGAGCCCATGCAGGTCAACGGCAAGAGCGTCGTCGAGGAGGTCAACTCCGTCCTGGAGCACATGAAGGAGTTCTCCGAGCAGGTCCGCAGTGGCCAGTGGACCGGCTACACCGGCAAGAAGATCGACACCATCATCAACATCGGTATCGGTGGTTCCGATCTGGGTCCCGTCATGGTGACCGAGGCTCTGAAGCCCTATGGCGCCCCCGGCATGAAGCTCCACTTCGTCTCCAACATTGACGGCACCCACATCGCGGAGGCTCTCAAGGACTCGGATCCCGAGACCACCCTCTTCCTCATTGCTTCCAAGACCTTCACCACCGCCGAAACTACCACCAACGCCAACACCGCCAAGTCCTGGTTCCTCCAGTCGGCCAAGGACGAGGCCCACATTGCGAAGCACTTTGTGGCCCTCTCCACCAACGAGGCCGAGGTCACCAAGTTTGGCATCGACAAGAAGAACATGTTCGGCTTCGAGTCGTGGGTGGGTGGTCGCTACTCGGTCTGGAGCGCCATTGGTCTCTCCGTCGCCCTCTACATCGGCTACGACAACTTCCACCAATTCCTGGCGGGCGCCAACGCCATGGACAAGCACTTCCGCGAGACCCCCCTGGAGCAGAACATCCCCGTCATCGGTGGTCTGTTGAGCGTGTGGTACAGTGACTTCTTCGGCGCCCAGACGCACCTGGTCGCCCCCTTCGACCAGTACCTGCACCGCTTCCCTGCCTACCTCCAGCAGCTGTCTATGGAGAGCAACGGCAAGGCTATCACCCGCTCTGGCGAGTACGTCAAGTACACCACCGGTCCCATCCTCTTCGGTGAGCCGGCCACCAACGCCCAGCACAGCTTCTTCCAGCTGCTCCACCAGGGCACCAAGCTCATTCCCTCGGACTTCCTCATGGCGGCCGAGTCGCACAACCCCGTTGAGGGCGGTAAGCACCAGCGCATGCTCGCCTCCAACTTCCTCGCGCAGGCGGAGGCTCTCATGGTCGGCAAGACCCCCGAGCAGGTCAAGACCGAGGGCGCCCCCGACAACCTCGTGCCGCACAAGACCTTCCTCGGCAACCGTCCCACGACTTCCATTCTGGCCCAGAAGATCACTCCGGGTACCCTGGGAGCGCTGATCGCCTACTACGAGCACGTCACCTTCACTGAGGGCGCCATCTGGAACATCAATTCGTTCGACCAGTGGGGTGTCGAGCTGGGCAAGGTGCTGGCCAAGAAGATTCAGAAGGAGCTGGAGACCTCTGGCGCGGGCGGCGACCACGATGCGTCGACCAGCGGTCTGCTGCTGGCGTTCAAGAAGAAGGCCAAGCTGGCGTGATGGCGGGAATAGAATCGGGACGTAAAAAAGGGAGTTTGATGAAGTTATGTGATCTGTCGATACTACCGATACAGTTAGTATAAAGCATGCAATTCGTTCATATCGATAAAGTACCTAGTAGAGTAGTGTAGGAGGGAGTCTCCCTCGTGGTAAACAGAAGTAACTAGCGGCTAACCCCGAAAGGCAACCCGCGGCTCGACCTCCACCGTGTCTCTCTTCCTCCACCGCAAGCAACGCTGCGTAGGCTTGTCCACGCCTCACCATGCTCTCGTCCACGGCCACAACGTTCCAGCGTCTCAAATCGCTCTCCTGCTATGGGCTGATCGCCTCCTCGCTCCCGCTCGCCGCGGCGACCGAGCTCGCGCGGGCATACAGCCACGGACAACCCATGCCCGTAACCTGTCTGAACCGGACCATCGACTCGGGCGAACACGTACTTTACCCCTATTTAGAACCCAATTCGTTCTGTCTATCTAACATTTCTTCCAGATAACCGACAGCCTCGGCAAGCTGCAGTACATCCCCTTCCCAACCTGCAACGAGACCTTCCTCCCGCTCGCGCTCCGCTACGGCGTCACCGAAACAATCAACTGCACCATCGCCTCCCTCCCGGACGAACTGTACCACCTGCTCGAGTACTACGTGCACTCGGACGTGCCCATGTCCTGCCGCGTGCCCACCGGCCCCCTGACGGCCGACGGCCACATCCCGGACCCCTTCAAACGCCGACACAGAGGGCACCGAGCTGGCGGATCTGCGCGACCCGGACGGCCCGCCGTACACGCCCATCACGTTCGCGCTGCAGGGCACCCTGCAGCGCAGCCATCTGCACATCTGGACGGACATGAACGTGCTGGCGCACAACATCGCCGCGGCACCGGCGACCGGCAAGACGAAGAGCAAGTCCAAGGGGAAGGGGAAGACGAAAGTGCCGCCCGGCTACGTCGTGGCTGGCACGGCGTACTCCGTGCCCGAGTTCGACGTCGCGGCGATGCGAAAGATCCAGACGGGCCGCAGCGATGAGGAGACGGCTGTTGCGGAGGCGGCGCGCGAGCCCTGGACCGCCGAGCACGGCACTAAGGTTGTGCGCGGCGAGCCGCTGACGTTTACGTTCCATGTGAGCTGGATTGAGGGTGGCCGGGGCATTGGGTGGCCGTCGGCGGCGGGAGAGGCGCAGGGGGCGAGCGTGGGCGGCGTCTTTGCGCGGCTGTTCTTATTCGTGATGGTGGGCGGCGTGGGCGGCGTGCTGGCGCTGTATTGGGAGCGCACGCGGCGGCGCGGATGGCGCGGGGATGCCATCCTCGGCGTGCCGTCCCGGGGTAAGGGGTCGGTGGGCATCTCGTACGGCAATGGCGGGAAGACGAATGGGTATGGGTATGGCGGGTATGCGTCTGCTGCGGCGACGGGCGGGTATGGGGGGTTTACGGCGGGGAAGAAGGACTAATTGTATAGTACGGGCTATGGACTTGGGGTGTGGTTACTTGGATAGATATGAACCGTGAACTCCGTTGAACCTGACAGTGTGATATGATACAAGATGCAACCCATTCTCACATCCTCCGCGTTCTATCCTATCCTATCCTTCGTCCGTGAAGATGCATGTATACCGGACGTCGATTGTCATGTAAATGCTGCGACTACCATCCCTGCGCCCGCATGCGCTGAATCTTCGACACGGTCTTATCAAACGAAAACTTGAACAGCTTGCGCCACCGCTGCATGCGCAGGTCCTTGCGCATCTGGCCGCGCCGTACATGGAACCGCTGCTGGTTGGCCTGCTGCTTGACGCGGTTGGCGTTGCAGGTGATCTGGAGGGTGCGCAGGGCGGCGGCGAGGTCGGTGCCCTTCTCCGGCTCGACGTGCACCTGGCGGCCCAGCGACGGGCCCAGCTTCAGCTCAACCCGCCGCACGGCCGGGCGGTAGTTGTCCGTGCCGGCGGACATGCCGACGGCGCGGCCGAGCGAGAGCGCGTCGCCGAACACGCTCTGCCGCGAGCCGCTGGCGTTGCCGGGCTGCTGCGGTGCGGACGGCTCCGAGGATGCGGCGGTGTTGCTGATGTTGAGCTTGCTGAGGATCTGGTCGAAGTCGGAGGTGCCCTGCGTCGGTTGCGTGGGCTGGGTTTTTGAGGGTGTGTTGGAGGAGGCGTGGCGGAGGGTCAGAGCGAGGGGTTGCGTCGAGCGGAGGACTGTAGGCCTCAGACGGAGGCTGTGGGTGAGGGCGCGCATCTCCATTGTGAGGGTTGGGAGTGGTTGAGTGTTGACGGAGATTGAGCGGCGGTTGAAGTTGGAGACGATTTTCCGCAGGTCGGCTATCACGTGATATCCGCCTTTCCCCCAAGGCCCTCCCTCATACATGCTGCAAGTTGCAACCTCGCTTATCTTCGCGACATACAAAATGTCCTCCATCACCATCGCGACGCTCCCCCGCCTGAGCCGGGATGCGCTCTCGACCATGTTGCTTGCCAGTGCGCCGTCGAAGCTGGCCATCATTGATGTCCGCGATTCAGGTGAGCCCGGCCACATGCTATGTATCAAACCACACCGTGCTGATTTCCAGATCACGTCGGCGGCCACATCTACTCCTCCACCTGGGTGCCCAGCTCGTCGCTCGACTACCGTCTGCCGGAGCTGATCCGCACGTTGCAGGACAAGGAGAAGGTCGTCTTCCACTGCGCGCTGAGCCAGCAGCGCGGGCCGTCGGCGGCGCTGCGGTACGCCCGCGAGCGGGAGCGTGTGCTGGGCCCTGAGGAGAGCAAGAAGCAGGAGGTGTATGTGCTCGAGGGCGGGTTCGTCCAGTGGCAGGAGAAGTACGGCAAGGATGAGCGGTTGACCGAGGCGTATGTCGAGGATATCTGGCGGGAGTATTGAGTATTGATCTATACCCTCCCTTAGACTTCCCGGGGGGAGATGCCAACAGCATAGATATAAGGTACCAATCGTTATACATACAATACATACAGGGGTCTATAATACAGTCTATCTTCCAGCTCACAGGGCGATGCCCCCGCCAAACCCTACCGGCCGACGCTGGCCATTGTTCTCCGGGATAATCGCCATGACCTTGTAGATCTTGCCCATGCCGCCGCCGCCCTTCTCGACTAGTCGCTGCCACCCGCTCTCCAGCGTCTTGCGCTTCTCCTCATCCTGCACCCCGCGGAGCAGCTGCTGCATGCGCTCCGTAATGCCCATTGCCTGCAGGAAATCGCCCTGCTCGACCGGCCCATGGACCTCGACGCCCTCGCTCGCCTCGATGGCCGCCTCCGCCAGCGCCACAAAGTCCACGTCCGCGCTGACGTCCACCTGGCCCGGCGCCGACAGCGGCGGCACGTTGCGGTGGTTCTGGATCCCGCGCAACGAGTTGATCGGGATGGTCGACATCGTGCCGTAGTCCATGATCAGCGCCGCGCCGGAGGGGACGCTCTTCGCGGCGGCCGCCGGCCCCGTCGTCGCATCGGCCGAAGACAGCTGGTCCCGTCGGGTCGCCGTGCGCGGCGGCTGCGAGGCGCCGCCGATGCGCCGCGCAAAGTCCGACGCGTAGATGCGGCTCTCCGGGCTGACCTCGATGGTGGCGCCGGGCTGCGATTTCAGCGCGCGGTACCGCGCCGAGATCTCCGGGATGACGAGCGACGAGGGCGTCGACGCCTTGGCCCGCGTGAGCGTGAATTCCGGCTCGTCGGGTTGGTTCTCGTCCACGGCTTTCGGGTTCAGCGTCACCATTAGCTCGCGCCATTGCGGCGTGTTGGTGGGTTTGGGCGGGGTGTGGAGCTTGGTTGGGCCGGTGGGGGTCATGATCTCGTCAGGGGGGTGGTTTTCGGGGGATGGGGGGACGGACTCGAAGGCGTGGATGGGAAGGGCGTCGAAGAATTCGTGGGCGAAGATGAAGGGGGTTTTGTCCTGCTCTGTAGGGGGTTAGTATTATGGAATCGTTCTGCATGTATGGGGACGCTGACCGTGTGGTAACAGACGGATATCCTCTACCCAGACTACCGGCACGTCAAAGTATTTGCAAACGCTGCGATGTCCGATATCCGTCTCCTCCATGGCGGCCTCACCGCAGAGAAGCTGCTTCTGCACTTCTCGCAACGTCGGGCTGGCCTCGACCAAATAGATACCCTCAATACTGGATGTGAAGGTCTTAAAATTCCGGAACGTCTGAATACAGTTTCATCATCAGTACTGTATGCGCGCCGCGTATCGAGGGAGACTCACTCGCAACATATCATCCATGAGCGTTCCCTTCCCCGGTCCCACCTCCATCAACTGTACGCCGCTGCGCTTGCGTCCCTGCGCCATCCATTCTGCAATTGTCCAGATACCAACCAGCTCGCCAAATACCTGCGAAATCTCCGGCGACGTCACGAAGTCACCTTTCTTGCCGAAGACCTCGCCGTCGCCTTTGGGTCGTGTCGTGTAGTAGCCGCCATCCGGAGAGGTGAGGACCTGGCGCATGAACGCGGCGATAGGAATTGGGCCGGTGACCTGGATTTTTAGCTACTGAGCAGCCAAGCGTACTATAGGTCCTTACCTTGATCGCATTGGCGAGGGTTTTGGCCAACGGGGTGGACCACTGTCTAGTGTCGAATGTCGACGACCATCGGTGCGGCTGGAGGGGGAGTCTCTGCCGCGGAGTTTTTCTGATGAAGTGCGTCAGAGCGCGTCTGGGGAGATTCATATTGATTCGGTCCAAGACCGAGGAGTTACGCGGATGGAGAACGAGAGAAGGGCGATGTTTCTCCAATTTCTCCGCAAGACTTCCGGAGCACGTGATTCTTATCATATCAGCCTACGAGAAGGACATCTTTACATGAATCTGCTACATCCAGTCCTAAATTCATATCGTACAGATCGTGAGCGGTTGACAGTCAGTACAGCATGGTATTCCAAGTACATTGAAAGCGCGATTCAATATGTCCAAGGTTCCTAGTTCATGCTACCAATCCCAGCCATCAGCTACCGCCGCCATCTCCGGTTCTTGGGGCCCTGCGGCGGAGCATCGGTCATCATTTCATCGCTATACAATCCCTGTTCGCCTGGCTGCTGATTCAAGTTCGCGCCAGCGTTGCGGTTTCGGTTGCGCCTGTTGTTGCGTCCAACTGTGGAGTTGTTTCCACCGAACCCGTAGCTTCCATCCTGGACGATCGGCTCCCCGCGTTGTAGACGGCGTTCGCGATCTGCCTGTTCTCGGAGATTGTTGAACGAAGATTGAGGCTGTACGGGGCTGTCGAAGAGATCCGGCTTTCCTGAGGGGCCAGGTTGTTTGAACTGCATCGAGAGGATTCTGCCATCGGCCTTGGTCGCGTTAGCCTACAGGAGGATGCAATGATACCGTAAGAATAACACGACTCACTCTCTGGTTGTGGAAGTTGGCAATTGCATTTTCCGCCGACCACTTCTCCGCAAAGGAGAGCTGCGCCGTAACAGTCGGGTGCTGTGCAGTGATCCAACAGCTCAAAACCGGCCCCGCGATGGGTTCAATGGCCGACTGAATATCTGCAGCCGTCGTACCGGGTGCGAAATTGCTTCCGATAACCACAAACGGCCCCGAGCTCGCGCCCTTGATGGAAATGCCGACCGGACCGTCTCGGATGGTAGCCTGTCCGCTGGCGGGATGCAGCGCGGAAAGTAAGCGGTTCTCATCGGGGCGACGCTTGTTTGGGGGTTTCGCAGTCGACTGTGCTGGTCGTGTCGGCGCCGACGGAGCCCGCGTGTTCTTCTTCGGTTTGATCGAGGCGGATGCGGAGCGCTATAATCCAGCGAGCGAGTGTCGAATTAGCTGATTGAGCCTTTGACATTCTCTGCGATCGGTTGTCCGCTTTACCTTTGTTACGCCAATCCGACTGGCGAGGCTGCCGGGTGTTGCATTCTGCGCCTTGTTTCCAGCTCCGACGCCAGGAGCGCTGGCTCGTCGGTTCTTGCCAAGGATTTTGTTCGCGAGCTCTTCGTTCTTCCGCTTTTGGCGATCTAGAGAGCAGGATAAGTCAGCGGTGTTGCGAAGGAAAAGTCGCGGCGCGCGGCTTTACCGGCTTGGATGATCTGGTCGAAGGAGATGCCTTTCTGGCCGGCGGCCATGGTGAGGAGAGATGCGGGAGGAACAAAAGATAATCAAAATGGGGGTTAAGAGGTCGATGATTTTTATCAATTGACAGTCGGAAGAAATAATCGGAAGGATAAGATGGGGAAATGGGGTTTGGAACTCTTAAGAGGAAGCGCGTAAGAGGGTGAAAGAGATAAAGCTGAGCTGAACCCTGGATGGCGGTTCGTCCACCGCCAACACCAACACCGCCAATACTGCAGACAAACAGCTCTCTCCTAATAAGACAACGTCAAGACAACGTTGATCTGATGGATGTGGTTATGATGGATTACTCTGTCGAATACACGGCAGCGACGATACAGGCACCATATCCTCTGCACTTGCCAGAAATTGTCTCCTGTCCAACGTTACCAATGCATATCCAGCTGGTTTCCTGATCGAACCGCTGCCAGGACTGTGGCTTCACAAGCGGTTATCATTCCAGTAATATATCCAGGTCGATCTCTCCCGTATAGCACTCATTGCGTTGCTGCCAATCCCTATCGGATCAGTCCCCATGGCTCCTGGGAATGATGCCAGCAAACGTCCTTCCACTCTCCCACGGTGTACTGCATCCCGCTCACCCAACACAAACAGAGACCGGTAGGTCGTACAATGTCGATATTCTTGTCCGGAGACTGACCGCGCAGATCCAGGGCGACCTGCGACGAACGCGCGCACTATCCCGTCTTTAATCCCAACGATCCACGGCACAATCCGTCATGGACCGGCGACGACCGCCAACAGCAAGAACCTAGCAACGAGAGCACGGCGAGTTGGATGCGCAGCCTACCCAAGCGCTCGTTGCGCAAAGCTCGCTCCGGGTTTCTCGCCCTCAAGTCCGGGATCCAGAGGCGTAAGCGTCCTCGTCGCGGCATGTCTGATACGGGGGGTTCCTCGGATTTGGGGAATTCGTTCCCATCGACGATCTCTGAGGGCAGCACGGAAGAGGATCATGATACTAGAAGTAATCTACATCTTATAAGATGCTGGTGTCATGCTAACGGTCATCACCCTGCACGCCATGCCTAAGGATTTGGCCAAGGCGTTGAAGTGAAGGTGCCTGCTTGAGCTGTCTATTTGAGTTGTATATCTGTTCCATGCAGAGTGTTCCTGGTTGTGCTCTTATGGCAGCCTTTGCGTATATTGTCACGGCATTGTTTATGTATCGATATGCCTGTTGACAACTATAGTGCGATTGATTCCTCCAGTGTAATTAAATCGATGTCTACTAAATGACCTGGGCTCTCACTAGCTTGCTCAGATATATACAAGGTCAACTCCTGGATATACTTCAAATACGTCCTACGATCCCGAAAAGATATGTCTTGGAGGACGGACTAGCGAAGGTGAATGATGGGTCTGTCGTACACTTAACAGCTTCGACAGCGTCCGCCCTTGCTGTAGATCATACTATTCGCCGCTATACACAACCCGCAGATCCACCACTGCTGCTGTAATTTCGATGCTCTTGACGGGCTGGATTGTCCTGTCTGTATGGGATGTGCTCTATATGCATGTTATTGAGTCGACTGGGTATTGCAACTAAATCCCATGAACAACATTGCCAATATGTCTATATAATAACACCAAGACCACATCCAATGACAAGAAGTGTATCAACCCAGACGGAGGGTAAAGCCAGCCCCTGTCTCGGCGGTATCACCCGCAGACTGACCTCCAAATACACTTGCAAAGTCCAGTTTGGGGGCTTCCTGGCCGCGTTTTGGCGCTTCGGGGGTTTCCCGCCGTCTGCGCTTTTCCATTCCCGCCTTCGACGGGAAAGTAGGGAACATCTCCTTGGGTTTCGGACGCGGATCCTCACGGAAGTATGGGTGAGCCAGACACTCTTTTGTTGACGGGCGGGAGCTTGGATTCAGCGCGAGAAGCGAGGAGAGAAGATGGAGACCGTTGTTGGTCAGGAAGGGGAATTTCGCGCGGGGAAGAAGAGGCGGGTTGCCTGATGGAGCAGCCGGGGTTGGCGGCAGACGAAGTGATTTTGCATTGGGCAGAGAGCGGAACCCAGGCCATGTTTGGGGAGTCGGAGGACCGGTTAGGGCGAAGATCTAGATACATCAGCTCTGGGCACTTGAGCAGACACGAATTAACGCCTACCTTGGACACCTGGTCTACTTCATTCTTGCCCTGGAGGAGCGGCTCCTTGGTCAACAGCTCCCCGAATATACATCCAATACTCCACATGTCGATTTCCGTGCCGTACTTCTCAGCCCCGAGCAGTAGCTCTGGGGACCGGTACCACAGCGTGACAACCAGCTGGGTCAATTTTGGTGGCGGGTCACCGTAATAACGGGCCATACCAAAGTCGGCGATCTTGATCTCGCCGCGGTTGTTCATGAGCAGGTTGGAGGTCTTCAGGTCGCGGTGCATGATCCATTGCGAGTGGAGGAAGTCCAGGCCGGAGAGGACCTGCGAGAGAAGGGTTTTGATCTCGGAAGGGAGGAAGGGTTCACGCATGTCATCGAGAAGAGTTTTGAGGTCGTGTTCGAGAAAGTCCATTACGAGGAAAACCCTGTTCGTTCCGTCGATGGACGAGTCTTGTTAACGTACTGTATCTGGACTTTTCATGAAGGTGATAGAAAGGTAACGAAAGGATGGGGGCGCATAGATTGGCGAAGAAACAGTATCTCAACGTACTCATCCATTTTAATTCCCATTACAATCTCGCGCAGGAACACAATGTTGGAATGGCGGGCTTCGAGGAGGGTTTGAATCTCGCGCAGACCAGTCACAGGAAACCCGTCCGGCGAGTTTTCCATCTTGAGCTTTTTGAGCGCGACCACCTCGCCTGTCGTGATATCCTTGGCTCGACTAACCCACCCATACGAGCCTTCCTCGATATGATTCAATCGCTCGAAATTGTCCACATGGCGACAGGGGCCCCATTCGTGCACAGGGAAGCGCAGCAGCCTGCGCGGCGCAGGCGTCACGTCCTGGGGCTCGACCGCGGGCGGTTCCTCGATCGACTGGTCGTTGGAAAGTCGTCGGCGTTTCTTTGGTGGTGCCTCGGAATCCCCATTGGCAGCGATATCCTGTTGTTTCTGCTGCTGCTGCTGCGCTTCCAGCTGGCGTTGCTTCTCGGCTTTGGCGCGTCGCTTCTCTTCTTTTTCGCGTTTGCGCTGGGCGATAATAGCCTCCGTTTCGGGGTCCTCATCTGCCCATCTGGATTTGGAGGCCATTCTGAGTGGCAGGGGTGGTGTGGTGGGGGTGGCTGGAGGTGAAGCTGGAAGCGGAAGGGAGAAAGAATAGGTCTGGGGAAGTCGGATGACGCTATCGGAATATGATCGAAACTCCGATTCTTATTTCAAATCACCCCGCCTGTTCCGGATCTCCCCTCTTCAACATAACGCAGCGTCTTCAGAGGTGACTTACATCCTGCTTTGTTCCTTTTCATTATCACTTACAAATTGTCGCCTACCTCTTAAATACGTATTGCCGCCATCATGATTGAACCGTTCCAGGTATGTTGTCGTTGTATAGATCCGCGGGACCATCCGCCACACCAGAGCCATGCTAACTCGACAGACCACCTTCGCGGTCCCCATGACCTGTGAAGGCTGCGTGAAGGATGTTTCGAACTCTCTCAAGAAGATTGAAGGTCTGACAGTACCGCGGTCGTGGCTATGATTGGCTTGTTGCTGACGCCACCTAGGAATCAACAAGGTCGAAGCGAACCTCAAGGACCAGCTGGTCTTCATTGAGGGCACTGCGCCTCCGAGCTCGATTGTCTCGGCGATTCAGGATACAGGTCGCGACGCGATTCTACGGGGCAGCGGCACTTCCAACAGTACGAACCCACCTTGAGCACAGCGATTGGTGAAGGGATGGATGAGGAGCGCTAACATCGATCTACAACCAGGCTCGGCGGTGTGCATACTGGAAACACATTCCTCGACGGTTTCGAACAAGATCCGTGGACTGGCGCGAATGGTGCAGGTCTCGTCGAACATGACGCTCGTGGATCTGACCATCAACGGGCTAGCCCCCGGCAAATACTGGGCGACGGTACGGGAAACGGGCGATATCTCGCAGGGCGCAGCGTCGACTGGCGGACTGTGGGAGTCACTGAAGGCGACCGTGATGGGATCGGAGGCGCCCAAGGAGCCCCGCGGAGTGTTTGGATCGGTGGAGGTCGGCAAGAACGGCAAGGGCAATGTGTTCCTCGACCGACCGGTGGCCGTGTGGGAGATGATCGGACGCAGTATGGTGGTGTCGAAGAACAAGGACGGCCCGTTCCAGAAGGAAGATGCGGATACGTTGGTGGGGGTGATTGCGCGCAGTGCAGGCGTGTGGGATAACGACAAGATGGTCTGCTCATGCTCGGGGAAGAATGTGTGGCAGGAGCGTCAGGAGCAGGTCTCTCGGGGGATGGCGTGATGGATCTTTTTTTGGCCAATATTATTGGGAATAGATATGGGAATTTGGCGTGAAGGATGAAGGATCTGGAGGACGGAGGAGCCGGATATGAGTGGACGGGCCTGCTTATTTTGTTGGATCCGATGGATACCCTTTGACAGTAGTAGATAGCATGATTCTCGTATGAAGCGTTCACATGTGGACTTATGGAGCATTGCGAGAGGTCCTCGAAGCGCCGTGGCGGGGCCGTTCGTGAAGTCGGGGGGGAGAATAAGAGTACGAAGGATGGCTGATAGTATGGGAGTGTTATTATCATTGACTAGAGACGATTATTCAGATTGAAGAGAGTCAGTCATACTTCATATTCCATGGATGAAGAGTTGGGGTTTGGTCTGTCATGTGATGTGACGGTGCTGTATACTTTGTATGTATACTCTCTCTACCACTTCTTCCTCTCTACCACTCTCCTCTCCTCTCTTCTTCTCTTCTCCCCTTCTACATCCCTTCAATTCTTCAACTTCTGCACAAGAATCATCACCCCACAACCGCATCAGATCTCCCAAGCGACCATGGCCCAATCCCCCCTTTGGTCGCCAATCACCCGTCACAACGCATGGATCGTCCCCCTGCAATGTGATAGATTTTCCCCTGCAGCAGCCAATAACACCCGCCAGGCCGGTGACCACCGGGTTATTTTTGCATCTCCCCTCTTCACCACCTCGTACCGGCTAGCCAGCTATGGCTGGACTCTCGATCCGATGCCGTGTTCCTTGCTGCATCCCTCTGCACGCTAGTTTGTACTTCTCCCCGTCCTCTTCCCTGCTTTTTTTTCCCTCTATAACCCCTCCCCTGCAGCTGGTATTCCTCCTTTCCGCCCTCTGCAACAACTCTCCGAGTCGCTATATTCTCCTCCACGCAAGGAAGACAGGCGCAATGGGCTATTGAATCTCCCGCGCTTCTTCTTACCTTCGCTGGGACCTTCCTCTCCACTCGCCTGCCCCGTTAAAGGCTGCTGGCTGGTCTCTCTAGCCGCCCTGCTCCTGGGGGCGTTCTAATTATATATATCCAATCGATCCCTCCACCAAACACCCGCTATTTCTCTTGGTGCTGCGGCGTCTGGCCATTCCTCCACCTGAAGACGATTAATCCCCTCGTTGTCTACCAAGTACGGCCCTCATACTATTATTGTGGATTCTTGGCTCGACCACCGTCTTGGCTGCTTCCGCATATAATTACTCCAGCGGATATCACCATCAGGCATCATCACTCGGCCTTCGGTGCGATATTCTACTACGGACTTTCCGTCTGAGTCTGTCACCCGTGGTGCGACATGTCCTTGAAACAGGTACGCCCATCCACAAAATGCACTTCGTTCCCATCTAACAGTATCAGGAAATCGAAACCTGGGTGCAGGCCTTGGACCACTATGACAACCAGGAGTTCGACAGCGCCCTGCAGGTGTTTGCCACCATTTCGGACACTTCCAAGATCTGCTTCAACTGTGGTGTCATCTACGCCACTCTGGGCGAACACGAGAAAGCGGTACGTCTAAGAAGCGAGCGTCGACGGTGTACGACCTGACCACTAACACAGGTTAACCGCAGGTGGAGTGCTACCAGCGTGCAGTGAGTCTGGACCAGTATCTCGCCATCGCTTATTTCCAGGAAGGCGTCTCCAACTTCCTCCTGGGCGACTTTGAGGAAGCGTTGGCCAATTTTAATGATACCTTGCTGTATCTGCGCGGCAACACCTCCATCGATTACGAGCAGCTGGGTCTTAAGTTCCGGCTGTACTCATGTGAGGTGTTGTTTAACCGTGGCCTGTGCTACATCTATCTCCGCCAGATGGGGCCGGGCATGCAGGATTTGGAGTACGCCGTCAAGGAGAAAGTTACCCCCGACCACGATGTGATTGACGATGCCATCCGTGAGCGTGCCGAGGTATGGCCCATAATTATTACCTTTTCTCCCTTGAAGGAATACTAATAAGTGGAAGGGATATACGGTATTCTCCATCCCGGTAGGGGTGCTGTATCGCCCAAACGAAGCCAAAGTCAAGAACCTCAAGACCAAGGACTATCTGGGCAAGGCGCGACTCGTCGCTGCATCGGACCGAACGGGACAAGCAGGGTACGAGATCCAACGAACGCATTCGGCGCTGGACCACCGCCCCCCAGAAAGTCTGTATGCCACCGCGACACATGTGCACAAGAACATCACGAGTCGCAGTCGCCAGCAGTCGGAGCCACCATTGAACCGCACTTTGTTCCCACCAACCCCGCCCCCCGACGCAGACAAGTCCAGCACCAACAGCTCCTCGAGCACCATCAATGGCACACCGGGTTCAGCGGGCCGTGCTGCACGGCCACCGCGACTCGACCTGGACCGTCCAGGCGCCCATCTGAGCAAGCGGAGCAGCGAATTGCTGGCGCAGGAGAAGCCCCGGATCGGGACCACGCGCACTGCGTCGGAGCCTCGGGGTCCCTCGCGCGCGTACTACCAGGACCGTGACGCATCTATTCGTCGGGGCCCGGAGGGTGAGCGTGGACATCGTCGGGGACTGAGCGATACGGGATACGTGCCGGGTCAGTATGGGGACGATGGGTACGGCGGGATGGTGTATGCACGACCGCCAACGGTAGCCACGAACGGACGGCGGGTGATGCGCCAGCAGGAGCGGTTCATCGAAGAGGAGGAGGAGTACGACAGTGGCGCATGCGATGCAGACGGACTGTCGCCCGATGGAGCTGTCAGCGGAGGGTTCGAGATGCTGGACTCGCGCCGACGGACACGCTCGCCGCACCGGGGGTCGCGACGCGGCAACTCACGTCGACCAGAGGTGCGCAAGTTCCGGGTCAAGGTGCATGCGGCGGAGGACACGCGGTACATCATCATCGGACCGATGATCGAGTTCAGGGAGTTCGAGGCGCGCATCCGCGAGAAGTTCGGATTCCGGTGTTTGTTGAAGATCCGCATGCAGGACGAGGGCGACATGATCACGATGGTGGACCAGGAGGATCTGGACTTGCTGATGTTGTCGGCGCGGGATATTGCGCGGCGCGAGGGGAGTGAATTGGGGAAGATGGAGGTACGTTCTTCGATTGCACTGGCGTATACTTATACTGACGATGACAGATTTGGGTGGAAGAACGGTCGATGATTTGAATTTCTTTGATATTAGCGTATACCCTGTAGATTTGCTTGAATATGACTGTTTATTCATTCACTAAGATTATGTAGACTCTACATTATGCACAGTAGCAAGGAATGTATAGCGCAGATCACGGGATCTGTTGACACCTCAACTCCGCAACACCTCCGACACAACCTCCTATACACAACCACATACACACACCCCCCACGATGACAGACCTAACCCCGACCTTCAACGCCCTGCTCAAGGAACACGGCAGCAGCGGCACCACCTCGAAACGCATGGCCCTCGCCCGACGAATTCACTCAACGAAGCCTACCGCATCGTACGTCCCCCGCACACCACCCACAACCAGCTACGTATGCATACCCATCTAACAAACCCAGAACACCCACATCAGCTCCCTCCTACAATACCTCCACGCCACGCGCCCCGCCTACCTCTCCATCACACACCCCCCGGCCCCCTCAAAACGCACCCCCAAACCCGCCTCCCCCCCGCAAACCCTCACCGACACCGACCGCGACAACATCGACGCCTCCACCGCCTCCCTCCTCCACAACCTCACCACCTCCATCAACACCCTCGCCTCCGCCGAATCCGTCCGCCACGAAACAGCCTCCAACCTCCTCCGCCGGAAATACGGCCACGGCGCCGCTGCCGCCGCGCTGTGGAAATGGGCCGGCGGCGGCGCGGACACGTCAACGTCAACGTCGGCCGAGCAGCGCGCCGCCGAAAGCAGGGAGAATGATACCGCCGCGCTCCGCGAGAGCGTGCTGTGGTTTCTGCGCCGCGGGCTCGACGAGACCCTCGCCGTGCAGCGCGGCATGGTCGAGCGGCGCATCGAGCGCATCCGCGAGCGCGAGAAGAGCGTGCTGTATAAGGGTGTTTCTTCTAACCCCGCTTCTGCTTCTGCTGCTGCGGCGGTGTCTGCTGGTGCCGGTGCTGGTGCGGGAGAGGAAGCGCGCGGCGCGGCCCTCGATGCAAGCGAACTCGCCGCCATCGAGGCGGAGCTCTCGCCGCAGCAGCTGCAGCTGTTTGCCGAGGAGAACGAGGCGATGGT